AAAATAGAAAACTTCCCCCAGTAGGAAATTATTTCCAGTGATCTCTCTCTTCCTCAACAAGCCAGAAAATATTGAAAAGAACAATGGTAGTTCTCTTCACTAAGTTAAAGGAACGATTTAAACTTTTTTTATTTTTTACGTATATTATATTTATAATTTTGTTAGTTTACACCCAAGTAAACCACGACCACCCCATTGGTTATTCGGAGTTACACTAAATGTTAGTGAAATTCCATCTCTTTTAACATTAATTGGTATTGTCTTCCCCAAGCAGACTTCCTTTGATAGTCCCTGTAATCCACCATTAATTACATTTACCGATCCAAACGATATTAAAGTATCTCCATTTTGAATACCACTTTGACCTATAGGTCCATTATTATTGACTTCTTCAAAGATAGCAAATGGGATATGATTAATAAATTGGGTAGAACGGTTATTAGCATTGTTCTTTTCTTGTTGTGCATTGTTTTCTTTAGATAATTGTTTTTCTAAGAGAACGTGGGATCTGTTGATCACCGCTGTAAGATCATTTCTACGTTGGATAATATCTGTTCTCGTCAATGTAACTTTAACCAAATCATCTACGTCTTGTCTTGGGAATCCATCTTCAGTGACCAATTTTGAATTCATATCAATTCCTTGAGACTCTAGGTAAGATATATCTTTTGTCAGTTGTAATTCGATTCTTTTCTTTAATGATAATAGGTCTACTAAAGGTAATAATGAAATTTTTTCGACTAACTTTGGGATCTCTTCATCCCCAATCGTAGGAGTCAGTATTTCATTCATTATTTCTTTTCTATTTTTATGATCTTATTTACTTGCTTGTTGTTCTTGCTTATTATCTCCTTCATAATAACTTGATATTAATATTAATATATATATATCTGCAAGTTCACTGAACGATAATTGCAATAATCTCTTCTATGCTTCTCTCTGCACTGTAAAATTTTCCTTAACGCGAGCCCAACAAGATCCGTCGTCTCTCTGCTGCGAAAACAAAACAATTAAATATAAAATACTATACAATATATAGGTATATAACTATATCTATATTTAAATGCTAAGAAGAGTCAGTAAAAACTCTATTATCGACGAAAAAATTCAGAACATTTTATTCTCTTTCTACTCACATTTTCGTGCTGCAATATTACATAATTAAAGTTTAAGTGTGTGAAAAACGGGTAAGAATGATAACATTACTAATAAATAAATATAAATTATTGTTATATTCCGTTGTTTATTATATTATATGTGTATTTTTCACCTTCTTCTCTTAGTTGAAGTAGTAGTGGATTTTTTCATTCAGAAATGAAAAAATAAAATAAAAAAACAAGGATCAATACATCGTCATACGAGAGAGAGAGGGTGGGGGGAGGGACGTGAAAATAACGAGAGAACTAAGCTGAAGGGATCTCTTTTTTGGGTATTTTTTTATGCACTGAATTCTTCAAATTCTATATGCTCTTGCATCATCATCGTCCTCATTATTATTAAAGTAATTACAACTAAATGTTTAAAAAGTGGTGCATGTATATCTCTCTGTGTGATCCATCCATGATCCTCACCTGCTTTTTTATCCCAAAATCTTTAGTTTATTACTCTTGGCCAGATATGAAAGGGGATCGTAAACAAGAAGTACGATGGTCATTATGCCGTCACCTTATTCCCACGCCTACTTACAGACACGCACACGGTTCATAGTTTACAACCTACAGTGTACTAAAGATGGACAGTAGCAGAAAGAAAGAAGTTTAAGTAGTTTGCTTGTTGGTCCTTGTTGTGAGTTTGGCAATCTCTACAAATAGAAAGAAAGAGAACTTGTTGTTCACAGTGAAAGTGACGTGGGTTCCGTGGAAATTCTCCCTTCCCTCGTTTCTTTTTTCCTCCTTTTTTGGGGCACTTCTGAAAGAATGAAAGTTTGTTATGTAAGCGACGCTTTCTGTGGAGCTTCAATCAAAATTTTGAAAATTTTGATATTATAATTGCAGATTATCTTCGACCCACAAACTACTGCAACTACAACTACAAGAAGAGAACCTGTACTGTTTTGATACAAGTGCATCCTTACTTCAACAACAAAAATAAAAACAAAAACCTATTTATTGCGTTCTTTTTTTGTTTGATTAATTTAAATTTAATTCCCTTGTTCTTCTTCTTTTTCAGAGATTAAAGAATAGAAGATTCCCTGATATAATATGTATGTACTTTACAGAATAAAGAAAAGAAAATAGTATAAATGTTCTCTTGTACCTCAGGGGTTTACATACTTAAACGTTATAAGTAAATGCAAGAGAGAACAACGAGTCAACAAAAAAGAAATATATAACAAGAATATTAATAATTTAATATGAATTTAAGTGGAGTAGTTTTACTTAGTTTAAAACCCAAACCCAAAAACCCAAAATTATGAAAAATTTTCGTTTCTTTATTTTGTTTCGTTTTTTCTGTACTGCTTCTAGTATACTTCCACATCCATCCCCAGGTTCAAATAAAAATATGTAAGTAACAAGACAAAGTTGTGAAATTTACTATGATAATTTTATGCTGCTGTTGTTGTTGTCGTTGTTTTAAATGGATGAGTTTTACTAAACCCCTCAAGCAAATCAGGTCCCAGCCTCTTAATTTTGAAAACTCTCTTTTTTCAATACTTTTACTTTTTTATCTTTTAGTCGGTCCTTTTCTGTCGTCGTAATAAAATAAATTCAATAATAATTTGAGTTATTCATCTTATTAATTAGACTTCTCTGCAGCTAAATCTTACTGGTGTCTCTTACTTTACTGCAAAATAATATCATAAACTAAAAACTAAAAAAAGTTTCTGTTGGAATAATAAGGCTTCTGTGTGATTCGATTATTCCTTTATTTTTGTATTATTATTTTTCTTTTTTTTCTTTATTTCTTTCTATTTTTCCATTTTATGTTCTCTATCAGTTGAGATCGTCTATCAAAAGAAAGAAAACAAAAACTAACTTTCCCTTCCTTATTATTCTTTATATATATAGGTGCAATAGAGGTATTGTATTATCAATTACTTCTTCCTTTTTTTTTTTAACAAAAAAAATAATAAATTTTAGTCCTTTTTAATTTTCTTGACTAAAAACTGAACCTGCAAAGAAAAGAGTTTTTATCATCCTTTTCTATATTAAGAAAAAGATCATATAACCCACCCATCCATTCATTCATATATTGATCTTTTGTTTTTTTAATTGTTTTAGAAAAGAGATCGATCAAACAAAAACAACAAAAAGTTTAATAGGAAGAGAAAGGAAGATTTCACTATTGTTGTGTGTGTTTTTTCTTAGTGATCTGTTGAATCTCTCCCCTATTTTCTAATTTTTTTGGTTATTAATATAATAATAACCAAACATAGATTGATTGTTTTATCATTATATTATAAAACAGATTCAAACAAAATTTTGTGATTATCATAGCACCATCATATCATCAACAGTATTACTGTTATTATATTTATTATTGTTTTGTTTGTTCCCATTATTTTAATCTAATTCTCATAGTTTATAAGAAAGAAAGAAAGTTTGTGTTTTTTCCACATTTTGAATAGAGATTTTATATCATTCCTGAAATCTCATTAATTACATTCTCTTTTATTGTTATATTCATATCTATTATATCTTACTTTCTTTTTTATTTTTTCATCTGTCTTTTTTTCGTTGTACAATTTTTTTTCTCGTCTTTTCTTTGAGCTTACCGATTTTAACCTATTGTTTTAGACAATCTCTCAATTTCGACAAAAAACAGGAAATTTACCTTTGATTAAATATAATCTTTTAGATCTAATTTCGGCGAAAAACCTAGATCTCTTATTTTAATATATTTAGTGTTTCCAAAAGAAATATAATATTTGAAAAAAGAACTCTGCTGTTTTTTTTTAAAAATATTATATCATCATGGATATTGAACCAACTTTTAGAGGTTATATTCAGAATGAACTGGACGCTCTTCTCATATTCCAAGCAGTTTTAGATTCTCGACTAAACCATGTTCCACGTAGACCCTATGAGATCGAAAGACCATACTTGATTATTTCAGGTAATATTTTTGTCTTTATTGAAGAAGTCTCTGGAATTAAAAGATGGACGGATGGGATTACTTGGTCACCATCAAGGATTTCTGGGAAGTTTTTGATTTATAAAGAACTGGATAGAAGTTATAACAACACATCAATGTTTCCACAATCATCTCATATCAATCGTCATCCTCATCAAATGATTCCACAGACACAGTCTCAACAGCAACATCCGCAGACTCAATCTTTGGTGAGTGGTAATGGTAATCCATATCCTCAATCAAATTATCCTATTCAACAATTTTCAAAATATACTGGGTTTGTCAAAAAGACAATTTCAATGAAATTACAAACAAATGATAAGGAAAAAGTTCAACAACATTTCCATATCGTGTCATATTATTTGGAAGATGATATTAATTTCCATAGATTGAAACGTCCTTCAGAATCACCATTCTTTAATGATATTAAACCAAGCAAAGAATTGATTCAAGCTTTAGATAGTAGTAATTTAGGTGCTATAAATGGTTCAACTATCCCAAGTAGTACAAATAATCAACAAATATATCCATATATTAATGAAAGAAAACCAATATCTGAAGAGATTAGCGTTCCAACAAACCAGAATCCTACTTATCATCAACAATTATATGGCGCGCCTCAGACTCAAATGTGGAACCCTCAAAATAATAATAGCAACAATAATACTAATGGTAATAATACTCCAATCAATAATAATTCCAGTAATAATATTAATACTAATAATAGTGGCGGTTCTGACAATAATAGTAACGTCAGGTTGGCATTTCCTCCAGGAATGCCAAATCCAAACACTTTATACCCAATGCCTTATGGTCAACAGCAGCAAATTGGTCAAAATAGAATGATGGTAAATAATCCTTATCAAGTTTACTATGCAGCTATACCACCATCAATGGGTGTCTCACATATTCAAAAATTTCCAATATCCTTAAATCAACAAATTGCATCTGACGTAAATAATGTTAATAATAACAATAATAACAATAATTCAAATCATTCAAATAACAATAATGACAACAACATCAATCATCATAATAATAATACCAATAATAGCAACAATAGCAACAATGACGGTAATGTAAATATAAATAACAACGGCATGTACCAACAAAATATGGACCATTCTCAGCAGCAGCAGCAGCAGCAGCAGCAGCCGTATCCGATAAACCTCGTTCCTTCTGCAAATAATGAAAATAATATCCATACTCAGCAGTTTTATCCACCATTAACAACTAACCATGTTCAAGGTTATCCGACGTACTATGGACAAGGACCCGTCTTACCAAATAATGAAACCATTTATGGTAATAATGACGTAAACAGTGAAAAGCTTAGAAATAGTTATTTAGCTGATAATAGTAATACCAGCACTAATAATACGAACAATCGAGCAGATCCAATGAATATACCTGTTATAACTACTGCTCGCTTGAATAATACTTTGACAGGTCAAACAGTGACAGATTCACCTTATGAATCGCCATTGGTTCCATTGACTCATAAAGCGATCAATACAACTAACAATGCTGTTCCTTCATCAATTGCATCTTCCTCATTTCATAGAAATCAGCGACAACAACAGCAACAGCGGCATCCAGGTGGTCCATATGTTTAGCAGAATCGTAATTAAGGTTATTCTATTTTAACTGCTAATCACATTTACTGTTTATTTTATTTTTTGTTTTAAAATAAAATCTCGAGCAAAGTTTAACTCTTATTTTTTTAAGCTTTTTTGGGTTTAGAGGAGAACAATGGTTTTTGATGCGTTGGAAAAGACGTTGAGAGAACACAAGAAAAAAATTAAAAAATAATAAGAAAAATATGATGATTTTCGTTTACGAGTAAATAGCTATTAATTTTTATTTTTTTGAATGAATAAGGATTTGCACGTTTCGTTTTCTCTTCATATTTTTATTTTGAAAACTGTTTTATGAAGTTTTTTGAAATTTTATTTATTAGAGATGAATTAGACGATCTCATGAAATAATTTAAAAATATTATAAAAATGACAATTTTTTAGGTGTTGTTGTATTGTACTAATAACATACAATTGTGTGTTTTTCTCACTCAATGATGATTAACTGTTGCAAGACGAGTCTTAATATATACAAGGTAATTTGATAAAACTGGTTCGGTCTTTAATATCTTCTGGTATTTAAAGATGTTTGGTTGATAACTTTTAATGCAACAGAAAAAACAAAGTGTTTCCTCTAATTGATTCTGTTTCTCTCTGTACAATTTTGTTAAGGATGTTAATGTTTTTAAAGGCCTCATTCGATATTTAAAGTTGAAAATCGAATTTTCATGAATACTGACTATTGCTTTGTTATTTTTCAATTATAGACCGTCCAAATCAATTGTTCTGAAAGAAATACTTTTTTGATATTGTTCTGAATTTATGCTCTTCATACGACCTCAACTTCGAAAGAGTTGGTCAATGTAAAATTGTATGCACATTTTTGCGTTTCACATTTGGCAACAAGAGTAAATAGAAATTGTAACAAGCAGGACCTGTTGCAATAATTATTGAAATGAGGATATAAATAAATGAAATTAGTGGGTGTTTCACAGGTGATGTTTCCCACTGTTGCATGTATCTATTATTTTCCCAACATCTTTTATTTTGAATTGATGTCTATCATAGACTTGGTTGTTTCATTAAAGTAGTATCATCTCAAACATATGCATTCTTACTCTACATTTGTAATATTATATCTAGATATATTTATTTAATTAACTTTTCAATAATTCGTCAATGAGAGTTTTGTCCTGTTTGAATAGTCTTCATTTCATATCAAATAAAATCATTTTGGCTAGGATTTTATTTATATATTTGCTTACAAACTAAGAATTTTAATGTTTTGATCTTCAAAATGACAAAACTGACGACTTTGATAGGACAGACGCGATGAAATAAATGTCAATTATTATATATAATTTTATATGATGAATACAACTAACAAACTTACCCAAGCCTCATAACTATAACATACATAATTATCATACTACTTATAACCTGTTTGGGACCCACCTTCTAGTAATATATTCTAACTTTGGTTCGACGTGTCTGCCATACCTGTCTACAGTTTTTCTTCAAGATTTAGAACTTTCCACTCTCCAAAAAAATTCCTTCTGGGAAAAAAAAATAATGAAAAACGAAAGATTTTGTAAGCCCGAGGAAAAAACAAGACAGAACAGAAACAGACACATTTCTCTATTTATCAGTTCATTCTCTCTTATTTGAGAGAAACTTTTAAGGAACAGACACTTACTCTTATTATTTGGTTTACAACTTCTTGTTATCAGTTGACGTATCACCAAGGATATAGCGATAGATTTTAACTGGTTTTCTTATCGGGTAGATGTTTTAAAAGTAATGTCACAAGATGATTCAACTCCGAGAGGTGATAAATCTGTGACGAATAGTAGGACTAACGATATGGATAAACAATTGATATATAATGAGACTGTAACTGGTAGGAATATCGAAAGCAAATGCCCTGGAGATATTCAAAACAATTTAGAACTTGTAATATCAAGCAGTCAAAATAAGATGGATGTGAAAATTCCTCTCAATGATGCAAAGTTGACAGCGTTATGTGGTGCACTTTCTGGGTTTATATCAGGCATAATCGTCTGTCCGCTGGATGTTGCCAAGACAAGACTTCAAGCTCAAGGGTTACAGTCCAGTGAAAATCTTTACTACAGGGGAGTAATTGGTACAATGTCTACCATTGTCAGAGACGAAGGGGTGCGAGGTCTGTATAAAGGGCTAGTACCAATCATTCTGGGCTATTTTCCAACTTGGACAATTTATTTTTCAGTGTATGAACCTGCAAAGGAATATTACTCAGTTTTATTCCCATCATGGGTATTTGTCACTAATTCATGTTCTGCAATTACAGCAGGTGCAGCATCGACAATATTAACAAATCCTATATGGGTAGTAAAGACAAGACTAATGTTACAAACTAATATGGGTGAGAATATCACTCATTATAAAGGTACTTTGGATGCTTTTATTAAGATATCCAAACAGGAAGGTATTCGGACACTATATTCTGGGTTAGTTCCTTCTTTGTTAGGATTATTTCATGTTGCCATTCATTTCCCAGTCTACGAAAAATTGAAGACCAGAATGCAATGCTATTCAGTGAAATATAATGACGATGGATCATTGCAACAAACAATAAATATCAAAAGATTAATCATGGCATCATCCTTTTCAAAGATGATTGCCTCGTTGATAACATATCCACATGAAATCCTTCGAACGAGAATGCAATTGAAATCAAACCTGCCCGCAAGGATTCAACATAAATTGATCCCAATGATAAAAACTACTTATAGAAATGAAGGTTTTATGGCTTTTTATTCTGGATTTACAGCGAATTTACTTAGAACAGTTCCTGCATCTGCTGTGACATTAGTCTCTTTCGAATATTTTAGACATTATTTTGGGAAATCTTAATCGCATATCAATTTTAGGTTTATATACCTGTTCCCCTCATCTTTCCTTGTTCCTACACATATTTATTAATATTCGTATTCATTATTATCATTATCAAAATTATCCCGATCCATATATTCAAAACAAACACACACCAAAAAACATATCAAATCTTCTTATTTACTTATTTTTTAACTGAAGAAAAGCATTAACGATAAAATTATTATACATAGACTTTGGTCAAGATATCCCAGAACTGACCATTTTTATCTCAATTTTATATCTACATCTATATAACCTCGAATGTATATACCTGTCATTAAATTTTGGTCGCATTTTCATTAAATTCGCTTTCGTAAGTAATTTAGAATAATCAAACTTTGACAGCACGAGAGGTTTGTCCGACATCCATAATTCCATGCAAGGGTGGAAAGATAAAGAGCTGTGAATTACTTCAAACAAAATATAAAAAACTCCTTCTTTCGGCATGCACTCTCTCTTGAAACTTTCTGAAGCACCGTATGAACCAGATCTGAAAACTATCTATAATGCTAGGTCGGTTAACATTTACACTTTTGACGTGGTTGGTGCTGTTCCATCAACTTGTCCATTCAAGTTCAAATCCTGATACTAATACCCAGGAGGAAATAGAATTTCCTGATCCTATCCCAGGGGCAGATTTTTCAAAAGAAATATCTAAAGGTCTTCATGTTGTCGATTTTTTCAGTCCTTACTGTCCCCATTGTAAACATCTAGAACCTGTTTGGCAAAAAACATGGAAGAAGTTTGATACAGAATATGGTAATCTAAACCTAACCTTTTCAAGAGTTGATTGTATTGCAAGTGGTGATCTTTGTAACGCTGAGAGTATAGAATACTACCCAACTATAAGGCTTTATGGACCAGAAGGTGCAATTAAGAATTACCCAGAGACCGGTAAGAGGACTGTAGAGAGTTTCATCGAGTTTGCTAGGAAAGAGGCACTTAATCCAGATAACTTTGCGGAAGCAAATCTAAGATCTACTAGTGTAAGACTATCAGATAATGAAATCATAAAGTTATTAGCCGGGACAGGAGATGCTCCTTACCTTGTTTCATTCTGGCCAACGAAGGCAATGGATAATACAGATGATTATGGCGAATTTGTAGACTGTGCACATTGCACACCATTCCAAAGAGTATGGAGACTACTTTCAACGCAATTAATGGAAGGCAACATTAAATCTGGTCATGTTAATTGTGTCGACTCTCCAGTTCTTTGTAACGAACTTGGGTTTGAGAAGTTAGTACCAATAGATAATGATTCCAGGGAAAGAGAACCACGTGTAGCTTTAATATTACCAAATAAGCAATCTAACAATCTGTTTGTTTTCCCTGATGATGATTTTGAAATATATACGAAAGTGTACGAAGATTTTGCACTTCGTTTAACCCATAACAATAATGCCCCCGATATCTCAAAAGCAGATATTCTAAAAATTATGCAACAAGATATCGATTTCGGTGACTCTAATAAAGAAAATATTAACGACCAAAAGATTCATCTTGTGTTTTCATATGATTCCCGAACTGTCGTTCCTGAAGACTTAGATGTCTTGGAACATCTTATCGAACCATTACAAGCTTTACCTAATGTTTATCTATACAAAATCAACGAATCCATCGTTGATGTGACGAGGACAGGTTACAATAATATGTACTCGATTATCAAAAACAATGATAAGGATGCCGAACCATTGACTTTAAATGAAAACAGTTTAGTTTTAAATTCAATTACTCAGATGCCAACTTTTTTCATATTTAGAGACGGCGATACTACTTCTCAAGTTTTTCCAGGCTACTCAACTACAGAAACTAGAAACCCAGAACTAATCATGTCATGGGTCAAGCTTTTTGCAAAACCACTCTTCTCAGAAATGACACCTTCGAATTTCCGCAATTTTATGGAACTAGATAGAGATGTCTTTAGTACAATTATATTACTGATTGCTAATACGTCTGACCCAAATTTTATCAAATCTAGTTCAGGTTACTTAAGAAATATTAATGTTGCTGGTTACGAATATGAACATGAAAGATTAGAAGAAATGTATGAAAATGTAATAGCAGAACGCAGAGAAAAGAAAGAATATATTCAGCACCTACGTAATAAAAGCGCTAAACCTGATAAAATTGTTGACGCTACATTATTAGACGTCGATCATGTCAATAATTTACGATTATCTCTTGCATATTACGACATTGACAAATATGATGAAACCATGTCATGGATAAGGACACCTATTCTGAAGGGACCTCTGAAGGCAGGTGAGATTCTTATCATCGACAGAACTGATGGAAGGGTCTTCCAATTTGATTCATCTGGCAATGTTATTAATAGTGATTCCCCATCTAGTTTAAGAGACATTTTTCTGTCTGTTTCATTACCTGGAAGAACAAGCGTTATTACACCAGAATTCATGTCTATGATTGTCACAATTAAACGCACGACAAAGATGACTTCATTATCACCAACACGTATGTTGTATTTAATTGTTGTGGTTCTATGTTTCCTAATCGTGACGAGATCAAAGAAGCTTTACAGAAAATACAGAACTAGAAAGTTATATAGAAACAAAAGGGATACAATCGGTTTGTTAGGGAAAGAAGTGCTTCAAGATTAAATGTATTTTTAAATTATGTACCAGCAACAAAAATAATATTAATATTACTTCAGGATAATATGGAAGGGTTTTTTCTATTATTAGATGTTTATTTGGTAATAGATATGATGAGATGAATTCTATAATATACATACATATATATGATAATGAGTGTTCGTAGGTAAAATAAAATTTAAATGGAATAATGAACAAATAAACTATAGTAAGATTAATAACTATTATGTGATCCAGACCCAGAAGAACATGACTCCCACCAAGGAAAATATAAGAAGCCACGTCTTAATACTGATCCTGGACCGCTTAGCCATGTCCATCATATTTCCAAAAGTATCTTTTAATTTTACTTTTGTATTTTCGAAAGTAGAGCCTAAATCGTTTAAAGAATGATTACCATTTTTAATTTCATCACCCATCCTTAATGATAACGATTTCAAAGCTTGAATTCTCTTACCCATTTGTCCCATTTGTTCATCACTTTGAGATTCTAACTGTAACAGTGTATTTTCATCATAATCAAATTTTGTATTTTTGACATATGGAGAGACAGGATTATCGTCATTCATACCAGGTTTTCGATCCACTATCGTACCAAATAACTGTGTTCTTGCATTATCTCGTTGATATAAACTATCCTGTGTTTGTCTGATTTGAAATAATCCAACAATCTTATGTTGTATGAAACAATGTTAGTAAAAAAGAAATGTGAAAAATGGAAATGTAGAACACTACATCACTGGAAGACTAAAAATAAAAAAGGTTCATGTATAACACCTTCAAACATACCTTGAACTCATCCTGCTGAATATTCACTCTCCCTCACTAATATTTGTATAGTTGCTTTATTTTAGATGGCAAATAAAGATTGAGAACTCAGTTACTAGCCAATTATATTTAAATCCATTCTCTTGAACATATTTTATTCAATGTATCAGTATTTCTGTTATGTATTACATCATTAAAAATTCCAATACGCGAAGAAAGCTTATAATTTCACATCAAGAGAGAAAAACGCGATCTATCTAGGTAAAACTGCGCCATATGAATGATTTTTTTTTATTCATTTAACGAATATAAGGAATGTTATAACTTAAGAACTCCTTACATCATACAAAAGAAAACTAAGATAATAAGATAATAGGATAATAAGATGATATCGGTTATGTTGTAGATTTAGAGAAAGTTATGACCCCGATATCCCAAAATTCTTTGAAAGTTGTTCCCATTCTTGAAGATGGAGAAAAGCACAAAGAAAAGAGATGCCAATGAATGATCAACAGCAGGATATATGCTAACATGTTTATAAGAAGAGGTGAATCCAAAAGCAGTGTCTACAATTCGCTATGTAGTTTGGTAGCAGGTGCTCACCAAGCATTTCAGACGCAATAGTTTTATATATATGTATGTATTCATTGGTGCACTCCCCTCAACGAAACAAAATTCTCTCTTTGAGAAGATTACCCTCTCGTTTGTATTTTTTTTTGCGGTAAAAAAATCGTTCTACGCGGCAGCCACAAATTTACCGACTATGACGAGAGCATTTCCACACTAACGAATTTCTAAGAAATTCTGAAAGGTTAGATGAGAGATGAGCTCTAGTTAATACATTCATATCAAAGAAATGTCGAACGAAACTGATGCTGTCGTTTCTTTAAACCTGATGTCTTGAGCATAGATATTAATTACTCATAACTTTATCTACGAGTAGAAATTATATTAACATATATGTTTCTATATTAATATTTCTATAGGGCTTCCGAAATTTATTATAACAATGTCCCTGGATGCTGAACAGAATGAAGAATTTGATGCTAAAAGTATGACTGATATGCTCAAACTATTACAAAAAGGTGAACAAACTGCAGATTCAATGGAAAACAAGCTAGATCTGGTAGAGAGAGAACTGGATCGTTTGTTAGAGCAACTCGAACAATCAGAAACCGACAAGGTTACTGATAAGGTAGCCGATAATTACAATAATGAGAAAGTTAATCCATCCAAAGAAATATAGAACATAGACAAAACTCTTTCTATCATATAATGTAACATAATAATAATAGTAATAATAATAATACTAATAATAATAATACTAATAATAATAATAATAAATGATACCTTTTCTTCATCTTTTTTCTTTTTTTGTTTATATTTACATATATAACAGATGCAAAATACAATTACAGAAGATACACGAAAATAACAAATTAAAATTAAAATATGAAACGTTTTTATATAAGAAATGTTATTGTCTTGGCACAAATAATCGCTGGCCACCACTGTCTCTAAATGGATTTGGATCTCTATTAGGATTTATCATATATTTCCCCGGATCAACTTCTAACTCAACTTTAACTTGTTTACCATTACCAATCCACCATTTTTTTGCTTCAGAACTTGGTGGCGGTAGTTTCTTACTTCTCACCCGATCTGATACCTGGCTTGAAGATAATATCGATTTCGGTACCAGACTCTCCTTATCCATACCTTCAATAAATATATCCCTACCATTAAGGAATGCCTCTTTTTCATCTTCATCTAATGCAGCTAATTTTCTTGTCACCTTATCGTATATCTTGGAAAATAAAGACTCTTTCTTTTCCTCATCCACAACAGTAATAGTAGCTTCAAATGTCGCATACACAGGCCTATGATCAGAAAACATAACGTTTTCTGCATACCCATAACTTAATTGAGTCAAAATTTCACCTTTACTCAATATTCTATCTGTCCAAGCTGGAATTCTCATCTTTTCACTAGTATCATAAGTCTTGGTTCCAGGATCAAATTTATAAGTCGGTGGAAATGTTATAGGCATTTCATGGAAATAAGGGAAGGACTCACCAGATATCATTTGTTGATTTAATTGATCCTTTTCAAAAAGACTAGAATAATCTTCTAACGAGATCAAGTGTCTCACATCTTCGTTATTCATTAAAATTCTATAATTAAAGTCCCCCATCCAAATAACAGCATCATGATCTTTAATTCGTTGACCTCTAGCAAAACGAATATTCTTGAAAATGGTCTTATAATCATTATGTCGTTGTTCAACATTTTCTAGCCCAGCCGCAAGATGTGAAGCCACTATACAAAAACTCGTCGCATTGTATCTAAAACTGATAGCTACTGCACCTTTGTTTGATGCCATACCACCAAATCCAGTCTTCTTTACATCAGCTTCAATATGTTTGATTTTAGAGTAGTCCGAATCTTTTACAAAAAACATCAATAAAACACCACCAAGCTGACTGCTCCAGACAGTGGCATACTTTTGATCACTTTTACCATTGATCAACGTCAGTACACGCTGTTCCCAATATCTCTTCGCATATGGATCAGTTGACAACATTTGACCAGGAGTAAGGTCAACAACTTCCTCAAAACCAATAATATAGGCATCTGCCATCCCGACAATACCTGAATTATCGGGGAAAATCCATTCATCGATGCTATCCTTTGAAGTTTTACCACTTATATTAAACGTTCCACAGAAAATACTTATACTTCGCTCATAAGTAAAGTTGGTCTTTAATTGTTTTAAATAACGAGAGATGTAAAAATGTAATGGATCATACAGTTTCATTTTAGATTCAAACAACAAGGAATAAATCTTAAGATATTTGCTTGGATTCTTCGAATTCTTCGAAAAAATCTGTTCCATCCAAAAAGCGTTCTCAGACCATAATTTATCGTGGGTCTCGACAAAAGAGGAGGTAAGATCAAATTTATTAAGTTCTTTTGTGGCTAGTTCAATAATATCTTTACTAACAATCTTTTCTACGAGCATCTGCTTCTCAACGGAGTCAAATGCACTGATCCTTAAAACACCTGTCTGTTTCCCAAAGTACACACCTCTTTCAATATCGTACGCAAATGCACCTAACTCAAATAAGTCCTCTTTTAGGAGGTATAACAACTTGTGTGGGGTTTTCGAAAGTGTGCTTGAACCGCATTCTAGATTTGTCATCTTGATACCCCTTTTATCTGCACACTCCTTATATACACTTCCTAATGATTCTTGCGTTTCACTTCTTGGTTTAACAATATTTACAATTGTAATAATACCATACTTTGATTCCAAGTTATCGAAATGTCGATCAAATGCCGTTTGCATATGGACTGCGTCCTTCGTTATCTTCACCTTACGACCATATAATATTTGCTTATCAACAGATTCCCAGTATAATGGAATATTGGCACATATTTGGGTATATGAAAAAATAAAGTTCGTAGTAGTAACAACAATCTCTGTCTCAACAAAGTTGGACACTTTACCATCCTCACTCAGACCATCTGCACTTAAACAATGCTGTTTACTCTCTGTAGATATTCTGGATATAAGAGTAATTGATGATGTATTAAGAGAATCCTCAATCAATATAGTTTTACAAAAGCCTCTAATGACAAATGTTAGTAGAGATGAACTATCAAAGGCCTGTCTTTCGTCCCCCGGGAGCCTGTTTCGCCATGTAACAATCTCTGACGTTAGGGGAGTGTTCCAAATAAACATAGAATCTTGGTTGTCAATTGTGTACTCTAAATTATGGACCATAGTATGGTTTTTGACATTATTCGATATATCAAAATCCTTCGAGAAATAAAAAGACCCATCGCCAAAAAGTTTCTTGAGTGAGCCACATGGGTGCTCATGCACCATTCTATCATACGCCTGTTCTGATCTGTCTGAATACCACGAATCGAAAACATTTGAGTCCAAACTGTAAAAATCAACATCTAATACCTTGTATATATTTTCTGAAGGAATAACATGTGAGTTGCTCAAAGTCCATCGAGGAAAGCCTACATTCTGGACGCCTGAAATGACACCGATGTATGCCGAATTGTGGACAGTTACTATACCCAATAGTCCACTAAAAATTCCAAATGTAACTTCGTAATATTTACTGCTATCTAGAAGTTCCTCTTTTGCAATCGTATTAATGATAACTGTAGGTGGTCTGCCATACTGTTGTGATTTGTGGCCAGGTGGGGTCTGGTATCTCTTGAAAGCAAGACTATAATCCTTATAAGATAAGACAATTGTACGCGGATTCCTACCAATATATATCCTGAAATCTGACATTTGGGGTTACTTCTCTATCGAGTATATTTTGGATGCATAGTTAGTTTACCTTATGCTGTTTATGTGTACATAGTATTTATATAAATGTGTACTCAGAAGCTCGGCTCCAATTTTGTAAACTAATAAGCGAAACAAATATTGTATATATAGCACGTAATTAAACGAACACTCTCATAAACTAGAAATAAAGATAAACTGAAGAAAAGAGACATGGAGTAGGTTTGCTGAACGCTACAAATATAAAAGGTGGCTAAGTATTTGAACTTTTATGCTCTACATGTCTTCGAGAATCCTAAGTTGGTTAAATCTCTGATATTATTCTTAAACGGTATTTGCATCCTTATTTAAATTATGCAACGTAGGGGGGGAGGCACATTCCACTTCTGGGGTTATACACGCACTTCAACACATACATCTTAATATCATACTTGAAATTGTATCTTCGATTGACATATGTTACTTCCAAATATTAGAACTTAAAGTATAAAGCTATAAAAATTAAGCCCTTACATTTAACAAATATAAAATTATCATATAGCTAAGTCACATGATAATATTTAATATTTTCTACTTTTAATAATTAATTTTATTTTTAATCTTGTGCACGCGTACCGAATAATGAAAACGTTAATATAAAACAAATATATAAAATTTTTAAACATCTCTTAATGACGCGTCTTCTCTTAGTTTATACGTATTGTTGCTAATAAATGCATGTGAAAGTGATGTTTGAATTAAAAAGAATGAAGTTGTATTCGTATCAGCATAATATTTTATATAGAAATATAGATGTTAATTAATAGCGACCTTTTCTGTTGGTTTTTTTTCACTCAAACTACTAAGAGGTACCGTCCGAAGTTCGGTAAGTAATTAGCTATTTTGCATTTGAATGAATTCGGATATATTTTTCACATAAGAAATAAAAATAGATTGATGTTGAATGTTTGTTAAAAATATAATAGGATTATTACAGATATATATCAGGATGGTGAAAGTCATAAATTAATTAAACCGAAAGATTTAAATTGTTCAATATTGTATTTAATGTGTTAATATCCTTCTGGTAATCCAATAATCCTAAGCTTTGCAAAAATTCTAGGTCGTCTGCATCACTCTCCAATAGAGATAGATCATCAGCTTCGAGATCATATTTACTTAAAAGGTAAAAACGTACATCAGCCACCAATTCAATGGTATCTGTCTCCTCTCTGTTAGATATACGTTGAGAACTCTCCAAAATTACCTTTCTTAATTCTTTGGATGAGGTTAATTCTTCTAGATGTTGTGCTATATACTTGGCAGAAAATTGTTCCAATCTCTCCACCCCAGTTTCCCATCCCAAATGTAAGATATCGAAAACACTTCGAGAAAGTGCATCTTCGGATGATTGTGTAATCACAGCGGCAGCAATATTCTTCAATCTATCGGCCATGATATAGTCAGCCAATTTTATGACGTCAAATGCATGCTTGGGGTCAAACTCGGAGCTATCATAATAGAGATAATTGATAACAGCTTCTGCCACTCCAAAATCACAAACTGGCAATTCGGCAAATAACATATGTGAATCTGCTACGCCACATCTAACAGCTTGTTTCGCTGTCATATATGTGTTATTCTCACGGAATTTCTTGTTAATTATATCCTTAAAGAATTCAGCTCTTGATAACATAGCTATATGACATGGATATATTCTCCGTAAGCCACTATAGTTTTCTACAATTAAATAAATATCTGGAAATGGGGCCCAAATATGTGGATCAGGGATTGAGCCAGAATCCCACGGCTCCTTACCAATATCTATGTGTTTATCAATAATATCATCTTGAACAAATTTCTTTAATTGACTTCTAGCCAACTCAGTAAACTTATACTGATACCCAATCATCAAGTTTGATTTTTCAACCGGGTCTGCCATGTGTCTAGCTTTATCTAAAAATTCCGATAGCAAGTCCAACTGAAGATAATTTGCCAACTTAATTAAGTCTGGAAACACTACAGATGGTATGGCATGTAGTATCGGAACCAAATAAATGAAATTTATCAAGATGTTAACGACGTCGTTCGACAAACCAGAAAACGTTTCATTTAGTTCACTTAGTGTTGAGTTGTGCAAAGCAGAACTCCTAGCGAATATCATAAATTTGTGAGCAATAAACATTATCTCAGGGTCTTTACATTTGATGGTTACATCGCCCATCTCGTATCTACTTTCTTCGTCTTTCAATAGAGATGTTATATGTGCAGCAAAAGGCTGATTCGTGTCGAATTTTTTTGAATTGTCATAACGATACAACATATCCCTAATGGCATCAGTAAGGGCACCATATATGCAACGCGCCCCCTCATGTCTATCTCTATCACATATGGCACCTCTTCCCAACAAAAGTTTTACTACTTCTATATGACCACATAAACTTGCTAAATAGAGAGGCGAATTGTCGAACTTGTCGACCTGATTAATGTTAATTCCGGTTGATATCAGTCGATCAGCATTTTCGACATCCCCTGTACGGCAGAAATAACACAGATCGTCGAAATCTCCTTTAAGAAAAGAATCACGCTCGTTATCCTGATCCATCATTATCTTACAAGTATACAATTAACCAGAATTGCATGTATTGTACCTTGTACTTCACTGAATATAGATTAATGCAAAATGCTTTATGTAATTATTTTTCAATATTGTACTGATCTTACCGAAGTCTGCTTATATAAGAAAATTTATACAATACTTACGTAATATACTAAAGAAAATATTAATCAATTCTGGAAACTGCACAAATGAGTGATATCTTATAACGCTCTGATTGCCTTGGTGTTTCCTTTGTTACAAATAAATTACTTGACCATTTCAAATGTTAAACGATGGTCCTAGATTTTATAACTGGAACCTGACTTTCAGAAACTGTAATCTGGTTATCATAATTTACCTTCTACTTTTACAACATAATTTCTCAATCTTGAATTTCATTAAGCAAGAAATGAAATTCATAGATCAAAGATGCTCTAATGATATCATCAGAACTCACAACGACGTTGAATCGTATTCTTTTTATGCTTCTTTATTTGACTTGTTTTTTTGTTGCTGTATGCTTCTTATAAGAATGAATGTTTGTTCTTTTTTTGGCAACTGTAATAGCTTTGCCTTCAAATTCAGATTTATCTAAAACAAGAGCTCTTGTCATACTTTCTTCTGTATCAAACTCGACATAAGCATGTGCTAGATCTCTATGATGTGTATCACTGACTACAGTTATTCTCTCTATGGATCCGCATTGTCCAAAATGTTCTTCTATATTATCAGGGGTTATATCTCTGTGTATGTTGCTCACAAAAATAGAACGAGCATCTGCCTCTGTCTGCATGCGTTTACGTTCATCTTGTGTCATAGAGGTAAATACCTTCATGCCTGTATTTCCCTCTAGTAGCTGGGGTTCTATTTCAAGGGACATATTTTACAAGTAATAGATTGGAATGGGAGATAGTTAATAGATAATCGAGCAAACAGGAACCGGTAGATATTTTTTAAGTTACTGTATTAGTAGACTGTTGCAATCTATATTTTAGGTAGTTATCATATCTATATCTGCTATCGAATCTAGAAATACTCAAAATTCTCTAATATGGGTTAAGTAAGGTTCATTGAAATTTCTGATGATGTAAATGAAATGAAAGCCATTGATACACATTTGTAGGTCCTGCGACATTATATTAGTAATAATTATTTCGGTCTTCGATCGGTGAATCGAAGAAAAAATTTTTTCTTCATAAATTTTCAGAGTGAAATAATTCTCTTTGCAATGCTCATCGCAAGTTAATTAAACAAGTCAACCAACCTATATATATATACGCATATATAATTGCTGTGAGTTCTGAACCAAAAGTCAAATTCAATTACAACATCAAAGACAGAGAAACTGCGATATCCGTGTTATAGCACTAATACAAAATGGTTTCTGTTAGAAAGAGAAAGATGAATAGATCTTCCGTTGGGAAGAACACCAGAAGAGTGAAGGATAAGAGAAGAAAGATTAATATCAAATCTAATCCTATTATCGCAGCTAATTGGGATTATTCCATGACCATGAAACAGAATTATAAAAACTTGGGTTTGAGGGCGAAATTGCAAGCACCATCAGGTGGTCAAGAAGTCGATTACAGTGAAATCAAAGAAAAAGTTCCAGTATCATCTACTGTTGAAGATGGTAGTGATGAGGACGATGAGTTGGATGAAAATGACAGCGAAGATGAGCAAGATATCAATAACGACGAATCTGAAGAAGGATTTGATGAAAATAAGATCCCAGAAGGTGAAGCCAGAATACAGCGTGATTCTGAAGGTAATGTTGTTAAAGTTGTGTATGGTAAATTAAAGAAATTTGATATTGACGAAGATGTTGAAGTTCTAAGAAAGCAAGTAGCTGAAGAAGAGGAAGAAAGTAAGACAGATGTTGTAAGAGAGCTTGAACGTTACGCTGCCAGACCTGAGGTCACAGATGTTAGAATTCAAAGTGAGAGAGAGGAGGCTTGGTTAGAGAGACTGTACAAGAAATATGGTGACAATTACAAGAAGATGTTTTTCGATAAGAAATTGAATATATATCAACAATCTGTTGGTGATATTAAGAAAAGAATGAATATATGGAAAAAGAACCACAACATCGAAGAAGATAATTAAATGAGGTATATTCCTATTTGCATATAGTATGTTTATCATATTAGTTCATACTTTTTTACTTGTACACTAATAATAATAATATAAAATATAAATAGATACTTTTAAAAGGATAGTATTTTTATTAAATTAAAACAGACAGAAGGAGGCTCATTTTGCTTCCAGTTACCATTATAAATAAGAAAATTTATATAAATATAAACGTGTCCCAAAGAAGAGTTTTATTTTTGGGGTGTCTTTCATGTATATTAGTTTGGTTCGACAAATGCTCTGTAAGAAGTAAACGTGCTGTCTGTAGTCTCTAAATCGACTGGAGTGTTAGCAGCAACAAAGAAGACAAACCCGGTGCTAGCATCTAATTTGACGTCACCTGTGCTGATCTTACCGTTACCCTTAGTAACAATAAGAACACTTGGACCATCAACACCCTCGAAGTGTCTCTTACCAGTAGAAGTCTTAAAAGTAGTCTCTAGGACAGCAAATTCTTCGATTGGTGGGTTATATAGAAGAGATTCACCATTACCACTAGATCTTGGGAACTTTTCGGCGACCATCTTTTGTTCATCGACAGTACCATAGTTGTAAGTCAACATTTCAACCAAGTTTTTAACATCCTTGAATTTTGGAGTGAAACCAGCTCTAACAACGTTGTCAGAAGCAGCCATACATTCAATGATATCACCGCTAATATAAGCGTGTGGGTCCTTAGCTCTTAGGAAAAGACCTTCACCGGCGTTTAGTCTACAGTGGTTCAACAATAGACCACCACAGAATAGGCCAATGTCATCAGGGAATTGTTTGTTCAATCTGATTAATAAATCTGGTAAGTCGGCCTTGTTGAAATCGGCTGGACTGTCATGAGCTCTTTGGATCAATGCACGAGCATTTTGTACTATTTGATCCTCAGGGGCATTCATGACTTTACTAAAGACGGATTGTAGAAGTTTTCTGTTAGCTTGATCATCTGCACTACCAACAGTGACGTTTTCCTTAAAGTTCTTAATGAATTGGTCAGCAGTTTCGTCACCAACAACATTTCTTAGTTCTGGGATACGTTTCAATTCGTCGGCAATTTCGCCTAATGGTTTGAAACCACAGAACCCTTCGAAATCAGTAACGGCAATGGCCATTTCTGGCTTATGGTTAGCATCTGGATAATTCTTTGGATCCTGAGCATGTAAGATCTTACCAAGAGCCTTATCTGGATGAGCTTGGATAGATAACACTTTTTCAATAGATAGAACTTTGAATAAGAAAGGTAATTCATTTTTAGCATGGAATTTGTTGATGATATCATTACCTAGGGTTTCCTCTGGGTTCTTAGCAATAATATTGTTCAACAATTCATTAGAATCAGCGTTCTTAGATGGAGCCTTCAAGTGAGTACCCATCCACAATTCGGCATATGGTTTAGTTTCATCAATCTTGACAGTAGGATCAGAAAGGGTAGAGTATTGGGCAACAGCAGACTTGGAACCAATTTTACCCCAGTCGTATTGTTGGTAAGCAGCAATTAATCTAAACAATTTGTCACTCATAGTGCGTACAAAGTATAAAGTATATATATATATTCTTGATTCTTGATTATGAATTACTAAGATTTAAGTTCATTCTTTACCTAATCTTCTTTACATTGTTCATAAAACTGTTTTCCTAAAGAATTTCACTTATTATATAAGATTTATTACGTGTTTGGTAAGGGCGATCGATTCGTTGCTGGTAAAAAAAAAAGAAAATGTCTCTCTATTTTTATTTATTTATTTTTTTCACCCATCAACAATGCTCAGAAAGCACCGTATCAAGTACGAGAACCAACCAGAATCATAAACCATACCAACAAACAGTTCGAGAGTCCATCTTACTGTACTCACTTCCCCACTATCATCACCTGGATACATAGACAAGGATAGTTGATGGAGTACGTGAGTGTCCTAGCATATATGCGACGTCGTTTGCAGACCTTCCCTTCAAAACAAGCTTCTTTTTTTTTTTGCCTGGATTGCCCCACTATCAACACCATTACCAACGACGACAACAGGATGAATGAGGACAAATGACGGCGAAACCAATCGTTTGTTCTGTGGTGAGAGGATATGTTAGACACAGGCTAAGATGGCGGCGTTACGAGAATTTTGCGTTAATTTCAGCGACCTCTGGGTTTCTGGGGTGAGTGAACTTTACTGAGATGGTGGTGTTGAAGCTATTCGGAACGTATGACCCCGGAAGAGCATGCCGCAGGACATCAAATAACGGGTTTTATCATTTCTTAGTAAAATTGGTTCTTTGGGATTATTTAGTGCGACAATATAGAAGGGAAGGCATTGCTAATTACCTATACATGTGTTGCAGACTCCACTATTTCCCCCATCGTAGATACGTCTAATTCGCATCAGATGGGTCGGTTGGTATTCAAACGTTACAATAGAGAGTGGTTGCTGTGCATCTCACTCTAAAAATGGCAGTATTCACTGTAATATTTTAGCATCTTGTTCAGATTCGATATTTCTAATATCAAACTGCTTACCTAAGGCAACTCTTTTTTTTGTTATGTTTCTTTATGATGATGACTGGATGTTTTTGTTAGTGTAAGGTGCTGAATTTCGAACAATAATGTAATGAGTAAAAATAAAATTATTACGTTTAGTAGATATATATAGACAAAATATTATACTTCCGGAATAATCTTGTCCATAAAAACATACAATTTTAATAGAAATAGTGCGCAATCACTAACTAAAATATAAAATATTATATAAGTACTATCTTGTGGTTTTGAATATCTCAATCTTCTATTTTAAATGACTGTATTAATACATGTAGAAAACCATTACCCATAATCATCACATACCAAGGTGAATGTTTGGTTTATCACTTTCTACCTTTTGATGATCTAAAGGATTTGGCGCACTTTCATATACAGACACTATTGGTACTGCGTCGTCCTTTGCCAGCTTCCCAGTAAAACTACCTCTTATTTCAAGGTAATACAATTTGAAACAATTATCTTCATCGTCAGACCAGTTATCCTTAAAGAATAAAGTTATTGAGTGACAGTCATTAAATTTTGCCTTTGGCATATGAAATTCAATCATACTGGTTTCATCTTCATCAGTCTCTGTAGTTGTTGTTGGATCAATTCCAACATTTTGTGGATATTCTATTTTATAGTTAGGTTTAATATGGTTGGAATTTAATGTATTGAAATCGATATTAGAGTTTTTTTTCCAATTTTTATATACCTGAATTGTCTTTGGTGCATCGAATTCCTCAGATAATTTGGGTTTATTACATCTCAAAATAATCGAGTCAATTTTACAAACTCCAGTAAACGGCAAATGAGCCACCAATTGGCAGTCAGTATCAGATTGTAACCATGTATCTATCTTAGATTTATTATCTCTATTTTTTATAAACACTGAAGATTTATCTAATGTAGAAGATTGACTTCCTTGAGACATGGCAATACCATTTAATAACTTGATTTTTGTAGTGTCGATGTATGAGAAGAGGGACTGATCTGAGTTTGTTGGTACAGGAGGCTCGTGATCATGGCCATGGCCATGTCCGTGGTTATTACGGGTATGATTATGATGAATACCTAGACTGTCATCCTCACAATTAAATGACATGCCTACCTTTTTGTCTTTGTCTTTGTTTTTGCTCAAGTGAGGTACAGCCTAACCCTAATATATAATAATATTAAATTTCTTTGAATTCATAATTTAGCAAGGTTCAATCATCCATTGATTGTTCATTATCCCTATCTCATCGAAGGAAATATACCAAAGAAAAGAAAGAAAAAAGTACGAAATTCTTACATTTGGGTTGTCACATTCATCCGGCGCTTTAAACGTGACAAACTAAATTTTAGTTAAAGTGATATATTTTAAAAACCCCTTTCACCAGAGTAACCCCAATTTAAAGGAAGTAAGATTATAATAGCGAGACCAAAATACATTTACCGTTCACATAACTTACATCATTCACAAAAAGAATATTTTTATATTTTGAAAGTGAAATATGAGTTTATTTGAGTGGGTCTTCGGGAAGAGTGTAACTCCTCAAGAAAGACTCAAAAAGAATCAAAGGGCATTAGAGAGAACCCAACGTGAATTAGAGAGAGAAAAGAGAAAGTTGGAAGCACAAGAGAAGAAATTGATACAAGATATTAAAAAGGCAGCCAAGAATAATCAAATTAGTGCTGCAAAGATTAAAGCTAAGGATTTAGTTCGTACAAGAAGCTATGTATCCAAGTTCAATAACATGCAAACACAGTTACAAGCTATCTCCTTAAGAATCCAGGCTGTCAGAAGTAGTGACCAAATGAGTAGTTCTATGCGTGAAGCTACAGTTCTTCTTGCAGGAATGAATAGATCTATGAATTTACCACAGTTACAAAAAATCTCTATGGAATTCGAGAAACAAAATGAATTAATGGATCAAAGACAAGAGTTTATTGATGAAGCTATTGACGGTGTTATGGAAGATGACGAATTCAATGAAGATGAAGAGGCCGATGAGATTGTTAATAAGGTTCTGGATGAAATAGGAGTTGATTTGAATACTGAATTAGCAAATGCACCAAATGGACAATTAGGATCGGCTGTTGGTCTTGAGGAGTCTCATCAGATCGCAAACCCAAAGTCTTTGTTGGCTGAAGGTGGAACCCCTGGTGGAGGACCATCTGATCCAGATAGTGACCTACAGGCCCGTTTAGATAGTCTGAAGAGACAATGAAAATGATATTTTCAAATCTTATACGTGCATTTTATATGCATGTATATAGGTACCTAAGTCGAATGTGTCTTTTAGCAACGTACAGCGCAAACTAATCTATAAAAGATATGTACAATAGTTATAATAATAGTAATCATCAAATTCTTAATATTTTTTTTCTTTTTGCTGTATAAATATATATGTAAATAAATAATTAATGTTAATTATATGACGATTTAAATAAATGAAATATTATCGAATGATTATCGAATGATTATCGAAGAATTTAGCAATTGAAAAACAATAACTGATCATTCTATTATTTATATAACTTTTTCTCTTACCAAGTACTCGTAAATAATATTAGCACATTCTTCAATGCTCTTCAAATCAGTTCTCAAATGCACTTCTGGAGACTCTGGAGCTTCATAAGGAGCAGAAATACCAGTGAAGTCTTTGATGATACCTTCTCTGGCTTTCTTGTACAAACCCTTAGGGTCTCTTTGTTCTGCTATTTCAATTGGAACATCGACGAATACTTCAATGAATTTTAAACCAGCTTCTTTATGAAGTTCTCTAGCTTTATCTCTGTCGACTCTGTATGGAGAGATGAAGGAAGTAATAGAGATGGTACAAGAATCAGCAAACAATTTAGATACTTCGCTAATTCTTCTAATATTTTCGTTTCTGTCAGCCTCTGAAAAACCTAGATCTTTATTCAAACCAAATCTGATATTATCACCATCTAATCTGTAAGCAGCTAAGTTTTTTTGTAGAAGTAATTGTTCTAGTGCACATGCAACGGTACTCTTACCAGAGGCACTTAGACCAGTAAGCCAGATAGTGCAACCATGTTGTTTTCTTAGAGTCTTACGTTCGTCGTAACTCAAATTTGGATGCCAGGTAATGTTGGTAGCCATGATTTATATGCGTGTCAGGATTATACTTTAATTGGATATATTCTACAAAGAATATACAAATGTAGATATTTATATAAAGAACAAGATATTCAAAAAAAAAACAACCAGTAAATATTGCTAACCTCACTGGTATTGTTACATATATATATATATATATATATATATCTTGTAGTATGGGCACATCCATGACTTTCAATCTTACGAACTGTGTATGTGTGTCTCATTTTAAACAGAAAACAGACTTGTCATCCTTCTTTACGTTCCCTCACTCAGGCCCGTCCAGTTCGAATTAACTGTCGATATGTGTGGTGAACCAATGGACTCAAGTCACAACAGATGACTTTTGTTTTAACCTGGAAGTAAACGATAAAGTTTCGCAATGAATGAAATAAAGGAATAATGCCTTCTCAATGGCGATGGATCACGTGCTATTGCGTTTCGCGCTACTAAGAAAAATCGCAGAGGAGAAAATATCTATCTGATATATAAAAGACTGAGGACATTGTAGTTGCCCTCAGGATAATGAATATGGAAACTATTAAGTTAATTTTAAATGTTTTTCATTTTATTATAATCTTTTTACTAGTATATAAGTTCAAGAACTTTTCTTATTATTATTTTCTTGTGAACTTTATTAATGGGTTGAATACTTTTTGTTTATATTGCTGTTTCTCCTGATTACACGCTTGAAACAATTTGACTGGCGTTGTTCAATATTTCAACCATCCTCTTACATTCCTTTCTTCTTTGGATAGTGATATCGTTTTCTTTGGTTAGATCTTCGATATCTTGGTTACCGTATAACCTCTCTAGCAATACCTTTTGAATATCGGTCTTACTCTTGACAATCAACTTCAACATAATCGACTTTGGAATGATATCAGCAATGGTTCTCTTCACGATGTTGAAGTAACTGTTGATTAGTAGTTTAATGATCTCCGTCTCCATGTTTTCTCTCTCTGTCATTTGACCTGTAGCCTTCAACACCGGAGGTGGAGACTCTAGTGCAGCCAATTTCTTCTTGTTCTTACTACTGAAAAATCCACCAAAGAATCCAGATTTTTCATCCACGGAACCATTCATATTTTTGTTAACTGCAGTGTTAGTTGGTTGATTAGACAAAGGCTTACCAGTCTTTGGATCCACAGCGACTTGTGGAGTTGGGTGTAATTTTTCTTGGACCATAGCCATGGCTTGAGACCCCTTCAATAAATCAGGATGAGCTGTATTGATATATGTTTGCTCAGCCTCAATGATGTCAACAACAAACTGATTGGTTGGGATCATGGAACTCTTTAAGAAATCAATAAATTGATTAGAGATGGCATCTCTTAATGCTGGGTATCTAGAATACTTTGTTTGACTAACAATTTGTTTCAACATACGTACCAATTCATCAAACACCAAGTTAATCAAACGCACAGCAGGTTCTTCGAATCTTTTAATTTGTTGTTTAACCAGTACCTCAAAAGCTTCGGTACCGACAAACAGTGATGGTGCAGAACCAGAACTGTTATACATGATTGTTCTAATATCAGAATCCTTAATTTGATCAAATGGATCTAATGAATCAACACCATTCTTAAAGACTTCATGGAATACAAAAGAGATTCTAGCACCACCAGATAATTCTTGACTTGATATTTCTTTGGCTTCACCATCAAGGATACCATTATATTCATTGGAAAAATCAGTAATCATGCTTAACACGACAGAACTAGCAGAGTCCATAGTTTCTGGTCCCAAATTCATCAATTCTTGTTGGAATTTCTTCAAAGTAGCCTCGATCTTACCCTTAATATCAGGCAAAGTTTGTCTAATATGGTGTAAAAGAATTGAATTCAATTTCTTAGCCAAATATGGAGTACCACAGTATTGTGCTTTGGAACTATAAGAAGAATGGCTTTCGAAGAACTCCTTTTCATCTTTCAAAGCGTCTCTAATGGTCTTCTTATGTTCGATATCCTTTTGACCACGATTAATGACTGGGATGTAACCATATCTTAAAGGAATGACTCTACCAGCAAGGATATCAATAACATCAGTACCTTGGTCCATCAAATCAACTTTAGTTAGGACACCAATAGTTCTTGTACCTTCTGGGTCGACCTCTCTAGCAAGTTTCAACCCATCACTGTTGGCCAAATCGGTATTGGCAGCATTAACGGATAAGATTATAGCGTTTGGTTTAGAGATATATTTCAACAACATATCCTTAATTTGCTTCTCGATATCTACTGGTTGATCGCCGACTGGAACCTTAGTTAGACCTGGTAAATCAACCAAAGTTAAAGTTAGAACATGTGGGGAATAGATTCTCAAATTGATTGGTACGGAAGAGATACCGGAGTTTGCCCCAGTAACTTTATCAGTTTCCCTAACGATTTCTTGTCTGATCTCGTCGAAATTATAAAATTTCTTACCAGGTATATGTAAGAATTCACCCCATTCTTCTTTATTATCTTCGGATTGTCCATGTGGATGTTCAATTTCCTTTTTATTTTCAACTTTCTTCTCACCTGAGTTATCACTGATATCAAGGTCTAATAATTCGTTAGTCACTGAACCAGCGGAATCATTGGTCTTAGTGGTGTTACTGGAAGGGTTAGAGCCATGAGCTCTTCTATTAATCAATTGTAACACTAGAGGTCTTCTAGTGACAATACCCGTACCTCTAGGTAAAAAATCTCTTCCGACGATATTTTCTAGGACAGACGATTTACCAGAAGATTGTGAACCCACTACAGTAATCTGTGGCAAATCAATTGGTGACTGAGAACCACCACCTAATGGTGCTAATGCGTCTTGCAACTTGTTGATAGTAGAAATCAAATGTTCATCCATGGTGTTACAACTGTTATAGTGTATTCTTTTCTGAAAACAAAGATAGAAACCTTCTCGATTGTACAATTTCAGAAGTTTAAACTTACTTACTGTTCGCTCACTTCAAAGAATATATCGTCCGATTCCCCTTTAGGTAGCCATTATATATAGGGAATGTAATCAATCAGTCAATCAATCAATCAATCAAAGTTCGACCAGAATAGGGAAATTTCCAGTTTGAATTCCTCAAACAATTTTTGTTTTGCGAGGCGCACGCGATTTTGAGAGGGAGGGGGCCGACAATAGTCACTGTGTACGAGGTGTGTTCAACACAAAAGACGCAAGATATTCAATCAATATCTATACAGACACATTGGTGATGTATATATGTACATATATGATTCATTGTATCTGTTAACGTATGGTACATTAGACGTTTCTATAGTTTCCTTTGCCTTTAGTAACTTCATCGACGCATTTCCCTCTCTGTTGTTCTTCCACAAGTTGAAATTGTATGTTTTAAGCAGAACATTTAAAGAACTAAAATTTAAAGGACACACACTTAAAAGAAAATTCGTCAAGTTACAATTGGAAAGAAACAACAAAAAAGGGACACACCCAATACATCCAGTTTCAAAAGAGAAGGTACATCGAACTGAGAATACTTTTTAGAGCATACGCCGTCAAAAGTTGAAAAGAACAAAGTGTTGACAATTTTCTTTGATAGAGATACATACACACACACACACACAGATAAAACAATGAATTACCAAAAGGTTTATGGTATCACAGGTCCTGTCTCCGTGGCAGGTCCAACAGCCCCCGAGAATAAACTTAACGATGCATTGATTCAGGAGTTGAAGAAGGAAGGGTCCTTTGAATCGGAAGCCGATACTGCCAAGAGAGTACAGATTTTAAAGACGTTACAAGAATTGGCTCAAAAATTTGTCTATCAAGTTTCTAAGAATAAGAATATGTCTGACGGTATGGCTAAGGATGCAGGTGGTAAGATCTTTACGTTTGGTTCTTACAAGCTTGGTGTACACGGTCCAGGCAGTGATATCGATACATTGGTTGTGGTTCCAAAACATGTCTTGCGAGAAGATTTCTTCACGGTATTTGATGCCTTGTTAAGAGAAAGACCCGAATTAGATGAAATTGCACCTGTTCCAGATGCATTTGTCCCGGTTATTAAGATTAAATTCAGTGGTATCTCTATTGATTTATTATGTGCAAGACTTGACGTCGCTCAAGTACCTGTAACAATGACCTTGAGTGATAAGAACTTATTAAGAAACCTAGATGAAAAGGATTTGAGAGCTCTGAATGGTACGAGAGTCACTGATGAAATTTTGGAATTAGTACCAAAGACTAGTGTATTTAGAATCGCTTTGAGAGCCGTCAAAATATGGGCCAATAGACGTGGTATTTATGGTAATGTTTTTGGGTTTCCCGGGGGTGTTGCTTGGGCTATGTTAGTCGCTAGAATCTGTCAATTATATCCTAATGCTTGTTCCGCAGTGATACTAAACAGATTCTTTAAAATTTATTCAGAATGGAAATGGCCACAACCTGTGGTATTAAAGCCTATCGAGGATGGTCCTTTACAGGTCCGAGTTTGGAATCCCAAGATTTATGCACAGGACAGATCACATAGAATGCCAGTTATCACACCAGCTTATCCTTCTATGTGTGCTACCCACAATATCTCGGAATCTACTAAGAACGTTATATTAGGGGAATTCGATAGAGGTATAAAAATTACAAATGAGATCTTTTCAAATAAGAAAAATTGGAGTGATTTGTTTAATAAACATGATTTCTTTCACAAATATAAATTCTATTTAACTGTTGCGGTCACTACAAAAGGTGATGATGAACAGCATTTGAAATGGACAGGTCTAGTAGAAAGTAAATTGAGATTATTAATATTGAAACTAGAGGCACTTCCAGGAATTAATATTGCTCATCCCTTCCCTGCATTATTTGGGACAACATACATTTACAAAGATAATAAAGATGTTGAAAATATATTGCAGAATTATGGGTCTCATAAGACAGAAAATAGATTACAAAATCTTGTCAAGATAACGGACGACAATAAGGACGACGAATCTGTAAAGGATAAGCCTACAATGTATCTAACAACGATGTACATTGGTTTAGATGTTAACGTTGAGAACAAAAAGGAAAAAGTTGACATACATGTACCATGTGCTGAATACTTTAACCTTTGTCGTAATTTCAATGAAGAATTTCAAGATAATGATGTTTTCTCCCTAATTATTAGATATGTTAAACTCTATGATCTCCCTGATGAGGTTTATGATGAAAATGAAGCAAGGCCAATAAAGAAGAAGAGAAGCAAGAGGGCAAAGGGTGCGGAGGATGATAATGGTACAAAAAGACCAAAATCTGATGCAGGATCTATAGAATCGTCGTCGACAACTGCTATTGGTCAAACTGCAGCAGCCTAATTTTGGTCATATGATATTGAGTGTGAATCTGTTGAAGTTTTCTGATAGGAAAAGGATGACCATACATATTTCGTATAAATATGTACATAGATATTTATGTATAAATGCAACTTTCATAATAATCAAATATGATGACCCAATGGATATATGTAAATTAAACCATACTGTATGTTCAATAGAACGACAGAGCCAAATCAAATGGTTTCTAAAAACCTTTTCTTCCATCCATAATGCAAAAATAGGTTAGAAATAGTTAAATCATCTCTCTTGGACAATGGAATAATGGGATTCATATTTTTAAAACTGATAATACCTTGTTGATCCTCAAATTTTGATATTTGATCCAACCAGTACCTTCGTATATGATCAGCAAGGACTATCTTTGATGAATTCATAATTCTTGACAGGCATAGAAATACTGTCCAATCTTTTACTGATAGCGAATCTACATAAAGAATCAGATCCCTGACTATAGATTCAACACCTAGGTCAAGTGCTATAGGAGTTGATAAATTTATAGTGTCTGTATACACTTTAACATTTCCATCCAATTTATATCTTCTCAGTAAAAACTCATAATTGGTGAAATTAAACATATTATTTTCTAAGTGCTGGGATGTTATATACCCTAATGTATCCCAGCTCGAACAGTCGGAAACATGTTTAAAACAGAAGTCTTTTGTCATCTCAAATATATCTGTTTTCACCTTTAGGGAAGGTACGATATCGAAAAACCAACGAGCTGTATTCCAACAATAATAATTACATTTATGTAATTCTGCAGAATTCTTAAATGTGGATATCCAAAGTTTCGACAAAGTTTCCTCCAAAATAGAAGTATGTTGTTTGATTAATATGTATAACTTACGGTACCAATACCACAATGACGAAGACTTATTTAATGAATTTCGTGTTGATGTTAATAAACTCTGAATCATCAATAGTTCCCTAGTTAAAAAATCCTTTTTATCTGTCGAGTGTGATAATAATTTCAGCACACAATCTTCATGCAAATTCAGAAGCATCTTGTTCTCGGGTGTCGTAAGTAGATAGCCTATAGTCATATAGTATACATTCCAATCAATCGACTGTTCATTTGTATCGCCTAGATATTGGTTAAAGTACTTATGAGATTCTGTAAAAACTTTCAAGTACGTACTTTTGAAACATACCAATTCAATTGTTTGGTTCTGAGTATCCTTATTAAGGAAAAATAATTGGTCTTCAAATCCTGGTTGATCTGGTGAGAATTCTAGTTTAAATGATGAGCCGTCTTCCCATCTCGTTAGGTAATCATAGAGATTTTTACAATAAGGTAAACTTGGTCCATCCATTTGGCTCTCTTCCTTTTCTAAGGTACGTGGTAGATGATGTCCTAAGTTTTGAAATTTATATATCAGGACATGACTTATGATGAATAGTTTGGTATAGTTAAGGAATCATGCCAATGATTTTCACGAACTAGTGGAAAAAAAATTATAAATTATAAATCTGAAATATTTATGAATTAATTGAATTAATAATTTATAAACATATACATTTTTATAGCTGGTAAGAAAGATTTAAAGAGAGATATCGACATAAAAAGGAGAATATTTTATGACAAGGTAAGTCGGTCTTTATTTATGGAGGTAAATTGTTTCAATCAACGGTTAGGTTTTGCACCACTTCCTGTAGTATACCTCTTTTTTTAGTTAATTCATTAATACTATTAATTCTGTCTTCCCCATTTTGACATGCAACCTTGCTTTCTCTTCTGAATTGGATGCTATCTTCTGGGGCTGTACTATTAGCTTCAGAGAGTTGTAATGTAGAGAATAGCATTAGAGTACCAACTGTGAGAATAGAGAAAATGATTGCTGTTGGAACATATTTATCACCATAAGCCAAAGGAGCAAAAGATGTAGCTGGAATATATGGATTGGAATTATTGCTAATATTTGGCGATTTATTTGAGGAAATATCGAAAGTTAAATCTTGCTTGGTGATATCTAATTGCTCTCTTTTGTGATTCTTGCCAGAAATCTTTGGATTTTCTTCAACCTTTGGAAGGCTCTGTATTACATGCTTTCTTATTCCCTTTTTATAACTTTCTCCATCATCTGTTGAGTTGAATATTTTAAATTTGAAGCCATTATGCGGTTGTGACCCAGCAAACATTGGGTTTCCAACTACACCGGCTGGTGGATTTACTGTAACCGTAGCGGTGACGGTAGCTGTCGTAGTAAATGTTGTGGTCGAAAGTAATGTTACAGTACTAACTCTTGGTATCCATATCTTTTTAGTCTTTGTACTGGTAGTAGTTTCTGTATTTGTTTTAGTAACTAGATCAGTTAAGGTTATTGTTTTAAATTTCTTTTTAAATTTAAATATTTTTTCGGTTGTTGTAGATACTGAAGTTTGAGTCTTAGTCTTTATCTTGAACTTAGTCTCAGTTTCTGTAATATAATCTGTGTCATAATCTGTAATAGTCTTTTTGGCAATCTTAACTACTCTGGTTTTTTCATCGATTTCTGTCTCTGTCGTTGTAACAAAATCATGTTTATATTTTATTTGAGTAGCACCTTGGTAATACGACTCGGTTACAGTATCAAATATGTACTTGTATTTCGTCTTTGTCTTTTCATCAGTTTTTGTATCATATTCAGTAGCAGTTATGTAAGCTATAATTGTCTGGATATGATGTACTGTTTCTGTTTTAGTTAATGTATCAGTCTCAGTCTCAGTCTCCGTCTCAGTTTCAGTCTCAGTTTCAGTCTCAGTTTCAGTTTCAGTCTCTATTTTTGGTCCTAAAATAATCTTCTTTTCAGTGACTGTATCAACCTTTGTCTCTGTCTTTGTTTCTTTTCCAGTTGGAGTCAATGTCACAGTTGTTATCGATGTTGTTGTAGAAGTAGTTATTGTAGTTTCGGTTGCATTTGCTGTCAATGGTACAGTTTTAGTTTTAGTTTCTACCACAAGGAAAGATTTTTGTTCGGTTAAGGTTGAAATTGAAGTGTCTCTTTCTGTTTCTCTTACTGTTTCTCGTTCTGTTTCTCTTACTGTTTCTCTTTCAGTTTCAGTTTCAGTTTCTGTCTCTATCTGGGTTTCAGTTTCTGTCTCAGTCTCAGTTTCTATTTCAGTCTCAGTTTCTGTTTCAGTTTCTATCTCAGTTTTCGTCTTTCTCAATAATTTATATTTCTCAATATTGTCCAACTCATTTATCTCTGTCTTTGTACCTGGACTAGTTTTACTTTGCAAAACTGCTGTTGATGATGAAGGGTGTTCAAAATATGTAGTGGTTTCAGGTTCATAAATTTCGGTAATATGAGAAGTACTTTGAAGGTTAGAACAGCCACTAGACGAGGTCAAGCAATTCGAGGCCGATGTTTTATCTACAGGCCAATATTTGGTGAAAGCATTAGTTGATCTCGAGGTGACGATAGATATTGTGTCCTTAGTATATTTTGCCTTCTTTCTCCAATGAGGGATGAACCTCTTCCCTCTATGAATGCCGGCTTTCATATTTTTATGACCTGTTTGAAGCGTATACAGCAACGACTCAATGAGATGAGATTTTTCTTTTTTGGACAATGCTCTACATTGCAATTGAACTCTGTCTTGTTGTAAATGATCTCTCTTTGTTTTCAAATCTTCTTGTTCATTTTGTAATAATTGTGCAGGTGAAATATTTGGAAACGAATTTACTAAAGTCTGTAATCTGATAAAATGTTCCTTGTCGATATGAAGATCATCCAAACATTTTGTTGTTAATGCACTCATTGCACATTGAACACAGTAACAATTGTTAATCGTTTTAGGGTTGTTTTCATCTAAAACGACACATGAACTACAGAAATCAAATTGGGTTTCTAATTCCCTGGAGATACAATCATTCATTGTTTTTGTCTGTCAAAAATAAACTGTTAGTAACGTATTATTGAAATAGTAAAAAAATAATGTGATAGAAATCGATAACATACATATTCAGTCAGGAATGGTGACGTTGATTCTTTATCGAACCCTGGACAAAACTCTTCTTTCGATAATGTGTTGACATTTATATTTGCTCCGGACACAAATTTGTGACATTGGTAAAACAATAAAATTATCAATATCTTTAGGTGAGGAAGCATGGCGGTAACGAAGGTCGATGCTTGAATATTAAAATTAAGGTAAATAACACTCCTGATTAAGTTAAATAACTTATACTAAATATTATACGAATTTGTATAATATTGCGTTTATTCTTTAACTTTTGTGTTATTATTTGTTTAATTAATTAATTTTTATGGGGAAAAAATGAAACAAGAAATTTATGTGACACTTTGCCATATTGACGCCTAATGAGGAAAAAAGTTGTTAATATACAGATGAGTAGAAATATTCTTTTATATGTATTTACATGTTATTTGAATATACAAATTGTATAAGGTCTTTGTCAACTAGTCAATGGAAAATATGCACCTTAGTGGCATATATACAAAATATATATATATATGCAAGTATGACTTTGTTTGTTAAAAAAAGAAACATTTCATACTCTAATGAGATAATGTGACTACCTTAGTCCTTAACTTTCTTTTAATATTTTTTTCTTCTTTGGCTATGACTGTTTTGCACTTTCTATAGCATCGATCGTTATCTTGTTCTCAATTTCATTAACTTCGTTAACAAGTTTTTTGAACTTTTGTCTCTTTTCCTTAGCTGAGATATCAGGTACGATACGAATATTTGGTGCTTTGAATGAAGATTCGTTCAAATGAATAGCATTTGGTTCTGATTCCTTAAAACGTAAGGATTTCCCAGAGACAAATTCACTCAGATAATAATCTTTGAATGAGTTTGGAGAGGTCAATCTGGTAAATTGATAATCCGAAAGAATGAAACCAGATTTAGCTTGCAATAATTTCGTAAAATTGAATTTTTGAGTAATATCCGTAAACGATTCGGCCAATTTCTCATTAGAAACCTCTTTTAATTGTGTACCAAATGTCTCATTATAACTTTGAAGAATGATCGAATTTAATTTATCCTCCGTGGCTACTTTGTCCAAAGAAATCCATCTATTAAATGGCACGGTATCAAGTGGAATAACATTCCTCTTTTTATCATAAGTTCCAATAAAATTCTCAGGTTTCAACTCTAAAATATTTACATTTTCGTTTTTCTCAACTACATCTTTACCTGCTTCAATATCGCTCATAACTTCCTTAGTACTCTTTACTTTGGTTTTCTCCTTATTTTTATCTTTAAACCACGAGAAAAAATCGTTGCTAACAGCAGACGATTGTAATGATCTAGTCACCGTCTTTGAGCATTGAGTCGCAGGTAGATATGACGACATACGAGCTCCTGACGTTGCAATCAATCGAACACTAAACATCATAAGGCTATTTTCTTTGCTAATATATGAACAATGTTCCTTCTTGTACTACCTTCAAAGAGAACTAAATTAATAAATAAATGCAACTGCACCACTTTGATAGATTGTAGACTAGACTCTTCTTTAAAACAGCAACTTTTCCTTGTTTCAAGTTAGTTGTTTTGTCTTCCAAATTTCGTTTCTCTTCTAAATTCAATAATTTTTACCCTCTCGGCCTCTTTTCATTTTCCCATTTCCCAATAAGAAAAAACCAAAATGGCAATCGCAATGGGAACAGAAAGACTTTCGATATGATCTGAGAGGTTGAAGGGGACAGGACTTCATCAGTTGGACTTTTGACCCTTCAATCCTTTTAAACTTGGTGTATCTGACGTGTGCAATTCACATTAGGAAGAGGTCTATAGAGCGGTGCATTAACATTACGAACGTGCGACTAACTGAAAAGGATTATATAATCTATTGCGACAGAATTATTAAGAATGGGTTCAGTTCTAAGTTGTTGTAACAAAGGAAGTTCTGAAGAAGAAGATTCGCTATTAAGAGCACAACAGGCGGGGTATGGTTCCAACATCAATGATGGTGATGCAGACTCATATACGGCAGAACAACAGAGACTTCAAGACGAAGAACGAGTGGCTCAAGCCAGGGAAAATCAATTGAGAGATATTGTGAACGCTACAAACGATAAAATGATCGATATATCGATGATTACAAATAGTGGAATTGTAATACAGAGTAATGATCAGATAGACGAAGTGAGAAAATTTGCAGATAAGAATTCTGAGACCGGAGATGGTAACGACAATTATTTGGCACCTGTGAGTTCTAATCTTGCAGCTATTATGAGCAATAGCGGCAGCCTACATAATAATAATAATAATAATAACTATACATCACAAAATAGCACTCATAGTAGACCGTTGGATGACCAAATATTGGACGATATATCACACACAGGAGGAACTACTACCTCTGCATCAACAAAAGCCGTATTTGTAACATTAGACACCAATGGTCAAATGACGAAAGAGGATAAAGATAATTTAAAAGCCATGCATCAACAGATAAAGAAATCATTAGAAGATCAATTGAAAGTAGAACCGTTGGGTAGTCTGGTAATGACCTTCTAAGGGTGAAATATTTGAGATGACTACGTAAATTAGCCCTTCATATCATGTTCTACGACATATATAAACTTTCACGAACAGAAAAAATAACGAAAATAAAGAAAATATAATAATCGATATATTTACATACATATTAAATAAAACAAAACAAACTAAATAACTCGACAGAGAGACGATTTTTATAGAGAAACTGTCTGTATAACGATTATAGTTTGCAAATATCGATTTTCTTTTTTCAGCTTGAATTGGAGTTCTATCATCGTTACCTCATAGTGAAAGAATTACAGAGAAAAAATGCCTCCAAAGAAAAGAAAGATCGAAGAAGATTCTACTAGTGAACCACCAAAATATGTAGCTGGTAAAGTGGCGAGACATGGAGCTAATCCTCCTATTGATTATTCAGATCCTTTAAAACCAGATTCCGAATTGTATAGAGACGATTGGTCCATCTCTAGATTTAATTTGTTTGTCACATACACGTTAGATCATTTGAGGGAAACATATCCAACAATTTTCAAAGATTTTATTAAGTTACCAAGTAGAAAATTTCATCCTCAGTACTATTACAAAGTTGATCAACCTATCTCCATTAATGAAATCAAGAACAGAGACTATGAATATGCGGATGGTACTAGAAATTTTCTATTAGATGTAGAACTGTTAGCGAAGAATTGTGCCTCTTACAATGAAGAAGATAGTTTAATCGTAAAAAATTCTTATCAGATGGTTAATTATATTCAGTATGAGGCATTGAAGGCTAAAAATGTTGAAAGAAACTATGTCATCAATGATACTATTAAAACTAGATTACTTTCCCTTTTAGAGACTCTCATTGAGGCAACAGCTAAGAAAATATATGATACTATTCCTGATTTAAAGGTAAATTTACAAGATTCTGAGAATGATGATTTTCAAATGAGTGAACCCTTCATGGAACTTGTTGATAAAGAAGAACTACCGGAATATTATGAAGTTATTCATAGACCAACTGCGCTAAATATAATTAAGACGAATTTAGAAAATGGTCAGTACTCAAAAATTTATGATTTTATCACAGAAGTAAATCTGGTATTCGATAATGCATTTGTGTTTAATAACTCGACCTCTTTAATCTATCAATCAGCAAAGGCACTTTTAGAATATTTCACGTTCACATCTTTAATTATGTTCAATGAACTGAAAGATTTGAAAGATCATGGTGAGTTATCTTTAGATATTGAAAAAAATGAATACGAAAAATATTTAGGGGATCGTAAAGTTGACGAAAGACATGTAATCCATGAAGAATCTGATGATGATTTTGATGATTTCAACCATGTAGAGGGATTGGGAAATGGTTATACACGTAATATATTAACTGAGGATTATTTACTTGGTCCAGACCGTGTCGAATCTATGAAGTCGAAATTTTCTGTTTCGAACCAAACACCATCTTTAATTGAAAAGGTTAATAAGCATGTAGAGACCCCTAAATTTAATATTCTAAAATCTTTAAAGAATGAATCTGAATCTGTTTCGGAACAATTCAAAAAGGATAAGAAAATATATGAACTAATAGAAGAAATATCGATTTTTTCATCGAAAGGTTTGTATACACAAGGGATAAATCCAATGCAAGGGTCGAAACCCTCATCTACACAGAATTGGTTGGAATTTAATTTTATTGGTAAGAAATTAAACCAAAATGAAAATACATTCACAATTTCGCTTGATCCAATTCAAACTTTCTTAACACTTGTGGCTAAAATTGGTACTTCAAATCTAGAATCGACGTTACGTTTAAATAATGATATCATAAAACCTAGAGTGGAGAATAAGAAACACCAACCTACGATACACCTAAATACCAACTCTGGTAGTCCCTCCGTGCAAGATGAAAAGAATGATAATATAAATGATACAGAAATACACACAGAAAATTTTGATATTCGTTTGAACGAAGGGCTAAATCTATTGGAGTTTAGTTGCGAAACTAAAAATGGTGAAGTTGAAAATAATAATGTCTTGTCTAAAGAAACTATGAAATTCTGGATTAATGTCTTCCCATAATAATAGGGGAAGTAGAGAAACAGGATCCAAAATTCAAATATAGAAATATTTAAAGTGTAATTTTAATAAATAAAAATAATAATAAAAATAATAATAAAAATAATTAATGATCTAGGAATCAGGAAATGATAGAATATTTTTACCTAATCATAATCCATAACAATTTGCAAGTGATCATCATAATTGCTAAGGAATTATGATGGGATATATAAATAATAACAAATTTAATGTGCGTAACATTTATAATCATTTTAAAGTAGTTCAAAAATAAGAATATGATATTATCTTCAAAATAATGTCATTGAACATTGTTAGACATCACTTTCCATTGTTCCTTCCTAGAATGGGATAAAGGTTGTTAATTGGTGTGCTCTATACACTAACAGTATAAAAAATAAAAGAGATCTCCATGTTGATGTGATTCTCATCTGAAGCTGTGGCCTTGGTATGATTGAAATTTTGGTTTACGATTTTATTTGGCAAATAAAAAAATTCAAAAATAAAACGACCTCGGTGAGGATTGAACTCACGATCTTGCGATTAACAGTCGCACGCCTTAACCAGCTTGGCCACGAAGTCTACTTTTTTGAAAAACTCGAAAAATAGTGGTCCTTAAAACTAAGATGAAATTTCCATTTTGAAATTTTAAAATTGGTTATCATTAATTCAGTTAAGAAGTTAATACAATTTTAAGAATCACATTCTAAAATATATCTAACTTAAATTTATTTAAAATAAAAAGTTTAAGTTTTATCCCTTTGTTAGAGACAAATATTAGCAACTTTTCAATTATGAAATATTTTTTACTATCATATGATTTTAGTGGAATATTCCATGGGACAAGGTTTTAGTTACTATAAGTCGATTCCTAAGACTTGTTTTTGATTTAGATGTTGGTTTGTAAGATTGAAAAAAGGTGTTCTTTAATAACGGTATATTAAACATCATAAAAGTGGCACTAGTTTTACATCTGTTTGTATAAATATTAACTACAATAACTAATTTAACTATATTTCAAGTTTTTACCGCAACAGTATAGTATTCAGAGTAATAGAAAAAAATTCACGTCCATTCTGTGACAACGTTCTTCCTCCCCTGTCAACGCACCAGAACAATTACACTCATCAAGGAAGCCAGGTAACACTGGTATCAGCTGTCCATACTCTATCACCACCTCCATCAAGATGCATACAAGCCTTCTAAGTCACCCTTCGATGTCTTGCTTCTTCTTTCATAACTAAGAAAGTATGGTTTGAGCCCTTTGCCATTAACTCCGTAAAAGCAGATTTTGTATGTAATTTTTCGCTCTGCGATGCCCACAGCCAATCACATCGCGGAACGGCGCATTGCTCTCTACCCACTAAAATTTCGTGATGCCCCCTTCTTCTTCTGCTAATACCTAAGGGCAAAACGAGTTTGAAAATGTCAGGGATTGTTATCATTACTAAATATATAAAACGATGCTTAACGTATACGTATCAATCATTTTTACAATATTCGTTTATTTTCATTGACTTTTAAATTCATCAAGAGTTTAAGTATACAAATTAGTTACACTATCTCATTATAAAATAACACAAATCACACTATCATTATCATGGTTGCAGTATGTAGCACACATTGAGTTTCCTATTCCGTTGTAGTTTGCATTTTTACTAACAAGTATTTTATTTCCCACACCTCATTGGCTCGATAAGAAAGAAGGTTTCTTTGTTTCTTTTCACACAATCACAGTATGGCAATACATATATTTACAGTACACATCAGGCCTACGTTTCAAAGTACTACCTCATCTAGGTAGAATCAACATGAAGAATTTAATGTCATACACTCCAAACTTAATGCTTTGGGGTGGTGCCTCATTGGTAGGTGCTCTAGTCTTCGTAGAAGGATGGCCATTATTTCAAAGAACTCTGTTTAGTAAGATTCCTATACTAGGTGCTAACTGGCAAAAGGAGATTCCTGCAGAAGATAGACCAAATTAAAGAAAAGAAAACCATTTATATACTCAATTCATCAAGTCACTCACTAATAATAGTACCTATTTTTTACGCTATAAAACACATTTATATATATATATATATATTCCATTATCAATAAATTGAAAGATTACGAGAACTATGTTATGTATGACACGCACATCGATAGTAAATGTTTAAAAAGACTTCCTATATATTAATAATATTTTAAATAAAAAAGAGAATATAAAAAGAGTGAAGAAAGGGATGTGAAAGATTAATTGCTTATAATTTGGCTTTGTCAATCAATTTCAATGCACAGTTGTCTAAGACAACGACATCTCTGTCCAAGTCAACAGCCTGGAATACAACGATGTTTCCATTCTTCCAAGCTCTGACTTTCAACTTATTACCAGGGAACATAACGTTGGTGAAACGGACCTTCATTTCATCATAAGGACCATATTTCTCATAAAGTGCTTTACCTGCAATACCCATAGTGCATAAGCCATGTAGGATAGGTTTAGGGAATCTTACAGATTTAGCTACAACGGGGTCGATGTGTAATGGGTTAAAATCACCAGAGAGTCTATACAACGCTGCTTGATCCTTATCGGTGCTAACATCAGTTTCAAAATCAGGTGTTGTAGTGGTTGGTGCCTTAAAATTTTGAGTTGCAAAGGGTGCTCTCTTGTTCATAACTTGTTTTGAAGATGGAACTTTAGCACCTCTAATGAAAAAAGTTCCTTCATTGTAAGCAAACAATTTTTTGGTCTTAACATCATAAGTTTCAAACCCACCAACAATAATGGCAGCTTTATCTCCCTTTCCAACCACTTGTAATGGTTTAGCAACTGTTTTTAATTGACCTTTTGTTGGTAGCTTGGTTGACCCCAATTTGAAATATTGTTCTCCATGTAACAACATAGCATAATTAAAATTATCAACTAAGGATTCCATATCCAATGTCATTGTAGATTGCATATATGGAATAACAGCATAAGTTGGTAACACTTGAAACTTGGAGTCATTTTCATACACATATTGTAATTCATTACTCTTAGCACCTAAACCTAGATTGTACAAGATACAATCCTTGTCTTTGTAAGTGAATCCACCAGGTTCGTTAAAAGAAACGTCATTTTTACCAGAGGTGGAAGAAGAAGAGGAAGAACCTTGTGTGGCAATAGCTCTTTGTACTCTTTGTAAGATGGCCATTGAGGATTCATTAGTGGATTGAGGATGAATGGATTTACCATTTGAAAATTTTGTAATTTCTGACCAATTTTCTTTAATCATTTCTGGAGTAACTTCACTACTCAATGCTACATAACCTGAACTTCTTTCCCATCTTGTTTGACCACACCATCCACCACCAACTTCGAATAATTGACCAGTAACACCATCTTTAGACTTTACATGAGATTGTAATTCATCAGAAGCTAATAATACTACAAGAGGAGACACTTGTGATGGTTCGAAATGATTCTTTAATTCCTTTTCACCAAAGATTGTCTTTGTCATTGCTGTTTCTGCATGAGGTGCAATAATATTGACTTTAATACCTCTTTTAAAACCTTCGACTGCTAATGTTTTAGAGAAACCTAAGATTGCAGCTTTAGCCGCAGCATAATTAGCTTGACCAAAATTACCATAAATACCAGATGTCGAAGTAGTATTAATAATAAACCCATTCTTTTGTTGAGTGAAAATTGGCCAAACAGCCTTTGTCATTGTAAAAGTTGCTAATAAATGAACTTGTAGGACAGATTCCCATTCAGAATCTGTCATCTTGACAAATGATCTATCTCTTAAGATACCTGCATTATTAATTAATATATCAATACGACCGAAATTTTTCATTGCATTTTCAATAATTTGTTGTGATTCAGTTATAATATTATGAGTATCACTAATTGCAGTATGATTACCAAATTTGGAATTAATTTCGTTGACTATAACCTGTGGATCCTTAATATCATTAATAACAATTTTAGCACCATATTGAGCAAACCATGTAGCATGTGATTTACCAAGTCCACCACCTGCCCCTGTAATAATGACAACTTTTCCCTTTAAAGAATTAATTTTAATTGAACCTTGATCATTTTCCTTTGGTAAAATTTTTGCTTTACCAATCAAATCATTATAATCAGATAATTGCAAAGGATGTTGAGTCTTATTAAATGATTTATCTTTATAATCAATAATATCTGACCATTTATTTAATATAGCTTCAGGTGTGAAAAATTTTGAATCTTCTGGATTAAAAATTTGTCCCGAAGATCTTTCCCATCTAATTTGTCCATAAAATCCAGCTGCTAATTCAAAGATTGAATGAGTCACTTTAGTATCTTGATGAGTTAAATATAATACTAAAGGAACAATTTTTTCTGGACCTAATTGTTTTAAAATATGAGCTGGTAAAACGTTTTCTGTCATTCTTGATCTTGCTAAAGGAGCAATTGAATTAACGAAAATATTATATTTATAACCCTCTTTAGCTAAAGTTTCAGCAAACCCAACCAAACCTAATTTTGCAGCAGAATAATTAGCTTGACCGAAATTTCCAAATAAACCAGCAGGTGAACAAGTATTAATAATCCTACCAAATTTTTGTTCACGCATATAAGGCCATGCTGCTTTAGTGATTTTATAAGCACCATTTAAATGAACATCAATAACAGATTGAAACTCTTGTAATGTCATTTTTGCAATAGAGACATCTCTTAATATACCTGCGTTATTAATTAAGATATCAATACGACCAAAATTATCTACAGCTGTCTTAATAATATTTGATGCATTATCTGTAACAGAATCATAATTTGCAACAGCAATGCCACCAAGATCTTTAATTTCTTTAACGACTAAATCTGCTGCTTTAGCGTCATGACCTGAACCTTTCAAAGTACCACCTAAATCATTAATAACAACTTTTGCACCACGTTTAGCATATTCTAAAGCGTAAGCTTTACCTAGTCCACCTCCTGAGCCAGTAATTACAACAACTTTATCCTTAAAGGAAAGAATATCTGACATTATTGTATGTTTGATTTGTTAGAAGTATTCTAAGTAAACTAAATATACAGAAATATAGTGTAAGTAGAATCCTCTCAATCCCCAAAATACATATATCTATATATTAGGTTCCATCTCGTCTTTATATATCCCCAGATTTCCCAACTTTCTTGTATCTTCTTTACCCCAATATTTCACTAATTGACTGTTTGTTCTTTTTTTACTCCAATGTTCCCCATTTTTTAAACAAAATTTAGCCGCCCGGACTCTCGCCCACCACTCCCCGCACGGCTTATGGCTTCTTAACACCGACACACTCCATTCTCCACCGCAAAGGGCAAAACGATCTATTATTTCCTTCAATTGATATATATATAAGGAACGTTTGGGACTTGGGACTTGGGAATTGGGACTTGGGACTTGGATATTTCAAACGTAGATGTTTAGTTGTTTAGTTGTTTAGTTGTTTAGTTGTCGTTGTCGTTGTCGTTGTCGTTAAGTACATAGGATATAAATATATATACTTACATACGTGTATCCAAAGGAATTACTCTGGAATAGTTAAGTTCTTCAAATATATGTGGGGTGATATCATCTTTTACGTTTGTTTATTCAGAAATGGTAGATAGTGTAATTTCAACATAGCTACTAAAATTTATAATTTGTAAGATTTGAGTAAGATTTGGTTCTATATATTGAGAATCCATACATATATATATTATCTTTACTGAAATCTAATATTCTCGTATTTCGTAATCTACCATCTTGCTGAGATATTTAACACCTTTGAAAATATTAGATGGCAGCGAAGAACGTGGTTGTTTAATAACATCAATAGAATTCACTTTGATACCAGAGACGGATTGACCCTCATGTTCATATTTGACATTTATAGTTTGTAATGTCATCGTATGCTTATTGACTATCTGTTCTAGTCCTTCTTTCTCATCAGTACTGTTTCTTTCCTTTTGGAGATTATCATTATCGTCGTTCTCTATACAGCCTCTCAGAATTGCAATGGTACCCGTTGGTGTATTGACATCAAAAATCCAATTCCCTCTTACAGAATCAATATCATGAGAAAATCGTCCATGAGTATTCCGAATTATTTTAATCTTCCCTGAATGTTCATTTGGTTCCGTTCTTTCTTCATGAATTTGTGACTCAAAGAATTGTAAATCAACTATTAAATTCTTAACCTTTTCAACTTTTGAAGATCCACTAATATTAACAGTAATTTCAAATTCATCCTCATTTCGACCTAAATTATTTTCAAAATTTATACTAATTAATCCGAAATTGTTATTGCTTTGCTGTTTTGAATTTAATCCAATACTATATTCCATTAAATTAAATTTCCCATCAGGTGGAAGAAATTTCACTTTTGTATTTAATAACTTCTTATCCTCATTATCACTCATATAATCTTCACAATTAACACAATCATAAAACCGGGGTATCCCTAAATCACAGCCATTATTATTCAAATTAAGCTCAACAACAGGTGTGCCATTCAATAGACTGTTACCTTTGATATATCCATGTATATTACCATGAACCAATTGCATTCGGGAATCATTTATAGAGCTATTAATATACCCTTGACTTAATGACGTTGTGGTACCGCCCCTTTTGGCATGTCTATGTCTCTTTTGATACACCAATTGAACAGTTTCTTCAAAATCTAAATAGATCTCTTCCTTTGCATGTTGTCCGATCTTAGTACTTCTCCATGGAACGATCTCTTCATTACCAATAGTTGATGATGATGATGATAATGATGATGATGGATTATTAAACATTCTTCCATTGTAGGATCCTCTATTTCTCGACGTAGCAGAAGTAACAGCAGTGTTACTAACAACATTGCCAAGATTTTTCGCTGTGGAATGTATAAATTTGGTTAGATCGTTCTGTAATGGAATCACATCTTTAATTCTATTCGAGTATAAATTTCCTGCCATCTGTGGTTCACCATCATCGATTATATAATTGAAAATCATCGTTAATCGATCATAATTGTTGGTAAGTTTCTTAACAGTCAATGCATCCTTATCAAAATATTCCATCAAGATATTATCAATAGTCTCCAAGAGTACAAATGAATCCATAATCGAGACTTTTTCATTTTTTTGATCAGATATCAAGCACCAGTAATTTAAATTATTTATATCAGAATGATATTTCGATGCCTTCAAATATTTGCCTATCTTCACCTCATTTTGCAACGTCAGGTCACTCTCTGCCGTCACCGATTTAATCTTCACCCACAGATCACTGAAAGTTGGTGCACTGGCACTTGGTAAATATTGGAATATCAGTCCATTCTTGGAATCAGTAATATAAAACGATATATACATATCCAGTTCGCTACTCTCACTTTTTTATTTCTATTTTTCCTAATTTCAATTCACTAACCACCAATGCTGCAATGCCTCAAGTGTACCCACTAACTTCCCTAATAACTTACTCTCCAATCAGACTGTCTTCACAACATTCTTCTGTCTCTCTCGTTAAATATCCCAGCCCCAAATCTTCATGTCACCAAAAACTGCGAAATTTCACTTTTTTTTAAATATTTTTTAGTTTTCAAAGGCGAAGAAAGAGAGACGAACTATACAAAAAATAGAACAAGAAGAAGTAAACAAATTAACAATAAACGGTTATTGCAAAGGGAAACATTAGAGCTCAGATCCCTTATACGTTGGAAAGAAACAGCAGGAAACACAGTGACCCACATTTATTCCTTTTTGCAGTATATACCTCAAAGTGACCATAGTTGTTCTGGAGACGTCCGTTTAGTTACGAGGGACAATTGAATAGTGAAATATACAATTTATAAAAACGTCTTTTTGTTAAGATACCAAACTCCGTATATAATTTGTTTTGTTTAAACATTTCGAATCATGAACAATAACAGTAACCAGGACGGTATACGTGACGTACCGACCGATGGTAGCATTCAAAGTACAGATAGCAACAACAATTTTAATGAACATAACGCGCCACCAAATAGAAACACTAATAGCAATATTACTAATGACCAAAATAATATGCGTAATGTGTTCAGCAATATAGGTACTCCATCGTTCAGTTTTTCTCAGATACCACAACATGTATTACAATCGTTAACACCACAACAACTGAGGATGATTCAACAAAGACATCAACAATTGTTGTTAAGTAGAATTCAACAACAACAACAAATGCAACAACAAAATAATGCTAATGTAGGGCAACAAAATATAAACGATAACGCTACTGCAAATAGTAGCCGTAACAGTAACAACAACAACAACAATACTGCTACTAATAATAATGTACGTGCAGCTAGCTCAGGAATGAATCAAATGGATGCGCAGCAACCACAATCACAACAGTTGCCACCACAAGCACAAGCACAAGCACAAGCACAAGCACAAGCACATGCACAAGCTCAAGCTCAAGCACAAGCACAAGCACAAGCACAAGCACAAGCACAAGCACAAGCACAAGCACAAGCACATGCACAAGCTCAAGCACAAGCACAAGCACAAGCACATGCACAAGCTCAAGCTCAAGCACAAGCACAAGCACAAGCACAAGCACAAGCACAATCACAATCACAACAAACCCCACAAAATAACAATCCTATAAATTCACAACAACCAGGTATGATCAACCTGCCACCTCAGATAGCTCAATTGGCATTGCCAGCCCAAATACAGGTTTTAAATACATTAAAACAGCAAGCAGTGTTGAAGGAAAACCCTGCTGCAGTTACTACTATCACAATGGCACTTCAACAAGTCCAACAACGTTATCAACAACAATTGGAACAAGGAGATTCTATGATGCAAGGAAACATGCCTAGCGCAGGTCAATCCATGAGTAACTCTCCTATGAATGTTCCTGCTCCTCAAAAGAGCGCACCAGCAGCTAAGCAGACTGCAACGAAAAGGAAACCAGCTCAGAAAAAGGCAAATGCAGCTACGTCACATGGAAAGGGTACAAATTCCCAATCTACAGCAGCTACCAAGAAAGCAGCATCTACTGAGACTCAAAAACCTAAAAGGAAGACAAAACCGAAAACACCGAAAACTCCAGCAAATATACAAGCTCCAGCACCTACTGTTGTCGGAGAAACATCACAAATGAATTTACAAATGCCGTTACCTGAATTAGAACTTCCAAAACTTGAGCTTCCTAAGTTTCAAACCATTAAGTATGATCCGAAGGAATCGAAATTACCCACTACTGATTATTGGTCTTCAAAAAGTGATAACCCATCTACTGACACTTTACTGTACGAACAAATAATTAAACGTGATGAACGATTTAAAGAGGATCACAGGAAGGAAAGTCAAGGGTATGAACCATTTAGCATATATGGATTCAGCAATAAAGAATATATTGCCAAACAGTTCCATATATTAAAATACTACCAGGATTTAAAGAATACAAGAATGCAAAGTATTACTTTGACTTCAAAAAATATTCCTGCTGCAAGTATATGGGGTACTGGTTATGCAGGTTACGGTAATGGTAACACAAATGAAGTGACCAATATTATTCCTGAATATATACCTAAAGGGATGCGTAAGAATGTGTTATTTGATGATGAAATTGTCTACAAGGATGCTATGTCTGATAATGACTACAATACAAGAGATCAACTTGTCCCAATTAGACTAGAGTTTGATCAAGAGAGAGATAAGTTCTTCTTAAGAGATACGCTTTTGTGGAACAAGAATGATAAACTTGTCAATATCAATGAGTTTGTGAAAGACATGCTAATGGATTACAGATTTGATGAATCTTATGTCAAATCACTAACACATACTATATCACGTTCAATTAAGGACCAAATTTTGAAGTTCCAACCAAATCCATATATTGAATTGAATCAATATCGTGTTGGCGGTGATGATCTTAGAATAAAGATCAAACTCGACATTGTTGTGGGGCAAAATCAATTAATCGATCAATTTGAATGGGATATATCCAATACAGAAAATGATGCTGAAGAATTCGCTGAAAATATGTGCCAAGAATTACAATTACCTGGAGAATTTCAAACTGCTATCTCGCACTCCATAAGAGAACAAGTACATATGTATCATAAATCGTTAGCATTATTAGGTTATACATTTGATGGTCAAGCTGTTGAAGACGATGACATCAGAAGTAGATTAGTTTCGGTGATAACATTGGACGATATCTTTAGACCTCAAAGTGAGACTAAAATCTACACCCCTAACTTGCTTCAAATCTCTGCTGCTGAGTTAGAGAGATTAGACAAGGATAAAGACAGAGACACAAGACGTAAGAGAAGACAAGGCCGGTTCAATAGACGTGGGTTTGGATTGATCACTGCCAATAGCAATGCAAACCTTGCGGGTGAAAGCGTGGGTGGATCTACAGGTTTACTAAGTAACAGTAAAGCTAACGTACCTGGGAGTGCTTCTGGGATTAGTAATGGTGCCGCAGGGGCAACAGATATTCCATTACCTGATCTTTCTGATCTACCAAGAACATTCCGCACACCTATACCGACCACTCTACTACCGGGTGGTGTGGACTTTGGTCCATCTGTGAATTCGTATGATTTAGATACAACAATAGAATATAAACCAAGACCTGCTGGTCCTAAACCACCTCCACCTCCATGCTTTATCATTGACAACATACCTGGTAAATCATTGCTTCTTTGCATAAAAATGAAGAAGAAAGAGACTGAAACAAAAATGCTGCCCGAATCATCGATAAATGTGAATAACGGTCCACAGCAGATGAAAAGAGTAGGATCATCAGAAACAAAGATGTCTAACCCATCAATCGTCGCAACAAATACCATTAGTTCCATCTCAGAAAATTTATCAGACCAGACGGCTAACTTACCGCAGGACCCTAACCAAATCACATAATATCCCACCTTTTGGAGATGTTCCACATAAATAAATTTAATAAATATAGATACATACAGACATATAAGTATATACAGTATTGTATAGTTGTAATAAAAACCAATACCATCCTTAGTTCTGATTTAAATGTCAACCGTTCGTCTTAAGGACAGATCACCACAAACGACGTTTCATTATGTATTGTAAATTTGACACAGAGGGAGAAAGAGCGAAATGAGGGAAACCTCCGCGAGAGGTAAATATTTGTTTCTTAGCTAAATAATAATAGCTGAATGTACATTGAAAGAACAATTGGATTTTACATGCAAAAGAGCTTTATTTTGGATATTAAACCTCAGTAAGGCACGGTTCTCTAACAAGCAATATACGGAGATTATTATTAGTACAATATAAATATACGTATACTTCCTTTTGGTGTTATCAACATCATTCCAGGCTTAGCCATCAGAAAATTATTACACCGATCTCGAAACCAAACAAATAATTTGGTTATCGCAAGATAAATAAAATCAAGAACTGAAACAAAAGGAGACAATGCCTGAGGAAATCCATAATAATGATATTACTGCTAGTTTGCATGAGGAGGCGACTCGTGTATCTACCGGGGAGCCAACAACATCGATCCATGTTGCAGAACCCAATACTGCCATTGATGATATTGAATTAGAGGACCATAACGATATTGATAGAGATTTAGAGATGAATCAACCAGAAGATGCAGAAAATCATGCATCGGCTGCTCAAGATGGTCTGCTGCCACCACAATTTAGAGAAAGGGCAGCAAGACAAATAGACAACATTGGTAGACATTTTAATATATTAGACAGAGTGTTTAGAAGACGACCTGAAGGTGAATCGACACTAGCTGGTATAGCATCTAGTTTTGACGGTGTTTTTAGTAACTTAACAGCTAAACCGGATACCAACGAAGATGAAAGAAATGCTCAAAATGATGCTTTACCATCTTATGACGAAGCTGCAGCAGATAATGTTCCTTCTTACTATGGGATGGATTTGAGTAACTCTGACATGTACGTTGATGAAATTTGTATTGAGGGCTTACCAGTAGGTAATGCAGCCAATTTATTTTGGAATATCATTGTCAGTACGAGTTTCCAATTTGTCGGATTCCTAATTACATATATTTTGCATACATCACATGCTGCTAAACAAGGGTCAAGATTTGGACTAGGCCTAACGTTTATAGGGTATGCTTATTCTATGATCCCCAACAACGTGACCTCTAAAATCGGTAAATACAAGACAATTGACAGGTATCAATTAACCAATCCTAATTCATATGATAATTTAGAGATCGATTCAGATTCTGTGACACAAGATCAATTTGAATCTAGCCTAAATCATGGTTTTGAAGAAGAAAAACAGAGTTTACCTACATTAGCTGTGCTCATCGGTATACTGGGAGCATTTATTACCATCAAAAGTTTTGTCGATTATATCAAGGTGAAAAGAATGGAACGTACATATGCTTCACAAGATAGATTTTAATGAATAGGGAACGAGAGTACAGCATTTCATATACACACACATATATATATATACCACATACACATACATTCCTACACATACATATATATATAAACATCCAAACACATGGCATACTTGTAGGAAAGTAAAGGAATAAATTACGATACTATTTTATCTTTTTTGACTTATATATAAAAGAGTCTCATCTAGTACTTAAGCAGTCTTTTCTCAATGAATTTATTCTATTAATTGTTTATACCAAAATTATACATATCTACATATGAATATCTATCTTTTTTCTTTTTCTTTCATTTAACCTAATAAAACTAATACGTTTTCATAAATGGTGAAAACAATACCACCACTCAACACTAATCTACCTAGTCTTGGTGTGGCACCCTTCCAGAATGCCTTTAACCCTTCCTCTTTAAATATTGTAGTAAAACAATTTACTGTGGAGGAATATTTAGAAGCTGTCAAACTTTGCATTCTAGTCTTAACAGTATCAATTGGCATTGTACTATAAACAGTGACAATACCACTGAATGCACCAACAATAAAAGTCATACCCGATGACAGTGGCTTATCCTTTGGAGCATTGGTGATTTCCTGAATAGAAGTCTTAATCTTATTATAACAACCCAATCTAACAGCTTGGTTAGCAGCTTGTCTCATGGAAACAGGAATAACAGCACCATACAAACCCCTCACCCCAAGGTCACTGACTAATTTAGAGTAATTTCTTACTGCGCTATAACCGTTTCTTTGATATAACGGTTTGGCAGATTGTCTGTCATCAATCAAAGCGGTCTTAACAGCCTCGAAGGGAGTCACAGCAACCACACTTTCCAGAAGACCTGCACCTAGACCTGCAACCACACCTCTAACACCACTGACTTCACCAGTGACAGGATCTCTTAGTAAGTTCTTGATAGCATCAAAACCTAAGAATCTAATACCAGCTTTAGCAGTGTTACCTACAATAAAAGCAGGACAACCAACATATATGGCACCGGTACCTTGTGTTTTGGCTGTGTTGTATATTAAAGTCAATGGATTTCTAGAAACCTTAGAATTTTTATCGATCAATTGTAAACGAGTCTTCGCAAACTCAAATGGATACGTTATACATGCTTCAATGGCACCTGCCAAAGAACCAGCTATGAATGATTTTCTCGGATCTACTTTCTTGACCTCAACTTTGGTAGACATTTTTACTGATCTGTATTTATATAATCTTTTAAATGATGAAGTTTTGAAGAATTCACCAAATAAAATAAACAAGAGAGCAAAAAAATTACAAAATTCGTTTGCCTTTGACTTTGCCAATTTATATATAATCCAAGAGGTATCTCAAGATCAGTCATTTAAACTGGTTTTGGTCGACTAAAAAAAACTGTAAGAGATGACTAAACTTTGAACAATACAAATCCCATTGAAATTTTTCACTTCTTTTCGCGATGGCATTTCGCAGTTGAAACAAAATTCCGTCGGGAAATCCCTTTGCGTTATATAATGAATAGAGACGATCAGAGAGCAGAGGAGCAATATTTGATTGATGCCTCATCTGAAACTTTGGAATGATATACAGAATCATAGATGTGGAAAGTGCCATTTACCATTTTAACACATTGGTGTTGTTTATTTCATTGGTAATTAAACTATGACAAATGGCTACTTTCTCACCTCAAGTATGTGTCAATAAATAAAAAAATTAGGATCGCATGAACTTAGTCGATTGGCTTTAATACAGTACAATTTTTTTTTTAATTTGTATATAAATGGTATTTATTTATCTAAATTGAGAGTAGTATTCCTCTTCACCGAATCTCTTGTTAACCAGAGCCAGCACTTCAGGAGAATAAACGTCCTCCAATCTTTCTCCACCATTCAACACACGTTTTTCATGTTCCTTCTGTTCTTCTAGAGTGACAAGTACCACATTTTGTAGATTCAACGGTTTCTTTGGATCCCATTTCGTCAATGCTAGTTTTGTAGAGTAGCCACTCACCGGGGATTTCCCTCTGAAGACCTCCACTACAATATAACCTATATCAGACAAAGCAATTGGAATACGTTGATCTTTCTTACCAAGACGAGACATTTGAGCAGCCAACGATTGTAAAATACCGTCGTATACCTTGATTCTATTCTTACCCTCGATAGGATTCATTGGATAACCCGAGACTTTAGTCAAGATATAAGTGACAATAGTTAAACCAAAGATTGCAGGCATAGTTCCTAACACAGGCAAGATTCTAACACGGAAATCTCTTAGAGCACTTAATTCTCCAACTTTACCTTTTTCGTATTCTTCATCTGGCAATGGTAATAATTTAGCTTTACGTGGATCCGGCTTTTCTGCACTGAATACAACTGGAACACCAGTGACAACCCCCTTTCGCTTTAATTTTCTTCTAACGACTCTTGCTAAGGGATCTTCCTCGGTAACACTAATGTCACCAACATTGATTCGAGTAGGATCACTCTTGGTAGATGCACCCATTGAGGAAATCATATCGATATTATTTTCGTGCAAGAAAGCCAGTAGATCCACTTTGGTATCAATGTTATCGATACAATCAACAACCATATCAGGTCTACCATTACCAAATAGTAATCTTTCGGCGTCCTTCAATTCCCATAATTCATTGATGGCATCGATTTCACACCATGGTGCGACTTCCAACATATGATTCTTTAAACAAGTCACTTTTGGTGTACCGACGTCCTTCAAAGTTGCACAACTATGTCTGTTCAACGAACTTAGGGATACTTGATCAAAATCGATTATTCTAATCTTGCGAACACCTGAACGTAACAACATGGTGACGACCCAAGAACCGACACCACCGGCACCAACCACAACGACATATTGGTTTTTCACATTCTCCATCCCTTCTTCACCCAAGAAGGCATAGTTTCTTGCAAGTTGTTCACGGAATAAACCATCATCGTAAGCAGCTTTACCTGTGATCACTTTCTTATCGGTGTTAGTCTTTTTATCGTTTTGTAATTGATATTTCTTCCATCCAACTTCTGCCAGTTTTGTAGAAGCCACTGCCAAGGCTGCCGTTGCAACCACGACTTTCCAAGTCCCTGATGCGTCTTTGGTCATGTTTGAATTGCTGATTCTGTTGTAATAGCACTTGCTACTTCAAATAGGAGCGTTGTTTATCAGTATAGTTCCAAATCAACATAAAAAAGTTTCAGTTTTCAATATCTAATGAAATTTTTCACCTTTTCAATCAGTGAAAAGAGCAGCTCATCGCCTCTTGATCTGAAAATAAAAAAAAATATAAAAAAAAATACAGAGAGGCTAATACAACAAAAAAAGGGAAGAAGTAAAAAAAATATTTATATTAAAAAACTTTTTTATAAAACAAGATGTAGTTATTTACTTTTGTTTGTTGCCAAGAGTGTATGCAAAAGAGAAACCAAACAAACTGTTTGTATCACACGTCTTCAAACTCTAGATCAATATCCATATCTTCATCATCGCTGTCTTTCTTTGTCTCTTCCACTTTCGAAGGCTGAGTAACGTCCTGAACCACGTCCTCAAACTCGCCATTATCATCATCCCCATTCTTGTCGTCATCATCATCATCACCGTCCATTTCAAACTCATCCACATCCTCAAACTCTTCATCCTCATCTTCTTCTTCTTGCTTCTTCTTTTCTTCACGTGCTTGTTTCTTAGCTAGTTGAGCATAGTAATCATTCAAAGTTCTTTCATTTTCTCTTTCTTCCATCTCTGATTCCGTTAGACCACGACGGTTACCATTATTGTATCCATTATTATATCCGCCGACATTAGCATTATTAGAGTTATGATCGTTATTATTATTATTATTATTATTATTCAATGAACCGTCCATTTGCGATGCTCCATTATTATTAATCGTACTATTTTCATTCATGGACATTGTAGCATTCTGAGTAGTCTGAGGATCGAATTCATCCTCTGCATCCAATCTCCCCAACGCACTCTTCCCAATAGTACTCTGTTTATGCCATTCCGGCACAGCATTCTGTTTTCTTTTCTCCTCCGCTTGTCTTTCTTGTAATTGTCTTTGAGCAATCTCATCATTAGCTGTAGTGATATTAATATGCAAAGTAGCTTGCGAATTAGCCCCTGCACGTCTCGAACTGTCGTTATTCAGAGCAGTACCCATGACATTAGCCAACGGAGCGTCTCCTGGTCTAAACATCGTACTACCTTTCTTAGGGTTATACGTATAAGCTGCATTCGATTGATTCTGAGGCGGAATCAATTTAGCCAACGCGAATTCAAACGTGTTCTCTTCGATCCTTGAATCGTCGATTTTCTTCAAATAATCGATCAAAGGTTGAATTTGATCCATCAATCTATTCAATTTATCTTGCTTTTCTTTATTCTTCTTACCTGAATCGTCTTCGATCAACGGTTCATCACATAACGAACACAAGAATTCTGTTCGATCATAATTCAACAACTGCACGGCTTCCAGTTGCGAGTATTTCGTGAGACAAATGGGACACATATAACCATTTGGAGCGGAATTCTTATCCAGGTCATCTTTGAACCGTTGCACCAGCTGGTGCACTTTCCACTTGATTGCGTCGATGGCATGAGGGAATTTGATATAGAAGTATATTCTCTCTACACTTTTGTTATTTGGTGGATACTCACGCTGTTTGTGAATGGAGATCAATCTATCTGATCTCAATCTAGCGATCAACGGACCTAATTCGGTCTTGTTGATACTTAACAACTGTTTCAAATCTTCTTCTGCGAGGACAGAATGAAATAATATAGCGTCGATCACTAGAACGTATGAACCCCCATAGAACCCTCTCACGACGAATTTCAATAACGATTTCACGGTTTCATCAATAGGCCTATCCATTTTCGATTTTATTTGCACCAGCAATAACCAACTGTTCTATAGATATATACGATTATATACAATATGCCACGGTTACTCTAGTGGTTTAACCAGGTTTCTTCTTATAAAGAGAGCAGTGATTTGCTAATATTATTATACAGGTGAGATGGAAAAAAAGAGTGGGAAAAATTAACGGTTGACAGACCATTAGGGCTATGCAAGAAACCAGGGCTACCGTACACAACGACACATCACGTGCCCACCGTCACGTGGTCCGTACACAATGACACGTTATCTTTGCCGTTCCCGTCCACCCGAAGAAAAAGCACCCGCCAAACCGCAAAAAAGAGAAGAAATAAGTTCCCACTGACCCCGCACACCGCACACTGCCACCACTGGAAAAACAGAGTCACCGCTACAGAATAATTTAATGACTAATTAAAGGATGGGCAGCACTGAACAGTTGAAAGCTGCAATCAGCCGGAATATATCGGGAGGATAAGCAAGGTCTTGCAATATATCACTCAATAAGTGGTGGTGCTATACCAGCCAACAACAGAAACTACAGCATTAGTGCAACAATAACAGTGCTAAGATTGTAAATTAGTTGAAGATAGACTGATAAAACTGATAAAACTGATAATATGTGGATTGTAACTACAGGATATCATCACCATACTCGTACCCTATATATATCTATATATATACTACATGCTACATGCTATATGATTCTTGCCATTGTGCCGGGAATAATAGGAATGGTTGTGATAATGAAAAATATCACTTGCCAAATGAAATTTATTATTATTTCCATTATTATTTCTTATATATAAGATGAAGATACAGGCATATGTAAATTGAACAACGATAATAATCTTGATATTCTTAAAGTTGAATTAGTAAAAAATTTGATATTCATTATAACGTTGCATCTCTCTAATCAGATTCTAAAAAACCTTTTTTACTATTTACCATCTACATTCGAAATTTGAAATTTGAAATTTTACAGTCACGCATCATCATCATCAATAAAGGAAAATTTCATCAAATCCCATCGCATAAAATTAATTAAAGCTGCCATAACTTTTTCCATCTCTCTCACACTCATATTTATTTATATATATATATATATATAACTATACATAAAAGAGTGCAACAAAGTTTTTTTCCATCAATTAATTAATTTAATTCAACTAGTTTTTTTTTTAAAACTAAAATAAAAGTATCAAGGAAAAATGTCTGAATTTAACAGCAGTTTTACTGCCCTTTTAAATGACGGTAAGAACGCTCAACATACTCAATTATCCGTCAATGGTGGTATCGAATGTCCGTTATCAGGTTTCCAAATTCTGAATTCTCCTTTATTTAATAAAGGTACTGCGTTCACTCAAGAAGAACGTGAACAATTCAAATTGGATGGGTTATTACCACCTCAGATCAATACCTTGGACGAACAGCTGGAAAGAACTTACAAACAATTATGTTTCTTAAGAACGTCCATCACAAAGAATGATTTCATGACCAATCTACGTGTCACTAACAAGACTCTATATTTCGCAATCATTAAGAGATACATCTTGGAATTGGTTCCAATCATTTACACTCCAACGGAAGGTGACGCCATTGCCTCCTATAGTGATAGATTTAAGAAGACCGAAGGTGTGTTTTTGGATATCACTGAGCCGGATTCCGTAGAGGAACGTTTATTAGCATTTGGTGGTTCAAAGGATATCGACTACATTGTTGTATCCGACTCTGAAGGGATTCTTGGTATTGGTGACCAAGGTGTTGGTGGTATTCGTATCTCTATCTCCAAACTGGCTCTGATGACCATTTGTGGTGGTATCCATCCAGGTCGTGTTCTACCCGTGTGTCTTGATGTTGGTACTAACAACAAGAAACTAGCTAGAGACGAATTGTATTTAGGTAATAGGTTCTCAAGAGTTAGAGGTAAGCAATACGATCGTTTTGTTAAGAATTTCATGGATGCCGTGAAGAAAATCTATCCAAATGCCATTTTACATTTTGAAGATTTCGGTGTTGCCAACGCCAGAAGAATCCTTGAAGAATACCGTACTGAAGTGCCATGTTTCAACGACGATATCCAGGGGACTGGTGCCGTGGTGATGGCCTCTCTATTGGCCGCTTTGAAACACACCCATAGATCTTTGCAAGAATGTAAAGTGTTGGTCTATGGTGCGGGATCTGCCGGTCTGGGGATTGCCGATCAAATCGTGAACCATATGGTGACCCATGGCATGTCCATTGAAGAAGCCCGCGGTCAAATATACCTGATGGATATCCGAGGGTTGATCGTTGAATCGCTAGAGGAAACCTCCACCGAACAACAACATGTGTTTGCGAAGCCCGACGCCGAGTGGGCTTCCGTGAACAAGAAATCACTATTCGAGGTTGTCTCGCACGTGAAACCCACATGTCTAGTCGGTTGTTCCACTGTCGCTGGTGCGTTCAACAAAGAGGTTGTGCAAGAGATGCACAAGTACAACAAGAGGCCGATCATTTTCCCATTATCGAACCCGACCAGACTGCACGAGGCGGTTCCTGAGGATCTAATGGCATGGACCAACAACGAGGCATTGGTGGCCACTGGTTCCCCATTCCCTCCCGTGAACGGTTACAGAATCTCTCAAAACAATAATTGTTACTCGTTCCCGGGGATTGGGCTCGGTGCCGTGCTCGCACATGCCAGTACCATCAGTGATCGCATGATCAGTGCTGCAGTGGACGAGTTAGCTGGCTTGAGTGAATTGAAAGAGGGCGATTCCACGCCAGGGTTGCTACCTGGGTTGGAAGTGATCAATAACACCAGTGCCAGGATTGCTACTGCTGTCATTCTACAAGCCATCGAAGAGGGAGTTGCCAGGATTGAAGAAAAAGAGGATCCTGATCACGCAGGTAAACTGATTCAAGTGCCTCGTGACTTCGATGGCTGTATGGAGTGGGTAAAGAAACAAATGTGGCAACCCACCTACAGACCATTAACCAAGGTCAAATTCGAACCAAGTATACATACATACCAACTGTAATCTCGATATATATACGCCAAAAAACAACATTTCGTAATACATAATAATAATAACATAGTAAGAAAAATAAAAATAAAAATACTGCAATATAACAAACAGTACGAACTTCTCATCAGATTGCAGTGAAAACGAATGAGGAAATATATTAATACACTGCCCTACATACATACATACATACATATATATATCTATATGTATGTATAAAGTTGGCAAAGTCTGGTGGTACTAGTTTCTTCCTCCACTACCCGATTATCATCAGGTATCGATATTGAAGAATACACCGCTGACTTTCTGTAAACTAGGCAGATAGGAATATATATGAGGTGACGAAGAAATGTAATAGAAATGTAATAGAAATGGAGGCAACTGAGCAGTATTAATGGTTTCGCCTGTGTCTCTGCCTGTGTCTCCTTCCACTTACTGTCTATTATTCGCAAGTGCTATTGTGTTCCATTCGTTTTGCTGTGTAGACTTTCCCCCGTTCTGCACGACCGGCAAGCCCAAGCCAAAGCCCAAGCCAAGGACGGTGGGCAGGGAGAGACGCAAACGGGCACCGCGAAATTCTCTCGCTTTCTCTGTCGCTTTTGCTGCTTGCTGCTCTCTCCTCCCACTGCAACAGAAAGACGAAAATTTTCTCTTCACGGCGAAAAGATGGCAAATTCTACACTACTTCCACCACTTTTTCTCTCTCCTCTTCTCTCCCAGTTTCTGGTCTTTCTTCGGTTCTTTTAATTAAATAAGATATTATACAACCCTTTCACTTTACCTACTTCACTTCATCTACTTCACGGTTGTTCTAATTAAGCCTGTTACTACTATTGTTATCTCTTCTCTTCTCAAAGGATACTACAACGAGATATCAACACATCTACTTCACATTTACTAAAAGAAATTGAAGGATCTGTCTGTACTTTTTAGCTATTTTGTCTCTATTCTTATTCTCTGCTGCTTAGAGATTATTACTTCAGAATTTTTAACGTACAAAGAATCCACTCCTTCTTCTACAACTTAAGAAGCACTTTTAACTACTAGTACTAATTTATTTTTTGCTAAAGGATACTATCTATATCTACTAATACTAATATTATTATTACTGCTAATATTTATATTATTACTACTAATATTTATATTATTACCATTACCAGTTTTTGCCACCCAAATATTTTATTTTTGCTGCTGCTGCTGCTCCCCCTTCTTTTCTTTAAGAAAACTTTTTATCTGCTCCATCGTGAACTGTGATAACATATATACACCCGTCTCAAGTGATAACAGTATATTCGTTATTTCCCGCTTCTCATTACAACGCGAAAAGATAAACAACCAAAACTACTGAATTTTTCACTGCTTCTTCCTTGGAAATTTGGAAATTTTTCACACAAAATAAACAAAGAAAACTAAGAACGCCAAAATAAACAAGGACCGTTTTGTTATTTGTTTATTTTCTGTCGCACGCTACTTACCGTTTATTTATTATTTATTATTTATTATTTATTATTATTACAATAATAAATAATTATAAAGGAACTTAATATTAGTTATACTAATACCAACTTATTATTATTTTTTTTTGGTTGATCTTCATCACAATTAACTAGAACATCCTCCAGAAAAAGTAAACTTCCCACACAATTATGCCTTTGTCTGGTATTACTTCAAAGAATGATGACACTAATCATCAAAATGGTAGTAATTCATTACTATCATTAGGTCAAGATCATGGCTTGTCTTATCAACAACTGGACTCTAATGATGTTAATCAATTCGGTAATCAACAAACTGGCCAACAACAAGCTGGTAATCAAAGAACTGCTGCTAACCAACAACAACAACAACAATACCAACAACAACAACAGTATCAACAACAACAACAGTATCAAGGTCAAGGCCAACAAGCTGGTCAACAACAAGCTGGTCAACCTTTATACTACCAATCTCATCCTTCTCAACAACAGGGTCAAGCTAACCAATACGGTCAATCTTTGCCTCACGATTTCGGTTACGGTGCTGCTACTGGCTCTAACTCCAATGCTGCTACTGGCAGTGGTAGTAACAACAATAATAATAGCGCAAGTACCAACAGTACTAGCAACAATAGTGGTAATGGAAGTGGTAGCAGTAATGCTGCTGCTGCTGCTGCTGCTGCCGCCGCCGCCGCCGGATCTGGTGCCACTGGAACTGGTTCAAATGCTAACAATCCAAACTTTAATCAACAACAATTCTCTGAATTGATGTATAATTCCTTTTTGACTCAATTGTCTCAAAAACAACAACCTCAACAATCTCAATCTGTTAATCAACAACAATTGAATATGAATAGTTCTTTGAATCCAGCTACAGCCGCTGCCGCTGCCGCTAATAACCCAGGTTTCATGAACCCATCAATTCAAAGATATTATCAAAATAATTTGTCAGGTTATCCTTCAATGATCGATTCTTCAAATCAATCTATGTTACAACCATCTCATCAGATTCAATCTCAATCAGGCAATCAGCAAATGCACCAACAAATGCCTCAACAAACTTCTGTTCAATACCAACAACAACAAGCTATTCAACAAGCTCAATTGCAAGCCCAGGCTCAAGCCCAAATGCAAGCCCAAGCTCAGTTACAAGCTCAACAACAACAACAATTGCAAGCCCAGCAACGCCCTCAAGGCCGCGCTAAGAAAGGTCCAAAGGGTCCTCGTAACACCGCTGCTCGTAACAATGCTAATTCTGGTAACGCTCATTCAGGTGCTGCTGGTGCAGGTCACACTACTAAAGGTGGTAAAGGTGCTAATGGTCCAAAGAAATTGTCTACTACTCAAAGTAGAATTGAAAAGAGAAAACAATTAAAGAAACAAGGTCCAAAGAGACCTTCTTCTGCTTATTTCTTATTCTCCATGTCCATTAGAAATGAATTATTACAACAATTCCCAGATGCTAAAGTTCCAGAACTTTCAAAATTGGCTTCTGCAAGATGGAAGGAATTGACCATCGAAGATAAAAAACCTTTCTATGATGAATTCAGAGTCAATTGGGAGAAATATAGAGTATTAAGAGATGAATATGAAAAGACTTTACCACCAAAGAGACCAAGTGGTCCATTCATTCAATTCACTCAAGAAATCAGACCTATCATTGTTAAGGAAAATCCAGACAAAAATCTAATTGAAATAACAAAATTGATTGGTGAAAGATGGAGAAACTTAGATCCTGCTGAAAAGACTAAATACACTGATGCTTACAAACAAAAATTAAAGGAATGGGAAAAATTCTATCCTGCTGAAGAATTGTTAAAGGTTGAAGAATCAAAACCACGTAAGAATAGGAAAAATAACAAGCAAAAAAATGCTGCTAACGCTGCTAATGCTGCTAACACTGCTAACGCCAACGCTAATGCTAATGCAAATGTTAATGCTAATGAATTGAATTTGAACTTGGTTAACCCAGCTACTGGTCACCCAGGTGATTTAAATGCTACTGGTGCCCCACAAACTATTAACCCTGTTAACACCGACGTTAATAACCTTGCCAACGGTATGATCAAGCACGATTGATTTATTTCTGAGAAAAAAAAATTCTTCTTCTTCATATTATTATTATTCATATTTTTGCCTCCTGTACTTTCCGTTTCTTTCTTTCCATTCACTACCTTTTTTATATCTAATTTGGAAAGAAAACAATGTACCCTTTTCTAAAACTAATATGGGATTATATCAACAATATTGGTGTTGTTGTTCATATCATTGTAATATTAAATCATTAAAAAAATACTCCTTTTTCTCTCTCTCTCGATCTAAAGAATAAAAACAATCAATCAAGTTTCATCCTTCTCCTCTGCTAAGTGAGATACGTTTTGTATTTTGTTTTGTTTTGTTTTGTTCTATTTCGCTTTTACGTTTTTATATTATCTGTAATTTATATGTTTTATATATATATCAAATATATTTTGATTAATTAATTAATTTACTACTGTTATTCAAAGCCATACAACCTACAAACCATATTTAGCTTTGTCAAGATCTTCCAAAGAGTTTAACATTTCACCTCTACCTTCCAAGAAGGCCTCAACATCACCCAAATGATCATATGCATCATGATGTGGAACCCACACAACATTACCACCGAAGGCTTTACCTGAGATGACACCAGGCTTACCATCTTCAAAGACAATACATTCATCCGGTGTAATCTTAGTGCCATATTTCTCATTCAATTTCTTCAAACCGATTTGCCAAATGTCAGGACATGGCTTTCCTCTGCCGTTAGCCAATTTCGGATCATCCCCAGTGGTAACAGCATCAAACAACTTGAACCCTTCAGTCAAATGGCTAGTCTTGGCATGGAATTTAGTCTGATTGGAAGATGTGCATAAGGCAATAGGAACGTTCTTCCCATGGAGATAAGTCAACAGATCCAATGCCCCTGGTAAGAATTCACATGTGGGCCACTTCAAATCCTGAGAGGCAACATTCATCCTGTTGAATTCCTCAAAAGTTAAAGGCAATTTGTAATGCTCGATTAATTTTGAACCGGCTTCGAACCCTGGAAGCCCTTGCAATTGCAATTTCACATCCCATGTCAATGGTCCCTTATTGTACTTCTCTAGGATCTCGTTGCAGGTGATGGTGTATATGTCCTCGGTGTTGACCAAAAGTCCATCCATATCAAACAGACATGCTTTAATTCTGTAATTATTCTCGGTTGTTAGTCTCTTTGAAAATAAGGTAAAAGGAAAAAAAAGTTATCCATAAAGTTTGAACCATCTGGTTTATACATACATTTTATCGTTAAGTTTATCGTTAGTCATTAGTAGAGTTCGTGGGGTACCTTGCAGGTGTTTTGTTCGCGATTCCAACTCTCGAGAGATGGTAATTATTTGGGTTGACATATTTAAAATGTGCATGCCTTGCTTATATAATAATAGTTTTTTTTTCTTTTTGACTTTTTTCATGCAGAAATTTTTCAGTTGGAATCAAGTGTCTTCTGCGGATATTTCTTTGAAAAGAACCATCTTCAAATCTTGAAATTATGCATTTCGTGTGGGGGTCCCTTGAAGAAAACTTGTAGATTTCTGATATTCTACTCCAGGAATAATCCCGAAACTATCTGGACCATGAAGATATGCAATCAACATCATGCCTAAAAACAGGAAACAGATTGCTGTTCCTGTAACTCACTGAACTCCCAAAATATCTTTTATTCAACACCATTATGAAATGTCATTGTATTATTTTATTCACCTTATATATAGAAGTATATATGTAATTTGTGTGCATGCTAAGTATCTCTCTCTTCTCTAACATGGAGGAAGTGGTGCTCTACACACTGGACATTGTAATTTGTAACTCATCCAGTTTTCTAAACATAGCGTATGGAATATATGATTACAAGGTGTCACCATGTAATCATGAATATCGACACCATGGGTTTCAGGTAACTCTTCCACATATACAGGCACCTCTGACATACATATAGCACAATCAACTTTGGCGATGATGTTATGTGGGTGATCACCAGAGGATCCCTTGTTTGCCGTATCTGCCATGTCATCAATATCACCATGTTCCTTTAACAGTGCTAAGGAAACTGGTTTGAAATATGAGTATCCTTCTGGGATAGTGTGTTGTGATAAGAACCAACGTGCCCCTAGAATATCCTGAGAATACAACACTACGATTTGGAATAATAGCCACAGCGATAAAATCACTACAAACCTCGTATCCTTATGATGTCTGAAAATATTGGAAGAATAAGTGAAGAAATAAATAATTGGTAACGTCCTAATAAATGTAGTACCAATAATAAATTTCCATAATAATGGCACTTTGTTTTGTCGTCTATTAGCCAAGTTTTCGATCCGTTCTCTTTCTCTTCTAGAAGGTATACCCTTTATGGCATTTCTAAAGACTTGGGGCCACCAATATGAGTTTAGAATGAAAATAGCTGAGTATTCAAATATTATTCTAAAGTGTCTTGGCCATGACATAGAATTTAAAATCAAAAATGTAAATGTGATTAGAGTGAATGCAAATCTTCCGTAGAGTGAACTACTGATAGATGCTTCATCCGGAATAACAACCGGTCTCTCATTGGCAGCATCTGGATCCTCAGTACGACCTCTTAACAGAGTTATGATTCCGACATTTCTCTCATTAACTTGAGATGCATAAACTGAGATCAAATATCTTGTTTCAAAGATTGAAGCCAAAATAAACGAGGCAAATGCACTGATCACCAAAGGTAAGTACAATTCAGGAACAAGAGTTGCAGAGATAAAATAAAGTGTTGCCAAACAACCATCAACTAAGTTTATCATACAAAATGTGTAAAAAGATATTTTATTTACACTGGATGGCGTATTTGTGTGTTGCATTTGTCGTAATAGAAGGTAAATCTGTGCTGCAAATAGAAATATACCACATAACATATGGATTCTAATTGATCTAATTTTCAATTCATATCTTTCACCATGTATATCGTTAGTACTCAATGAAATCCCACAATCAGGGGAATAGACCATTCCTGACGTTACCACGATGTCAGGAACATGTGTCAAATTAGCAGGCCTACCTAGTGGCCATTTCAATTCATCATCAATTATTTTTAATTGATCTTTATTGTATTGGTTCCAAGGTTTTAACTGAAAGAACATCATGAATTCACATTTCTCTATTGCATCATCGTACAACGTATTGATATATCCCATAGTGAGAGTATCTATATATTTAGACGTATTCCAATATTCGTTTATTAGTTTCTTGGATTGCTCAAATGTTTGTTTTTGCCCTGCTTTAGTCATCCCTATGCCCATATAATGAGGGAGAGCAAACAATGAATGGAACTTTGCACTTTCTGACATGGCTAAAATCCTACCAGTCTTTATGTCATAAACACCTAATGTATTTATCGAGTGCTTTTCATTTTCATTCTTATCAGTAAAATCAACCTTAACATTTAGTAACTTCCAATTTTCATCTTGACTATTAAAATATTTCTTTTTCTTTCCCTGTAGACTTGTGAAAACTTTATCCACATGTGTAAACTGGACCTTCATCTCTCCCTTTGCAAATGTAACGTTATGAATTTCATTATAATCTTCCCAATCATCCATATAAGTGTCTCCCACTGGGGGTATGTTATCCGAAAAATCTCTCGGAGGCTCATAGAAGTTCGCAAAAGGCATTCTCAACCTGCTGTATTTATCGTTTGAATTCAAGGTTATCGTACCTAATAATGTACTGGTTATTATTGGAGGGAAAATGTTTTCTTCACCATTACCTGTTATGTTCCATATACTGTCACCAATTATTTGTGTTATTTCGTCCGGCATAATCAAATAATTCTCATTGTTATACCATTGCTCATAATTCTTCGAATCTATCGGGTACGTAGCATTAATTAACGCATTTTCTGCAACATCATGATAACTCAGTTTCAGTCCTGTAATATTTTTAAAGTTGGAATTATATGTCAAATTTTGGAATGTCGAATATTCTGTTTCTAATTGTTGTGTAAAGAGGTGAAGTTGGTTAAATTCATACTGCGATGTGACACCATTTCCTCCAGGTGATGAAAAAAATAGGAATAATATCAGAATAATGAATATTAATGTATTACCATCAAGTTCCATGGTTACTCTTCTGATTATGATGTGTTAAATTTGGGTCAAATCTGCAATGCATATAAAGGAAAGGGCCTTTCTTCTTCAAATAGATATTTCTTGTAAAATATTATAAGTCTGTATAATAATGACTCCGCTTGAGATAGTAAATTGGTAGTTTCTTAACTTTTGTCTCTTTTAAAAGTTACATTTATCTGAGAAGCTTCCATCAGTTATATATTTGATATCCCTTTTCCCAGCTCAAAAAGCAGATATTACTAAAAGGGCAGCTGCACACTGCAGTAGTGCCGCGATTTCACACATACAAAAAAAATATACAAGTATAAACAAGTGAAAGTAAATAATATACTTCGTAAATTCATCTAAGTAAAGAATGCGATCGTTTTCTATAAAATCAAAACAAACCACTCTCTTATATAATACACACCATATCTCTCAAAGATATGCTTTAGGGAAACTTCTAGTTACTTAAGTTTCGTATTGCGCTGGCTAGCATTTTACTGATACCAACCTAATTCTGCGTCATCTAGTAACATCCATCCAACGTTTATAAATCTCGATATGATCCACTCATCACTTGCTACATCGAGGTTTGAGTAAATATCCGTATTCTTGTTGACGAATTTCCATTTCAATGATAGTTCTGGATTGAACTCTCCATCCATTGTTAGTGATCTGTCCTTTAAGCTTTCACTTTCAAACATCTTAAAGGGCTTCATCATACTCAATAAACTTACAATTTGCACAACCTCGTTCAAGGAATTAGATAACTTCACCACTTGTGCTTGCGCTTTCATATTATCAGTGTAAGATATTTTCATTACCACACGAATTAAAACAGTTGGTAACTGTTTGATAATATTGGTCAAATTATGTAATTCGTGGTAAACTGAAATACCAAAGGGAGAAGCAATACCTTTATTTGCTCCTGAGCTGTCACTCCCATCTCCGTCTAAACCTAATAGCTTCTGGTAGAAATCATTCGTTATCGGGGTTGTTGAACGTCCAGAAGGTGGAACATTTGGTGACGCAGTATTCATCACCATCGAAGCCGCCGTTGGGATCGAGGACACAGCAGCCTCTGTGTTATCATCAGGAAGACTACCCGAACGAGCCGCCATATGTGCGGTTGCCGAAGATAAGGATGGTCTGTTATTTGGGTCGATACTATTAGTAGAGTTTGTTCTCATCATAAGAGTTAATAACTTCAAAATTTGTTTCAAAAGACTGCATACGGTATCAGCAATTACACCAGTCATATCAATTGTCATTTTGAAATTTGGATCGTTTTTATCATTTATCGAAATTAGGTTATTAATCAAATATTGTTTTGTTTGGATCACAGCAGAAAATAACGCAGACATAGTGGTTATTTCTGTCATACTGCCGCCAATACTTCCTCTGGAATCTCTATGTTTGTGGTTTACAACATGATGAGGAAGTGCATCTGACTCATTTTCTTTGTTCCACATTTCGACACAATGTGTCATGTGTTCTGGCAACCATATTAGTTTGGTTAGATCAACCGTCTTTGTTGTGTCTATACAACTTAAAGAGATTCTCTTCATTGACAGCTGAGAGAGCAATATACCTAATTTCAAGTTCTGAATAATAATCTTTAAACGTAACGGATCTTCATCTAAACACCATTTATCATCATTGTCATCATTGCGACCTTTCCTTGGTGACATAAAAATCGTCTCAATCATGTGCTTATCTGTAGAAATATTCAATAACTTTGGACCGCCAAATGTACAACTTTGTAAAGAGTCAAATATAATCAAAGAAATATATAATCTTTTAAAAATTATCAGTGTTTCTCTTTCAAATTGCCTATTTTCTAGTCTTTCATTTTCATCAATACTCGAGTCGATACTACCATTTGGCTTATCACTCACAGAGCCCCTAAATATATTATTGTAACTAGAGTGATCTTCTTCTGGTAAAACTAGTAACTTGTATAATTTAAATTCATTAAAAATTGTCACTGACATACCTAAAACAAAGGAATTATCATAACCAACGTAACCCAAGATGTAGTTAAGAATCAAAAATGTTGATAAATATATGATTTTAATCTTCGGGGATATTATATCTTTATTTTCTCTAAATTTTGGATGGATATCAACAATCTTTTGGAAACATTCATTCAAAGCTGCTATAAATATACTTTGAACTTCAAATAATTCTTTCATTGGCAACTCATCATCTGCATCAGTCTCCTCTTGCTTAATATCCTTTTTGGCTCCTGGATCATTACAATTTTGGTGTGAGGATACATTTTTAAATTTATCGAACGGATTACTAAAATTATTATCAAAGAAATGACTGTTCTTATTTTCTTTCTTCAGGGCAACCCTTACCAATAGTTCTAAAGAGTTTCTAAACCATAGGATGACATAATTGTTTAATTCATGAATAGACGAAATTGGTTGTGTATTAACCAACAAAATATCATTTGTCAGTGTTCTCTTGTTCAATGGAATAATGGGAAAACCAACGTGTATAAATTCATAATATATATCAATCAATTCAATATCGGAGATCTGTCCATAAACTATAACGTTACCAGCCCCATTTTGGAGATGTGCTTGTGGTTTTCCCATAATGCTACGACTTTTCTTTGACATATCAGCCTTCGACGCACTGGAATCAGAGGCTACTGAATTTCCATTTACAGAATTACTATGGTTTCCATTCTTAGCGTCATCGTTAGAATCCATATCGTTCCCTGAAAGGAGAGATTCAATGGAAGCTACACTTGAGTTTCTAAGCAACCTATTATTACTGCCGCCATTGGTATGGTTATTTCTAATCTTGATAGATGGAGAAGGTTCTCTTCTTGGGTTACCTTTGATGTAGTCCAAATTTTCATTGTTTCTGATATGACTAGATGAGTTTTGAGGTTGTAAAGAAATCCTTGCAGAATCTGCTGTTGCTGGTGCAACGCTTTGTTTTCCTACTGAGGGAAAAACATTTGAACTTGATGGGGACATTGCATCACTTGTTATAGAGTTATTTCTTGATTGGAATCCTGCGGTTGCATATTGACTAAACATACTTAATGATGGATTGTAATTATTTGGATTCATACCGTCAGGATTATTATTGCTACTATTGTTATTGTTATTGTTATTGTTATTATTGTTATTATTGGTGTTGTTTAATGACTGTAATTGATGTTGTTGGAATTGGAAATATGAATATGAGTTTTGTGGTTGTAATGCAGGTGATGATGATGGTGGAGGCAATTGTGGTTGACCCATTATTATGGAATTGGAAGTCTGTCTAATGATGGATGGAATAAGACTCGAACCTCTAGATCGTTCACTCTGGGTATCATCATTACTATTATTATTATTATTGCTATTATTATTATTATTGTTATTATTAGTTGGAGTAACGATATTAGTTGGAGTAACGATATTATTTGGAGGGTTATTCATATTCGCAGTGCTTTTAAAAAATGACCAATAATTACTACCTGAGGTACTACCACTTCCAACGCTGTTATTATAACCTGAAGAACTATTCTTTTTCATATTTTGAGATGTATTAGCATTATTGCTATTTCCAGTAATCATAAAAAATTGATCCTGTTGATTAACGTTTCTAACCGATATATCACTCGATAAAGAATCTATTGAACCCTTTCTTTGGTGAGAAAATTCATGATATGGTACTTTCCAAAACTGTTGTTGTCCCAAATTAAAATTAGGCAATACCGAAGAGTTATTATTAATGTTCAGCACACCAAAGTTATTCGTTCCACCATTGGTATTTGTCGTAGTAGCACCTGCTACTGCAGTCACAGTAGTACCGATATTAGTGGGAGGACCGTAACCCAAATCATTATTCGCACCAACACCACTCCCACTACCCGTCCTGCCTCCTGTAGAAGGTGGTATATATTGGGATAATGGAGGTAATAAAATAGATGCTGAGTTTGACCGGGACGGCGTCCTAGGTATCACTTTATTGTTATTATTATTAGGATCGATCAATACAAGCTGTTCATTAGATGGTGTATTGTCATGATTCGTTGGTGTATAGACAGAAGGAACAACAACATTCCCAGAAGGTAGCAATGTCGTTGTTATCGAGTTATTTGTGCCTATAGCAGGACCAGTTGTAGTACTATTCCTAACATTACGAATCAATGGATCCGCGGAACCAGCAATGTTTGAAATATTATTTGTCTTATTTTTCTTAGTGGTACTCTTATGATAGCCTTTAGATGGACCTCTTTTCAATGGCACACGTTCAAATGTACAGGCCTCATTGTTTCTAGAACAATGTGTGCAAATTGCCCTTTCATCATTATAATCACATTTTATCTTTTTTTTCCTACACTGATCACAGGCTCTTGAGGCCTTTGTTCTCTTCTTACTCAAGGACTTCTCTTGAGAATTACTACTCTTTGTCCGCAATTCACCAGTAGACACTTTAGACATGGTAGCCAACCCTTTTTCCCCCAAGTAACCCAGTTCAAACAAATGGAATAAATCGTACGAGAAGGATCAACGATTACACAGCTCGGCTAAAACTCGAAATAGGTCCTAGCAATAGAGATAGATATATGTATATATCTAAGTTTGTGGGAAACGTGAGTTATTCAGTAGAGGAACCTAATACCAATGCATTTGAAACGACGTAATTCCCTTGTACGTTTTGCTTGTTTGTTTGTTTTAATGCAATGCAATTAAATTAAATTTTTTGGCTTGCAAATTTTGGTTGTTTGGCTGACCACCGGCGAAATTTTTAAAAATTGTCAACTTTTTCTCTTGCTGTGCACGCTGTTCTGTGTGCCTTGTGCATTGCAGGAAACACCACCAAGATAACTAACCCCCAGGGCCAAGCAAAGCTCACAACCATCTGCAATTTACTATACAAGTTTCGTTGCAGTAAGACAAGACACACTCGCGATATATATGCCAGTGCCAGACACACAGGTCGACACTCGACACTATCTGTGAACGTTACCTGTTCTTGTAGTTGCAGTTGCTGTGGCCCCCGCGTTTTCTTGCAACCCCGCCATTCGTCGTGCGTACGTTGGAAGTGGACGAATGAAGTGGGATTATATAATCGTCATCCAACTCGATATGAAACGGTACGCTACATAAATGACTCAGAAACTATTGTTCTGGTATTCGCCATCTGCTGACGCAGGATAGTGTCAGTGTTGGACTGTGCTCTATCTTGGATCGAAACTTGACAAGAAAACTTAATCATAATACTTAATCAAATACAAAAAGGAGCGTTAATAAAAATTATATACTTACTACAAAAGAACGACGTGAATCGAACGAATAAAGGTAAAAAAAAGAGGGGACAACATCGATAGAAAATTAGTTTTCCTCATAGTATAGTTCTTTTATTTGCCGGATCGTCATCATGTTCGTCATCCTCGAGGTTTTCTTCAGATATCGTCAGATCCAAATGATTTGGCTCTTTGTTAGATTGACTCAATTGCGGCAGTTGGTCATCGTCATTGGCATGGTGTCCTTGTGTCGATGCAACGTCGTCGTCTGTGATGATGCTTAGATTGTCTCTATCGTTGTCAGCATCAAACTCGTCATCTAGATTGTCTCCAAGGGATTGCAAATCACTTAGATCAAAATCGGCAACATTTTCTGGATCTGTTGGTAATTGTTGAGATACAGCCAGCATATAAGACGTATCAGTTGGTCTCCAAATGAATGAAATTATTACGAATACTGCGAAATAAACCAAAGTTGGCCAGAAGTTTGTGAAGAAAAATCTTGATCTCCAATATTGTTCAATCATGTCCAAAGTATTCATAGTAGCAAAAATAATGGACGAAATGACAAAGCCTATCAACATTATTGCTAATGATATATAGATTATTATTAGCAACCTCTTGTACATATTCAATTTCACAACTTGTCTTTGTTCTTTCAAATAACCTAGAGTTTTAGTCATTGATCTAATAATCATAAAATAAAAGATGAACATTGATACAGCTGTTGGAGCAAACGAAATAAAGACTAAAGCAGATGGATTTTCCGGATCTTGGAAATAACTTTGAATTAAAAATGCACAACATAGACAAAAACTGAAAGCTGTATAGAATTGACAACGTCTCATCAAAGTTTTATTCAATTTTGGATAAACAATACCATAACCTAAACCAATAATTAATAAAAGGAAAAATGAAAATGTTACTTTACCGGCAGATAAAATTGATAAAAAGACAGAATAAACTTTAATACCTGCAGTATTACCCTTTTCATTCTTTAAATCATAATAAGCCCAAACAAATATAGTTTCAATAGTTAAAAACATATAAAATGCTAATAAATATTTTTGTAATGGTAATAATTCATGTTTATGTTTCCAGAAGGCAAAGGAATATAATGCCATGGCAACAACATAACAAATTGCTAATAAACCATATAATGGCAAATTATTAACTTCAGAACCTGCAAGATGACCATAAGCATTTCTAAAATTAATTGTAGCTTTAAATTTAACGTTTGAATCACTTTGGAACGCGCTAACACAATAGTAACCTGTATTACTAATTGGATATTTTGTATCATGAAGACCTAGTTCATTTTGAGAAAAGGTCATAATTGGATTAACCAATGTTCTATTACTACCACTATATGGATCATAGACTGTATCAGTAATAATAAATTCACCTTCATGGTCCTCAGTACATAAACCTAAACGAATAGCATAATCATCACATAAATAGTAATGTTCACCATCACTTAAGTCGACACCTAAATGTTCAAAATCTTGGAAATCGTAAATTGCAACAATTACGTCACCACCGTCATTGATTTCTTTTAGATTAAAAGAAATGAACGGATCGACTTTCCCGCCCCAATCTTCTTTGGAATACATACCAGCACATATTTCATATTTATTTTCATCAATTGTTTCTCTATTAGCTAGTACAAGACTTGTAAAACTTAATAACAATAAAGTTATTGTCCTGAAACCAGTGAGATATTGAACCATTATTAACTTTTTCTCCCTTTTTTTATTTCTTCTGGTTTACTTGTTATATTCAAAATTAAAATCGATAGCACAAACTGCAGAAGTAGAAAACAGAGCAAAAATATAACTAGACTAAAGTAGCAGATCGCAAAGCCAAATGTTTATTTGTGGAAAATCAAATAATAATCAAATAATAGCAATAGTTACAACTTTTCTTCAGCAGTTGATTATAATTGCGTATAGAAAACAGTCGATCAACTTACAGATATATCTATATATATATATCTATCAATATATCAATCCCTCTCCTCTTCTTCTCCTCTCCTAAAATTTACAAACTCTGCCCCCATTGTATAAACTAAATTGCAATTTCAAGATGTATATAATCTCTCTAAGTTCAAGTTTTCACACTTTGTTTCCCACGTCAAAAATTGAGATAAAAATCGTTGCGAGCCATTTTTGAATTCGGCGGTGGTCCCTGCCGCAGGGTTACCCGGCCGGCCTGCTCGGTCTTTCTTTTCCCGAGTCCTGCGGGTTTTCTGAGGAAATTTCCAGTGTAATTGCCGTTGTGGAAATGTAAGCAGCTGGGTTCTCCGGCTGTTTCCGTGGGGGATCCGTCATCACATCGTGTACAGTGATCGTATTCGGTTGACATTAGCAAATAACGTCATCAATCAGCACCTCAAGACACTCCTTTCAGCAATTTTGATGACAGCATTGATACGGCTTGGGTTGCAATTGCAATACACAGATCACCCATCGTTAAATAGAAGCGATTGGTTGACACTATACACAGTTGTTACTGGATTAGCAGACATGGGTAAAGTTCCATCGTCGATCGGAATACTAATTTGGGTGACCGGGTTAGAATCCATAAAACAGAAACATCATTTAGGATTTACTTATCAAGAATTAACTCAGCAAGGAACATTTCAAAGCTAGGACCTAGAACTCACTGGTTGTTTACCCTGATATATACTAGAATCATTCCGAGAGCTGATGGATGTGAAAGAGGTGGACTAGGAGAATGTGAAGTATTGCTGTCATCTGGAATATCGCATTTATACCAATATGGTCTGGCAATGTTGCTCTTCTTTGGCGACGACAAACAGAATGTTTTAGGTTTCATTCTTGGAAAAAGTGTATCGAGCTTTTAATGCCTTGAAATGTTATCTTTGTAAATTGCACTCGTAGCCACATATCGCGTTGTATAAGCATATAAACATATAATAGTTTCTTGGCTCTCTAATAACTTCTTTTTGATGATGTTCAGACATATCGAGGGAGAGTACTTCCTTCCTGGTCGATACAGTCCAGGACGTTTATATTTCTTCTATCTTCATCTAGAGCGGTATATTGGAAACCATATTGTTGCTCTATAACTGTCCTCATGATGCCTGCTTGCTGCCAACAACAATATTAAGTTTGCTGAAAAAACCTCTCCAATGGATCTATTTTTAATTTCTTCTTCTTCAAGATTTATATCTCAGTTTATATATAAATATATTTCTATAAATTCTAGATATCGATTAACAGCTAGAGGTTGGTGTATGATTTTGCAGAATTCTTCACGCTTTCAATAATTTCGTATAATATTGGAAAAGCCATGAAATGCCAAACCTCAAAGTAACCACATTATATATATCATTATTACACTCTACATACTCCGGTAAAGCATTTTCCTATATTGAACTTTAGTGATAGAAAATCGTAATTCTGGGACCCAATTTTTGGTGGTGTGCGATATATGCTCATTTCAATTGAAACTAGGGTAACCATATTTGAATACAAATGTTTACAACAAACTATATATACATACACATTAACTTTGCAATGCCCTCAATCTTTCCTTCATGTCACTCAACATCTTATCTGCTTCCTCATCGATATTCTCCTCGGAAACCTCTTGTTCCGTTTCGTTGGCAACAGGCTCTGGTAATTCCGGTGTAGTAGTTGGAATTTCATCAACAGCAGCAAATTTTTGCGTTGTGTACTGCTCTACAATCTTATTGACTTCTTCATTGACTTCCTCATCCAATTCTTCGTCTTCATCTATGGACTCCATAGTGTCGTCGATCATCTCTGTAATGATTCCCGATTTCATCAACTCTTTCTCCAATTCAACCATAGTGTTCCGTATTTGAGGTAATCGTACCAACGAATTGACCTCTCTCATTAAATCTGTATTGTTAGCCATCTGTGTAGTCAACGTTTTCATCTTGTACGCTTCTTCTATTTTCATTCCAACAGATTCCAATTGAGCCTTTGACGTATATAATCTGGAGTATTGCTTATTGATCCCATATAATTCCTTTGCAAATATTTTCACAGTCTTTATATCATTTTTCTTAGCTGCTCTCCTGATTAATTGTTTGGATTTATTTTGCAGCTGGCTCAGTTCATTTAATGACCTATCTACACTTCTACCATTCTTTCTTAAAATACCTTTTATCTTCCGATGTTGCTCCTTCTCATCGGGCCCCCACAGAGCTTTCTTAAAATAATCCATTGTTGGTTAAAAAACAAAACCAATTTAACAAATACGAAGAAGTAAAACAAAGGGTTTCTTTTCTTTTCAGTACATTAACGCACTCGACACCATCAAACAAACCTATATAGCTTCTATTTCTGCCTTCTTGATATTTCATCTTTGTAAAATGTACGTATATTTGATGATCATGATGGCTCCTCCTTCAATACGTTTTTTCGTTTTGGGTTTTAATTTTCTGCTTACTTTGACTACCCGTAGATAGCACTCAAAAAAGTAAATGAAGTAATGATAATAATAAAGAATTTGAATAAATGGGAGACAAATAATTATCATCTGATATAAAGGCTACTTAAGTTTTAGTAGTAGTGTTAAAATATCGAGCACAACGACTCTGTTACTAATACATACATATATGTAAATGTTTTATGTAATATAATACAAACAGGGTTTGGTAAAATGTCTTAAGTATATGATCTACTTCGATGAATTAATGACTATTTCCCGTACTTTGAGAAAAAAAGTTAGAAGATGATGATAGTAACCTTGTGACCATCGGTCACCGTGATACATAGAGGAGGGGAAAACATTTCAATTATCTTCATTCATGTAATAGTTTATTGTTATTTTTTGGTTAATTATCCATTGTCGAATGTTTTTTTCCATTTTATATTTCACTAGTAGGTGTTCCAAAGATATTCGATCTATCTACTCTTTTTATTTTAGTCTTTGTTTTGGAAGGAATTGCCTCAAAATCATCAGAATCGCTTTCATAGACGGTATGTTCAATATGTTTCTTAGTCTTGCTAGTTGGCTTGCCACCATTATTATCATTACTGGAAGAATCTAACATGTTTTGAAGTTCTTCAAGTCGTTGTTGTAATGACACTTTCCTCTTTTCATTTTGCTGCCTTATATTAAGTTTGTTTTGCAACACACGTATCTGATCTTCTAACAATTGTAATTCCGATGATTCTGTCATTAATATATCAGTGTCCGTCGGATGCACACTGGATGATTGTCTAGTTTTAGGGGTCTGACCTTCTTCATACGAATCACTTAGAATTCGACTTATATGTTCCACGTTTTTTATTAATGTTTCAAGTTTTTGAGTATGTTGAATGTCTTCCTTTGATGTCTTCGCAGTTTTAAAACTACTTACATCGTCGTCGTCCTCATCGTCTTCGTTGTCGCTATCACCTACATGGCGGTTTGTAGGCCTATAAGGTGTCGTAGTGTTTTTCTCTCTTCTTTTATTTATTTGAATATAATCTGTAGGTTGGCTCATATTCTGAGACCTTGTTCTTTGTCTTTCTTCTGAATCTCTTCTATCTATTTCATTCTTATACCTGTCGGCCATTTCGGTATATTTCCATAGTTTAGATCTAAATTCATTGTTTTCTGCTTTCAATTCATTTATTTCCCTTTGTTTACCTTCCAACATAGTAGTCAATCGTTTATTTAGTTCTACTAATTCATTAAACGTTTGGGCAGATAATTTATATTCGGGAGGAAGGAATGTGTCATTTGCATTTACATTATTGCTATTACCGTATAGTTTGCCTTTACTGGAACCATTACCTTTTCTCAATGGATCATTGAAATAATACTTATCATCTACGTTGAATGCATTGGGCCTAACATTGCCAGTTCGTGACATATATCTTCTAGGTGTAGGCGAGATATTCATGCTCAAAGAATATGGAGATGAGAGTGTGTGTGTGTGGGGGGGGTGAGGAACTCAACAAAAACAGAAGAAAAAAAATCAGAGACGCTTGCGTTCTTCTGCTTGATTCAGGGATCAGTCGCAATGGAAGTTTGTATGTTTTAAACAAGATATGCTTATATGTTTATATACATTGTGTTCATCATTTTGTAAATACCAAAAAACTTTACTCGCGACGATAAATAAATAATTTGTTACAAAAGAAAAACAAACCTGACGCGTCATACAAAATAGTGGCAAGAAGTGCAATAACATAATCATCATCATCATCATAATCGTATGGAATGTCGAAATAAAGATATATATATATAAGCTTGTTCTATAATATGTAATGCATAATTAGATCTATATTTTGTGTATGTCTCTAATGAGAAAAAAGAACATGTGTATATATTAAGTACTCACAATTGATTTTACTCAATTTAAAATGCTCGCCACAGGAGAGCTTCCATGTTCTTTACGGGATGCAGTGTTTGGTTTAGTCTCCTCAGTGACTTTATCTGTTAATATACGCAACGAATCACTTGAAACTACGCTTTCTACCAATGATGGTAATTTTGATGTTTCGCTTTTCTGCCCAACATTTTCCTTTGATTCACCAACAGGACTTGTTGACTTGGCAGGTATACTATCGGAAGTAACCATTGATGCAATCGATGGACTCTTATCTTGAAGAGCACCGACAGGTGTCGTACTTGATTGAGTGGTAGATTCCTTTTCATCTGAGAGAATAACTTTCTCCTTGTTTTCATTCCCAACTAGACTTGTTATGCTTATCTGCTTTAGTTGTGAACCCGAAGATGGAGAGCCGTTAACTGATGTCTCCTTTGTAGAAGTCTCTGTAGATTTATTCTCTGCATTGCTTGGCGACACATTAGCAGAGGTCATAGCAGACCCGGTTATCACCGACGCAGATAACTGTTGTTGCTGTAGTTGTGGCGGAGGTGGAGGCGTTTCAATAGATGTCATGACAGGTAATTGTGGTGTGTATTGCGTTGGGTGTAAAGGTATTTGAGTTAATTGTGTAAGAGACTGGATTGGTTGTACTGGTACGTCTGCCACTGGTGAAACGTTATAACTGTTTCCAACCACTGGTGTTGTATTTTGCGATACTTGTTGTGAATTTATCTCAACTTGCGAACCATCTGCCATGGAACTTTGTTTTAAGAAAGATTTTATATCTTTAACGAATAACGGATATAATAAATCTACAATTTTTTCCTTTTGGGCAATTAAATAAGCTCTTTCAAAGGGAATCCAAACACCTTTTAAATGCATAGATCCAATCTTAACAACATTTCTCGCTTTTTCACCTCTTAATATACCATCTCTTCTACCACGAGTCATCTTAGTTACATTTAGTAGTTTTGTTCCATTAATCATATCATTATCTGCCCTACGGACCACTGACACTCCATTAGCTTCCACTTGATAACAAAGGGTCTTTTCATCTTCCCACATTGTAGTGATCATTCTAGGCTTAGCATATTGTTTTGCATGATAAGAATATGGATATACTTCCATCATAGGAACCATACCATTTGGTGCATATCCCATAGGAGCTTGCATAGGGAAAGTTTTTTGACTAGCCATCACAGGGTTCATCGCATAACCCATCTGTGCTTGTAATTCGTGAGGATCCTGAGAATACATGTACATTGGAGCTTGTTGTTGTGGCTGTTGTTGTTGTGGTTGTTGTTGCGGAGCAGGACCATTAGCAACTTGTGTCATATATGGATATTTCGCCATTGGACCTGGCACGGCCGTTGGTGTTTGAGCCTGTGGATAGTAGTAATAATAATAAGGTTGATTCATCTGCTGCTGCTGCTGCTGCTGCTGCTGCTGCTGCTGTTGTTGTTGTTGTTGCTGTTGAGCTATCTGTTGCTGAGCTATCTGCTGCTGTTGTGCTAGGTGCTGTTGCTGAGTCATTTGTTGCTGTTGAACTATTTGCTGCTGCTGCTGCTGCTGCTGGAATTGCCACTGTTCTGGAGTCATATACTGGTATGGTACACCGGCACCCATTTCTGCTGGCACACCAGCGGGATTCACGTTATGTAAGGAACTGTTATTAGCGTTCATAGTTTTAATCTTTATATTTTTTTTTACTTTTTTAAAAAAATAATAGAAAATGCAATTTGGTTAATTAAAAAAAAATTGGTATTGATATAGTATAATATTACAAAATGTGCTAGTGCAAATGATGATTTGAATAAAGAGAATTAATGATTAATGATGACGATAAGTGGCGATTATCTCGTGTTATAAGTCTAGTATTGATGATCTTGATGATGAAATAATATTTTTCGCTGTATGGCAAAAAATAAACAAACCGTAGATCCAGAGTTTCGTATATATGTATTATATATGTATATATATATATATGGAAATATTTAGTTGAGAGAGAGAGAAAGAAGATGAATGGGCAGTCCTTGGCGTGTTGTATTATTATTATGTAATATGATTATTAAATAATAAGTAAATAAATCCAGTTAATGGAAATTTCAATATTATATAATCTGGATTTTCATTGTGGCTCTGTCTGTCTCCTTTTCGTACAATTATTACTTTTTCTTGTTTTTTGCAGTCTACCTGATTTAAGAGTAAAACTCAGTTTAAGTTCTCTTAAAGAGAGAAAGAACAGAGAGATTTGATGGCTTGGTAAAGCTGAAGGTCAGAAACAATCGGAGTAAGCCGTGAAAAACATGGAGAAAGAACGAGACGTGAATGAGAATGCGAAACTTTAATATAGATTGGTTTTTGCTGCTGCTGGTGTTTGTTACTGTCTTGAGGTTTAGCCCCGTATAGATACACCAAAATGGTGGAAGATACTGTAAAAAGGAAAAGGAATCACGGAGTCGAGGGTAACTGCAAGAGGGAGACGCAGCAGAACGGACAAAGACAAAGTAAAAGCTTATAAATTCAGGACGATATTGAATGTACAACAATTAAGATTAAAGGATATTCTTTTATATGTAGAAGAAAAAACCCGAAGCACAGTAAAAAAGAAAGAAAGAAGAAATGGATAAAGTACTGCGGTCCACCATTTTTAATTTTAATTTTTATTCTGAAGAGACGAAGAGAGAGACTTGGTTACAGCAGTCGGGTCGTAAACAAAAAGTGGGGGGGAGCAGTAAGAAAACAAGAAGGAGGGGGAGACAAAGCGATAAAAAAATAAAAAAATACCTAAAGAGTGATTTGTACCCTTTCAAGCACAAAGAGAGGCAAAGGATGCAAAATGATGCAAAGGACTTGCCAATAGAAATATAAAAATACTATTTATTACTTTTCTGAAAAAGGTTTTACGAAGAATATACGGTAGAGACACCACTGTGAAAAAAGAAGAGGATCCCCCGACGACACAACATATATTCTTTGTTTAGTTTTTTAAGAAACGAACCTGTAAACAAGCCAGAAAAGCCGAGAAAATTCAAGAAACAGACAAACAATAAAAACGCAAAATGCGCAGGGAGTTGCTTATGGAATACTTCGAGTAGAACACGCAGAATGTGCGTTTACGAAAAAATAAAATAGAAAAACACAAATTTGCACAACGACATTTTGCGTGTTTTTCTTAAAGGCCACTCACACACACACACACACACGCAAAAATTATACAAATCTAACAAATATGCGTTTGAGTGTACGTGACTGATAGAAAGAAGAAAAAACAAGGGACAATCCCGCAGCAGTTGAACTCAGTTGCGGATCTAATAGCCGATCGTTCAATCGATCAAGAAATACCGTGGATGGAACAGAGTTTCTACGTTGTTTTCTCAGAAAGTAAATTGTAATTGAACTTTTTTTTTTTACCAGCTTGTCTTATTCAAATTATAACAAATGAATGGTGATGACAAATTTTCATAAAAAACGTAAAATAGGATTCTTATATTACGCAAATTTGTTCTGAAGAAGCATAGATGTGCGAATATCATTTGCTGTTTAATTCTAACGTATTTACCATCTTTCTTCAAAATAAACAATAGATCGACAAAAAGAACCAAAAAAAGCCAGAGAAGAATACGTGCAAGAAAACATAAAATCTAGTCTTGTCTTGTGGGATGGGATGGGATGCATTCTGTAGTGATGTCTTTTTCTATTACTCTTTACGGCTAACGCCTTTTTTTGAGGCCCGAAACAAAACAAAACAAAATTTATTATACTGAAAATGTTTAAAATGTTTAAAATATGCGTACTTCTGCGTTTGTGATAGGCAGATAATGCGCGAGCTATGGTTCTTTTCCTGAATAAGGAGGACATTTCATGCAGTACAAGAATCGTAGCAAAAGTTACAAAATATAATTAAATTTTTCTATTTTTTGAAGACAGCGAAAAGTTTTTCTGTCTATTTTGTGAAAAACCGGTTTTTCAAAATATCATACACGTTGTCTCGACGGAGGAGTACTTCCCCAGTATTTTCTTCCTTTAAACAATTAGCGTTACTATTAAGAATAACAATAAATTTGCATCCCACGGAAGATTGATTCGAACCGTACAAATCTGTTACTTCTTGTAAATCAAATTTGCTACTTTCACTTCACGTAAACTTTTATAAGATTATAACTTCTAGTATCAGTAGTAATTACTTCTCTCTACAAAGATGGCAAACACTACATTCTGTAATATATATCTATTTCTAAGATAGTTGGAGAATATACAATATGACTTTCGATGGTAGTAAAAAATTCAAAAAACTCCAAATAAAAAAAATTCTCATTTGCTAATATCATTATTAATAAAGACAATGTATATATGTACATAATTAAGTTAAACCCTAACCATCTCTATACACCTTGATAATCCTCTTTTGAGATACAATTGCATTTAATCTGCGTAAATATGTTGTACGGTAATTAAGTAGTTCATAACAGAAATATATGAATAAATGAAGTAAGCAGAAACTGATACGCAAGTTTTGATTATTCACACAGAAATAGTTGTACAACATAATATTACATACTTCTTTCATCTATATTTATGTCGAAAACGTCTCCTTTTCCAATGGTTGCCTGTTTCATTCCCTCTGTATTCTTCTGTATCCCCAATACTATTACAGAACACATCACAAATATAGTTATATAATGTATTTCTTTTTTCGTTCTCTACTTAATTATCCTGGCTCGCTTTTCTCTCTCTCACTCTGCTTTAATAGGATTAAACTAATAGTTTTATAAGAAATGCACTAGGAATATATAATAACTTGTACGTCATCTTTATATATCTAATTACTCTATTTGCAAGTATTAATGTTAGGTTGGCTTCTTTTCTTCTTTCTCGTCGTTAGCCAGCAATGAATGATGCAAAATAAAAAAAAGCTTTTTTACACGTAGAACTATAAACATATAACAAATCAACATATCTAATGTGCGTCACATACATCCCTCTCACATCTCTTGATGCAACAACTAACACTTGATATGTTTTATTTATTCATTTTTATTGTACTTTGGAAAGATGAATAATTCAACATATTAAGTATTACAATAAGAAAAACAAATATTAGTATATTGAGTTAATTTTATAAATACCTATTCGTCAAACAGGTGAAACAAAAGAAAACTATAAATAACTATTACATCATGCCGTTATCAATAAACGACTATGTCCTCCCGCAATATTGCTTTAATTGTATTTTCTTTTATCCCTCTTAAAATAAAATATGTTTGCTTTTTTGTTTTTTTTTGCACTACTGATTCACATACTTGTACGTCTAATTGTCTTGTTCCTATTAAAAATTCTCGTTCTCCTTTTAATTGACGTACATATTAAAGGAACGAAGGAAAGATATATACTCACGTTTTAGACATCACACATAAACAGTTTACATAGAAAATACAATACGAAAAGAGATCGTTCTTTCCCTGAATTATCAAAGCAAGCAGAAGCAAAGTATACACATTTACATTAAACCATTGGGAACAATTCGGTACGATATTGTTCTCTTGCTAAAAATAATGAAAGCTACTAACTAATATATATTTTGATCCCTCATCAGTAAGAGAGAGGAACCCCCCATTGAACGAAATATATATAAAATATAAGCATGTTCATAATCGGCGTTTGTATTCATTTTCCTGTTTATGTACATCATTTTATCTACTGGTTTCTTGTTGAACTTGTCAAAATACATATATAAAAGAAGAGGTTCAATATCCGGTTGTTTGGAAGTTTTTATACTTTTTCACTTTTCTCCTGCTAAAATACACCGCACGGATGTTTTTTAACATCATTATGAAAATAAAATAAAACGGAAAATGATAATCCTCTCCTAATCACCTATGTATAAAATTCTAAAAATATTTAATTTTATAACTACAATAAACTTTTAAGATTTATTAAACTTATTCCTTATTTGACCATATGATATTAAGAAAATCGAATTAAATACCCTCTTTTGGGGAGTTTACGTGAGAGGAGAAAATCGGATTTTCACTCGATGTCTGACAATGAAATGTGACGTAAAAATATGAATACAATAGGAAACAGTTACCTTACATGACTGACAGTTGTTATTGTTGTTGTAAACTTCACAGCAAATATATTGTCTTGTTAGTTGTATTATTCTAATTATATTAAATACCAATCTCTGGCAGAGGTGAATTCTTTGTTTAGTGCGATCGTCAATTAGAACAGATCGTTCACTCTTGATATCAGACCATAAGATATGAATATATATATCTTTGAGATAAGTAATTGCAACTGTTAATTGATGGTTGATATTTTAAAACCTAGATGATGTTACAGTATCATATAACTGAGAGAGCAATACCATAGGCAAATCTTAGAGATGACAATCAATCATAACAATTTTGCCGATAGCAGTCAGATATCTTATTTCTGATTCTACAAAAAATATGGTATATAGGCAAAAACAACAACATACCACGGAGTATATACTTCATATTGATGAACTTTTTTTTAGTAAAGTGTTTGACATATATCAACCAAGAAACATTGTAGAAACATTGATTTAAATCTCAATTGACATGAACAACTGCAATTTTATATGAAATCAACTCCCCATCTTGGCTTACCAGAGAAGCAAAAGATGTATATATATGCTCTTAGGGTTTCTCCATTTTATTGAACCCTATATCAATCATGTTATACGATACGCAGCTAGCTATCACTTGCAACGAGGAAGTCGTTCTTCAGTAATTTTATGTTTTTCGAAACCTTTGACGGCAATTTCCGGTGGCAAATAGAAATTTAACAAAAAATTAAAGGATTTTGATTTGCTTGGAGGTTGATTAAACAGTCATTCAGGGAATCCTTAAAATATTTTAGTTTGTTAAATTTAACCTCTATCTCTGTTATTAGTAGTGTCTATGTTACATTAGAATAACTATTCTATTATCGAATTTAACTTTCAGATATCGATACAATAAAACAAACAAACAAACAAACATGCTAAGATCATCTATTGTTCGTTCTCGTTCTTCTATTAGACCTATCGTACGTCGTTCTTACTCCAACTTCAAGGAAATTAAGTTTGGTGTTGAAGGTAGAGCCGCTTTGCTAAGAGGTGTTGAAACCCTTGCTGATGCCGTTTCTGCTACTTTAGGTCCAAAGGGTAGAAATGTTCTAATTGAACAACCTTTTGGTGCTCCAAAGATCACCAAGGATGGTGTTACTGTTGCAAAGGCCATCGTCCTAGAAGATAAGTTCGAAAACATGGGTGCCAAACTATTACAAGAAGTTGCATCAAAGACTAATGAAGCTGCTGGTGATGGTACTACTTCTGCCACTGTTTTAGGTAGAGCTATCTTTACTGAATCTGTTAAGAATGTCGCCGCTGGTTGCAACCCAATGGATCTAAGAAGAGGTTCTCAATTAGCTGTCCAAAAAGTTATTGACTTCTTAAGTGCTAATAGAAAAGAAATTACAACTTCTGCTGAAATTGCACAAGTTGCTACAATTTCTGCCAATGGTGATTCCCATGTTGGTAAATTATTGGCTTCCGCAATGGAAAAGGTAGGAAAAGAAGGTGTCATTACCATTAGAGAAGGTAGAACTCTGGAAGATGAATTAGAGGTCACAGAAGGTATGAGATTTGACCGTGGTTTTATCTCTCCTTACTTTATCACTGATGCCAAGTCTGGTAAAGTTGAATTTGAAAAGCCTTTGTTATTATTAAGTGAAAAGAAGATATCCTCTATTCAAGATATCTTACCTGCTTTGGAATTATCCAACCAAAACAGAAGACCATTATTAATCATTGCCGAAGATATTGATGGTGAAGCCTTGGCTGCTTGTATCTTGAATAAACTAAGAGGTCAAGTTAAGGTTTGTGCTGTTAAGGCTCCAGGTTTCGGTGATAACAGAAAGAACACTCTTGGTGATATTGCTGTGTTGACTGGTTCTACAGTATTCACTGAAGAATTGGACTTGAAACCAGAACAATGTACCATTGAACATCTAGGTTCATGTGACTCCATTACTATCACCAAAGAAGATACTGTTGTTCTAAACGGTAATGGTTCCAAGAGCTCCATCACTGAAAGAATTGAACAGATTAAGAATTCTATCGATGTCACCACTACAAACTCTTATGAAAAGGAGAAATTACAAGAACGTCTAGCTAAATTATCTGGTGGTGTTGCCGTTGTTCGTGTAGGTGGTTCTTCCGAAGTTGAAGTAGGAGAAAAGAAGGATCGTTATGATGATGCTCTAAATGCTACTAGAGCTGCTGTTGAACAAGGTATTCTACCAGGTGGTGGTACTGCTCTAGCCAAGGCATCTAGAATCCTAGATGACGTTGAAGTCGATAACTTTGACCAAAAACTAGGTGTCGATATTATTAGAAAGGCTATCACTAGACCAGCTAAGCAAATTATTGAAAATGCTGGTGAAGAAGGTTCCGTCATTGTCGGTAAGTTAATTGACGAATTTGGTGAAGACTTTGCCAAGGGTTATGATGCTGCTAAGGGTGAATATACCGATATGCTAGCTGCTGGTATCATTGATCCATTCAAGGTGGTAAAGTCTGGTCTAGTTGACGCTTCTGGTGTTGCTTCTCTATTAGCTACTACGGAAGTTGCTATTGTTGATGCTCCACAACCAGCCGGCCCAGTCGGTGGTGGTGCTCCAGGTGGTATGCCAGGTATGCCAGGTATGATGTAAGAACCGAAGTAACGAAATCATTCTAACTCTCGTTTTTTTTATCTAATTCAAGAACATCATCCATTCGTCATAATTACGTTAGTATTCAGGCAACTATACCCCCAGGAAACTGCGCAACAATAAAAGTGTTAGTCGTTTCAAGATAAAAGAATATTTGAAAACTTGTAAATATATATATAGTCATGTATAAATAATCTTATATATGAGAACTACACTTTGAAAATAAACAAAAAACTATATGCTTTACTAATATGGAAAGGTTGTGGAGGGTATTAATTTCTATATGGACTATGTAAAGTTTGGTTAATTTACAACTGTTCCTTTAATTTTCTCTTCGATCTCTATCTTTTTTTTCTCCAATTGCCTTGATCTTTCAAAGTAAAGGTTTGGATGTGCGATCAATGTCTGGTCATTAATTTCTGGATCATTACCATTGAAGTCATGTGTAAATTCAAACACTTTAGTATTTGCTGTTGTGTATTCACCTTTATTACAGGAGTCTAGTACACTACCGATTTGTGCTGGAGTTAGATTCATCTTTTGTAATTCAGAAGTCATTTTTTCGGAACTAAAATCTCTAAAAGGACATCCGTGGTAATCACCTCTGCCAGGTCTTGGTTTCGACAAAATGGTACGACAATCCCAGGGTTTATAATTAATTCTATTACCCTCTAGACCATAGTTATGTCTGAAATTATATCTATATTCTTTATTGAATTTTTCCGTTGTCATATGTCCACCATCTGTAAATGCCTTGGCAAAAAATTTCAATGATTCATCTGCAGTTAATCCAATACCTTTCAAAAACAAACTTAATTGTTGTCTACCATTGTATCTTAAATGATGATTAAGTTTAAGTCCCTCCATTAAATGTTTCACCGAAAGTGGATAATGTTTCATAATCTCTGGAGACCAAACCGATTCGGCATTAATTTCATTATCTGAGTTTTCACCATATTGACCATTATTTTGATCGAAGTCGGTAACTGTGTAACCGGATGAAAGATGTGTTAAAATTGGTAAAAGTCTATCGTCCTCATTTAATCTAGGCATATATTGAAAAGTCTTTATCAAGGAATTGCTGATATTATTGGAGAACTCAGACGCTAATAAGTTCAATTGTTGAAATTGTGGTAAATATGCGTACCCATTATTTATAAACACTTGACGATTCCCGACTAATTCAATAACATTTTCAAATGGTAGTTTAATATACCTTTCACGTGCAAAATAAGCTTTACGTTGTTGTTCATCGGTTAAATTCAGTTGGAATTGCAATAAAGGTGATGCTGTCTGATATAACTGTTGAGATAATTGATTCTTTTCTTCATCAGAGATAAATTGAAGTAATGGCAAATTCAATGATTGGACAAATTTAGTCTGGTCAACTGCTGTCAGCATATTAAATCTGATCTTAAATAATAAAGTTTCAGATCTGATAAAACTTTCTCTTAATTCCTTTGTACGACAGAAACACAATCTTAGAATATAATGAGAATAATAATCTTTCTTCTTCTCTAAAAATGAATCGTTAGCATTTGAAAATGATGCTAACGTAGATGGTAATAGTTTTTGTAATTGAGGTTTAATTATAGTAGCGATTTCTTTGACAGATTTATTTCTCGAAATAGACGATTGAATCTCTTGTAAAATCTTTAATCTGTCAATAGCCCAAGTTTCGAATTCCTCCAATGTAATCTCACCTTGCGGAGGTAATTCATAGAAATTCAACTTCGTCTTACTAATGTTACTGTAAAGTTTCTGTTCATCCAGAGAAAGTGATCCATTAGAAGTAAACCCTGTGATTCCATTTTCCAACTTGATCGAAGTGTTACTATCTTCAAACGAAAGATCGTTATTCCTTCTAGCTGCCAGTCTTCTCTTATTCTGTCTAAACATTTGTTATTATGGAGAGTGTTATTTAACAGTAACCAAATCAGTACTGAACTAGTTGTATATCAAAGTTGCAACTGTTTTTGATGTCTTTTTGGTAAAATGGTTTTTATATCTAATTGTTTACAAATAACGCGTAATTGTATAATCACTATTATTACTAAAGTGTTACGCGATTTCACAAATTTGGCGTCTCTCGAGAAGATCGCTATGAACGAGCGGGTTACAGCTTTCGGAGGTACTTTTGAAGCTTTAAAGGAATATCTAGCCGCTGAAAGAGAGATAAGCCCACTTTCTTATAAAACATCAACTGCGTTTCATTCATATTGTTAAATGAATAAAAGTAAAACTATCATATGCTTTCTTACTACACGAGAAGTGAACAAGCTATTTAAGGCATATAGTTAGGTTGAACATTGCACCATATGTTATGTCCAGAGCAGCAGTGCAACTTTGAAACGTCTAAAGATATAAAAATTCATAAACTGACAATTCTAAATAACATGTTTTGGAATGTGTGATTTTATCTGGTTAATATACTCGGACGTGAGAATGTCCCTCGAACGATGAGGAACGTTTCCAGTGGGATCTTATCCTTCACATTTGTTCTTCCACATCGTTCACATATTTATAACCCATAAACACAACTGGTAAAGCTGACAATTCCATCATTATTATACCTAATTTTCGCTAGCCTCATCATTCGTGGATCCCATTCATGGATCCCATTCATGGATCCCATTCGTGGATTCTATTTTTAGCTGCCAACCTATCTCAATCGTGTGATCTCAGAGGGTTACCCTCACGGACATTTTATGAATTTTCCATTTTTGGAATTTCTAAGCCCTTCTCAATTAATTTTTACAAAAAATTCGTTTGTTACCGGAAAAGAGAGAGAGAACATTGAGAACCTTTCTGAAAATTATGTGAAGTTCGTTCTTACAATTTAGTGAAGCAGGCTAAGTTGCCGGACCTCCTACTAGAAATTATGTATGATTACAATAAAATTGTAAATCAGTTTTAAGAACTAAAGTACTCGAAAGCTAGTTTTTGATCTAAATAGTTCAGATCCTAAGGCATAAATATCATACAAAGTTTGAAGACTCAGCTCAATAAAGAAATCCCTTTTTCATTATACAATAATATAGTGATCTTTTTGAGGAATTTTATTTTTTTAAAGAGAAGTTTATTTGGTATACAAGATTCACTCACATATATTTATTGGATAATATTTTGCAAAGAGATAAGATAAAATAAATTATGGTATCGTTACAGTTTTCGTCGGCATTGTTATGGACGACTCTGTTCCTTACCAGCAAAGTCACTGCTGTGGAACTAGATTTAGACAGTTTTGAATCCCTCGAGAATGCTACCTCGTTGGTTGCATACGGTATGATGGACTATTATACTGGTGACCAATATGGTAAGACCATCGGTATGTTCTCCGATCCATACTATTGGTGGGAAGCTGGTGGTGCGTGGGGTTGTATCTTAGATTACTGGTATTATATGGACAATGACACTTATAACGATAAATTCATGGCAGCTATGTTGCACCAAACTGGTGATAATCACGATTATATTCCATTGAATCAATCCACTACTGAAGGTAATGATGATCAAGCCTTTTGGGGTATTGCTGCCATGACTGCAGCAGAAAGAAATTTTACTAACCCACCTGAAGGGAGTCCTCAATGGCTATATTTAGCGCAAGCTGTTTTCAACACTATGGCTTTGCGTTGGGACGCAGACACATGTGGTGGTGGTCTAAGATGGCAAATTTTCGTTTGGAATTCTGGTTATGATTATAAGAATTCTGTCTCTAATGGTGCTTTATTCCACATGGCTGCTAGATTAGCTAGATATACAGGTAATTCAAGTTACACAGATTGGGCTGAAAAGGTTTATGACTGGATGTGGGACGTTAATGTTATCTCTCATGGTGACTATATGTTTGTCTATGATGGTGTTAGTGTTAACAATTGTTCTCAGGTGACTCCTTATCAATGGACTTATAATCAAGGTCTATTACTTGCAGGTTGTGCTTATCTGTATAATTTTACTGGTAATGATACATGGCATCAAAGAACTTTGAAGCTATTAAATTCTTCTTCTGTGTTTTTTAACAATAGTATATTATATGAAGCTGCCTGTCAGCCAAGAGACACCTGTAATACAGATCAACGTTCTTTCAAAGCTTATTTCTCACGTTTCCTTGGTGCTACTGCTCAATTGGTCCCTGAAAGTAGAAAGCAAATTATGGAATGGATCAACACATCAGCTGTTGGTGCTGCCCAGGCTTGTTCAGGTGGTACTGATGGTCACACTTGTGGTACCAATTGGTTCGCTGATGGTTGGGATGGTAAGTATGGTCTAGGTGAACAAATGGCTGCTCTTGAAATTATGGTAAACACTAGGGCTCTACATAAGCCCGCTCCATATACAGCACAGGATGGTGGTTCTTCACAGGGTGATGGTGCTGCTGGTACAGAGGCCCATGCCACGAATTTGAATCCTTTGAATATTACTGCTGGTTCTAGAGCTGCCGCTGGTATTATCACTGCAGTTATCGGTATCTCTATTGTGGCATGTGCTTTATGGTTAGTCTTTTAATAGACTTTGAACTATGATGAGTTTCTCTGGGTTTTTTTAGCCTAGATCATTTTGTAAACTACTAAAATCCATTGCACGTACAAACCATTTCATTTATTATATATATCTATATTTAATACATAACTATTACATAAGTTCCTGAATCCTTTTTTTTCTAAATTATGGAACAATAGTATGATAAAGACGATTATAACAAACGCCAATAGTTTGAAGAACTTACTGTGATTGATTTTTGGAACCATCTTAGAGCTAACAGCTCCACAAAACGATAGTCTTGATAACTGAAACAGTCAAGTTCTAATGGAAGAAGATCAGAAGGGGAGAGTATATGTTCTCCATTTGATAGAAGAAGTTTTAAATTCTGGTACAGCAATTTTGTCTTTTCTTCAAAATATTCTAAGATATGGTTTGTTCCATCTAGTTCAACAGGGCTTCCTCTTAACATCATGGCGTGATAATAACTTGGTTTGATAGTTCCTGCAGTTAACCAGTAGTAGAAATTATCAATTAGGAATTGCAACCATGAGAGTGGTTCTGTCTGGATATGCATTTGTGTGGACAATTTAATTTGTCCATTAAAGAAAAATGTAAAAGTCTCTAAATCGTGGGGTGTTGCCTTTATATCGTTACCTTTATTATCTTGTATCGATATTGGGAAGCTTGGTTGTATCATGTCTTCCAGGGATCCTATGGCTGGTAATCGTATAACAATATCATAGATTTCCTCTCGGTATACAAGTACTTCATCACTGGTGCATGCGATATATCCTCTGTCACTATCGATTAAATGATCAATATCGATAGTTCCTATCGTGTAAAGTAATTCTTGGGGAGTAAGAGAATTTGTAGAAGTACAACAGTCGGACAGTTTTGAAATACAAAGTGCTAATGAGTTACACATGTCAAACGAGCCACCAGCTGGATTTAAAATAATGATCCTTTTATTTACAAGACATGACTTCCATACAGTAAATATCAAAGGACCAAATTTTGTAATCCAAAATGGGAGATATTCGATCATTTTCTTTCTGGTCAGTCGGTTATTCGTTGGTATATGACGATTAGCATAGAATTGTGAAAAGGTATCAAAATTGTTAGTTTGTAACCAATCATTCAATAAATATTCGAGATCAGCCACATATTTATCGATCTCTATCTCATTTGCCTCTATAATAAATCCTAATGAATACATTTTCACTTGGCTCCTATCAATCTGACCATTTTCTCTTATATCTTGATCAAAGCTATTCTGACAGAAATAACTAATACCATGGTAACTTTTTGTTGGATGTTTTTCATCTATAACCATGAAGTTTACCACATCATCGCTGGATTCATGGATTCCTGACGGTAAAGCCTTGAATTCAAGGTTCCTAAAATTATTGCAATCTTTTTGCCATACTATGACATTCCCTTTCTTCATATCAAATTGGGATAAAAACATCCCCACTATTGAGGAGCTATTGTGAGATGACATCCTACTTTGGATAGTTGGTGGTCTGTGTGTTTATTTTTTTTTTTTGATTTCATGCTGTTTGGTTAGTTCTTGTTACCTTTATAAATAACACTTTTTAAGGCTTATAGGATTTATTTCGGATATTCTAAATCATACCACTATGATATAGAAACTATTCCGTGAGAAATATTCAAGGATATGGGAGAAGGAGGTTCTTTTGAAAGAAGTAATAGGCGACAATTACAACGAGATATTGAAAACTGTGTTCATATCTTGCAAGAAGGTGTAGATACAGAAGCAGCAGAGGCGATATCTGTCTTTAGCAATAAAAGTACCTCCAATGAAAAATGGGCCGCAACATTAGCTGGAACTTATCAAATCAAGACTGATGAGGAATTTCAATCATTTGAGTCTGATAAGAAGGTGTATATAGAGAAGGTTGATAAACTTCAGGAAGAAGTTGAATATTTTGAGAGGCTTTGTAATGAAATGGAAGAGTTAAGTGAAGAATTGGCAGTGAAAACCAAAGTAGAACGTGGTAGATGATGAATATTTATTTTATTTAACAACCTTGTTCTGCAAGGTTATGTGTAATATTTACATAGAGTTGAAGGATAGATTCTGGATTCTTTTTATTTTGTATCAAATGTTCATATGTGTCATGAAATTTATTTCGCCAATTAATAATATCTAAATGATCAATATTTGGTAAAGTACCCATATATTTCCCCCAATGACTACTCTTTACTGTTACCATCCCATCATTTGGTTCACCATTAGTGGCGTAATTAATAATGCTCCAAGTTAATGCAAATGAACTATACCATTTGGGACTAAAATAGGCACCATATGAAAAATATTTGACGTTAGGATCATCAGGAGTGATGTTGTTAAAATATTGAGCATAGTATGTTGTAAGTTGATAGTAACACATGGGGAGTAAAGGACCATTATTATTTAAAGTTTGGCGAATCTTTCCAAATTGTCCTACAACATAATTTGCCACTTCTGAACCACCATGAGGTGTCGACAAAGTTGTCAGGCTTGCGACTTCATAATTCTTTTCATGTTTGGGGATCCTTGAGATTAAATATCTACAATCGAGTCCTCCCATTGAATGGGCAATAAAATTAAATTTGGTTGCATCTTTCTTAGTTGGTAATTTTTGATTGACCACTGCATTTAATATTTTATTTAATGAGAGAGCTCTTTCTTCTATACTTCCAAAGGGCGGAACTTTTGTAATGAAAACGGTGCAACCCTTAGCCTCCAAGATCCGTTTCACTCCAATCCAATACTCTACTTCCAAGACGTTCTTCTTTACCTCATCTTGTTTCTCAGTCATTACGAAATATTCCGAATTAATGTTACTAACCGCATTAGAGATAACGTTAATTAGGGTTCTAACAGAAGGGATCAAAATTAAAGTATCAAACCCAGAAAGACCATGGCAAAGTATGATTGGATGTTTTGGTGGGGTATACTTGGCATAGTTAGGTCTAGTGAGTCGAGAAGTTGTGGTGTTTTCTGTTGAAGTTAAGTTTTGGTACGTTGAAACAAAATTGGAAACAAGTGGATCACCACTTAGAGAAGATACATGTTTGAGTGAGTAAGACTGTGGTTTAGGTTTATTAAATGGGTAGGGCAATGATAACATTTCGATGTAAGTGTGTAGGAGGGCAGGACTGATTAGTATTTTTCCTTTTATTGATTAGATCATATTAGGTTTCATCAAAAGTGGAAATTTCTCTCATTAATCATGTATACACAATAAGAATTACATACAGTAAATTTGAGATTATAAAAAAATTTTATATTATTAAACGGTTAAAAACAAATTATGTATAATTAATCATAAATACATAACTTATAAAGTGTTTTGAGTTCTGAAAACTTCGAAAGCGTGAGCAATTCTGATAGTCATGGTCTTTTCACCTTCTCTAACCCAGACTCTTGGGTCGAAGAACTTCTTGTTTGGAGATTCTGGACCAGTTGGGTTACCGACCATAGACATGATGTAGTCCTTCTTGTTTAGGACGTAGTCACGAATACCAGTCAAGTAAGCGTATTGACAGTCAGTGTCCAAGTTAACCTTGACGACACCGTTGTCGATACCAATGTGGAATTGTTCGTCAGTAGAACCGGAACCACCGTGGAAGACAAGGTATAGAGGCTTGGAACCAGCTGGAGCACCTAGCTTTTCAGCAGTGTACTTTTGGTGGTCGGCCAAGATTTCTGGAGCCAAAGCCATGGTACCGGCGTAAACACCGTGAACGTTACCGAAAGCAGCAGCAATGGAGAAGTTTGGAGAGATTGGAGCTAGAGCTTCGTGGACAGCGAAGACTTGAGCTGGCTTAGTGTATAGAGCATCTCTTTCAACACCAGAGTTGTCAACACCATCTTCTTCACCACCGGTGATACCGATTTCCATTTCTAACCATTGTTGCATGACGGCCATTCTCTTGAAGTACTTGACACAAGTACCGATGTTTTCTTCATCGGATTCTTCGGAAAGATCCAACATATGGGAAGAGAATAGAGGTTCACCGTTAGCCTTGAAGTAAGCTTCGTCAGCAGCTAGCATACCGTCGTACCATGGCAATAGCTTCTTGGCACAATGATCGGAATGTAGGATGATTGGGATTTCGTAAGCAGAAGCAATGGATCTGATGTAGTGAGCAGCGGCGATGGAACCTCTGATGGCGGCGTTTTGACCGTCGTTGGAGACACCCTTACCGGCGAAGTAAGCGGCACCACCGTTAGAGGTTTGTAGAATGATTGGACATTTGTTGTCTCTGGCGGCTTCTAGAGCAGCAACAACGGTGGAAGAAGAAGTAACGTTGATGGCTGGGATAGCAAACTTGTGTTGCTTAGCGTAGTCAAAGACAGCTCTGACATCGTCACCGACAATAACACCGGTCTTTCTCTTAATAACGTCTAGGATACCCATTTTTGTTTAATGTATAATTTAATATATATGTGAGGATGGTGAGATAGGAACAAAACAGAAAAGAATGTAATAAGAGAAAAGAAGAAAAAATAGAATAGTGATAGAGAAGGCAAGTTTGAAATATAATAATTTAAATAGGTCTAGAGTTTATATAACAATTTTTACAAAATATTTTGAAAACAATTTAATGAGACGAGAGCTCTGTCATTGTCGAAAACTTCCAAGTGCAGTACCAGTTCCATCGCAGTTCGACGTCGTGAGATGTAAAAAATTTCAGTATTTGATTAAATAATCCAATATTGAAAGTTTTCAGCATTGGATTATTTTAGTGGCAGCAGCAGCAGCAGCCAGCGGGCTGCGCAACCTCTGATGATGATGTCAGCGCAGCTTCCTCATTTGCGGGTGTGTGGGTGGTGTGTCTGTGGTGGGGTGTCTGCAGTGGTGGGTGGGTGCCGGGGATTAGTGGATGCCCGGCCGCGCTAACAAGGGTTCTCGGCGGTTTCCCGTGGCACCGGCACCGGCACTGGAAGCTGGGGCGCGTTGTCACAGTGCACGGCGCGAATCCGCGGTATAAAAAAGAAACTGCAATTCCCGTTAGGGTTGGCAGTGAGGGCTACAGGGGGATGGGATCATCCCACCCTACCTTCCCCACGCCATGCCACGCGGGCAGGGTCTTACTGCCTATTGCAATGACAGTAATAAGCAAAGGTTGTATAACAATGCTACTATTAATAGTGGAAAGGGACAGGCAGAGGATATGTGATCTTGCGGTTCACGGTATATAAATCTTGCAGTGTTGTTTTGTTCACTATATAAGAGATATATGACTTGAAGTAATGCTTATTTGAAGTAATGCTTATTTGGGGAATGGTCCAGGTGGCATAAATGGCGGGAACATAGGGAAAGGCATCATTGGTGGTGGCATCATTGGTTTTAATTTCTTGTCAATATGTGTAGTAGTGGTATTCTCAGTACTGTTGTCGTTATCACTATCCTTACTGTTGTTCGTCTCTAGATATTTATCAACTTTCTCTTGCGTCTCTTCATCCTTGATCAACGAATCCAATAACGTATCTTCGCTGTGGCACAATGGACATATGAAATCATTCTCTAATAACGAATCCTCCATTGCCACTCTCGAAACAGCCTTATTACAACATTTCGATGTCCGTACAGGATCTCTTAATAACCCTTGCGTCAACGGACACTTCAATTCCTCTGGTAAATCCTTGAAATGATCCTTCTCCCAGATCGCATCCTTTGAGTTCATAGTTCGATGTTGTTGTTTCCTTTGGTAATCCTCCCATGAATGTTCATCTGCCACTTGAACAACAAACTTACCTTCGTCAGTAACCATAATCTTTCGCTGTGCCATCTCCTCCGGTGTTATCGACTCTGGATCAATCTCAATGCTCTTTAAAAACTTCTTTGGAATACCCGTGGTACGTCTAATACGTTTCCCTTCAAAATTAGGATCGGTATTCGTTGGACAATTCTTGATCCAATGATCTCTGGAACCACATCGATAACACATATACCCTGGCGGAGGTGGGCCATCATCAGCATTACCACTATTATGTGAATTGTTCTTGAAAAATATAGGCGTCGCACTGGACATCTCTTGTTGTGTTTGTTCCCATTGATTTTCTTGATTTGCAAACATATTCGCAATTCGATCTTCCTCACTCACAGTGTTACTACTATTATTATTACTGTTATTTGTCATTGCACTTGGACCAGGACGTTTTGAGGTTGTATTAAATACACGAGGTCTACCTGTCACGTATCTAGCTGCATTACCAATCATCTTATGTGGAGTTCTGTTACTAGTGCTCCCACCTCCCATATTGATCTTCACTGCAGCAGGCGACCGTCTTGCAATGATACTGCTTGAACGTGCAATCACAGTTTGATCCTCGTCGTATTCCTCGTCGGTGTCAGGATTGTATATACGTAATTGGAAATCAACACCATCGCCTAGTTTGTTCTCTTGAATTATTTCCCGTTTAAGATCAAACACTGTTAGCCCAGTCCCATCAAATAAGATTCTGGAAGGTTCACGTTGCGACTTCCAACGATAAAATATAGTACTACTCATATCGATAGGTATATACTCTTTCTCTATTTCTCTTTATCACTCTTTGTCCTGGTCTATATCTGTGTAGTTTGGCATATCTTTTTCAAAAATATCGGTTCTTCCCTTCCCCCAAAAAAATAATCGCTACTTTTCAGTTTATTGAAATTTAATGAATTTTGAATATATACATGTATATATATATATATATTATGTAAGAACATCATCAACATAATAACACACAGAGACGCAAACGCACATACACATACAAAGGCCATACACTATACACAGGCATAAAGATGGCTGTACCCGGATACTACGAACTATATAGAAGAGGTACAATCGGAAACAGTTTGGTCGATGCGTTGGATACATTGATTAGTGATGGTAGAATAGAGGCCTCTTTGGCCATGAGAGTGTTAGAAACATTTGATAAAGTCGTTGCAGAGACTTTAAAGGAAAAGACGCAATCAAAGCTGACCGTCAAGGGTAATTTGGATACATATGGGTTTTGTGATGACGTCTGGACGTTCATTGTTAAGAAATGTAAAGTCACTGTAGAAGGGAACCCCGAAGAAGCCGATTCTCAAACTATTATTAATGTTGACAAATTAAGAATCGTTGCATGTAACTCTAAGAAGAGTGAATAAAACTAAACATGGGGTTTCTTGCTAGAAATCTGAATTTTATTAATACGTAAATATATAAATTATAAAAAAATAATTATATCTAGATCTTTTCAGCCTTGACACCGTGCTTCCAGATAGCAACAAATGGAGTGGTACCATCCTCACGGTAGTTCAACATGATGATCATGGCATCTGGGTCCATGGATTCACCAGTGAAGAATTCCCAGTCCTTGAAAGAACCAATGACCTTCTTGACGTAGGCTTGAGCACCCTTTTCGAAAACTGGGATAGCTTCTGGGTCAGTCTCGGTCAATTTACCTTTGACGGCCTTCATGTAAGCCTTGATGTAAGTAACAAAGGACTTCTTGTCGAAACCGGTTGGTTGTAATCTGAAAGAGTGAACAACGTTGTTGACCATTTCAGCACCTTCTTCAAGATCATCGTCACCATCTTCAGCAGATGGGTTAGCACCAATATCAATGTTGTCACCACCGACCTTGATCATAGCACAGTCAGCTTCGTAAATGACTTCGTCAACCAACTTTAAGTCGTAAGCATCGGATAGTAATTCATCACCAGAGAAAAGGTCGTTGTAGATAATCATTGTGTATAGAAGTTAAATAGAGGAGTTCACGTGGATATTGAAACTAAAAAACAAAACAAAACAAAACGAAAATATCTATAAATATATATATATATGTATGCGAATAAAATCCCCTTAGGTTCAACAAATATTCAAACACTTGTGTATATATATATATTCAATGACATTCTCATCGTCTCATCCTTATTCAAACAAATTAAACTGAAAAATTTTTTTTCCAGTTTGGCCAACGAAAAAGAAAAGAAGCTGAAAATTTTTTCAAAATTTATGCCAGCACGTTGCTCGTGCAGCGTGATCTCCCAGTGCTCATCGAGTTTGCATCTCGTTTGTATTCCCCTTTCAGGTGCAGGTGCTGCTGTTGTTACCGGAGTATATCTGCCATACCTTTGCGGCTACTTCATCTGGGGTATGAGTCGGTAGACCTATCAGAGAATCTACTAATTGAGCCTTTGCGGTGGGATCCATCTCATTAGTCATGTCTGTTCCAGAGACAAGACCTGGCGAGACGGATTCCGCACGTATGCCCCAGGTGGTTATTTCTTGTGTGAGAACTCTTGTGTATTGAGTCAATGCAGCCTTTGAAGCAGAGTATACTGTTGTTCCGGGGATGGTCATGTTTGGTTCTCCTAAAATCGACGAAATGTTTATGATACACGGTGAGACATATCCTGGGATGCAATGTTTTGATGATAAATCTTGTCGTACAGTCTTCATCATTTGTTTTGTAGCTAAATTAGAAAGAGTCACACAACTGGCAAAATTTAAATTCATGATTCTTGCAATTTGTTCAGTAGAGGACCTTACACTCAATGAATGTTGTGCAACCCCTGCACAATTGACTAATAAACTTATAAAATATTGAGTTCTAGGTGTATCCCACAGTTGTTGGTTTACCTTTGGAAATAATCGATATTGGCCTGATAGGATCTTATCACTAGTGTCCCCTTGAAAATCTCTGCCAGGATATGTTCCCTTTGAATTTAACGTCCACTGAGGCCATTGCGATAAATCAATAGCCAATGCACGATGTTTCTGGTATGGATTGACAAAATGTAAATGTTCTTGTACTGTAATTTGAGAGATACTTTGTTCTGTAGACCCAATTAATACGCAACTCATACCTTCCTTCGATAATCGAGACGCAATGGCTTTACCGATACCTCTAGTGGCACCGGTGACAATAGCAACAGGTACGTGGTTCATAATTATTGGTTAGTTTTCCAGGTTTTGCTGTTTCCTTATACCCTTTTAATATATGTATTGTTCTTTTGTCAGGCAGTGCAGTCGTCCTTTTCTCTAATACAGGGCAACGAAAAAATAACTCAACGTAAAGTAATACAAAAATAAGAAAATGATTATTAACGACCAAATAGGTCATCAAAGATTACTATTACATTATACATAAATACTTTTTTTTACTTATGTATATATGTTGTATGTGTGAATACGTGAATGTGTATTCCCTTTAAGAATTTGATTTGGGAATATATATGCATGTGTCAGGGTGGAACTAGGCTATATTTAATAGAAACCTCTGGACCCTTGTTGTTGGTTCCCGTTACCAGTGGTGGAACTTCCGTAATCGTAGCCGTTGTAACCATATGGAACACCTTGTTGAGCAGCAGCGGCGGCGGCGGCGGCAGCTTGTTGTTGTTGTTGTTGCTGTTGTTGTTGCTGTTGTTGTTGGAATTGATAGTATTGTTGCAATTGGATTTGTTGCATGTTCATTTGTTGCTGGTTTGCATCGCCTTGTTGCAATTGACCTGGGGTTTGACCTGGGGTTTGACCAGAGGAAGTAGCACCTGGGGCAGCTGGGGATTCACCGTTGCCTTGTGGTGGTTGTTGTGGTTGTACTTGTGGTTGTTGTTGGCCAGCATAGTAATTGTAGTTGTTCTTTGGAACTTGGTATGGATATTGGCCATTGACGCCATATTGAGGTTGAGCGTATGGCATAGATTGTTGATAGAAATGGTTGTAGTATGGCATGAAAGAGTTGCCGTACATTTGTTGCTGCTGTTGTTGACTCATATTGTTCATTAATGGGTTGGCAGCAGCAGATGAGGCATCGCCAGCAGTACCAGGTTCACCAGCAGCAGCAGCAGAAGCGTTACCAAAACCACCATGTTGCGCGTTGCTGTATTGGTTGTTCATGCCCATGTTTTGGTTATTAGCTTGGTTGAAGCCATAGGATTGGTTGTCAAACATGCCTGGGTAATTGTAACCAAATTGGTTTTGGTACATGTAGTATTGTTGTTGTTGAGCAGCTTGTGCTTGAGCCTGGGCTTGAGCTTGGGCATGGGCTTGGGCTTGAGCTTGGGCTTGGGCTTGTAGCTGAGCAGCAGCGTCACCAGCAACTGGGGTTGCGACATCGCCAGTAACGGCAGCAACTGGAATTTCAGCTGTGACTTGAACAGCAGCCTCTTGGATAATAGTTTCAGGGTTACCCTTGACATCGACAGTTTTTTCCTCACTAATCTTAACTTCTTTCTTAATCTCTTTGACATCTTCCTCTTCTTGTTTTTCTTCTTCACTTGAGGATTCTTCTTCTTCACTGGATGATTCTTCCTCTTCACTGGATGATTCTTCTTCCTCAGAGCTTTCTTCTTCCTCGGATGATTCTTCTTCCTCAGAACTTTCTTTTTCTTCTTCAGAACTTTCTTCCTCATTTTCAACGTTCTCGATTTCATTCTTTAGGGAGTCCAGGTTCTCTAATGATGGTGCTGGTTCTGTTGCGCCTGAAGCTTCAGATTTGGCAGGGGCTTTAGTCTTTGGAGTAGCAATAGCTGCCCACGACATCTTCTTCGTGCCACTCGATGCAATTGAGGTGCCTCCTGAAGACAAAGATGGTAAATTAGCATTGCCATTCTTTGGAATAGCAGTTGTTTCTACCTGAGCAATGGATTTATCATTTGAGTCAAGATCATCTTCTTGATCTTGAGCTTGTTCTTGATCTTGTTCTTGATCTTCCGGTAGTTGTGTGTCATCATGATGTTCCCTTATAGCGGTATTATGACTTTGGTTACCATGTGTAGAGTTTTCACTGGCTACAGCAGATGCCCATGAAGTAGTATGTGAGACGGGCTTAGATAAATTACCAGTGGTTTTGCCCACGGCGCCTTTATCTAAAGTAATCGCCTTACTGTTTTTCTTTCTTTGATCAGCAATGTTGTTATTATGATGATGATGTGATGCACCTGCACCAGTATGAGTGGAATTGTTATTATTGGTTGATCTTTTCTTATTATATGCATTAGATGAGGAGGAGGTATGACCTGTAGCAGGAGACCAATCATCCTCCGGTTTAGGTAAAGTACGCAAAGAGGACTCATAATCTTGTGAGATTATATTGCTACTATCGTAGTTATTATATGATGATGATGCAAATGAATTAATGTTTTGTTCTTTTCTTTCCTTCTTAGTAGGTTTCTTTACCTCATCCCATTTAGTTACTGCGCCAGACGTGATCTTATCAATTATAGTCTCTAAGTCACCGAATTCTTGAACAATATCGACTAAATCTTCACTAGTCCAATCAGGAAACAACTCTCTTAGTGTATCTATCTTAGACTGAACTGTGGAATCAAGTTTCTTCTTGTTCTTACTCTTGCTCGTATTTACGGATCTGTTTTGTGCAGACATTCTTATATGGGTGTATATTTATATATATATAATGGGGATAATATATTTGTATCGGAATATATATCTATATCTATATATATCGTTATTGAATCAAGGTGATACCCCATCAAATCAACTATTCTACGAAGTCTACTTTCACTTATTCCTTTCTTATAACTGTGGAATTCTTAGCTCTTCTTCTTCCTCCTTGGAGAATTCAAAGATTTCAGATTTTCAAAGGGCAAAAAAATATTTTGCCACTCGTTGAAGGTGATGATGGGAGGGCGAGAGGGTAACACTTGAATGTTTGATATATCTGTTGATATCTTTATATAGTTATACAGAATTTTGTGCATGGTTGAATATAATGTTATGTACAGGTTGGTGATGAAGGGGCGAGCATTGCATCCGTGTCTCTTTGTCTTCTGTTTGGCTTGGTTTAATACGATTCTATTTCTTGTTGGCATTGGCATTGGCATTGGCATTGACCAGTTCGCCACCACTTTCAAAGGGTGCTTCTTTACGAGCATCGTCCAATGCAGACTGGATGCTTTTCTTCTTCAGATTCTCATTCACGCAACCAATGTAGGCGTACCATTCTTTGGTACATTCGTTTTCAACAGACTTCCCCTTTAAAAACTTCTCACTGTACCATTCATTGAAACAACTGTCATATGTCTTCTTCAACTCCGTGCACTCAGGTGCAAAACTAGCAGACATACTGTTCCCCATTCGGTTGTACTAAATGGTCACTATAACTCCTGTCACAGTTCTAATCCCAGATATCGTCGTCTCCTTCTTCTGTCCCTTGGTTCATTTCCAGTTTGTACAATTTTTCATTTTGGGTTTTTCTCTCTGTTTATAAAGCAAGTTAGAGACGGTTTGTTAGCGGTGTGTGGGTGTGGTTTGGTATTAGAGGAGAAGAACCGTCTGGTGCTTGTCGAAGAGTTAAGAGGATTGGGAACTATCGACGTTCAATAGATCGTTTGTATCGTCGTGGTGGTCCTCAGCAGCTTGTGGAGGTTTCAGCGGGGAACTGTCTGTGGTGGAATGGCTGTGTTTTTTATATTTTGTTACAGGGGAAGGTAGTGCACTTGAACTTGACCCATATTCTTGTTGTAGTAATAAGGACACTTTGCGTTTGCGTGATTGTCTCTGTGTAGTGCTGTCGTCGTGAGTGTTGTCTGTCATGATCGAGTCCTGAGGTTCGGTTGTTGTTATGCCGTCGCCATTCTGGTGTGTATCCTCTGCATCCGCATCCTCGTCCTCGTCGTCACTGGAGTCAGGTAATTGTAAAATCTGTCCCGTCGATGTTATGTTTGCCGTATGGTACTCTTGCATTGTTGTGTCAGGCGCAGTGGCTGTTGTTTTCACAGGCGGATCTGTCTTCTTTGCAGTTGCTGTCTCTGCAATGGAGTCGTCTCCCTCATTCGAGTCATGATTCAGTGTCAAATTCCCAGATTCCTGGAACAAGGTCGTCAGTACCGCGGTGTTATCGATGATTCGATCACACACGTCGGAGTAGCGACGCACATGAGGGATGATATCCTGTGTGATCTTCCTGAAGCAATAGCTGAAGTTCGAATCTATCGTCTGCAATCGCAACGTGATCTCTTGGTCCAGCTTCTCAATCTCCTTCTCTACTACTTGTTCTTGTTCCGGCATGGCTTACGTTTGCGTGTGTCTGTGTCTGTGTCTGTGTGATAACAGTGTATTTCAGAACACATACACCCCACGAAGTAACTGTATACCCAGGTACAGCTATACATAAGTAGTTCTTGTTCCAGTTGTTGTTGTTGTTGTTGTTGTTGGCTTCAAAATTCTGAAAATTTGAGAAAAGTTCGCGTCGCACGGCTCGATCATCACTGCTCAGCCAAAAATGACAGAAATTTCAGTTTGATTTGGATGAGATGCTGGCAAAGAGGATTTGCAAAGGGTCTTTTAAAGGGAGCAGCAGTGTTGCAAGTCTTGGTTTGACCCTTAAATGTGGTGTGGCGAGGATGAGATATATAAGTGGAGGTGTCTTGCTTGGAATATGCAGGTATCGGGACGTGGTCGTAATATTTTCTGTAGAAATTTGGGGGGAGGGACAGAAGTGTCTTGGTAGTCTCAACTGATATAATTATCTACTCGTGTCTACATAGTAATGGCATCTTTTTTCAAGAAACCTGGTAACTATTGGTTTATAGTCCCCTGGATAGCGTTTATACCTTGGTACGGTATGCTTATTGCCATGTTAGCATGCTGGGCCGCTCAGGGACATCCGATATATTGGTTTATGGATACAGATCAATTCCCTGTGTTTATATCGGATATTGGTGCTACCAACTTGAAACCGTTGTTCATTGCTTGTGCCGGATGGCAAGGCATTGGGTATGTGATAACTTTATGTCTAGAATTCTTACAGAGATATAACGGCTGGATGAATCCATGGTTTACTCGCGACGAACGTAATCTAATTATCGCAAGTATTGTTTTGGGAAGCATTGGCGAATTAGGGATATTGTTTTGTTCCATTTTCACCACAGCTAGCTATCATCATGTGCATATTGCTATGCTTACCATATTCATAGTATTCATGTTCTTATCATTGGTATGTCTAACGACAGAATATTATTTGATGGGGTTCCATTATACAATTTTAAGAAGACGTAATATCTCTAGAGATGTTACTATGCAATCTGACGGCGAAACTATTGCTCATTGGAATAAATTTCTTATTAGTGCCATTTTCAAGACTTTATGGTTAGTATGTGCCGTGATATGGGCAGTTTCATTCGCTACAGTATCGGGGGATTCGAAGAGTGCCGCTTTCGAGTGGCTATTGGCGTTTTGGTTGGGTGTGATATTCATTATCATTTCCATTGATTTTTATTTGGGGTCTCAATGGAAAACGTCAAAACATTTCCCTTACTTGAATAATTTCGGAACGTTTTATAAGTTTCAACAGTATAAGGAGAAGCATCCTGGATTGTACACTGTTGAATCGGAAGTCAATTCAAAGAGTAGTTCCGGGACATTGGTATTGACTGATGTGCCTACTGGACAAGAAGAAGTTGCTCATCAAGTTGTATAATTTTTATTTTTTCAATTTTTCACATTTAGTTTCAATTTATTCACTTTGGGTATTACCTCAAAGTAAAAAGATACGTACGAATATGTAAACAAAAACACAAAAATGATAATCAGTTCGTTATATATACATATATATATTTTATAATCATCTATATGAATTGACCACGTATTCTTCTAGCCAATTGAATATCCTTTTTCATGATCGTCACCCTCTTAGCATGAATCGCCAATAAATTCGCATGCTCTAATAACCCAACAAGATACGCTTCACTGGCTTCTTGCAATGCTAGGATAGCCATCGAATTCCAATGAAGATCTTCATTTTCAAAAGTAAATGAATCTGCCACTTCCTTCACCAAACGTGAGAATGGAATCTTAGAAAGTAATAGATCTGTAGATCGTTGATATTTCCGTATCTCATATAATGCAAGATTGCTTGGCTTTGTGTACGACTTGGCTTCTTCCATATGCGACTTCATAGAGTCAATCTTACTTTGAATCTCTTTATTGATCCTTTGTTTCTTTCGTTTATTTTTGGCTCTTTTAATTACTTTATGTGGTGATTGCTTCTCCCACCTAGGCATATATCGTTCACTCACATCGTCGTCCCTTTGAACGTCATAATTAAAACCATCATCATCACGGTCATACCTCTCATTTATTAAGTCACGACGATTTCTATCAGGTGTGACTGGTCCACCACTGAGATATCGAGCTGCCACTTCCAATGGTGGTTGCGATATCGACGGTCTTGTAGCCAACACATCAACACCTCGCCGTAGAAGCCTGTCTCTCCTCTCCCTCGTCCTCTCTAGCAATTGCCTGGCACGCTCATTGATCTGATCTTGCTCATTTATTTGATTCAGTCTATTGGAATTACTTAGCGTCCTATTAGTTGATCCGTCTATTAACGATGTCGAGTCGCCTTCAAACCACTGCTGACTCTGCATTCTTTTCTTGCTTTCTCTCTGGTACTTCACAACAACACGTTCTTACCCACCCTTCAACACAGGTCGCCACCAATTTATAAAACCAACAACTTCTTCTTGTATTGTTGTTGTTGTTGTTGTTGTTGTTGTTTCAATCATCCATTTCGTGTCTTCTTACCCGCACAATCACCGAACTTGTCAATCTTTCCAGTTTCTTTGAGAAAAGCGAAAAAGTTAACAATCGCGAAGTTCCCTCTCTCTCTTTCTGTTTATTGAGAAATTTCAATGTTGGAAACTGAAACGCAAACAAGGTTTGAAGTCTTGAAGAACTAGAAATTCGTTAACAAGTCGATTACAATTTGAGTCAGACAGTTTGGAAGTCGTCTAAACACAATAGAGCTTGCCCCCGTTCCTCTTCAAATTTCATTATTATTATCAGTATTTGTTGATCTTGGCTACTAAATTACCTCGACGTAAACAAACTACCAATCCGAAAGAATAATGGCTCCCTTTAGACCTGACAGCATATTGATTATAGATCCCAAATCGGATCACGTTTTAGTTCAGTTTGGAGTGAATGATGAAACGTTCATGATTCCAGACTACAAGATTCCATCATGCATATATAAAGATTCAACTACAGGTAATTACTTGTCGTCAAAGGATGATGGCAATAGTAACATCGAAACAATCTATCCAATAGTAAATGGTGAAATTAAGGATATTGAGGCTTTCTTACAATTGTTAAAGACAATATATGGATCTGTATTGGCTGAGAAATCAAAAAATAACCCAAATGCATTTGATATAGAATTAGCTAATATTCCATTATTATTAATTACACAACATTCATGGTCTCAATTTCAATTAGAAAAAATTACACATTTTATCTTTGAAGAATTAAAGATTAATTACATGATGTTACTACCTACAGCTGTCGCAACTGCTTACGCTATGGTTTCTTTACAAAATTGTTGTGTTATTGATATCGGTGGAAATCATACGGATATTATTCCAATTGTAGATTACACAGCAATGAACCATTTAACATCATCGTTATCTATCGGTGGTAATTCAATTACAGAAACTTTGAAGGATAAATATTTACCACAATTGTCCCTGGATCAAATAGAATCCTTAAAAAAATCAAATATCTTTGAAGTATTGACTGATAATGCTGTTCGTAAAAGATATCAAGATGATTTAGAAAATAGTATCACCAATGGTGATGGTAATGATGAGGATATAATTAATGTGGCTGATCTTGTGACTAGTGGTCGTGACGCTAGAGAAGTCTTAGAAGAAAGGGAACGTAGTAAAAAAGAGAAAAACGTTTCCAATGCAGAATTAGAATATAACTATTATTGGGACACAAACGGTAATAACATTAAAGTAGGTAAAGAAAGATTTCAAGGATGTGAGCAATTGATAAATTCCATCTCAAGGAGGGTAGGTATTACATTGAGTCAAATTAGTGATACATCTAAATTAAAGGCCGTTTGGGAAAATATTGTCATTATTGGTGGAACATCATCTATTCAAGGGTTCAAGGAAGAATTATTGAACCGTTTAATAGAAAATCATTTAATTACTGAACCGGAAACTGAAATGGAAGAAAGAGAAGACGCTCATAGAGACCCTACCGAGACAGGTAACAATAAGAAAAAAGCTACTAAGGCTTTCCAAAATATGATAACTTCTGCTATTCAAAATATTGATTATGTTCAAGCACCTTCTGTAATAAGGCTTGCCAAATACGCTGAATATTTCCCAGAATGGAAGAAATATGGGTACGCTGAAATTCAATTCCTTGGAGGTCAAGTTGTAGCCAAACAAGTCTTTACTCATTCTAGAGACGTCTATTATGTTACAAGAGAAAATTATGATAAGTTCGGCCCCACTTGTATATGGGACGTTGAATTTTAAAGAGAACAGAAAAATATGTGCTTGAATAACAGATAATAATTGTATATAATATTGATATGCATATTTAAATTGTAATAATAATATTTTTACGAATGGAATTTTTCTATGTATTATGTAAATGTTACAACTGATATATCAATATATATATCGTGAATATTATTTGACAATGATGCTTCCGTACATTATGTAAAATCACCTTTATAATTCAAGTAGTCCTTTATCTGATCGATTGTATCACTACTCCCGACGTCTTGATCATTTTGAATATAATTCTTAAAATTAATTATGTTTTTAGAGAATTTCATTTTAATTGCTGAGTTGTTTGACATATTTTTTCCAGTACGAAGATCTGTTCCTGTGGGGACTTGAGAATTACCTATACTTGCCTTTTCTGGAGAAGCTTTTATTTTGATCATATTCTTGATTGGAGTTGGTATATCCAACGATGGGGTGGATTGAGAAGTAGTAGTAGAAAAAGAAGATCGACGAGTTGTCACTTCATTTTCCCCGGTGTCATGAGCATCTAAATTTATGCGATTGAGTTCATCATTATCATCAGAAGATGCAGGTAATTTAGTTGTCAAAGAGTCAATAAAATCAGTTATATTTATGGGTTCATCCGATACATCAAACCCAGAAGAAAAGGATGTATTTGAAGTAATTCTTGACAAATTCGAATCGTCGACGACGTTGCTTTTATCTAATGATAAACTTCTCTTTGATTTTGATTTTGATATTTTTTTCCAAAATTTTTTCAATGAATTCTTAGCATTATCACCAAGTTTATTCATAGATGGAGATTTTTTTATTTTATTTTTATGTATCAAATCTCTTACATCATTAACATCAACTCTCCTATTGGGATTTTTCTCTAACATTCCATTTATTACCAGTCTACTGAGCCAACTGTCATCCCTTTTATCAGTTGACATTTTTTGAGAGTTAATTAAATGATATGTATCAAATTCATTCTCTCCACTAAATGGTAATTCGTTATAGATAACACAAAATAGAGTGACTCCCAGAGACCAAATATCAAGTTTAAAGCCATCCTTAACAACTTTGGTATGATTGTCGATGATATCGTCTGTAGTTCCATCTGTCGTGAATTTACAAAGCTCAGGAGGAACAAAAGCAGGCGTTCCAATGATTTTGTTCAATTCCTTTTCGAAACATTCGTTGATAATCTCCAATTGTTTTAATTTAATTTTCTCTAAAGAATCATATTTAAATGGTAAACTTTCAGGTATCAATAAACCACAACCAAAGTCAGATATTTTTAATTTCTTTTGAATTCCATCCACTAAAATGTTAGAAGGTTTAATATCTCGATGAATACAACCTACTTTATTTAAAAATCTCAACCCTTTACTTAAATCATCAATAGCCTTAATTGCAAAATCCATTACGGAATCACTATCTTCATCTAATACAAATTGCCATTGATTCAACATACTGTCCTTGGTAGAACGTTTCCATTCCAACTCTCCCAAGTTACACCATTCTGATGCAATCCAGATATCTTTACTCTTTACGGAGTCCATACATTGAATAAATTTTACAATATTCGAACTACCATTATTAGCAAAAGTCACCGTTTTCATCAGATATATCTCCCACTGACAACGATCTACATTCATAGTCATTGTAATTAAATCAACGTCTAAATCATCTGTTTCAATATTAAACTGTTTCCAATATGAAATTTGTCTCATCAATTGATTCATCGAATATTTAGGCTTTAATTTATTAATTCTTTTTAATGCTACAACACGTTTCTTCTTTAGGTTTGATTGATCTAATGCTTTAAATACTTTACCAAATTGGCCAGATCCAATAGTAGAGCCAATCTTAAAATCATTAATCATCATTTTCGTTTGATCAAAACGACTGATAGGTCGTACGAACGATTTCAAATCCGATTGAATTGGACTTGATAGATTTTGCTCAATTAGTGTATGGTATGTGGGTATGCATTGTGAGTTTGATGTGATTAGATCAATGTTAGGAGATTGCTGTTTAGCGATGCGTTCTGCTATTTCTGAATCCTTTAACAGAGAGGGGAATTGACGCTCCATATATTATGGTATCAAAATGATTCTATGGGTTGTGATTGTCTATTAATATAATTCAGAACATTTGAACAAAGAAAAACGATAATGAAAACTGTCTTCCTAAATGTGATTACATTAGATAATCTTATTCACTGGCAATGTTTTTATAAATTTGTTTTTTCGTGTATGCTATTTCATGCACGGAACAATGACGATAAATAACCATTGAGCGAACCCATTCAATTGTGACTAAAAAAAGAAGACTGCGAAAGTTCAAAAGAATCAACCAACTCATTCGGATTGTTATTGAAATGTCATCTTCACGTTAAATTAAAAGTTATTTGTGTGTGTCTATATAAAGTATATAAATATAAAGTTGGAATGAATGTATGTAAAATTGAGTGAGAGAGAAAGAGGGAAATATTTTTTTATTCTTTTTGGTTATTCTTTTTACAGTTGAAAATATATTTTTAAGAAAAAAAATGTGTTTTTACTTTTTACTCTTTTATATTTTTAAAAATTTATGACAGTTAGAAATCGCCATGTTTCTTGTGAGTCTTTAGATGTTGTGATAGATTATCACTTCTACTAAACTTCTTTTCACACAGCATACATGGGAATGGTCTATCTGTAGAGTGCACGGACCGGACGTGTCTCTTTAAATGTTCACTTCTTCTAAAGGCTTTTTCACAATCTTTGCATTGGAAAGGCTTAATTGATGGATCTTCTAGTAACGCCGCGTTTAAATTTGCAATTGAATTGCGTTTCGAAGTAGATGCAGAAGTCGAGGTTCTTGGAGAAGTTGTGTGTGATGAAGAAGTTAATTTGCCATTACCAGTGTTACCAGTACTATTATTATTAAGGGGAGTTATAGTGTTGGACCCACTTGTTGCGTTTGTAATTCCGATTGTAGATTTTCTTCTTCTTCTATTTTCTGATCTTGAATTTGCAGGTATTGACGATGACGAGATTGATTTTCTTTTCACAATCTTTGTTGGATGATGGTACGCCTGAGTGTCGATAGTTGGGAAAGTTTCCGGTTTCTTTTGCAAGCCTGTGATTGCCAATTTTGCAGACAATGAAGCCGATTCAGATAACATCATTGAAGGCTTAATGAATTTCTTCCTTGGAGAGGATAGCAATTCATCAGGTTGCAAAGGGATCATATTTCCGCTATTATTGTTATTCGTTGTAGAGATGTCTTCACTTGACATGGAGAGATTATACAGGTCCAAATTATTTGGTTCCGTCTGGTTGTATAAGGAATAGAACAAATCGTTGCTTCTTGTGTCGGGCGACATGGACAAACTATTCGAATTCTCAATTTTCGTGTGGTTGTTGTTGTTGTTGTTGTTGTTGTTAGTAGTTGGCTTCATAATTGGTTGGAATGAGAAGTTTTGTAGTATATTCGTGGCAATTGAATGGCGATTATTTTGTCTTGGAGAACTTAAGATATTCGAATCGATCGATTCATCAAATGGATTTTCCTGAATGTTCGTGATGTTATGGTTCAATTTCGTCGAGTTTCTTCTTTGATTGGCCGTCCCGGTGAAGTTCATATTATAATCATTAAGAGCCTGACTAATCCCTTCATCGATAAACTTTGTACTACTGCCAGTGTTATTATTTGTCATATCCCAAAAATCCAGCGAATCCGAGATCGAGAGTCTTGAATTTGAGCCTGCAAACATTGAATTCCCATTTGTGCCCGTGGTGACCAACTCACTTGCTCTTCTTCCGCCGTACGTGATGTTATTATTGAACGAGACCGGGTCTTCCACGTACGAGTTTTTCCTCTGGAACGGTTTGCCCGAGGCCATCAGGCTGTTTGTATGCAAGTCTGCTGGCTGAACAAACGAGTCGGGCTCGTTGGTGCCAGTGTAGTTGTTGATGTTGTTGGTACTGGTATTTTCTTTCGCCTTTGGAGACACCATGTGCAGGTCCACCATATTGCTGCTACCTTCCGCTTCTTCGTCTAGCAACGCCATCAAATCGTTCATCATCGAGGGAGTCGAGATGGACTCCATAATATTTCCGCCAATATTCAAATTTTGCAAATCCAAATAGCTATTATTAGCAGTATTCAATTTTGTAGTCGATGACGAGTACGATTCAGCTCTATTTGAAGAGGGTCTGTTAGCAGTTGCAGTTGTAGTTGCATTAGCAGCAGAAGCAATTGCATTAGAATCCTTATTTAGAGTGTAGTTATCGTTAATATTTTGCGAGTCGACAATTGCATCGCCGTGTTTCGTCGTGTCGGCCTGATTCACAGGGGTCACACTCGATTCCATTCTGTTCAAGAACGTGTCATCCGCAGCATCCAGTGCTATATCTTTGGCGGCCGAATTGTTGTCGTTAGCTGTGAACATGGATTCATTACTTAATAACGTATCAAACAGAGTAGATTCCATAACTGTACGAGTTGAACTGAAAAATATAAACAAGCACTAATCAGTAAATTTTTCACTTTCACTTTTGCTTAACCTAGTTCTTGTTCTTGCCCTTCCCTTTTCCAAACCTGCCATGGAAGAAGTTCCTTTATACCCCACCGTCACCAATTCCCAATTTCCCAGCTTCCTTTTATATATCCAGTCCAGTCCGGTCCAGTCCAATCTGCGTTTCCCGAACGACAACCGTCCAGAAGATCTGTCTGTTCTGTCTGTTCTGTCTGTTCTGCCCTTTAAAGGGCGCGGGCACGTCACACACTCCACCCAGGCTCTGTGGGCATTTTGAATAAATTATGCATTCTTCCCACAGTGCGCAACGTGCAACGAGCGCAAATTTCCAGGAAAGTCCGTGCAAATTTGCGGTTTGCGAGCGAAATTCACTCGGGGTGCGCGCAGTTGTGCGTGCGCTTCACTGGGCGCCCGGCTAGGGTTACCCGTCGGTTGGTGGTTGGCGGTGGGCGGTGATTTAAGCCGGTTGTTAGGGTGAGCATTCTCTCTGTGCGGTTGTTTGTTGTGCGGGGAGGTGGGGGCTGGAGCGGGCGGAGGGTGCGCGGGCGCCGTCGTCACTGTGCACGGCGCGGAGTGGGGTTTTTGGCCGTTTGTTTTTGGTTTTTGGTAGCTGGGCATGGCGTGGGGGTGGGTGGGCCCCCTTATTTTAGCATGTGTCGTGGGGGTTGGGTTGCCGCAGTAGCCTATTTCCATTTGGGGAAAATTGGTTCCTGGAACTGCTGCTGCGTTGGTAAATATAGTTTTGGGTTTGGTCGTGGTGGGTGTGTGGGTGGGTGCTGTCGTGCCCGGTGACGACATGGGTGTGGGTGTGTGGGTGTCGTGATGTCAATTATAAAATTTCAACGTTTCCATATATCGATTGCTATAGCAATTGGCTTATCTAGACAGAAATCTAGATAAACATACAACATCAGCAAGAACTACAGGGCTCGAGCTTGGGCTTTTGTGACAAATTATGCAGGGTGGAATTAGAAGAAAGAAGGACTTGCTGCCACGGTACAAAAAATCAGGGAACTATGATAACAGGCAGTCGTCGAGTGTGTTTGGCAAATATTCAAGATCGCTGAAAGTGATCGCGGCGTATTCTGCTTTGCTAGTGCTGGCCTATCTGATCCTCAATGGAGCTTTCTCAGACATGAACACTCCACCGACGTTTGAGTTGGAGTCCCTGAATCCGGAGACGGAGACGGTCGCCAAGGTCAACGTGCCAAAGGACAAACAGTTTCATAACGAAGTAGCTAGACAGCAGGAAGTACAAAATTTAAATAAAGACACGGTAAAGGATACAAAGTTGATATAGCAATAACCACCGCTCCCGCGTTCGTTCGTTCGTTCTCTTACATAAGTCTATATATATATAAGACAAAATTTTTATAGATTTAACTAATGCATTTTCTCCCTCTCTGCTGCCTAAAAACCAAACTTGCGCTTTGTGTAGATGTACGCAATGTACGCTAAGATAACCATTGTTCCGACAATACTAGTGAACCATCTCAACGATTCCTCGGCTTGGCCCGGCACCAACACATTCATCCCCCACAAACCAGTGATGACATTCATCGGCAACACAATCGTACCCAATATAGTGATTTTGCCAAGTACATCATTCATATCATTGTTCACTTTGGTCATATCAATATTGATCTGTGCCAAATAATTCGAGTGTGACCGACTTAGTAACTTCTCGTAATGATTCAACGACGAGACCATCGTAATGATATGATCTTGGATATCATCCAAATACATCCCAATCTCGGCTTGCGCCGTGGTGTCCCATTGGCCATTGTATCTCTTGGCAAAACCTTTGATCACATCAGCTTTCGCACCAAGTAATCGAAGAATACTCATCACACGCTTACGACAGTCACCAATACGTCTCAACATATCTCCTTTCTTCTTCCATCCAATTAGGTTCGCATTGAAAGTAGACGCTCCCGATGAACCAGACGAACTAGAACTCGTACTCGAACTGAATGTCACCGAGGACCTCGTCCGACCGCTCGATAAACTATTTGTATAACTGGATCGTCTACCATTGCCATTAAACACACCATTTCGACCACTGCGCGGAATACTACGTGGAATACCCATCCCACCTACAGTGCTATTATTACGATTGATACGACGTCTGTTGGAAGATTTACGATAAAATCCAACATTTTCACTGGAATTGTCACCATCGGAACTGGAATTATTATTATCATCATCATCCGAACTCGAACTTAAATCACTATCACTGTCACTATCATTATTATTCATCTTTAATATCGCATCTTCAATATCATAAACTTCATCCTCAATTAATTCAATCATAGGCCCAAAGGCATCTGTGATATCATCAATCAAAGCATACGCAATCCAATCGGCTGTCACATCCAAATAATCTCTCAAGAGACGAGCTCTACGTCTCACATTGATTGGATGTGGAGTTGGTGCGAAATGGAACGTTAACACACCTGTACGAAACACAATAATATATACATTCAAAGGCTCTAATTCCCCCGCCCTTGGTTTATGTCGATCACCGGATTTTCTTTTAAATCTTTCTCTTTCTTGTCTTTTCTTTATAATCGATTTACGCCTATTATGACTAGATGCACTCTTAACACTTACAGGATTATTATGAGTATTATTAGTATTTAATGACGATGGCCCATTATAACTACTACTGTAAGACATCGTGGAAGCACGTCTCTTTAATAATTTAGTCACTTCATCTTGATTCTTCTTATCTCCTGACCAAAACTTCTTTAATAAATTTAGTAACCCACGATTCCCATTATCAGATCCCATTGTTGGGTTCCCATTAGAATCAATTCCATTAGTTTTCTCCTTTTGTCTTCTTGTATGCTTTTCAGCAACAATATCAAAACTTCTAAAACAGATCAAATAATAATCATTAAATAATTCAACTTTTTCTCTAACTTCCCCTAAAAAGATATCCTCAGTGGTTAACGGATGAATACCAAATGTCTTACTAATTACTTTCATTTCTTCTTCAGTGGGACTACTTACATCCAACCAAAAAGGAGCAACATCATCTTCAATCATAGTCGATACACCTGAGATATTTTTGTACAACGATGTACCATTATTCAAAGATTGTAAGATACTCCCATTATTGTTATTATTACCATTGTTAATATGACCTAATGCTGTTGGAACTCCTGTAACGGTTCCAGCTGCACTTGTATCCAAAGGTGACACCGATTGAAATTTAATAGATGATGGAACACGTTTAGGTCCATTGGAATTCATTGGTAATGGTTGTTGTAAAGATTCCTTCTGTGGTGCAATGGAGTTTGCAGTGGTGTTACCATTATTATTATTCTTGGTATTACCATACACAGAACTCACAAACAAATCTTCAAATGTTTGACCAGGTTGTAATAAACCTGAAATAGTTGGTGAATGCACCGTGGAGTCTAAATCGATTCTAAAATACGTGAATTTAAAATGTTCTGGATTGTTTGAAATGATATGTGGCGGGTATTGAATGTTTCTACCAACAAGAAAATTATCTCTCATTTGTTTATCTTCTAATTTTGCCCTAGCATCACCATTCATTATAATATCTTTATTTTGAGCATTATTTGCTGAACCTTGGCGTTGCATTAAATGCCATGGTGCAATTTTTTTAGGTCTTAATCTACCTGAACGTAATAACGCAGCTTCATTGACTTGTTTGTTACCTAATTCAGGGACATCAATATTAGTGACAATAGGTTTTGAGAACAAGATTCGTTCTCTATTATTAGACACGATGGGACTCACTAGATCCTGATCCTCATTAAAACCGCTAGTTTCTCTCATATCTTGTAAAGAACTGTTGAATACATCATCATCCTCAGTATCGTACCGATAATGGAATGCCTCTGCATCTTCTATCGCTTGTCTTCTCAATCTTGCTGTCTCTTCCTTTGAATATTCTTCCAACACTGATATATCAGGCCACATTTTCTTTGATTTATCAGATTCATCATCTAACACCAGACATACATCATCCAGTGACGAATTCGATGAGGATCCTCTCGATGAAGGTCTAGAATTATATTCGTCCTCTTCATCCAACCCGACATCCTCATCACTTTCACTACTACTAAGATTCGACAGCTGAGACTTCTTATCCCTTGATCTATTCTTTCGTACATCCTGTAACAGGGCGTCCACATCTATCACCACGTCATCGCCGACAGCATGAGTCTTACTATGTCTTAAAGTGTCTATTTTCGAGGTAGTATCTCTTCTTGGAATACTTGTCGTTTTGCTATCTTTACTATATTTCGCACTGGATACGCTATAAGCTCTAGTTTTCTTTTTAATTAACGGTGTTGTCACATTATATCCGCTTCTAGGTTTCGTATTGCTACTATCAGTTGTCTTCATGACTGGCCTGTGATCTATGAAAGTGTTCGAGTTAGCTATTCTACCTGCCCTTTCCAAATCATAATCTGTGTCCGATTCATGTAAAATCCCCCAAGAATCTACATTTTCAAAATCCGTAATATGGTTATTAATCAATTTCGTAGACCCACTACGTCTAGAGCCAGATGTTCGTGTAGAGACTGTTGAGGCACGTCTATTATTAGCATTGTTACTGCTTCCCTTATCTGAGAGCAATGGAACCTCTTCTTGTCCATTCTTATAATCGTTATTCATCCCTGTAAAATCGATTTTTTTATTATTATTATTCCCCTAGAGTGATGAATGAGTCAAAAACAAACAAACAACAACAACTAATTAAGCGTACTGAGGAAGAGAATAGAATATATAATTGCTTTAATATTACCTCATGTATTTTTGTTTTGTTTCACTTCTTAGCAGAAAACAAATTAACAATATTCACAAATTTAACTCTAACTTAACAAGTTTATCATCGAGTAGTAATATATATATATCTATACACACGCATACATACATATATAACTGTCAAATATAACAACGGTAATGTACTGAAAAAACACAAGAACTATATGCCGATAACAAACGAATTACTTTACCAGGCCATCGATGGATCATAATTAATGTAACCCAGTTCCCAATCAGTCAACTAATCATTCTATCGATATCGAAAGTGTCCTGATATTCAATTTTTCTGCTGCTGCATACAGAAAACCCACACCATTTTATCCCGTTGGGCTGCCGCTTCCCGCGGTTTTTGAAAGGGGATGGTGTGTTACCCTCACGCTGCGTCACAATTTTATAGGGAAACTTCGCCACTTTCCCTTAACTGCAACAGGTATCAACATATATATATATATGAATAAAGGGTTGGGAAGTTGAGGGAATATCGTGGTGGACCTGGACGTGTAGTGCCAAGTAGATTCAACTCAACGGATCCAGATCAGATAATCAAGATGAGTTTATATTTTACATTGTTATTTGCGCTACTGACAGTAGAAATGGCTGTATTGTTTGTGTTAGTATTGCCACTACCTAACAAGATCAGAAAATTGCTATACAACACCTATCAAAGACTGTACCATAATCAACAAGTGAAGACTGTCACTATCATACTATCCATAATTGTTGGTCTGTTATTCATAGACTCGTGGAAGAGAGCACAGGTCAATGTAACGTTGTATCGTCATCAAAATTATAATCAAGATGATAGATTGAATATTGCTAATCAGTATGATTCTCATGCGGTGACCCCGACTCAAGCGTTGGCATCCAGGGCTTATAATCAAAGAAACGTCTATATCTCTGGGTTTATACTGTATTTCATGGTCGGAATCCCTACTGTGATGAGTATCGTAAGAAGATTAGTTAAATATCAAGATTTAATTAGTAATAAGAAGACACAAGAAAAAGATGATAGCGAGATCATAAGATTAAAGAAAGAATTAGATGCTAAGACGGTTGATGTAGAGACTTTACAAAAACAAGTGACAAATGCAGAAAAATATTTCGATGAGCAAAATAAACCAAAGACTGAAACTGTTACCAAGACAGAATGAATAACGAGAACAACTGAAAGAATATTATATTATATATATATATATATTTATACATTATATGAATAATACATATGTTTAAATGTTTCTATCTCTGCTATAAATACCTCTGATACCTTTAGTTTTATCCGAGGCTCTATAGGCATTAAATCCAACAACTGCACCTGCAACAGCTAGCACAAGTGCCACAACTGGACCCTTTCTACCTTCCACCACAGCTTCTTCGAAAGCATTTGGCTTTTTAGAAGCGGCACTGTAGGCTCTTACACCTAACTGTTTACGAACAATAGCTTGCATAATCATGTTTTGTTTTTAATTGTATGTATATATTTGTGAGTATATATATTTTGTTTCAGTTTTTTGAGAGGATTACATCGACATGAGCAAATATCACTTATTTAAATTACCACTACTTATATACACATCAGTAAAAACTGGAGACAGTGTATGACTATCACCTCTCCCTGTTCTTATTACTATCGAAAAGCAGATGGAATTATCGATTTCACGTTTATGTAATGCTATACACTCACGATTTTTAAGGGATGAAAGATTCCCTCGGCCCTTAACTTGTTTTATGTTTCCTCCGGGTACAGAAACAAAAGAACAACTTTAAAAATGAAAAATTATTATATAATCAGAGATTATATAATAATGAAGTACGTAGTCAAACCATAAATAATAACAATAACTTTAATACAAATGTGTATCATGTATACGTTTCCTTGAATTTCTTTTATTCTTTCCCCATACTACAGTTTGTATTGAGGCAGCATTGTAATAATACGTATATATTTCTATACTTTTATAAATCTATCTATTCGTATAACCATTTAGCTTGATTGGAGGTCCAGTTGACTAATTCTTCATCTCTAAACCATAAACCGATTTCTCTTTGAGCACTCTCAACAGAGTCACTACCATGACACACGTTTCTACCTAGATCGATACCAAAATCACCTCTAATGGTGCCTGGAGCAGAAGCACATGGATTAGTAGCACCTAACATACTTCTACCTTGTTTGACAACGTCCTTACCTTCCCAGCACATGGCGACGATTGGACCAGAACTCATGAAGGACTCCATCTTTGGGTAGAATGCCTTCCCAACATGCTCTTCGTAATGCTTAGCTAGTAATTCCTTGGAGGCTTGAACAATCTTGATACCGACTAATTTGTAACCTCTAGTTTCAAAACGTTCGATGACTTTTGATACGAGACCTCTTTGGACAGCGTCTGGTTTAACAGCAATGAAAGTTCTTTCTTCGACGGACATATTGTAAATAAATGGGAGTTGTGTGGGTGTATGTTGATAGTAATCTGTTCAGTTTATTAATTTCTTTAAAAAAAAAAATAATGGGAAACAAGCAAGCCAAAAAAGAGAAGAAGAAAAGTATCTCGATTGGTACTGTATATATATATCATCATCATGACAATTTATTAAAAAGATAGATACTTCGAAGAACCCTTGAGAACGAGGAGAACGACAACCCCAGTTGCTACAGGAACGGATACTCTGTTCGCCGTCTCTCGACCTCCTCATTGGACGGATTCCCTATTCGCGTTCATTTTTCCCTCTAAGTGCTTCTTCTCCTTGTGAGGGTGGCCATCATGTGCGGTGCGGTGCGGTATAGGCTGTGTGTGCATTTATTTTTGCCGTTTGACGCGTTTTTCTGTCGTCTCTAATTCTCTCTGGAACACACCACTTTGCTTTTCTGTCCATAAATGGGAGGAAAGGATGTCGTAATCTAGTTCGTGAAGGGTTCGACTTTCTTTAGGATTGATTGGTCCCATTGAATGCAATGTGCTTTGTTCGGTGGAACTAAACTGTATCACGCACGGTAGAGTTAGGTCTGGATTCGTTCATTACACTTTGTGTTAGATAGAGAGGTGCAGGTGTAACTTGAGTTCTAACGTTAAGAAAGCTAAACATACTTGTTATTACTGTAATTGTAATTGTAGGTGGGTTTTTATAATTACATGTCGATTGTATAACTAATATAATTCTCTGTCTTTATATATTATTGGTTTTCTTGAGACTCTGTTTCTCTTATTACCAAAGGCAATTACTGTTGAGATGTAGCGGCAGCACTAAAAAGGCTAGCATTAGCTTAGTCTATCTGAAGGAGAAGGTAGCCAATATAAGTAGAATTTAGAGTGTGCTGCACTGTCGTATATATAATAACACATGATATATACTGCATAATGTAGTATTCGTTTCCCCTACATTGGGTTTATTGGAGCTACATAGTCCAACGTTACTATGCACAAAAGATGAGCAGTTTAACAACAGCAACTCTGTTTAACACTAAATACCCAAGTAAAGGTTGACACATCTGTAAAATAACCGTAAAGTCAATCTCCTCATACAAATCATAAATTATAAAGGAGATTACTATCGCAGTAATGATAAATTTCTTATAAGTTACTATCCGATATAGTGTAACGGCTATCACATCACGCTTTCACCGTGGAGACCGGGGTTCGACTCCCCGTATCGGAGTGATTATTTTTCCTTTTTTATTTAATAATCTGTGATCACCTGACCTGGTTCGTATTTTTCTTTAAAATTTTGTTAAATCTAATGATATTATCGTTCAGAAATATCCGTACAAATATATTAATATTGGAAATAGCCTCACATATCTGTTATGTCAAATCTTGTTTTAAACGATTGCAACTAATAATAAATGATGTAAACTATCTTATTAATATAATAATCGAACAATTTCTGTTCAAACAGTTTGATCTTTGACTCAAACCTTGGTTGGGAAACTGGTAATACACCTTTGTTTTTTAACCCTTCGTTATCTTTTAAAAAGATTTTTTAGTTATTGAGTTATTTATCCTTTTTTTCATAAGGGGAATAGCCATTCCAGGGAAATCAAATAAATATTATTACAGAAGGAGAGATGCCTGAAAAATTGTTCATTTCAAAGAAAGGTGAATTCTGTGATAAAGATGGTAATGTTGTTGTTCTGAGAGGTGTGAATTTAGACCCTAATGCGAAATTACCTGCTAAACCTGACCTAACTTCACATGTATCACTAAAGAATGATAATTTTTGGGATTTAGCAGATGATGTTAGCTTCGTCAACCATCCTTTTCCTCTGGACCAAGTGGAATCACATATCAATAGGTTGAAATCCTTAGGTTTTAACCATATCAGATTCCCGTTTACTTGGGAATCAATTGAACATAAAGGTCCCGAAATATACGATTATGAATTTATGGATTACATTATAGAAGTATTGAAAATTATTGATCATGTTGGTGGAGTTTATGTTTATCTTGATCCACATCAGGATGTATGGTCTAGATTTACAGGTGGGTCTGGTGCACCATATTGGACTTTATTATGTGCCGGTTTTCAACCGAAAAGATTTAGAAGGAATGAAGCAGCTATTGTTCATAACACTTTAATAAATACAAAGACAGGTAAGGATAACATCAATGATTTCCCGAAGATGGTATGGGCTACCAATTATTACAAGCTGGCTTGTCAAACTATGTTTACGTTATTCTTTGGTGGGAAACATTTTGCTCCTAAATGTATGATTAACGGTATGAATATTCAAGATTATTTACAAGAGACGTTCTTGAAGGCGATATTGGAGTTTTATAAAAGAATCCAAGAACGAGCACCGGAGTTGTTTGAATCCAATTGTATTATTGGGTTAGAAAGTATGAATGAACCAAGTCATGGTTATATAGGTACCACCAATTTGAATGAGATTGAAAAGGAGAGAAACTTAAGACTTGGGTCTACCCCAACAGGGTTTCAGTCTTTCATGTTAGGGGAAGGTATTAATACAACGATCGATAGATATGAAATTACCGTGTTTGGACCTTCGAAATCTGGAACGAAAAATGTCCTTTGTGAAGGTGAAAGCGCATGGTTGACAAAGGATGAAAGAGATGCGGCTGATTCCAAATATGGTTGGTCTAGGAATGAAGAATGGACACCTGGGATCTGTATATGGAGACTCCATAAAGTATGGAAGATTGACCAATCTGGACCAAAATTGTTACAGCCTGATTATTTTTCTAAACTACATAACCCAGGCACTATTGCTCCAGATTTAGTTGTCAACGAACGATATTTCATGAATAATCTTTTTACCCATTATTTTAACAATTTCCATCGTGCATTTAGACATATAGATAAAGAATCATTTGTATTGATTCAACCACCAGTATTTAGATCGCCTCCTCACTTGAGACATCTCGATATTATCATTGGGAAGACAATATGTGCTTGCCATTTTTATGATGGACTATCTCTTATGTATAAGACCTGGAGTCGGTTTTTTAATGTGGACACATTTGGGATCGTTCGTGGTAATTATTCAAATCCAATGTTTAGTATAGTGTTAGGAGAATCTAGAATTCGTGATTCATTCCAATCACAATTAAAATTAATGAAACAAGAAGTACATGAAATCCTAGGGAAGGATGTACCAACGTTTTTTACCGAAATAGGGATGCCATATGATATGGATAATAAAAAAGCATACTTGTCAGGTGACTATACATCTCAAACAAAAGCCATGAATGCCATTGCACATGCATTAGAAGGGAATAATCTTTCATTTAGTCTTTGGTGCTATTCTTCGGGAAATAGCCATCGTTGGGGGGATAATTGGAATAATGAAGATTTCTCCATATATTCAAATGATGATCGCAAAGATATATCACATGAAACTACATCGCGATCGGGAACCCCTTCATTAAGTGTGAAATCCCTAATTAGTAGCAGTAGTGGTAATACTAATGGATCAAAATTTATCACCAAGACAACTGCATTTGATGATATCAAATGGCCACCTACTCCTCCCCTGAATGACCTTGATTTTAATGGATTCCGTGGGACAGATGCATTGGTAAGACCATTCCCATTAAAAATACATGGACGATTTATTTTTGCAAAGTTTGATCTTGAGATGAAAAGTTATGCATTAAAGATACACGCTAAAGCAAGTTCCAATGCTTCTAACACAACTAAGAACGCAACGTACATATTTCTACCGAAATATCATTTTGATATAGATCGTGTAGATATTGGGACATCATCTGGGACGTTTCTATATAATGAAGAATATCAACTCTTAAAATGGCATCATGATGCAGGTCACCAATCAATTGCAATCACTTCCAAAAATAAATTTAATAAAGACGATGGCTGTATAATTATATAAGTGTTAATATACATACACATATCTATAAATTTTATAATTATTTGAGTAATTCTTCGTATTCTCTTTTTGTTCCTGAATCTAAATTATTTTCAATGACTTGATTCACATATTTTTCAAAATAATCAAGGAATTTTTGTAAAGATGTGAATTTAACATTATCATTATGTTCAGTCATCTCTTCTTGTAATCCTATCAGTTTAGGAGCCTGACTAGGTTCAAATCCATCAATAATGGGAACACAAACATTACCTGTGGCTGGATGAATACAGAAAGGTGCCTTCAATAAATGGATTGTTTGTTTTGTGACTTCAACATCAAGTTTTGGGTATAAGGTTTGTAGGATAATGTCTTCTTTACATTCTTTCAACTTGAGCAAATAATCATGTCTTTTATTTGCTTTAACTTCACTGGATGCTAATACATCAATATCACTCCATTTCTGTTTTGAAGATCTACCTGGGTTTTCGGTCCAATATTTACGACAAGCATCCATCAATAATTTATCATGCAATGCGGTTAGCAAAGTAGCAAATGCATTGGCGTCATCTGCCCATGGATCTTGTTCTTCAAGGATTATATCAGAAAAATGAGGTTTCAATAAATCCAATGATCTAACAAGTAAAGGATGATACGGCCTCATTAAAGAAAGTCTCTTTTCATTAGATCTATCTCTGACCACATTAACATAGTCTAAAATGTTCCTCCTTTGAAGATCACCCATCTGCCTAGCACGTTTATCACTAATCCAACAATGTGCACCACGTCTCCCTGAAAATACCCATACGAAGTCCTTGAATCCAAAATCTTCAGATAATGTTATATTCATGACCTCCATAGCCAATGTAATAAACTTCCAACATCTAGAACACACCATTGCTCCAGTACAACACGTTCTGTAACTATCATAATCATCCATATCAATATCAAACACCAATTCCTTCTCTAAGGCCTTCATTTCACTCTTCAAGATCGTATCACGTTCTTTAGGAGGTTTGTTATAAATGGCACCAATTTCAAATCTATCAGGGTTTGCGCGTTCAATCTGCTGTTTGAACTCCTGGATAGAAGTATATGAGTTGTATCTCTTATATGCACCTGAGCGGAATGCCATAGCAAATTCCCTATGAGTCATATCCTTTGAAGTAGTCATCGAATGATTTAACCAATGATAAATATCGGTAAAAGGGTACAATTTACGATAATAGTACTCCATATCGGAGGAACTTGGCCCCGAGGGGGTCCCATTTGTAGTAGCCATTGTTGAAACTGATATCTTATCGTTGCTTATTCACCTTTTCTCGAATGAGATTCTTGTATTGATGTATATATATATGTATTTATTTATATTGGTAAACACGAAATGTTTCAATTAAAATAAATGTCTATATGAAACTTTTCACGCGTCGCACAAATAAGCCGTCAATTTTACAAATAACTAGTAAAAGAGAGGTTGAAGATTGAAAACAGACTTGTAACTGGAAAGTTCTCCAAGGGAAGTTGTTCGAGCATATATTTGCCCGCTAATTTAAGAACTACAGTTCACTTATATTGTAACATCCCTTTCGCTACTTCAACATGACTCTACTGAACCCCCGCCATACAAGCCTATGCCAATACTCTGTTCTCCTAACAACCTAGAGATACCACATCCTCAAAACACCATGTAGCCACCTGCTGTCCTACCATTTAAGGATCTGTCGCCATCTTGTCAAGAAAGCCTTTAAGTAGTCACTATCTGCATCTTGAGAGCCCTCCGCAAACCCTGGTCGGTCCGGCCCCCCAAAGCAGGGCACCCCCAAAAAAGCAGGGCGCTTTGCGCCCAAAATTTTGAAATTTTGAAAAAACCGCCCCAGCCCTAGCCCGGGTAACCCACTTGCTTCAACTTTTCTCCCTGCCCGCCATTTAAACGCTGAAAAAAAATATCAAATTAATTATTGCAGTGACGGTGGCAAAAGACAAATACTATCACACTAATAAGCTGGTAGAGTATAAAGGGAAAAAATCCATTTAGCCATTACTACTCGAGTTCAATTCGTTTACTAGAAGTAGAACACATATATAACTGCTACCTACCATTTCAGTAATCGTTCAATTATTATATAGGATAGCGTACCATTTTTGTTGCAAGTGAATTGATTAACTTCGAGCCAAGGAACAGTACCAACACACACACAGATACAATTTATTAAAATATGGATATTATATTAGGGATTAGAGTACAGGATTGTGTAATCCTAGCTACATCAAAGGCGGTTACACGAGGAATATCTGTGTTGAAGGATTCCGACGATAAGACTCGTTCACTTTCACCTCATTGTCTAATGGGGTTCACTGGGGAAGCTGGTGATACAGTTCACTTTTCAGAATACATTCAAGCTAACGTACAACTATATACTACCCGTGAAGGTGTCGAACTATCCCCTCAGGCTACAGCTAGTTTTGTCAGACAAGAATTGGCCAAAAGTATTCGTTCACGTAAACCATACCAAGCTAATGTATTAATTGCTGGATATGATACATCTAGTAATATACCTGAACTATACCAAATCGATTATCTAGGTACTAAAGTGGCTTTACCATATGCAGCACATGGTTATGCTGGGTTTTATACATTTTCATTATTAGATCGTCATTATAGACCGGATATGACTAAAGAAGAAGGTCTAGCGTTATTACAAGATTGTGTAGCCGAATTACAGAAACGTATGCCTGTAGACTTCAAAGGTGTTCTTGTGAAGGTTGTGTCTAAGGACGGTATTGCGGTTGTTCAAGAATGAGAGAAGTAGAAGCCCCCTTTTTGTTAAACATCTTTCACATTTATAATGAAAAAATAAATATATATATATATAATAAGAAAAAATTTAAATATAAACAAACAAGTATATATACCATACCATATATGTACAATTGTCCTTATAACAGACGAACCAGACGAATAAAATGAGTGAACCAGAACCATGCAACACGTTGCATGTTGGTGGTATTCCTGACTCCATATCCAGCGACAGAGCTAGAGAATCTCTGTATTTATTGTTTTCCACATATGGCGAAGTGATAGATATCAAACTGAATTTCAGAACATTAAGACACAGAGCTTTCGTCACAATGACCACTGTTGACAGTGCAAACTTAGCTAGAATAGCTCTAGACAAACAACCATTCTTCAACAACCCTATTAGTGTGCGGTTCAGTAACTCTATCACTAACGACCTTTAACCTATTTTACCCACTGTGCATCTCTTTATTCATTCATTATTCACCTTTTCTATGTAACTGAAAAAAAAAAGTGAAAATAAAATTAAAATACGTATATAACAAAATATATAGAAAAATATACACCCAATAAAGAAAGAACATTTTAAATTTAAACACACACTAAAGAGCAATTAAGCACATATATAGGGTAACGATATGTCGATTACAGATGCTGTGAGTGATGCCCTAGAGGCACGTCTATTGGGTGCTTCTGCAATTGAAACGGGTATGCATACTTTGGATACCGTGCTGTCCCTGCAATATAGATTACATTATCACGTATTAGGCGATGGACTTTCAAACGACGTGGCTCGAGTATTGAAAAGTGAATGTCTTAGATTGAAAGTCGCATTAGATGGGTCGATTACTATTGCAGGCGATCCGGAAGCGTACAGCATCGTTGAGAAGACTTTGTTGAATTGTTTAGCTGTGATCGCTTACCATCAAGGGGACGCAAATGCAATGTCGTTACTTAAACAGGCTACTAAAATTAAGAAAGGTAAATCAAAGAGTTATGCTGAATTTTGGAAATTGTTAGATATCGAGAATCTATACTATCAAGGTTTAATAAGTGAAAATCCGCGGGAATTATATGTATCTCAATTATTAAAATATATTAAAGAAATTCCACCACTATCACAAGGTTTGTTACATAGTTATCTTACATTAATTGCGAGAAAGTTAAAGGGAAGATCATTGAATTCACTATGTGCTGAAACAAAGAGTGAATCACCTCTCGTTTGTTACATGTATTTCTTATCTACAACTCAACCTTCAAAGGACGATGATACATATTTCTTAGCAATAGCTACTAAAATTGTCAATAGCTCAAAATTCCCATTAGCAGCTCAGTCAAATAATGCCAATTTAAATCAATTACATGAATGTTTACATTTCTATTTCGAAATTGAAGGGTTAGAATTGTCACCTGAATGGCATAATCTTATCATCTCTTCTATTCAACGTACATTCCAAAGCAAAACTGTTGCGAGAGCTTCAATGAGTTTGAATGCCTTTGATAAAAGTACCGAGAACAAGGATATGATTCGTGAATGTATATTAAGTTTCAACAATTACCTTAAATATAGTGATAAAGAACTGGAATTGGCAAGCGATACTCAAGATATTTATACCGATCCGATAGCAATTATAGACGCATTGACAGTAATTTTACAAAAGACTACAGATATGAATAATATTCCAAATATCTTTGATTTCAAACATACTACTGAATTATTACAGATAAATCTGAAAAAATTATACTCAATGTATCATTTAGGTCTTGTCGAACCTGCTGTTGCGCAAAAATACTTATCAAATGGTACAAGATTGGTCTTACCTGTGTCCACCTCATACATTTTGATCAAGGCATGGAGAACTCTGTATATCATTAGATCTGCAAGTCTCGATTACTTGATAGCCAACGAATTATCATCGTATCTATGTAATGCAATCTCCTTAGCAATGACAAATAATAATGGTAACGAAAACTCATTTCTGAGAGATTTGCAATTCCAATATGCATATTGTTTGGCACAACAGAGACAAATCGAAGCATGTATCGAATACCTAGAGAATGCTATCTTGGAGGCTGATCCTACTTTTTACAAAGCTTGGCATTTATTAGCATTATGTCGATCTATTCAAGAAGACAAAGAAATTTCATATAAAATCATATGTTCTGTAATGAATGCGATGGATCAAGAATTTGCTTCCATACAATCCAAGAATATTACAAAAGAAAACAAATGGCAATATATTAATATCAAGATTACAGAAATACATTTAATTAATGAAATATTCGGTACCGAGGAGGCTTTAGAATCCTTACCAGAATTATTTACATCCTATAATAAACTGTTTGGAGACTCTCCTAGTAATGAAGAAGGACCTTTAAGCCGATCTCCCGAATATTTATTACAATCGATATGGTTGTTAGCCGCACAATTATATATGAACGATAAAACACATTTAGAAGATGCTAAAGGTGCTATTAAAGAAGCTAAAGCAGTATCAAAGGATTTTAAAAATGTCAATATCCAAATTACGAATGGTCATTTATTACTTAAAATTGGTAAATTTACTGAATCATTCCGACAATTTGAAGATGCTTTACATTTTGACGACTTTAACGTTGATGCCATTATTGGATTCGCAGAATTTGTATTCCCTAATGAAACTACAACCAGTACTTCAGAGCAACAACTTATAGATTATTGTAAATTAAAAAATATTGAAGATGGTAATGAGAGAAATAAATTTGCTAGCGATGATTATGAAATGTTCTTTGGGAACGATGTCAACAAATCTGCTGCATTTGCAAGATTAAAATTATTAATCGATTGTTCATTAATCAAATCCATTGACGCTTATTATTCTCCAGAGATATGGTGGTACTTATCCTTAATACACGAGAAATATGGAAATAAAGAAATTAGTGATACTTTATTGAGTTGTATTCAAAATAAAGAAACATGTCCGTTACGCCCATTTAAGTTCTGTAATTACTAATGTAATATGTAATTTTAAATAAACCCATCTTCTCTTATTTTCTTATGAGATTGTATATATATATATCCAATCAATCAATTCGAGAACTTTTCTTCACAGCTTGTATCTGTCTTCTTCTATTTACTTTATCGACATATTTGAGAATAATGGGACATAAAGCTGAATTAATTACAATCCATGCAACTAGAACACCATAGTTTCTACCCATATGCTTCCTTGAAGTATCCATAAATATGACTCGAAATATATCGATTGCATTGTGGATTGGCATGACATACCCATATCGATAAAAAACATTATCTAAGGCCATCGGGAAGAACGAAGGTGCCACATTCAACATTACAAAAATTGTGATCCAAAATCCCATAAATTCTGGTTTCCATAAAAATATTAGACTTATGACATTTTCATTAGTGCTACCACATGCGACCATATATAAAAGTGTTGACATCCAATATACCATAAATCCACCGCGACCAAATGCTCTCCCATAATCAAACCCAAAGAAACCAGGAATGGAACAATAAAAAAGGGAAATGAAAAAGAAGGTGATAAACGAAATTGAGATTCTGTATAATATATAATTTCTGGGGCAAAGTAACTTAGACATTTCCGTATGCAATGGTGAATAAATCAAGAATTGGAAAACTGTTAGTAATAAGCCATCAATAACACCAACTTGTGTAGGTGTGATTAAACCACGACGATAGAATGGTCTATAATCATTGTAATAAAATCCAATATTAGCCATGGCTGCCAAATTATCGAAATTAGAAGTAATGGTGTAATTACCATTCTCTGTTATATTAGTTAAAATCGCTGGTAAGTATATGTTATAATAATATGCTTTAAACTTTGCTTCAAGACCTTGAACTAATGGTAAGATAGTTGAAGGTATATTTGTAGGGTCTCTCCCACTTTCAAAGGTTACTTCAAATATATTTGTCGTATTAAATGGTGATGCCGTTGAATTAACAATCGAGTTCAAAAGTTGCATAGTTGCATTAGGCTTAACATTCAAGGAAATCCAAAAATACTCATGGTACACCCTTTCCACTATTTTTTTATTTATTACCTCAGGTTCCATCAAAATGCCATATTTTTCGGAAAAAGTTTTACTGTCATAGACACTCCATTTACCAGGGGTTGTCTGAATCGTAGCATTAAGAATATCAGCCAACGGTACTATATGGTGTGCCATCATCTCTGATGTTATTGTATCATCCTGAAGTACAGCCAAAAAATTTAACCTATGATAATATTTCTCCGTATCCACATTAGATCCTTGATATAATGTGAAAATTGTAAATATGAAAACTGCAAAAGTTAAAATTGTCACAAGGAATTTAATTCCTATCTTCTTTCTTTGGTCCCGTAATCGTCTAGAAAATGGGTTTGTTTTTATTTTAGTCAGGGGTTCTGTTGTATTTTCATCATTTAAAGACATTTCTTCAGGTAATTTAATATCATCAGCCCCAGTATTATTATCTAATGACCGTCCAAAGTCTGATATATTTGACCGCTTAATATCATCACAATTAAGATTAGGATCAACGCGAGAACTTCTCCGTGAATAATGAGACTCAATGTCTTGGTTCGAGTTCTGCCCTAACATATTACAACCATTAATAATTTCACCTAGAATTTGAGGTTCATTTTGAACCAGTAGTTCACCAGCAGGTTCCATATTTTCCATATCTACCGTGCCTGCCATTTTACATAAACAGTTATATATAACAGTATTTTTATTACCAAACCTTGACCTAGTGCGAAGATGTAAAATATATGGTCTGTATATATATGCGGACAATTTGCCTGCTGTTCCTTTATTGTATAGTCAGAAGTTCGATGTTATGCAGATCCCTTTAGTAATATATTACTAAACCAATCCTCGGGCGATGAGATGACAAAATTAATGAATTGGGAAACGTTGCGAACGGCAACAATGCGGTGGGCAGAAACAAGGGAGATAGAGAGGGCGATCTGCCCACGTACAAAGTGAGTTTGATTATTAAATGGATCAGCTCGTGTAAACGTTATTCATTGAAGTTACCTGTATGTTCTCATGCATTGACCTTTTTACTATATAATGTCCGAATTGAAGGACAATACATTGATAAATTTGTTCTCTCCTAAAGCCATCACTTAAGTTTCCAAGAAGCGAGATTTCTGGGCCAGTAACTAATATAAGAATAAACGACATAATGATTAACCTACTCGAGGGTTGTTAACTGAGGGGTCAACTCCATCTATCTATTGATCTTGATAATGTTTAACATACTTTTGTTATAGTTTTTTTGAGAAGATATTTTTTGCTCAGATTACATAAAAAATTATCCAAAAATTTAACTACATATAATTGTACCGTTATTTTAATATCTTATAAGACCTCACAATATTTTGCAAGTATAGGATGTGTGAATAAAGTCGGCTACATTTGCAACCAGTAGTTTTCGGGAGTAGTTTGTTCTTGACCAGTTATATATTTCTACATCAAATACAAACATGGTATCCTTTAATTCGTTGACTAGTTTAATCTGTTTTGAGGTTTTTGAAATGATATGATGTTATATCATATTACATTTTAAGATAGGTTATCTCTTTACCATTTTAAGTCTTCTCTTGGGAAAAGAAAGACTTTGAAATAGTTTCAATGTTTATTAATGCAGTTTTATTTTAATTTTTTAATTGTTTTATAATGTATGTATATAAAACTATATATGCTATATTGTCTATAATAAGAAAATAATCTATTTTTTGTTCTGAGATTCAGCTGGTGTGGATGCAGCAGCAGCAGCCTGTTGTCTCTTTCTATTGACTCTACCAACAAATGTAATAACGAATGGTTGTAGAATAGTGTTGATTACAATCCATGCAACTAGAACACCATAGTTTCTACCCATATGTCTCTTTGAAGTATCCATAAAAATGACTCTAAAGATCCCTACAGCGTTGTGAATCGGCATCATATAACCATAACGATACACCACGTTATCTAGAGCCATTGGGAAAAATGATGGGCCTAGATTTAAGATGACAAAGGATAAAATCCAGAACCCTAAGAATTGAGGTTTCCATAAGAAAATCAAGCTGACAACATTTTCATTGGCACCACCACAGGCTAACATGTATAACCACGAGGACATCCAATATACCATGAACCCACCACGGCCAAAGGCCTTTGTAAAATCAAAACCAAACATTGCAGACACAGTACAATAAAACAATGATGTGAAGAAAAACGTAATGAAAGAGATTAGGATTCTATAAATAATATAATTTTTAGCATTCAAATATTTCGCCATTTCCATATGCAATGGAGTATAGACCAAAAATTGGAAAACTGTAATGATTAAACCGTAGATGATACCAATTTGCGCAGGTGTAATTAACCCACGACGATAAAATGGTCTGTAGTCGATATAATTGAAACCTGGATTACCCATAGCTGAAAGACTTAATGGGTTGAAGGTAATATTTGGATATGTCTGAGTAATGTTAGTTATTAAACTTGGTAAATAATTATAAGTATAATATTCTTCAAAAGCAGTATCTAAACCTTCCATAATTGGTAATATTGCTGTTTTCAAATTTGATGGATCACGCCCACTTTCATACATGACTTCAAACACCGACGAGGCATTAAATGGAGTAGCTGTATTGTTAACAATTGAATTAAAAAGTTGTAATGTAGCATTTGGTTTAACATTCAAAGAAAGCCAAAAATATTCGTGATATATACGTTCTGTTACTTTCTCATTGATCGCCACTGATTTATCAGTATAATTTGATAAGTGGTATTTATTAATGAATGAATCACTTGTGTTATAAACACTCCATTTCCCTGGCATCAATGGAATCATTTGATTTATAATTGCAGTTAAAGGTATAACGTTTAAATCTTGCATTTCAGATGTCAATATATCATCCTGTAATACAGCCAAAATCTTAATACGTGGGAAATATTTAACAGTATAAGCATTTGAACCCCAAAATAGAGTAAAGACAGTAAACATGAACACAGCAAAGATCAAAATAGTTAAAAGAAAATGTAAAAAAACTTTCTTTCTTTGATTTTGTAATCTAGGTGAAAAATATCTAGTTTGAATCTTTTGTAAAGTATCATCTTCACTAGAATTACTTTCAACTTTATCAATTGTAGATTGCCTATCTGAATGATGTCCTGTATAATTCTGAACCGAATCTGCTTCACTAGAATTAATACTAGGTTGTATGTTTGCACTCCCAATATCATTATCATCATTATCATCATCTATATCATCTTCTGTTCTCTCTATAGGAACGTTATACATCACAGAATGTCGTCTCTGATATATTTTTTCTGCATCTTCATCGGGTGTTTGGTTCAAATGATTTGATAAATTCACCATTTCACCTAATATCCCAGCTTCATCTTGTAATAATAAACTATTGTTATCGATATTATTACCTTTAGTAGATTGCTTCTCTATATCGTTCATCGTTCTCTTGTTTTATTTAAAAAAGAGATCCCTTAAACTGTTTGTAGTTATTACAGTTAATATACAAATGGAAAATCAAATCATATAATACTTCATATACCTGAAAAATAAATAAATAATGTAGATCGTCGCATCCCTCTTTCTTATATACTATTTCTAAACAAATAAAAGCAATCTGATATCAACCGGTAACCATCGGCAACACCGGCCACTCACAGTCATTACATAATAATTATTCATTATATTCTTATACAGGAAAATCGGAAGGGGCTATTGTGTAGGTCGGGAGATGATCCGACTTCGAAGATTCCTCTATTAGGTTCCGTTAAGATTTGTGCGTGTGGTTCTCGGTTGTTCCTTCCGTTTGGGTGCTTCGACCGAGTCCTACGGCGAAAGGAAATGCAACGGGGGGAGGAAGTTTCTTTTTTTAGGGGGCCAAGGACGGTCGCAGGCGGGGGTTGGTGGATGTTCGTGCCGTGTGATAAGAGAGAAACGCACACGCACAAGCACACAAAAATATACCAGCCGTCTAAATGTCCACGGAAATTCAACAGAAAAGCTAAATCTTTTTGGTGGAAGGAGGAGCAGTTACGGAAATGTTACATCCGCGGCTATACTGCCGGCGGATGTAACTATTGATAGAACAGGAGAAATTTAGGTTTTAACCGCTGACGTGTTTGCGATTGACGTTGTGGGAGGGGGACAAAAAAGAAAAAAGGATGTCGGATTTACAGACATTCGTATTCATTATTATCACTACTGTGATTGACGTGCGTAGGAATGAATGTAGGTATAAATGTTATATCCATGGAGATCGAAGTCTGTAGCGGCATATTGACTAATGGATTTGTTGATATTTTGATAGGTTACAAAACCCCAGTTAATAAGATTACATATATATTTTAATTTAATTAGTTTTTTTTTTATCCGAAGTATGGGTGGTCGATCGTCTTATTGAATTGTAGTAATATTGACCTGCAATTTCTATAGAGCTACATTCGACAAATCTAATTGCACTCACATAATCTATCTTTTTTTTTTGCAATAGTCATGAATAATTAGTGACATATTTTTTATGTATCACGAACAGCCTGTCCAGGGAATGTCTTCGTCATGCATCTGCTGCAATAACTAATCATTCCTGTTCACTCTTCTGATTTTGCAGCCGACGGGACATAATTTCGTGATTTTCTCGGAAGAAAAACTGAAAAGCTGAGCATTTTTTTTTTTTTGGTTCGAAATTTCTCACATAATCAACAGCTGAGAAATTATTTACGTGAATCATGTCCACTGTATAAACAGAGATGGAAATAAAATTTCATGAATATTGACACAATTATAGTAATATCACTTTCTCGAAGATTTAGGAATATTTTATTTTCTTGAAAAAACCAAACCAAACCAAATAAGGCACTCTAGCTAGGCTTGTCTCCTTTCAAATATTATCATGAGTGAGAAAGAAATTGCACCACAAATACGAAACGGTAGAGTAAAATGGTGGTTACGTAACGTCATATGTCCATTACTATTTACAATAATATCCTTCAAATTAAGATTACAAGATATTGATGCTAATGGATCAGTTGTTTGGGATGAGGCTCATTTTGGGAAGTTCGGTTCCTACTACATTAAACATGAATTTTATCATGATGTACATCCTCCTCTAGGGAAAATGTTAATTGGTTTAAGTGAATGGATTGCTGGTTTCGATGGAGATTTTGGATTTGAATCAGGTAAACATTATCCATCTGAAGTAAATTATAAAATCATGAGACAATTCAATGCAGTATTTGGTGCATTATGTGTACCAGTGACCTATTATACTACTCTATGGATGGATTTTAAATTCATGACTACTTTGTTAGTCACTACTATGGTCACTTTAGAACATTCATATATCGTCCTATCGAAATTCATATTATTAGATTCAATGCTTTTATTTTTCACATTGACAACATTCGCATGTCTTTGTAAACTTAATAGTTTAAGACAGGAACAATTGACCAAAAAATGGTCTCTATGGTTATTGTTGACAGGTGTCAATATTGGTTGTGTTTGTTCAGTGAAATGGGTTGGGTTATTCATTACAGTTATAGCTGGTATTTACACAGTGATCGATTTATATCGTCATTGGTGTAATCCTAAATTAGATAGAGTTCGTTACTATAAGCATTGGCTTATTCGTATCATATATTTGATTCTGATCCCATTCTTGATCTATTTATTCTGTTTCAAGATCCATTTTGCACTCCTATATAAATCAGGTACAGGTGATTCCTCTACAAACACTCTATTCCAAGTGAATTTAGAAGGTACAAAGATCAAACAAGGCCCTAGAAATCTTTTATTTGGATCGCATTTCACGATGAGATCTCATGGCCTAAGTCCAAATCTGTTACATTCTCATCCTCAATTATATCCAGAAGGTTCTCACCAGAGACAAATTACCGGGTATGCTCATTTTGATAATAATAACGTTTGGGAATTCCAATTCATCAGAGGACAAAGATATGAACTTGGAAAATTGTATTTTATTAGTGACGGTGCAGAAGTTAGATTGATCCATAATAATACCCGTTCTAATTTACATTCTCATAAAGTACCATCTCATGTATCTCGTGGTAATTGGGAAGTATCAGGTTATGGTAATGATGCCGATGGTGATGATCATGATAATTGGGTCATAGAAATCGTTGATCAATTACCCTCTGCGAACCCTGATTACCCAAAGGAAGATGACAACATTGTACATCAATTTTCTACTTTCATTAGATTAAGACACAAATCACTTGGTTGTTATTTGACCTCTACTGGATTATCTTACCCAACTTGGGGGTTCTCACAAGCAGAAATTGTTTGCAAGAATTCATGGAGTAAAAGAGATAAATCTACTTGGTGGAATATCGAAGAACATTGGAATGATAACCTTGCCGTGGATGAAGAGTACGTTCCACCAAAATCTAAATTCTGGACAGATTTTATTCTGATAAACTTTGCAATGGCATCTTCAAATAATGCATTGGTTCCTGATCCTGATAAATATGATAGCATTGCATCTGACGCATGGGAATGGCCATTATTACACAGAGGTTTACGTTTATGTGCCTGGTTGAAGGATACTCACAGGTACTACTTATTAGGATCCCCTTTCAATACATGGATATCAACATTAGCGATCTTTATTTTCATGTTTATCATGGTTAGAATTGCATACAAATGGAGAAGACAAAGTATAGTTTTGACTGAGGATGATTTCTGGTCCTTATTAATACAAGCAATACTACCATTCATGGCCTGGTTGGCTCATTATTTACCATTTGCAATAATGGGTAGAGTTACATACGTCCATCATTATGTGCCTGCATTATATTTTGCCATTTTAATATTTGGATTCGTAGTTGACTACATGTTTGGTTCAACAAGATCATACATTAAATACCCGGTATACTTGACTTTAATGGGAGGTTGTATTTATATATACATCCTATTTGCGCCAATCTGTCAAGGTCTTCAAGGGTTAGGTGCAAAATACTTGAAGTTACAATGGCTACGCACATGGGATATCGTCATCTAATTAATTACTGATTCCTAGTATTTCCCCCCTCTTATTATGTATATTTACTTAATAATTATGTAATAAATGAGGGACGGGTGTCTTAATATATTCTCATAAGAATACTAATATAATTATATTGTGACAGAGTAAATACGGGTGGTGTTATCACTACTGGCTGCACCTAAAAGATATTGGCCGTCCCTTGTCATGGTAGACCATCTTAGTCTGGTCAGCTTGTCCGCAGGGGTATCCTTATCACTCACTTTAGATAACAATTGAAATTTACCGTCATAGAAATAATAGAGTAGAATAGACCCATCTTCCAAACCAGCAGCAATTAGTAACTTACCATTAATTAGTGTCTGGAACACTGACAGAGCAGTCACTGGCTTATCATGCTTTACGGAATCTAACATCGTATAATCTTGTGTTTCATTATTAAAATTCCATATTTTAATAGTTCTATCCCTAGACCCGGTTACGAATGCATTACCAAATTCTAAAGGTGCCCAATCACCGTCCCAAATAATTCTGGTATGTGGTTTCTCGTTCTTGCATTTCAAAGTAAACGTATTATCCTCAAATTTTCTTTCCCAAATACTCCATTTTCTATCTCTACACACAGCCAACAGATATTTGTTATCTGGGGAGAATCTTAGCTTGTTTATCGTCAAACTATGCAATGCCAATGTAGGTTTAATCTCCAACCACGTGTCTACGCTGAAAATTCTGATCACAGCATGTTGTGGTGTGTTCGATCTACATGCTGAGGCAATCAATTTACGGTCAGGACTGACATCGAGACAAGTGATTTCATAACCATGACCATATAGTTTCTCAATTTCAGGCCACAATAAATGTCTTTGTAATTGGTCCTCGATCGGTGGATGTGTCAGCGAAGTAACAATTTCATAAGATATATTCTTAGCTGCAGTTTCATCTTCATCATTGTCCTCATCTTGAGTCTCATCTTCTTCTCCAGTAGCCTTGTTAGACAGACCCAATACTGGCAACGCAGCTGACTCGGGCATTGCAGATTCTTCAGCAACATCAATATGGACGAACTTTTTTAACAGTTCGGCGACACCCTTAGGTTCATCAAATGATCTAACAATCTTTTCATCACCACCACTTAAAAATCTTGTATCACTGATAGGTTCAACACAAATCATATCATAACCATGAATTTGTGGTCTAGAAAACTCGTGCCATGTAATTACGTCCCTCTTAGAACCATCAACATTAAACAACCACGGTGCGTATAGTCTTGTAGTTTGATCTAATGATGTAGACAATAGGTATTCCCCATTTGGAGACCATGCAATATCTGTGACCTCTTTTGTAGGACCAGATATACTCAAATGTTCGTCAACTTGTAAATTATCTGTAGTCGACCAAACTCTCCAGGCACCGGTCTTACCATTGGTTAGAATATAGTCGATGCCTTCTTTGTTGAACCATATGCAGGACCAAAATCCACCCGAAGAACCAGTAGCTGTGGATGCACCTTTAGATGATATTTCACCCAGCCTTAGACTGGAAACCCAAATACCTGACGATTCATCAGGCTCCCAGACCATCAGAGATGTGTCTGCTGTGGAGGCTAGCAGTTGCAAACGTGTTTCATGCCATTGTAAAGATGAAATCCAATCATCGTGGCCCATGATAAGGGCCTCAAAGTTAATACAAACCTTTAGGTCATTATCTACATTGAACTTATATTGCTTGTTGTTCAGGAGGGTCAAAGTGTTTTCATCTTCGTCATCGTCCTTAATAAGATCGTTAGTTCTGATTCTCCATATTCTGATGTATCTATCCTGGGAACCTGAGCATAGCAAGTAATCACCAGGAGTTTCCTGATAACGGAATGCTAGGGATTTGACCCAATCTTCATGACCTTCTAACTTAGCTTGTTTTTTACAATTAATAATACCGTTATCCAAAATAAAGGAGTAAATAAACACATGTATATTAGTACCACCTACAGCCAACAGGTACTTGTTCTTTTCGACCTTAGAAAGCGAAAGAGACAAAGGTAGAACATTCTTTTCAACTTCGAATTCCTCACCTAATTGAAAAGCATCTGTGCTATCCTCAGAATCATGTTCATACCACAAGGAAACCATACCATTAGCACACCCAATAGCAATTACGCCTTCTAGCACTCCAAGAGCAACAATTGTTTGACTATATTGAGTAATGGTCTGAACACAATTCCATTCACTACCCTTGAATTTCCAAATCTTGATGTGACAATCCTCAGAGGTCGATACCATATATTCGGTATTGTGAATAAATCTAACACAAGTTACTGTGGATTCATGACCTTTCAAAGTTTGTGTGATACCATGGTAACTTTTGTCTAATGGGTTCCAAAGTGCAACTGTCCTACCAGCACCAAACGCTACAATTCTGAGCTGTTTGTTATAATCACTGGTTTGGTTCTGTTGATTTGCACCAACAAAAATTGCTTTTTGTTCAATATCAATGGACATGCTTGGTTTACCGATATTATTTTTATTACTGTTCTCCTCCCCTTACTAATCAATTAACCGATGAGCATACATTTGTTGATAATCTTTTATTATATTCGAAAAGGTCTAAAAATTTTCAGGACCTTAAAGGAAAATTCGTGGTCGATGACGAGTCCACTAAAAGTAAAAGCACAAAAAATATTTTGACAAACGAAATCCATTCGATTGGATAAGTTACTATATATATACAGATATATAGTTATAAATAATATGTTCTAAAATTATGTACGTTAGTTGGTAATAAATAGTGAGTATCCGTCATTACGTGACAATGAGACTGTAATGTAGTAAATGTACCTCTTCCGTGCAGCTAAAGCATTTAGCTAACAGCAAAAGGCGTTGTTAATTAAACCCTTTTTATTTTTTTAAAAATAAAAAGTTAAAGAGAATGTGATCATAATGGAGAAACAGCGAACTCAAGCATCGGTGATACAACCGTGAGAAGCATCACTGACAAGTTTTCTGTACTTGGACAAAGTACCTCTGTTGTAACGTGGGGCAGGAGGTGTCCATTGGGACTTACGTTGAGCCAGCTCAGCTTCATCAACTAGTAAGTCAATCCTGTTGTTATCAGCATCGATTCTGATTTGATCACCGTCCTTGACAAAGGCAATTGGACCACCTTCAGCAGCTTCTGGAACAATATGACCAATCAAGAAACCGTGAGAACCACCAGAGAATCTACCATCTGTCAACAAAGCAACATCCTTACCTAGACCGTAACCCATTAGAGCAGAAGAAGGCTTCAACATTTCTGGCATACCTGGACCACCCTTTGGACCCTCATATCTGATGATGACAACAGTCTTTTCACCTTTCTTGATTTCACCTCTTTCTAAAGCATGGATGAAACCAGCTTCTTCTTCGAAGACTCTAGCTTTACCTTCAAAGAAGGTACCTTCCTTACCAGTGATCTTACCGACAGAACCACCTGGAGCAAGAGAACCAGTCAAGATTTGCAAATGACCGTTTGGTTTGATGGGATGGCTGATTGGTCTGATAATATCTTGACCATCTGGGAGACCTGGAGCCTTAGCAGCACGTTCAGCAAGTGTTTCACCAGTGACAGTCAAGGCGTTACCATGCATGAAACCATTGTCGTATAAGTATTTGATAACAGATTGGGTACCACCGACAGTCATTAGATCGGCCATGACGTACTTACCGGATGGTTTGAAGTCACCTAGTAATGGAGTCTTATCACTGATTCTTTGGAAATCGCTTGGAGACAACTTAATGTTGTGAGAATGAGCAATAGCAATCAAATGAAGAACTGCGTTGGTGGAACCACCAGTGGCAATAGCGTAAGTAATAGCATTTTCAAAGGCTTCCTTGGTGAAAATGTCGGATGGAAGAATGTTCAATTCCATGGTCTTTTTAATAGCTTCACCGATGTTGTCACATTCCGCCAATTTTTCCTTAGAGACAGCTGGGTAAGAAGAGGAGTTTGGTAGAGTGATACCCAAGACTTCAGCAGCAGAACCCATCGTATTAGCAGTATACATACCACCACAGGAACCTGGACCTGGACAAGCATGTTCGACAATGTCTTCTCTTTCGTTTTCATTTAGTTCCTTAGCGATGAATTGACCATAAGATTGGAAAGCAGAGACCAAATCGATCTTTTGTGGAATCTTCTTAGAACCACAAGTTGGATGGCCTGGTAGAATGGTACCACCATAAACCATGATGGAAGGTCTGTTGTGTCTACCCATAGCCATCATAACACCAGGCATGTTCTTATCACAGGATGGAATAGCGATGTTCGCATCATAATGTTGAGCCATCATAATAGTTTCGAAGGAATCAGCAATAATTTCTCTACTTTGTAGAGAGTATCTCATACCTTTAGTACCCATGGAGATACCATCGGAGACACCGATGGTGTTGAATTGCATAGCTTTCAAACCAGCTTTGTCAACAGATTCGGAACATCTATTATTTAAATCCATCAAATGCATGTTACAAGGGTTACCAGACCACCAACAGGAACCGACACCGACTTGTCCCTTAGCAAAATCATCCTTTTTGAAACCAGTTGCATACAACATGGCTTGAGAAGCACCTTGATCCTTTGGTTCAGTAATTTGGTAAGAATATTTATTCAATTTCTTAGCGACATTACGTGTTGTAGAAAACTGTCTACGCATAGCGTTAGCAACAGTCATGATTGTGTAAATAATCTAGTTTATCCTGCTTGAGAAGTAGAATCGAATGTTTCTGAAAAATATATATTAACTAACAGAATTCAATAAAATATCTTACCTCCTTTATATATAAAATGTTGCAATTAACTGTTTCGTAAGCGGAAAATTCACGGTAATAACAGAATTAAATTGCAATCAAAACGAAAGAGAAACCTATTGGAGCCGGGCTTCTTCTTCTTCTTCTTCTTCTTCTTCTTCCTGGTTGTCCCTCTGTAGACTACGCTTTGTATGACTCAATATAGCTAGTAACTATCAGTCTGGCATAAGCAATAACGAAGAGAGAATTGCAAATAAGGTGACAACTTCTTGCAGCGTGAAAAATTTTCGGGTTATTAAAAATTCGATGGCCTGAACCGCTCTCACACATACAAAGTTCAAAAAAAGAGTGGTAGTATGGGTGGCTTTTCCAGTTAAAGAAAAGAGGTTCTCCCAACCAAGGAACACTTAAAAGGGAGGTCAAGAAGGTTGCAACTCGTTGGATATGAGCTACAATATCAATGATTTAAAGTATGTCGATGTTGGACAGTTATGCCAGTGGATCAGACAAGGGAATAAGACCAATTTGGGTGAGAAACTTGTAGTTGTAGATGTCAGAGGTCATGATCACATTGGAGGTCACATTAAAGGTAGTGTTAACATAGCGTCTAGCAAGTTTGTCAATGAGATGGCCAATTTAAAACAACGTATGGAGAATGATGAGATAAAAATAGTTGTCTTTCATTGTGCACAGTCGCAACAGAGAGGACCATCCGCTGCATTGAAATTTCTTAGGTATTCAGATGGTGAGTTCGACGTACGTATCTTAAGAGGAGGGTTCATCGAGTGGCAACAACGGTACGGTTTAGATACTGGGTTGACTTCGGGTTATATAAAGGATCTGTGGATGTAAAATATATCTCTGTAATAAAAACATTCAACTGTAATTAAATATTATAAATTGCAACGTGTCAATATCGAGTTCTCAAATCGATTCTAACCCATAGCACCAAGCAAGAATCTCGGTTCTTTTATGGTCATCGTCCACTGGACATTAATAAAATGGTGTTTCTTAAATAGTTTGAAAGTGTAACAGTTATAAATATAGCCATTCCTTGAAATTAGCCGCCCAACGCACTGGAGGAGGAAAATGGAAGTGGGAACTGCGCGCTTAAATATTTTATATAAAAGAAGAAGTGTATACTTAGGGTAGAAAATTTTTAACCACTTTTTACCCTAATTGACATGGAAAATCAGAGCAACTTGAAGGTCTGTGGGGTTCCATTCTGAGTTATGTTTGAGATTACTTTACATAGATCCATTTCTCCCTTTTATTGTTTCGATTCTGGTATAGCAGAATAATAGGAATTAACTGTTTACTAATTTTACTATATCGACTATATTCTAAGTGACTCTTAGTTAACGGGTGATACTTAAAGGGGAGCTGTTGATTACATGTAGCATATTCAATAAGCTTGTCCATATCAAATCTACAGGTTGCGTTGAACAATTAGACATTTACCCAGGAAGCACTATATTAGTACCCTGATTAACAACGAAAAAGGGCTCCTCTTTTGAAGTTGCCATTTGAACAATATCCAAATGGCCACTGAATGCTTAATACCGAATGTTTAAACTGATTAGAGTGTATTAATTAACAGATATTGCTTACTCGTTTTTTAACTCTGTTGATAATAGCGCGTGATTTGCTGTTACTTCTCCCACAGTATTAAGAACAATATTCAATTTCTCTCCACAGTTATAGTGCGCTTCCCTATAGTGACTTGCAGATGACTCTGTTTTCTCTCTTAGAGATAAAGGTAGATTACGAAATAATGTGTGAGAGCAAAAAAATAAAAATGAACGATAGAGTCTAAGATAGAACGAATCTTTGATCGTGAGATAGCATAGAGTCTATATATAAACATGAATCTCGAACGTACCATTATCGAGATATACATCTAAGAAGTAGTATCAAGAATCATTCCTAGAGCCCAATTGCACATTAAAGTAACAATGACTGGGGAATTGATCGATGGTAAAGCGGTTGCCACCTCCATTAGAGAAGAGATCGCTAAAGAAATCAAGGTCCTACAAAATGATACTCCAGATTTTAAGCCAACTTTGGCCATTATCCAAGTTGGTAAACGTGAAGACTCTAACACATACGTGCGTATGAAACGTAGAGCTGCTGTTGAAGCTAATATCGATGCTCAGTTTATTCATTTCGATGATGCAGATTCTGTGACAGAACATGAATTATTGGATAAAATTGCATCCTTAAACGCAGACCCATCCGTTCACGGTATTATTGTCCAATTGCCACTTCCTGCTTCATTAGACGAAGATAAAATCACTTCTGCTGTGTTGGCTACTAAGGATGTAGATGGGTTTGGTCCATTTAACATTGGTGAATTAAATAAACGTAATGGTCGCCCACATTTCTTGCCATGTACTCCAAAGGGTATCATTGAATTATTGAACCGTTACAGCATTCAAATGCAAGGTGCTAACAGTGTTGTCATTGGTAGATCTGATATTGTTGGTGGTCCAGTTGCGGAACTGTTGAAGTCTGGTAATTCTACTGTTACCGTTTTACACTCTTACAGTCAAGATATTCCAAAATATTTGAAGGATGCCGATATCGTTATTGTCGCCATTGGTAAGCCCGGTTTCGTTAAAGGAGAATGGTTCGAAGGGAATAAGAAGAGTTGTGTTGTTATTGATGTTGGTACTAATTATGTTGAGGACAAGACAAGAAAATCAGGAATGAGATGTGTTGGCGATGTCGAATTTGAAGAAGTAAAGAAACATGTTAAGTTGATTACTCCAGTTCCAGGTGGTGTAGGCCCAATGACGGTTGCAATGTTGATGCAAAACACGTTAATTGCTGCTAAGAAAACCTTGAAGACAGACGGTCCAATCTTTGAAACTTTACCTCTGGTCCTTGAGACTCCAGTTCCATCTGATTATGAAATCTCTAGAAAACAAAAGCCAAAGGAAATTACTCAAATTGCTCAGGAGGCAGGTTTATTACCATCTGAGTTTGAACCTTATGGTTCCACAAAGGGTAAAATTAAACTTGATATTCTAGAGCGTTTAAAGAATAAGACCAATGGTAAATATATCCTTGTGACAGGTATTACCCCAACTCCATTGGGTGAAGGTAAATCTACGACTACTGTCGGTTTAGCTCAAGCCCTTGGTGCTCATCTGAACAAAAAAGTTTACGCCAACGTCAGACAACCTTCCATGGGTCCAACATTTGGTATTAAAGGTGGTGCCGCTGGTGGTGGTTATTCTCAAGTAATTCCTATGGACGAATTTAATTTACATGTGACTGGTGATATACATGCTATTTCAATGGCTAACAATCTATTAGCAGCTGCTATTGACACTAGAATGTTCCATGAATCTACTCAAAAGGATGCTCCATTGTATAGACGTTTAGTGCCTGCTGCAAAGGATGGTTCAAGAAAATTTACTAAATCAATGTTGAGAAGATTAGAGAAATTAGGGATTAATAAAACCGATCCAAATGAATTATCCGAAGAAGAAATAAACAAATTTGCTCGTTTAAATATTGACCCCGAAACAATTACCTGGAGGAGAGTTGTTGATTGTAATGACAGATTCCTGAGAGGTATTACCATTGGTGAAGCACCAACTGAACGTGGTTTTACTAGAAAGACAGGATTTGATATATCTGTTGCTTCTGAATGTATGGCCATTCTTGCGCTTTGTAACTCATTGCAAGACATGAGAGAACGTCTAGGGAAGATTGTTGTCGGTGCTAACAAAGAAACTTCTGAACCAGTTACATGTGAAGATATTGGTTGTGCGGGTGCTATGACTGCTTTGTTGAAGGATGCCATCAAACCAAATGTTATGCAAACTTTAGAGGGTACCCCAGTCTTAGTTCATGCAGGTCCGTTTGCTAATATATCTATTGGTGCCAGTTCTGTACTTGCTGATAAGATTGCTTTGAAATTGACTGGTACTAACCCTGATGCATCAAAGGAAGCTCAAGAGAAGAATGTTGGCTACGTGATAACTGAGGCAGGTTTCGATTTTACTATGGGTGGTGAAAGATTTATCAATATTAAGTGTCGTTCATCTGGCTTAGTACCAGATGTTGTCATCATTGTTGCCACTGTTAGAGCTTTGAAAGTTCATGGTGGTGGTCCAGAAGTTAAAGCAGGCACTCCATTACCAAAGGAATACACTGTTGAAAACTTGGATTTACTGAGAAAAGGTTGTGCTAACTTGGCTAAACATATTGAAAATGCTAGACAATATAACTTACCTGTAGTGGTTGCTATTAACAAGATGTCATCTGATTCCGAAAAAGAACATGAAATTATCAAAGAAGAATCCTTGAGAGCAGGTGCTAGCGATGCTATTGTCTCTAACCATTGGGAAGAAGGTGGCAAAGGTGCTGTTGATTTGGCTAATGGTGTCATTAAAGTGACTAACACTGAAAGTAACAAGGATTTCAAGTTCTTGTACGAGACCAACACCGGTTTGTCAATCGAGGACAAGATTACCAAGATTGCTCAATCAATGTATGGTGCTAAAGATGTTGAATTCTTACCAGAAGCTCAAAAGAAAATTGAGTTATATAAGAGCCAAGGGTTTTCAGATTTACCAATTTGTATAGCCAAGACTCAGTACTCGTTATCTCACGACGCTAATTTGAAGGGTGTACCAACTGGATTTACATTCCCAATTAGAGATGTTAGAATTGCTTCAGGTGCTAACTACTTGTATGCCTTGGCAGCTGAGATCCAAACTATCCCTGGTCTACCTACACATTGTGGATTCATGAACATCGAGGTTAACGAAGCTGGTGAGATCGAGGGTATGTTCTGATGTGGAGGCCCCTTTTTTATTGTATGTATGTGTATAAGCTTCCTATTTAACTTTCATGAATTTTTCTTTACGGAGTTATGCTACTTCTTCCATTTCAAGGGGTTCTAATAGTCTAAAGGGGTGGGCTCTTCTACGCGAATAATGTCATTTTTAGGGACTCCTAATAAAGAAGAAATCTGGTGAAGTTGATATAAACTATATATATATATAAGAGACTATATATGAGGGAAATAATTCAAGAAAACAGTTGAAAGAGGTCTGTATGCATATAAGTTTTGGATAAGTAAAAGTGTTTTAATACAATGAGTGTAACGGGATCTGTGTATGAGCATACATGTGAGTTTTTAGACAAATATGTCGATGAATGGTTTTCTAGAGATCTAGATCAACCTTTGGTCGTATTCATATCTGGACCTCAAGGTTCAGGAAAGAGTTATAATGGTCAAAAAATATTCACACATTTACGGGACAGGTACATTGGTAAGAATGTCGCATATTCATCAATCGATGATTTCTATTTGACTCATGAGGATCAGCAAGCCTTAGCATTGCAGTACAAAGAAAACAAGTTATTACAAGGACGTGGTTTACCTGGTACTCATGATCTCACTCTATTGAATGATTGTCTTGGTGAAGTGTTAGGGCCTAGGAAAGAAGGAACGATGAATTTACCTCAATATGACAAATCTTTGTTTTCTGGTGAAGGTGGTCGTAGTGGCAAAAGTAGTGTCTCTGTGAAATTACCTGTGGATATATTTATCTTGGAAGGTTGGTTCTTGGGGTTTGAGCCTCATTTACAGACTGTAGAGAAAGATCTAATCGATGGAGATATGGCTGATGTCAATGCCAAGTTGTTCATGTATAGTGATTTATTATGGAACAACCCCGAAGTACATTCATTAGGAGTTATCCTTGCAACTGATGATATTCAAAATGTGTATGAATGGCGTACTCAACAGGAACATGAGACCATTCATTTGAAGGGCAATGGGATGAGTGATAACGACGTCAGGAGATTTGTGGACCGGTATATGCCTTGTTATGAGTTGTATTATGAGGATTTTGTACGTGGAGAAAATCTAGGTTCTGTAGCTACGTTGACCATTGGGATCGACAAGAAGAGACAAGTATTTTCTGTCAAGACCAGGGCCATCGAATAAATAACATTGTAATGTGTATATGTATATATAAAATAAGCCAAAAAAAAAATATAAAAAATTAAAGGTACTAAAAAATTACAGTGACTACAAGAGCTACAAGGAGGACGAACAAGATGACATATAGTGAACTGTTAAGAAGAATTCCTCTGAGCAATAAAGCAGGTGTGACGTACCCCGACCAGCTGCCTTCATTGGTTGTGGTTCCAGAGTTAAGAGTTCCACCTATCGCACCTGTCCAAGAAATGTTCCAAGCCTGGTTAGATGAAGTAGATCAAGCTTTGAAGGAAGTATCACAACGTCAAAACCGTGGAGAGCTCTGGAACCAGTGGTATCGTGAGACATATTTGAGTAAGAAACCGATGGGAATCCAAAGCACATTGTTGCCATCGAAAAGATAGGTAGATACAAGGAATTAACAGTTATTATTATAGTGGAGGTGGGAATATATAGGTATATATGTAGAATAATTAAATAAGTTTAGCATCTTTCAATTTGGATACTAATTCATCTACGTTTTTCAGCATGATACCTGGAGGTTTACTCTGTGGTTCATTTATAGATAAAGTAGTGAGTTTACTCTTAATGTCGACATCTGGGAAATGTTCGGAAAGAGACAATTTAGGGATCTTGACTCTTTTCACTTTCATCAACTTGGACAAACCCACGTAACGAGGTTGGTTTAATCTCAAGTCGGTAGTGATCACTAGAGGCAACGATGCCTCAACAGTCTCTTCTCCACCATCAATTTCACGTGTCACTTTACATGAAGTTACGGAGTCATTAAACTCCACTTTACAAGCATTTGTCGCTTGAGGCCAATTCAACAAAGCAGCTAGCATTTGGCCCGTATTGTTACTATCGTCATCTATAGCTTGTTTCCCCATCAATACCACGTTGTATTTCTTCTCTTTCACCTCATGAGCCAACAGTTTAGCAACTGCCAAGGGTTCCAAGGGTTCGGAGGTCTCTACCAAAGAGACAGAGTCGATTCCCTTAGCGAGACAATTTCTTAGGATATCCTGACACTTGTCAACGCCGATGGATATGGCGTGGGTGGAATCTACGTCCTTGGAGCGGTTGGTCTTGATCCTCAGGGCCTCTTCGATGGCGATATCGTCGAACGGATTAATGCTGAACTTGCAACCTTGAGTCTGAACACCATCATGGGCAGCGTTCACTAGTGGCTTGATCTGGTGGTCCAGGACACGTTTTACTGGCACTAATATCTTCAATTTACTGCTCATCTTGTGGTGTTTTAGTCCTCATCTCCTTTCCAAGTGATGGTGAATGTCGTAAAGAAGGAGTCACTTCTTCTATATATTGGTCGAGTGAACCTTTTCCAGCTAGCGCTCCTCGAAAAAGTTTCACAGCGAAATTTCACTATATATATAAAGGGAAGGGAAGGGGGGGACAGTCAAGGGATAAGAAGAACAAGAAGCAACCGCTACGACAAACCAAAAAGCAATTAGGAGATTATGAACAAATACGTGCTGACGTTTATTGGCCATGGCCACGAGGTGCCAGCTTTGGACACTTACTTATTAAAATTTATTGCTAGAAACCCTGATGTGAAGTTCACCAACTGGAAACAATCGAGTGATCACAGTGTCGATCAATACTTTACCAGTGACGAGGACGAGTTGAACCAATCCAATGTGGTGGAGTATGACGGTGTCGATGTCGTGTTGCAATGCGATGACGAGTACAGACGCAAGAGACTGTGTGTGTTTGATATGGACTCGACGTTGATTTATCAGGAGGTCATTGAATTGATTGCTGCTTATGCTGGTGTCGAGAGGGAAGTGAAACAGATCACTGATCGTGCAATGAATGGTGAACTGGATTTCAAGCAAAGTCTCTCCCAACGCGTGGAGTTATTGAGAGGGTTGCCAATTGAGAAATTGTATGCAGAGATTAAACCGAAATTATTGATGACAAAGGGAGTTCCTGAACTTTGTAAAGTATTAAGACATGATGGTGTAAGACTTGCTGTACTAAGTGGTGGGTTCGTTCCATTTGCTCAATACATCCAAGAACAACTCGGTATGGACTACTTCAGAGCTAATCAATTGGAGACCGATCCAGAGACAGGCAAATTGACAGGGAAGGTCCTTGGAGAGATTGTCGATGGAGATGTGAAAGCCACTACATTAGTTGAATTAGGTCGTAAATATGACGTTCCAATTGACGCCGTGATGATGGTTGGGGATGGTGCTAATGACTTGGCCGCTATGGGAGTCGCAGGGTTCGGTATTGCCTGGAACGCCAAACCAAAAGTACAACAATTAGCTCCTGGAAGATTGAACAGTTCCACTTTGCTTGATTTGTTGTTTATTATGGGCTACACCCAGACAGAAATTGATCAAAAATTATAATAGTATTCAGTAGAAATATAAATTTACGTATTTATATATATATATATATATATATATGTATACTGTTTAAATGTTTGAGACGATGTTTTGCTTGATGGCAGCCAAGTTAGCACCGACAACCTTGGTGACTTCCTTACCGTTCTTAATGAAGACTAAAGTAGGCATGGCACTGATTTCGTACTCTTGGGCCAAGGCAGGGATGGCGTCGACGTCCAACTTCAAGAAGGTAGCGTCGTTGTATTGCTCACTGAACTTTTCGACCATTGGAGCAATCATCTTACATGGACCACACCATGTGGCGTAGAAGTCAACGACGACTAGCTTGGAGCCAGCGTCGGTTAGAGCAGTCTTGAATTCGTCAGCAGAGTTGATTTGGATAACAGCCATTGTGATTATGTTGTAAATGTATATGTGTGTAGTAGTGTCGTTGTTGTACTTAGTACATTGGAGTATCAAACAGGAAAAGTTGCTTCTTCCTTTATCTGCTCATCATCTCTCCCTTTATATACGACGACCGCTGGATGTTCATTATGTAAGCGAGCTGGACGACGGGCCGCGTCTTTTTGGCGATGCTTAGTAAGGGGCAGGGGAGGGTAAGTGGCTAGTAGAACCAAAGGGAAGGGGGAGGAACTCTGTGGAACCTGGACGGTTTGTGGTGGTGGTGGTTTGCGATGCTGTTAGTTAGTCAGCGTGGGTCCACAAGGGGTTATGAAGAGGTGCTTGTGGTTGTGCAACTGTATCGAGGGGGAGGCCAGCCGGTCGTTGCACGTGACCTATACCGCACTTTGCTGACAAAGGGAAATAGTGGTGTCACAAATATGGGAGGAGTGGTGTTGGTCGTTCTACATATAAGATGTTACAACTGGTAGAGAGTTATATCAGTGGGTGTTGTCTCATGGGTGGGACATGACTGAGCTATTAGTAATAGAGGGTAAACTCATTATATAATATATATATAAATCTATATTTTTGATTAGCAAATACAGGAACATGTTTGATCTTAGATATGGTAATGTATCGTGCTGTGGAAATCTGCATAGGTCGTAATATGGGCAAGTTGTCTGTATCCAGTGAAACCAGAACTAAGATCGTCAGTCATACTCCAATAGGTATTCTGTAAAACACTTTGCACTACAGAAATAAGAATCTGGATGGACGGGCGGTACTTCTGTATATATGTATATTGTATAGTGCAATATGATACCCCCTACTACATCGGGTTTAATTTATGTAGCCATATTGCCCAATAGTAATACACATGGAATACACTCCATGGACTTCCAAGTTGAGTACTTCACATCCCACATTGCAAGACTAGCGTGCATCCGACACTATTTTAACATATTTTCTAATGTATACCACGAGGTCTCTAGCCCTTCTTACAATGGATAAAAGGGTTAGAACCGAAATATCCTGTGTGGAGAAACTATAAATGGTAACCCTCATAAGAGTTCCAGCAGATCTTCCTATATCCGTGAGGAGATAGGAAACCACTCTCTCCTCTTTCCATCGCTCTTCTGGAGGGAATGACTCCATTTGTTAAAGCCTCCAGGAAATACTCGTAATCTCTTTTTTGGTGTTACTCTCACTCTCTCAGAGGTGATCTGCGTTTGGTTTAATTGGAAAAGGCGATCTGCTACGGCCTTTTTCTGGGCGACTGAAAATTTAAAAGGATCTGCAAATCTTGTTATTGGAAGGAGATAAACCCAGCTATTTTCTCTCTCCCTGATCTCACTTATCTAGCTCATAAACTTTGATAACTACCAAAAATAACTCTTAGTCTTCCTCAAGCAAAAGGAAATTTTTGGTAGGTTTTCTAAGTCTAGAGCTACCACGGATATGGAAGCTCATAAAATTGTTATATAAGCAAGAGGTTCAACCTCCATTTTTCAAAATTGTTATGTTGGTTTCATGGTCCATGATGTAACCATTGACAGATTAACAAGCACACAATGATGGTCAATTTCAACAAACAAACACAATTTTTAATACTTTTTTATATATGGTCAACAACTCAAACCTTTTTTTTTGTCCATGCTGACATCTTGGACAGTAATCTAGGCCCTATAGCCTTAACACCAGGTCTAAGAGCTAGGTTTTATGAAGTTTCCTTCGATGGTTCAGAGACAGCGGGGGGTCGTCAGCAATATGTCACTTCAAAGGCTTATATGACTGAAGGGAATTATTTAGGCGAAGTCAATGGTGTAACTTCCCTAGATGTTAACTATGTGAGATATTTGAACCCTACGATTTATGGCTTCCGTATGGATCCAAACGTTAAACAATTTGTAATAGAATTAAGGGGTTATTACAAGCCTCAAACAACAGCTGGTATGAGAATTAGCTCTCTGGTGAATGCTGTTAAAGGTTGTAATGATGGTGCTTACGATTCAAGTATCTTATCAACATACGCTAAAGTCTCTAATAAAGTTTATTTAAATTCAACTGACTCAGATAAATTCTGTTATCAAGATAATTCAGCCACTAAGCCTTTTGCAACTTTGTTTAATGAACTCTCATCATATTCTTCTGATTATATGTCTGTTACTGGTGGCAAAGACACACCAATTTTCACGAAAAACACATATTATCCAATTAGAATGGTGTTTTTAAGTAGGGGTGCGGGACTTAATGCTTTGTTCTTCCCAAATGTTAATGGTAATTGGATGTCATTCTCGGGTTCGACATTATTCTCTAATCCTAATGAGGATTATGATGCATTGGATGATAATGCAGAGACCGTGTTCCCAGGGAATTGTCCTCAATTCACAGCCACGACTAATAATAGAGCTATAAGTTTTACAAACGATGTTTTGGTGAGGAGAGATGAATGCCCAGTGAGTTCCAGTTCTACCTCAGAAATTGAGTTCAGTTCCACATCTGAAGTAGTTTCAAGCTCCACTTCAAAAAGTGAGTCGAGTTCCACATCTGAAATAGTTTTAAGCTCCATTTCAGAAATTGAGTCCAGTTTTATTTCAGAAGAAGTGTCAAGCTCCACCGCAGTTATGGAGTCGAGTTCTACTTCAGAAATAATATCAAGTTCCATTTCTGAAGAAATGTCAACCTCAACCTCAGATATTTCTGAGTCAATCGCTACTTCTGAAATAGTCAGCAGTACGAATTCGGAAATTAATTCAAGCTCAACATCAGAGGAAATACCAACTTCCACATCGGAGATTATAGTAAGTTCTACTTCTGAAATAATTACTAGTTCAGCACCAGAGAGTGCATCAACTTCTGAACCAATTATTAGTTCCAGTTCAGTGATAATTACTAGCTCAAGTTCCGACTCTGAGATTATACCAAACTCTACTTCTGAAATAATCTCAAGTTCAAAGACAACAATTTCCGGTAGTTTTATTCCATCAACCTCTGATATAATTTCTTACAGTTCTGGGATCTCACACACATATACTCCAGACTCTAGTGTATCATCATCAAATCCTACTACCAGCAAATCCTCCATAAATTCATCCATTTCTACCTCTGATCATACTTCTAGTTCCTCAAACCCTATTTCTAACACTACCTCTTCTACTGACCTTGATATGTCTTCAACTTTTTTTGAAAGTTCTATAACATCTTTAGAAGATATTACATCCACATATGAACCAACTACATCGAGTTTTTTGATAACAAATACCACCAAGGTTATTGGCACAAGCAAACAAACCATAACTACAGATTGTGACCTTTGTGAATCTAACAACGGGCGTACATCTCATTCCACAAAAACAATAGTTAATCCAAACATTTCAACAGTCACTCAAACAAAATCAGTTGATGGATCTATAATAACGATTATCACATTGACTAGTTGCGAAGGCCCTTGTAAAGCAACTAAATCAGGGCAAGCTACAACCTCAGACAAATGCATAATAATCACTACCAACAACAATTACGAAACTCCGCTCGTGACATCTGAATTATCATCATCATGTTTCCCAATATTGGTACAAACTGCATTAAGTGGTACACAAGCTACCATAATAACAACATTTATTGCATCTTTCGAAGGACACGCAAATATCCTAACACTAAATCCATTTATTTTCGTCATCATGACATTTGCGACTTTCTTTTAAATATTGCTACTCTCTATAATAATAAACCATTTATACATATTTATATATATATATATTTACGTAAATATTTAAATAAACAGTTTACGCCTTAGCACGAGGAGCAATTTTGAAACACAATATATCGTTCTGTTTCACATCTACTAATGCATCTTCAGAGACTCTCATTCCTCCTACCGTTTCAATTGCAGCAATTGTTACCTCTGTTCCTAGAATATATCTCGCCACAGTACCAGCTGGCGTCCCTTTTTTCACTAGAAAACAATCTCTAAATACATTAGTACCATTTCCACCTGTGAAACTTTGGATGTTCTTCACTGTATACACCGGAACCAATTGTAAGATATCTGCAGCAGCTTGTAACACTTGGACCACACCTGTGGAGCCAAATCTATATAGTACCAAGTCTCTAATGTCTTCGATCCTTGACAATACTTTCTCATCTAATGGTTTCAAATTATCGGGATCATCCTCACATGTATCTATAAACTCAGTTCCTTCTTCGTAATGGACAAACCCTTGTTTTTTTAGTTTCCTTAAGAAGATCTCTGTTAGAGCACTCGTCAATACAGACTTCACGTTAGGATATTTCAACATGATCTTCGATACATTCTTATCGGCATCTGCATGATCCATCTTATTCAATGCGAGCACTGTAGGGAATTTCTCCATCATAAAGGCCTTCACAACATTAGTAATCATTTCATCATCCCATTGTTCTAAAGGCGGTATATTTCCTAGACGATCCAAAGCCTTTTGAACCATCCATACTTGTGACGAATACCCACCAAATTGAGTCTGTAAAGTATCTACAACGCTAGATTTTGTGGCAGTATGTCTACGAACGATAGACCCCCATCTTTTCTTCAAATTCCCTTCAATCCATAATCTAATTTCATCTTGCAACCATTCAATATCGTTTAAGGGATCATAACCTCTAGTATTCTTCCCCTCGGAATCAGTAGTACCACTTACATCCACAACATGGATTAGGGCATCGGCATGTCTTAAATCATCCAGAAACTTGTTCCCTAGACCTCTACCTGAATGAGCACCTGGAACTAAACCAGCAACGTCCAGCAACATGATTGGGACATGACGTTTCCCTTTCTCACACCATCCATAGTTAGGCTTGCATAAGGATTCCTTACCAAATCTAGAACAAGCACAATCAACCTCTAAATAACCAGTGGCTTGGTTTGGTTCAATTGTACAGAACGGAAACGCACCAACCGCAGCATTCGCATCGGTCAGTGAATTCAACAATGTAGACTTCCCACTGGAGGGTTTCCCCACAATACCTATCAACGGGTCTCTTGGCATACTTATCGGATATTTTATTGGGCAAAACAATCCATAGGTTCAACCTTTTATCCCCCTTCCAGTCAAAACTTTACTAAGAATTATCTGGAACTTTCTAGAAAAGTTGCTTATTAAATGGTCTTCGCATCGCTAAAATTTTCTTCAAATTTTTTCAACTCTTTTCGATAATTTAAATTATATAAGAAAGAGATAATTGCGATGAGCAAGGGATATACGAGGTAGATTATTGAGATGTTTCGTCTTACAGGAGGGAAGAAGAAGCAAGGTACGATCCAAATCATTGTTGAGAAGTATAATATATATGTCTGAAGAGAAAGATAATCTGTTTAAGCCAGTTGGTGAGGCTGCTGAAGAGGTTGCCGAGGGTCAAACTTTGGATAATGGGGTCACATTAACAGGTGCCGAAGATGCGATGGGCCACCCAGTACAAGAAATTGAATCGCTATGTATGAATTGTCACAAGAATGGTACCACCAGAATGTTACTGACATCGATTCCTTACTTTAGAGAAGTTGTTATCATGTCCTTTGAATGTCCACACTGTGGTTTCAAGAACTCTGAAATCCAACCTGCCTCCTCGATTCAAGAAAAGGGTTCTAAGTACACTTTAAAGGTCGAATCTAAGGAAGATTTCAACAGACAAGTGATTAAGAGTGAAACTAGTTCATGTAAATTTGTCGAACTAGATATTGAGATTCCTTCAAAACGTGGTGTGTTGACCACCGTCGAGGGTCTCCTAGAGGAAATGATCGAGGACTTACAATCAGACCAAGAGATGCGTAAGAAGATCGATGAAGCAATGTATGACAAGATTGATGCTTTTATTAAGAAAGTTAAAGCTACTATTGATTGTACCCCTGAAGGTGTCTTGCCTTTGACATTTGAATTGGATGATCCATCCGGGAACTCCTGGATTGAATACAAGCCAGGTGAGGCACAACACAAATGGTCTCATACAGAATACATGAGAACCGATGAACAAAATGTTCAAATCGGTATGTTGACCCAAGATCAATATGAAGAACGTCGTAAAGCTCAGTTGGCTGCTGTGGCCGATCATGATCGTAACCCTTCAGAGGCTCAAAAAGTTCAATCTAATTTCCTATCGGATGAAACTGATATTGAAAATTATGCCAATGAAGTGCAAACTTTCAGAGCTTCTTGTCCTTCTTGTATGCAAGAATGTGAAACCCATATGAAGCCTGTTAACATTCCTCATTTTAAAGAGGTTATTATTATGTCTACTTCTTGCGAACACTGTGGTTACAAGTCGAATGAGGTCAAGACTGGTGGTGCTATCCCTGAAAAGGGTAGAAAGATCACATTGTTATGTGATGATCCAAGTGATTTATCTAGAGATATATTGAAGTCTGAATCATGTTCTTTAGTCGTACCAGAATTGAGTCTGGATATTCAAGAAGGTACATTAGGTGGTCGTTTCACTACAATTGAAGGTTTATTGAGACAGGTCTACGAGGAACTTGAGTCTCGTGTTTTCTCTCAAACTTCTGACTCCATGGATCAAGTCACAAAGGACCGTTGGGTAGCATTTTTCGCTAAATTAAAGGAAGGTATTGAAGGGAAAATTAAGTTCACTGTCGAGATGACAGACCCTTTAGCTGGTTCCTATATTCAAAACGTGTATGCTCCTGATCCAGATCCAAACATGAAGATCGAGGATTACGAGAGAACAGCTCAACAGAACGAGGATCTTGGTTTGGCTGAAATGAAGGTATAATCGGGTATACTAATAGTTTTCATAAAAATTACTTTATCTCTGTATTCTTTTGTAATAAATGTAAAATATTTTGAATTTTCGAAGATTGATTTTGATATATCATATGACATTATTAACTATATATATATAACTGGATATAAGATATCATCGAGATTATTCATCTAATGGAAATGTCCCTAGATCAGGATCTGCTGTATTGGAACCCGACGGTTCCAAAGTGTTGCCTAGCCACATGGCTTGGTCTGTAATATCTTTCCATAACTTGTTATCTGTCTGGTTAGATTTTAACATATCGTCTAACAAATGCTCAACATCATCCATATTGATAGCTGTCGTTGAATCTAGTTGATTTGTATTTGTTTCAATGATACGCGTCCCTTGTATCGTCAGAGGGGCATTATATGATTGAGCCATTGATGCATTAATTAAGTCGTCAAGTGTAGACATAGGTTCATGATTTAAAATATCAGGAGATGCAACTGTTGTTGCAGCAGTGGTAGATGTCGTAGTATTTTTAGTATCGTTGACAGGGGTGTTAATTACAGGATTTGTGTTTCCCTTAGGTTCATTGATGTTATTAGTATTGGTCTCGGGTGAAGTAGATGTATCGTTATCTGTATGTTTCAATATCAATCCTTTTAAAAGGTTATGGAAATCTAAATTAATCATTAATGTCAATAATTGAGCTCTTCTCAATTCTGCCGCATTGTTTCCAAGACTGATCATCTTATTAAACATAGTCAAAGCATGATCCAAATGTTCATATGTTTGTTCATGAATACCGAATGTTGTCGTAAATAATAGCAAAGTGCATGATGATGTAAATAGATATTCCCGATCCATATATCCGAACATAGCTATCACATCTGGCACCATCAACTCCCAGAATGATCTAATTGTATTTACTGAGGCCTGTAATGAACAATTTAAGAGCATTGTTGTTGAGTCTGAATAGTCTTGTAGATTCAAGTACGTGTTATTATCCTTGAATGTCTTCAATTGAATCGATACAAAATGAAATAATAAAGGTCTGATTGCCAAGTTGATCCCTTGGAAATATTCTGTAAATAAGTTCGTTAATTGTCTCGTTACCTTTAATTTTGTATCTGAAAAGTCTACTTGGCATCGAACAGATAAATTTGCTTTCCATTGAAACAATTGTTTAATAATATTACGTAATATTGGTAGTACGTTATCCTTTGGTTGTCTCTGATATAATTGTCCCAATATATATCCGTTAATCTGTACAATCTTAACACAGTTAGATAGGCATTCAGCCTCGGGGAAAGTATAATGACGATATTGTTTTGGAGGGTTAGATATGTCAAAATCTGCCGGTAATTCCGTCGAGATAGAATAATCTGTAAAGCTTAATGGTAAACCAGCCTTACTACTTAACATACGTTCAAACATGTACACAGTCCACCATAGACGGCGTTGATGTTCTACTTGAAACCTCGGCAATGTGTCGCTTTGTGAATCGACATGCATTCCGATGACCAAACATGTTCTTAGAGCCTGACCAAAATAAAAATACGCCAGCACAGTATTATCAGCTACTTGTAAATAAAAAGCATATAACAATAGAATTTCAATACCACCTTCTTTTGTTAATAACTGTAGATGTTCCCCCGAGAAAACAACATTAAAAATTTTTGATGCCTGCAGAAACCACCTGGCACCTGGTAACATTGAATCATCTGTATCCTTTGGCGTCTCCTGTCCAGTACGATTATATACTTCCCCAATAGCAAATATTAAAAACACCTTACAATGCCATATTAATTGTAAAGTAGCATTATTGTAAAGTTTTCTATTAGTTTTCCCGGAGTAAACGATCTCAATTCCATGACGAACCATTCCTTCATTAAAGAAATAGAAGCACCCACCATTATAAGATATAAATTTATCTATGAGCATTATCGCGTATGGATGACTAGGCATGGTCAAATCTAAAGATGGAGGTGCGTGATAGAATTCCGATGAATTAAAAGTAACTTTGTAATGCAAAGCTCCAAGTTTTCTGATATGTTTCACACTATTAGGAGTACCGCTTATTGCTCTGTACAGAGTCGATGGTCGTAAAGTAATAATGTCCCTTTTCAACATTGGCATTGGTTTAAACTGTTTATTTGTTACATATGTTGAAATCAACGATTGAATCTCCAACCCAAATAGAGTCATTGACGATGAACCTATAAACAATGCTTGCCCTAATGATAACTCGACGATCCTACCAGTTCTTGGTGCAAATGTAGATGCGATTTCATCGTCTGCAGAATCACCTATATTATCATTGTTATTATCGTCATTTTCATCATCCTCAGCATACGACAAAGCTGCATCTGAATGTTTCTTGTGTTCTTCAGAATCTAACAAGGGCAAAATGCCACCTTTCTTAGCCTTTAACCTCTCGTTTTCTCGTTTCAACTCCTGGATAGATTCTTGCAGCTCAGACAAATACTTCACTGACACCATGATCTTCTTAGATGGTTCTACATACTCACAATTGGCTCCACTATTACTACAACGCTCGCAGGGCTCGCCTCCCGGACACTTCAAGTGCTTCTTACGACACGTCTGGCATGCTACCACAGGTTTGTTCTTCTTTTCACAGCGTTTTACTCTCTTAACACGTTTAACAGCCAATTCGAGGTCACTTATAGGGATCTGTCCGTTCTTAGCACGTTTTACATCCAACGATAGCTTGTTTTCTGACATATTTCCTCCACTAAAGACGTCTGTTTGGTCAGGGATGTTCCAGTAACCACAGGTCCTCTTTTAAATTTCTTCAGGTAGTCGCTTATAAACCTGAAGAACAGTAACTAAAAAATATGATGTCGACAACCCAGTACAGACAATTAACAGTCTCATTATCCAATGACCATTATTACTAATGACGAATGGATTCCTCTTGTAATTCGGTGTTCCTCTTCGCTCCTTCTCTTCATTTCCCCCATTGCCCCAGCCAATCAGCGTCCAGATTTAAAAAGGGCATTCCACGTGACGCGAAGTTCCCTCCTTTTCCCTGTTAAAAGGCAGAAACTCAAAAATTTAGTGAAATTTCTTCATTAGAGCTCACTTTCAACCTAATTGAAACAACAAGATAAAGAAGGGTCGATTGTAAAAGGATATATTGTCTAATTGTACATTTTCTCTCTGTAAACGCATACCCTCATACACATACACATACATAATGTCTCTAGCTAAATCAGCTGCTAACAAATTGGACTGGGCTAAAGTTATAACCTCGTTGAAGATCACTGGGAAGACCGCCACAGAGCTATCTAGTTTCAAGAAGAGAAACGATGAGGCCCGTAGACAGCTACTAGAGTTGCAACAACAGCCAGCTACCATTGAATTCGACCAGTACCGTTCGTTGTTAAAAAACCAGGCCGTGATCGACCAAATCGAGAGATTCTGTAAGGCATACACCCCTGTTACCATCGACAGCTCCAAACAGATCCATACAATTGAATCTTTCCAACAACATGCTCTGGCCAACGCTGAAGCTACAGAGAAGCTTGTCAACTCCGAACTGGCTACGTTAAAGGAGACTCTACAAAACATTGAAAATGCTAGACCATTTGACGAATTGACTGTCGACGATTTAGTTAAGGCCAAACCTGAGATTGATGCTAAGGTTGAAGAGATGGTCAAGAGAGGAAAATGGGAAGTACCAGGCTATGCTGAGAAGTTTGGTGGTTTGAATGTTATGTAGACAAACTCCCTTTTTGACTCTCTGCTTCTGCTCATTCATATATATTTCTCAATACTGAAAAAAAAAATTCTAAATACAATAATAAATATTCTATTCGTAACTCAATAAAAATAAACATAAACAACTACGCATAAGGGATAGTCATAATGAATAAGGAACTAGCAGAGAGGTTTTTGAGTTGTATAGATCATGAGAGAGAACAGGATGTCGAATTAACTAGTCAGTTGCTCAAACGGTTACCGATTACGAAGTTGGTAGACGCTGGGTACGCTGTAAACAAACTAACTTTGGAAAATGTCAGAACAGGGCTTGCAGGGAAGGTTTATGTTGAACTAGCTAGTGAAGATGGTGGAACCATTGATCGTGGTGGTGTTAAAGTTGGGGATATTGTGACTGTGGAGCCACCCAAAAAGATAGCAAGTAAAGATGGTGATAAAAGCTGTTCAGGAGTGGTCTATAGGATCAGTTCAAAGCAGATTACGGTCACCATTGATGAGCAGCAGGAAGAAGATGTGACAACTCTGTATAGTTACCCCAGGTTATGTTTGGTGAAAACCACCAATACAATTACGTATAAACGGATGGAATCTACAATGAGGAAACTAGCAGAGATTGAAAATTTGAGTAATGCGCCACGTTTGATACAATTGTTGACAGATGATACTGTCAAATCGGTACCTATTTATACTACCACTAGCAAATCTCTTCAATTTGATAATGGAGGATTGAATGAATCCCAACAACATGCTGTTCAGTTTGCCTTACAGAATGAAATTGCTATTATTCATGGACCGCCTGGGACTGGTAAGACATACACTTTGGTGGAATTGATTCAACAATTGATTAGTAAAGGTGAGCGTGTCCTAGTATGTGGACCATCTAATATATCTGTTGATACGATCCTTGAAAGATTGAGTAAAGTAGTTCCTGGTGATAAATTATTACGTATCGGCCACCCAGCAAGGTTATTGGAGTCTAATCTGAGGCATTCATTAGATATCCTGAGTAAAATTGGTGAGAGTGGAGCTATTGTTAAGGATATTCAATCTGAAATTAATGGGACAATCAAAGATATTAAGAAATTAAAACGGTTTAAAGATCGAAAAACTGCGTGGCAAGATGTCAAAATTTTGAGAAAAGAATTGAGAATCAGAGAACAAAAAATCGTAAGTGAATTGATACTGAAGTCTCAAGTTGTTGTGGCGACCTTGCATGGCTCAAGCAGTCGTGAGCTTGTTGGTATGTATCATGATCATGATCATCTTTTTGATTCGTTAATCATTGATGAAGTGTCGCAGGCCATGGAACCTCAATGTTGGATTCCATTAATCTCTCACTCACAATCCCAGATGAAGAGACTCGTATTAGCTGGTGACAATAAGCAATTACCACCAACGATTAAGACAGCAGATAATGATAAGATTTTACATACTTTGGAGACTACCCTGTTTGATAGATTAGTAGCCATGCAAGGTGAAGCCTTCAAATGTTTATTGAATGTACAATATAGAATGAACCAAGAGATAATGAAATTTCCTTCAATGGTAATGTATCAAGATAAATTGATTGCAGATGAAAGTGTTGCTAGAATTTTGTTACAGGATTTACCAGGTGTTGATAATAATGACGATACGTCAATTCCTTTAATGTGGTATGACACTCAAGGAGATGAGTTTCCAGAGAATTTTGATGATGATGATGATGATGATGAAATAATGCAGTCCAAATATAATGAAAATGAGGCGCTATTAGTGAAACATCATGTAGAGATGTTGATTGGTAGTAATATTCCACAATCAGATATTGGTATTATTGCCCCCTATAGTGCCCAGGTGAGTTTATTAAAATCCTTAATGAGGGAACAGTACCCTGGGGTTGAGATATCTACCGTCGATGGTTTCCAGGGGCGTGAGAAAGAAGTCATAGTATTGACCCTTGTAAGATCCAATGATAAATTTGAGGTTGGGTTTCTAAAGGAGGCTAGACGTCTCAATGTCGCAATGACAAGATCGAAGAGACAACTATGTGTCATTGGAAACATGGAAACGTTGCAACGAAGTGGTAACGAGTACCTAAAGTATTGGGCAACATGGAGTGAAGAGAATAGTGAGGTTCGGTACCCAGATATTGACGATCTTATGTAAATATATATATATTATAGTTATCTACTTATCCTCGTCATATACATAAAAATCAACGTTTTCATCAGCAGTGATAAACATTGAATATTTAGGATTCATTGCTATCGATCTTGGACATGAGTCAGGCGCTGCCGGTATATATGCAATTGGTTTCAGCGTTCTACTACTTATAGAATCTGAATGATTCCATATGGCGATCTTACCATCATAATCTGTACCCAGGATAAATTGGCCATCTGGAGTAAACGTTGCAGACCCTGTATCCATGAATTCTCTCAAGGGGAATGGTTTAGTTCCAGTTAATTCAAATAATTGTACCCCTGAGAATGCATCCAACACAAGATGTTTCCCATAAGATGATGCTAATAATAAATATTTCCCATCGTTTGAAAATTCCATCTTATTCCAATTCTTGAACCCATTATCGATCTTCACCGTAAGAAATGGCCCTTTCCCCAATTGTTTCAAATTATATAACGCTAGCTCCATCGATTCTGGATTGCCAAGTGCAACAACTAAGCCCGAAGGATCATATGCGATACAATTAGGAACCAAACTTGGGATAATGGCTTGAGCCTTCGATGATCTAAGATCCCAAAGTCTAACAGACTCATCATACGAAGCAGAAATAAATGTATCATCAAGTGGACTCATCTGTATGTCATGAACCAAGGCACCGTGTCCAGTGAAATAACGGATGTATTGGTTTGTTTCGAGGTTCAAATGTCTAATATCGAATGATTTCATTGTGGAAGAGTAAACACATTCGTTTTGAGCGTGTGTGAATCTAGCTGAATGACAACCATACTTCTTGGACCCGATTGTGTTAAGAAACTTACAGGATACCGTGTCGTAAAGATGCATATTATCATTGGCTGCAGCGGTAAGTAAATATTTACCATTGTCATCAAATGACAAAGACGTCACTGGTGCCACCTCTTTCTCCTGAACTGTGAACGTCTTCACAGCCTTGTATCGTGACAACGTATCCCTTGTTATATCTAGCGACATTCCTACTGTGTCTAACTGTCTTTTATACTTGGGTTCTCTTGTTATTGTTTGTTTTCAGGTTTTAAAGAGAAATAATTTTTCACATTTATATATAAAACAACTAAGAACAAAGATCGCCATTCGAGGACAAGAACAAGCAAAGAAACATATCATTTGAGAATGGGTTTTCAAAGTGTATTGCGTTGGGGTGTAGACCTCACGTTAGTAGCAATGTTGCTCGCAGCAGTGAGACGTGAGACGGGACTGGTATTCGCTTACGAAAGATACGACTTCACTAAATTGATAAGAGGTTACTTAACATGGGGTGAGTATTGTTTCCAAAGGTTTATAAACCATGTCAAAGGGGACTCCGGTCGATTCCGTAAGCAACTCGATGGTGTGGACAAGTTTCTAGGTGAGCCATGAGGAGCCTCACTGCGTTCATATCTCTATGTAAAAAAAAAAGCTATATTATATTATATATTCAATATCTAGTGTCTGTTATACAAGTTTATTCTTATTTATGAATGCTGAAGCAACTGGATCTTATGATCCCAAAGATTTTTTCTGATTGGATCAGCTTTGGTTGCTAGGGTGGTATAAGCATCGATCGCTGTTTGAGGTTTATTCACTTCTGGCAAAGAATTCAAATAAGCGAAAAACTCCAGAGCATATGAGGATTCATCTAGGAATTGGGAAGTAAATATCAATAACTCGTCGACAAGTTTCGCCGGAGTGCTATGTGATTCGAACAAAGCTCGCAAATAGGTCCAGGTACTGATATTCTGTGGCACATACTCGATCTTCCCCTTTATGTACCCCAATTCTTGATCAAAATCCACATCGCATTGTTTCAAAACCGACAGTCTGTGGCTCCAAGCACTGTTGTTATAGACGTCTCTATCAATATATTTCTCAGTGAATGCTAATTCGTGGCCGTAAGTTCTGAAATGAGAACAACACCATTTACGATAGGACCAAACATGATAATTCTTAGAATCGTCATCAATCATAAGTTCCATGATCGGTTGTTCTCTAATGAATGTAGCATGATGGTGTAGATTAGTCAGTAATGCTTGGCGGTACGACCAAATCTGGTAGTTTTTAGGATTGTTTAGAGTGAACTCATCTAGCCAATCCAACTCTTTGTTCAATAGATATGACGCATCATGACCATTTTGTAACAACGTTTCCTCCTGTAATAAATGCTCTAGAATTCTGTAACGATAGTTCCATACCGAGTAGAAAGCAGGAGATAGCTCAATGGCCTTTGAAGTCAAATTCAGTGCCCTAATCGATAGCTCGTTTTCTGTAAGCAAAGCTCTCACTAGCGACATCACCTGTTTGTACTCCTCTGAGTACATAATCCGACATAGTTCACTATCCTCCTCGCCATCGTGAACCAATGGTAGCACAGCAACATCATCATAATCTTTAATATTGTATTGAAAGCCCATTTTTAATTGGCTTGCTTACGTTAGTATGATGGTCGATGCCCCTTGAAATTGTAAAGTGACTTTTCTCCCTGTATATATAAATATTTGTGTCCAAGTGAGTAGCACCCTTCTTGATTTAACCTAAAATACCCACCAAACTAGTAAAATCAGAAAAATCAGAACCCTGTTCAGGTTCGAAGATCCCAGTTGGTCCACCTGGGTGGAAGGTCTCTCCTTATATATCAAAGGGCTACCGACATGATATCGCGCTCGACGAATACACAATGTTTCAGTTTCAAACAAAAAATCGAAATTCGAAGTCATCACTATAAGGAGAACAGCAGACTAGCAGCACATATGGAAGAAGGAGAGCAACTGAGCTTTGGGACAAAAGGAGGTACCAGTGAGGAAACATCAAAGGATATGAACCGTGACGCATTGCTAGAGGGCTCGAACATCGAGACTATGGTGAACGATATCCTGTTTCAAAGTTTGCTGAAGGAGCAAGAAGAATTTGAGCCACAAGACGAATTACAATTTGGAAGAAAGCTTCCCATCGACACAAAGTATGTTGACCCAGCGCAGTTCCTGGTGTTGGATAGTACTGATATACACTCTAACTTAACAGTGCAAGGTCTGCCAGAGGTCTCGAGGGTCGAGAACCAGTTGAAGTTGCACTTAACACTATCGGGAGATCCATCGTTGGATCACAAGTCCCTAGTGCATCTACCTTCGGATTGTATCGCTAAGGAGAAACTATATTTGACAAATGACGATATAAAAACGTTTACGTCGTCTTTGAAGCACAAACTAGTGCATCTAGAGACATATTTGTTATGTGCAGGATCCGATGCGGATACAACTGTGTGTAAACGATGCGTTGAGAGAGAATTAAAGAGAGCCTCGAGGAGAAAATCGGGACTGAGTGATAATATGTTATGGTGCAATAACCCACATAGACGTGCGATCATCTTTAAGAATAGACAAGTGATGAACATGACTAGAACAGGTCATTCACTGGAGTTTGATCTTGTTACAAGAATTGTGTGCTATTCCCGTCATAATAAATCAAAAGAAGGTTTTAAACTGTTATTTGTAGTGAGAGACTCTGAGGATGGCAAAGTAATGGCAAGGACAGTGACACATCCTATTGTGATTATGGATAAGAAACAGGCCGGGTCCACCTCGGGTTCAATATCCACAACAAATTCAGCCTCAACATCAACTTCCTTGGCCGAAATGTTTACCTCGAACCAGCTATTCCTGTCGTCAGAACTGGAATCATCATCTCCGTTCACAACTGTACCGTTCCCGTCACCTTCCTCCCTTAGTGAGGATAGCAATATTGACTCCAGTAAAAGATCACGTACAAGTAAAGACTCGACAAGTTCATGGCAACAAGCAATTGCAAGTCTAACTGCATTACCATCACCTCACGATGAGGTTCATGCACCAACAATTCAAAGGATTATACCTGCTCAGGGACCCATAAACGGCGGTATAGAGATTACATTATTAGGTAAAAATTTCAAACAGGGTCAACGGATTAAGTTTGGTGAAAATATTGCACTGTCTACACAATGTTGGAATGATTCTACAATGGTCACCTATTTACCACCTGCATCTACGCCGGGACAAGTCGTAGTGACAATAGAAGACAAACCTGGTACTGTATCACAGATCAATGCACATCAATTGGCATCATTACAGCTCCCACCTCAATCTCCTCAGACGGTGAATTTGAATGCCATTTTCACTTACGTCGATGACACTGATAGACAATTGATTGAATTGGCATTACAGATTGTTGGGTTGAAAATGAATGGTAAATTGGAGGATGCTAGAAATATCGCTAAGAGGATTGTTGGAACCAGTAGTACGCATAGTACGCCAAGTCCTATGTCCTCTTCCGCAGGTGGGTACACAGATGATGAATCTCTGATAGTCAATGTATTAACATCTTTCAAAGTCGGTAGTAAAAACTTAAACCTTTCGGTTTGTGACCCTCAGGGGAGAACTTTATTACATCATGCTGCATTGAAATCTTACCATTCTTTGTTGCGGACATTGATCAATTATGGTGCACATGTAGAGAGCCCTGATCTATTTGGATTCACACCATTACATCTTGCATGTGTGGCAGGTGATTACAAAACCATTGAGATGTTATACGAGGGTTGTCATTGTGACCCATGTGCAACAACTATCAATGGTATGACTGCCAAGAATTTGCTTTGGATCAATCATCATTTGAAATGGAACAATATGATTGATAATGAAAAGGATACGACGTCTCAAATATCATTATCAGCAGTTTCATCATATACAGATTTGAGCTCACAAACTAATATCACTGTCCCGATGAGTGATGATTCGGATGATGCTATGGCAGATGATGAAAATGAATCAGATATTCGTGAGGACAAGTCTGTGTTGACAGACACAGAAGAAGATAATGACACTGCATCGTTGTGGAACAGAATGGTCACTAAACTAAACAATAACGATTTGTTGCCTAAATACGAGGATTTATTCCCCAAGAATTTATTGGATCTAAACACTAAAGCCGGCTCTATGTTGCAACATGATCAAACACGTGTTAATATTGATGAAGAAGAGTCAGAGGAAGAAGGTGACGATCTTGAAGATCTTCGTAACGGTGTACAGCAATTCTTCTTACAGCAACGTACTAAGTTCCAGAATGATAGTATGTTACTGTTCTTCTGGATTCCACTGATGGTGATCCTAATTTGTTCAATGACACTATACACTCTGGGTCATGACGATAATTTCATTCAAACACTGGGTGACCGGATCTCCAAATATTTGAGAATGGGATTAAGTAACGTCATCCTAGGTAACGAACGTATGAAAGCAGTGGTACGTAAACAATTCCAAACATTCCAAACACCTCATGTCTTACCAGAAATGTCCTTGTAAATTTTAAATTTTTTGCTAACTTACCTTAATTAAACAGAACATTATTATAGCTATATATAATCTACATAAAACAACGAACAACGAACCCTTTTTGCATTTATATATACTGCTTTTTGGCATTAGTCGTTTACAAGATTTCGAGCCCCATATATAGATACAGTTTCATATATAAGCGTTTGCGACCTGTTGAACACTTTTCAAGATAAAAAGGACAGCACAGGTCTAGAGTTTTGAAATAGAAGAAATATCGATTTCAAACCCATATGACACTTAGAAGATGGGCCTGTTCCTTATATTCATTTTCTTCTTTCCAATGCATCATTAATTCCGGCGACATAAAAAGTTGGTCTCCTCACATCACCACCACAGGTCAGATCATTCAGAATCAACAAATAATTATTATCTAACATATCAATACCAACTCTTAAGAGGGTGTGCACAACGTTAACTGCACCTGTAACCTTCCCTTGTTACCACCTTCTTATCATCACTTTCTGTTTGTGGCTCTCAAATGGAAAAATTTTCAGCTTGAAATTCTTTGATTTATTTAAGAAAATTTTATTTTGCGATGAGCTCATCGCTAACTGAAACCACTTTCTGAGACTGAACCGGATAGAACCAAACAGTTACTCGATACTATACATTTATTTAACCATGGCTCACAATCAGTTTAGAATCGTCGTGGGTTCCTACGAACATAACATCCTTTGTCTGTCGCTAGATCTGACTTTAGAGACTCCAGTGTTCACTCCGATCTTCCATTTCCAAGCTCACTCCCTGAGTGTAAAATGTCTGGATATCTCCAAGAGATACTTGGTGTCAGGTTCCAATGATGAACATATCAGAATCTACGATCTACAGAAACGTAAAGAGTTAGGTACATTACTGGCTCACCAAGGGTCTATCACAGCATTAAAGTTTTCAAGAGGTGAAAATAAAAGTAGTAACAAATGGTTATTGTCTGCTTCAGATGACCATAAGATTATTATTTGGAGAGTCAAGGATTGGGAAAATTTTGGTACTTTGAAGGGACATATCGGTAGAATCAATGACATAGCCATCCATCCATCTAATAGAATTGCTGTTAGTGTTAGTGATGATCATTCAATCCGTCTATGGAACTTGATGACAGTCAAGAAGGCAGCTGTATTGAAGTTAAGAAATTATAATCAAAATGGTCAGTTTGTAAGGTGGTTAGGCGCAGAGGGTCAACATTTTGCAGTTGCTTTGATGACTAAAGTATTGGTTTATTCTACTGAGGATGCAAAAGTGTGTCATGAGATAGATTTGAAAAGAAAAACCTTGATGCATATGGAAACCGTACACTTAGGTGACGTTGAATATATATGTGTTGGTTTAAACGATGGTAGCATTGAATTCTACGATAGTAAGAAACTATTGGCCGAGACAGAGTTAGTCTCTACATTGGCTCCAGAGTTCTCTTTGTTAGGTCACACTAACCGTGTTAAGGACTTTAACTTCTACACAAACGTTCATGGTACTTATTTGGTCTCGATTGGGTCTGATGGTAAGGTTGTCGTTTGGGGTGTATCTCCAGAGAAGCAAGAACAACTTGCCGTGTACGATTGTGGTGAAAGATTGAACTGTCTGGCTCTTTGTGATGAATCTATTGAGAAATATGATACCATGAGAAAGAGAGATTCAGACAAGGCAGATATGGATGAAATCCAAAGTGAGGTAGAAAGTGACACTGAGGAACTAAAGAAGGCCATGTTTGGTAAGAAGAAGCGCTCCAAGAAGCAAAAGAAGGCCAAGAAAATCAGTGTAGAACTTGAATAGTAAGATAACAACAACCATTACTACTTATGTATAATATATATGTTTCTTTCCCTTTATAACTCTCTTTTTTCTCTATTAGCAAGAAGTCTATTACTAACCTTTTGTGACGTTTGCTTGTTTCATGTTATATATGAAAGCGATCATCAAAACAATTCCGGTTTGAACTTTCGAACTACTGGAAACAAAGCAAAAGAGAGAATACGATACATAGACACAGGATGAGGAATGGTATGTCACCTGGAAGGACACCTTCCCAACACAATTCTACATTAGCAATCTCGCCGTTTATAACGAATAGATACTCCAAGTCTGTTGCACCACAACTACCACCCCAACAACAACAACAGGTGCCGCAACAAATACATACCAGAACCCAAACTAATGATAAATACGGGGATCCCCAACCTAACAGCAGTATTAATCACAGTAGGATAGACAACTTTCAAGCTATTGTGAGCAGCCCCTTAGGTTTGAAAACAAGAGATCCACCTGCACCTCCTTCGCTAGCCACGCCTTACCATCAGATTAAAAACAATAACGACTCTACCAGATTGAAGAATGGGAGTATGTTTGGTTATGCAGTGCCCTCGACAGTGAGGAAGGTTAGTATCCAAGAGAATGACTATAGAAACACGACCACGAGAAGTAATAACAATAATAATAACATTGACGATGTTATGGATCATAGCGAACAACCAACGGAAGGAGGAGATCGACTGACTACTACTTTGACTACTACCACAACGGCTGCCACAACGGCTGAAATAGATGTTTCTGATTTGTCATCAGTGGAAAGATTGCGTTTGTGGAGGCACGATGCTCTTATGCAGCACATGTATGATACTGCAGAATTTGTTGGAAACAAGATATACACAATAACTAAGGATCCTAACGATGCCTTTTGGTTAGCTCAAGTTTATTACTATAAGGGAGCTTACAAAAGAGTCATAGATTTATTATCATTAGATGATCTAGATTCAACAAGTATAATGTGTCGATATTTGATCACGTTATGTCTTTTCAACTTACAAAAATATGACGATGCTTTAGATATAATTGGCGAAACCAATCCATTTGCTAGTACTAATAATGTAGACTTGGTTGATGATGAAGATGAGAACCATGAATTTCAAAGTGATGGTGGCATTAAGATTGAATCCTCGTTATGTTTTTTGAGAGGTAAAATATACAGTGCTCAAAATAATTTTACAAGAGCTAAAGAATGTTATAAAGAGGCAGTACTTATCGACGTTAAGAATTTTGAAGCATTTCAACAATTGACCAACAAAAACCTGTTAACTCCCAAAGAAGAATGGGAGTTGTTGGATTGTCTCGATTTTTCCAGTCTGGATGATAATAAACAAATGATCAAGCAACTTTACACTATCGCTTGTTCCAATTATATGAATAAAGATCGCATAGAGGTATCGAAACGTATCCTTTGTGAGGAATATACGTTGGAATCTAATTTGGATGTGATTAGATGTGAGGTCGAACTTTGTTTCAGCAGTTGTAAATATAATGAATGTCTCGATTACTGTGAAAAATATTTAGCTAAAGATGAGTTAAATCCAAAAATCTTACCAACATACATTGCTTGTTTACAAGAACTTGGGGCCACTAACAAATTGTTTTTGGTGTCACATAAATTAGCTGAACGAATCCCCAAGGATGCCATTACTTGGTACTCTGTCGCTACATACTATATGTCATTGAAGAAGATTGGTGAGGCCAGAAAATTTTATTCAAAGAGTTTAATTTTGGATCCATCATTTGCGGCAGCATGGTTGGGGTTCGTGCATACATTTGCTGCTGAAGGTGAACAAGATCAAGCTCTTGCAGCATATTCTACAGCCGCAAGGTTCTTTCCTGGAAATCATTTGCCGAATATGTTCCTGGGGATGCAATATATGTCTCTAAATAACTTTGCTCTTGCAGAAGAGTATTTTACGTTGGCTTATGACATATGTTCTCTAGATCCATTGTTATTGAATGAAATGGGTGTATTGTATTTTAAAAAGGATGAATATGAAAAATCAAAAAAGTTTTTGAATAGAGCCATGGAGCAAGTCTCAGGATTGAATCCAACAGCTAGAACTACAATATCGATCCAGCTGAATTTGGCTCATACTTATAGAAAACTGGGTGATTATGAAAGAGCTATTAAATGTTTTAAGTATGTTCTCGAGGATTCTGAAAAGGATGGTGATATTTACCTGACATTAGGATTTTTATATTTGAAGATAAAACAGTTAGAGAAGGCTATATCTTATTTGCATAAAGCGTTATCATTGAAACCGAAAAATACAGCTGCTCAAGAATTGTTATTACATGCTTTGGAACTAAATGTGGTCTTGGCAATAGATGACGATCATCCATTAGTGGTAAGTTCCAAGATACAAAATGAGATTGATAAAACAGATATGTCTTCACATGGTGTTCCAACAATGGAACAAGCTGCGAATATTAAAAAGAGGCCCTCGATTCCTTTTCTGGACTCAGGTAGAACGATATCTAAACGAAGTCGTAGAAATGATATTTTAAAGAATACTTCACGAGCTAACTCCAGCCATATAGAAGAAGATGAGACCATGGATTTAGAATGAGGAATAAGGATATATATATTTCAAGCATCATAATGAGATTTGAAGTATGATATAAGTTATATCAATATATAGATATATATAATTGGCTAATATCGTTACGTCAAACGAATTTAAAATTCTATAGAGAGTATTTTTGTGTCTGAGGTTTGTTGAGATCGTTTTATCTTATTTTCGTATCGTTTCTTAGATTTTTCAGATGTATTTGCTTCAGAAGTGTCATGGTTTTTAGCCTTGATTGATACTTTTCCACGACTGCGTGCTTCGTCAAGTTTTCTATCTATACGCTGCTGTCTATCTTGATGGTCATTAACAGAATTCTCTTTGGCATAGTTCTTAGATTGAGATTTCTTCTTCTGGTTTTTCGTATCTGCAAATTCATCACCTTCAGCCAGCATTTGTTTTTTAGGCTTAATTGATATTTTTCCAAGTTGATTTGCCTCTTCAATTTTCTTGTCCAAACGTCGTTGTCTATATCGGTGTTTCTTCTTATGGTTTTGTTCTTCATCCATAAGAACCTCGGTAACTTTTTTGATGGTATTGTCAACATCAAATTCGTTACTTGCAGCCTGGGTCTGTTTCTTAGACTTGATTGATATTTTTCTACGTTGACTTGCCTCTTCAAATTTTTTGTTCAATCTTTGTAATCTGTCTTGAGGTTCTTTAATAGAATTCTCTTCAGCCCATCTCTTAGATTGAGATTTCTTCTTCTGGTTCTTCTTATCAATATCAAATTCATAGCTTCTAGTCTTGGCCTGTCTCTCAGACTTAGTTGATACTTTACTAGGTCGCCTAGCCTCTTCGGGTGTCTTTTCTAATTGTCGTAATATATCTTGATGTTCTTTCTCATTTACAGTGTCTTCTTTTATTTTCTCACGTTTTCCCTTTTTCTTTTCTTTGTGTCTGTTCTGTTTCTTTGTGTGAGGTGGTGTAATCACAATCGCAGTCCCTTCACCTTCATAGCGGTTATCTTCATCTTCCAAGATCAACTCATCAAGCCCAGCGAGCAAATCCTGCATGGTCTCTATTTCCTGATGACGTTTTATCTTCTCTTCAACCAGATGTTTATTGTGAGCCTTTGCTCTCTTTTCGTTCATCCTACGAGCTTTTTCCTTCTTTTCTGGAGCTATCTCCTCTTCACTGGTTTTCCCATCCTCGATATCTTCAACAGGTATCACTGGGTCCTTCAAAAGGAAATCCAGTAATTGATCGTCATCCATTCTTGTTCTTATCCAATCAAATTGTCCAGGTGCCTTTACCAACTTCTCTTTTCAGTTTCTTTAAAAATTAGTTAGAATGCCTTTTTTTAGTATAAAAGATATAGACAACTCGCTCGTCTTAGTAGAAAGACAAGCAACAAAATAGAAGCAATACATTATAGTAAAGAAACTGCTTCTTTATATCTTAGTAAGATGAGTTATATCGTTAGAACCTTATCGTGTGCTGTCCTTTCACGTTCATCGACTCGCCATGCCCTAAGGGTTCCGTCACTATTTCGACCTTTGACGTCTCGAGGAATTCATGCGAAAGTGAAAATTTTACAGAAGAAGAAATTCCACGAACCATCGAAACCCATAAGAACCGAACCCCCTTCAGCAACAACCCCTCGCAATAGTGGTAAGAGTCTTCTTTTAGTTGCATCATTAGCCATCGTCACGACCATAGCCTCATTTCTCTATCACAAGGACGAACCCCAAGAGTTTATTGAAGCAGAAGAACGCACAGAAATGTCTCATACTCCAGAATTTACTACAGAACAAGTCAAGGTGATCTTTGTGCTTGGAGGTCCCGGTGCCGGTAAAGGTACCCAATGTGCCAAGTTAGTAGCAGAACATGATTTTGTTCATTTGTCAGCCGGTGATTTATTAAGAGCTGAACAAGGCCGTGAAGGTTCCGAAGTTGGTGCCTTGATCAAACATTATATAACCGAGGGTCTAATCGTGCCACAAGAGATTACCATCCAGTTATTAAACACTGCCATCAAGGAGAATTACGCCGAGGGTAGACACAATTTTTTGATCGATGGGTTTCCACGTAAGATGGATCAAGCCATAACATTTGAAGAGGTTATTGTTCCATCGCGATTTGTTCTATTCTTTGACTGTCCCGAACCAGTGATGCTTGAGAGACTATTAGAACGTGGCAAGACCAGTGGTCGTGATGATGATAATGCTGAATCCATTAAGAAACGGTTCAGGACCTTCGAAGAAACAAGTATGCCAGTCGTTGAATATTTTTCCAAGCAAGATAAAGTTGTAAAAATTGTTTGTGATAAACCTGTAAATGAAGTGTACGCAGAAGTTGAAACTGTCATTGAGAAACGATTATAATATATCTAAATTCTGCGAAGATACCGTGGTTCTTTCTTTTTTATTTATAGATTGTACTATATATATATTTATGTATGTATATACATGTTTAAAATAACTTTTTATTAAATTTGGTAGTCCTTTAATTCTGGAGCATCAAAACTGATATATGTACCGTTGATAGCTTCTGGGATACCATTTAGGGCCAACTTGGAGTAAACAGTGGCTGGAATGTTAGAGTCCAATAGTTTGTTGGAGGCTTTTAAGTCCTTAAACATTTCATGATGTTCTTTGGACATGTTAGCACCAACATTTTCTCTAATATTGACTTGCATGGATGTATCGACAATACCTGGGGCTACAGACAAACATTTGACAGTTTTTTCCTCATTAGCAATAGTCAAGGCCAAATGGTTCAAAGCAGCTTTACTTGAACCATAAGCACCCCAGTTACTGAAATACATGGTACTAGCATCAGATGAAACGAACACATAGTTACCATTGGTCTTCGATACGTATGGTAAAGTAGTCTTCACCAATGAGACGATACTGAAGAAGTTAATGTCGTAAAGTTTCCTCCAATTAGAGATGTTAGCGTCGTGAATACGGGCCACTGGTTCTAAGACACCGGCGTTAGCCACAACAGAATCAATCTTACCGTGACGGGTAATGGCATCGTTTGTCAATTGTTGCAACTTTGATTCATCGGTGATATCACCAACAACGTAGAAGAAGTTGTCTCCATACGTAGCTTTCAATTCTTTCAAAGGAGCCTCAGATCTAGCAATACCGTACACAACGGTCTTTGGAGCCAACTTTAAAATGGTTTCCACAATGGATCTACCGATACCTCTGGAGACACCTGTGACAATAATAACTTTACCAACCATGTTGTTTTGTTGTGTATTCTAATTTTAATTCTGGCCTTGTAATTGATATTCCAAATAGATTCACCCCTCTTTCAAAACTTTATCCCGCTTTGAACATTCTTTTGTAATCTGATTAATTCATCTCTCGTTATATAAGCTTGATTTACGGAGTGATCAGGTCCACACTTCTCTTACCAGAATAAGAAACGAAAAAACAAGAAGAATAAAAAGAGATTATGCAGTTAAAAGAGAAAAGGCGAGTCTGCGTCACGTGGATGTTGAACGAGCCCCCAGAAACATTCGTATCACCTCATCCTCATCACACCGATCTGACAACGCATATCTGACTTTTAGTACCGATATGGGTTGCCCCAAGTTAATAAATGCATATATCAACGGCTACCTAGTAATACAACAACCTTACGGGCTACCTACTGTAGTTATATAGAGAAATGCATTATACATAACTTATTAACAATTCGGAATTCCGATATTTATATATATATACATATATTCATTTATAGAAGTGTGCAATCCTGTCACTAGGAGGAAAGCAGACCATGCTATGTCAAGAAATGAAAGTATAAAGGACCTTTCTCGAGGGTATTTTTTCTAGAAAGATCGATCCATGATCAGAAGAATAAAAGCTATATAGAACATTCATCTCAAAGGATAACTTGTCATGTAGAGATACTCTCATTGATTAGATGTAGTTCCCATTGATACACTTAACGTTACCCGGCGTTGCATTGCATCACGTGATTTTTAGAAACTACATCGCTTTACACGGTTTACTGTTCGGGTAACGCCCAAAAAAGAGACAGCGAAAAAAAACGTTAAAAAATCACGTAAAGAGCTCCTCAAGGGGAGATAAGAACTTCAAGGTCCAAAGGTTTCAAAAGGTTTGACCTTGTAGATAGGAATATATATATATATATTAACTCACATTTTGATCTGTTGCTAGCTCTAGTCACTCAACTGTATCTGTTTCCGCCTACTCTTTTGTTTTGGTAAGATTCGAAGTTATATTGCTGCTGCCGCTGCTGCCTAGAGGATGGAGAAGTTCAACCCTGATTGGGCTAAAGACGTACCCTGCAGGAATATCATCATATATGGGTACTGTAAGAAACAAAAAGAAGGCTGTCCATTCAAACATGATAATGACCCGTTAACCGAGCCAAGTACTACGACCGTGACAAGTACAACAACTAATACAGCTGGATCTAGCGCTGACGTGCACAGTGACGTACAGTCGCATCCAAATACAGTTCAATTAAATGGTGCAATGATCCCATCATTGCTGTCTCTGAGTAGTCTGTCCAAAAAAAATAGTACCTCTCCTCAGTTTCCCGTAGGTCTTAAGTTCAATGCAAAGAATTCCGAAAGTTTTACACCAATGGGGACCGCTCCACAATTACAACATGATTCAGTAGAGAGTACTACGTCACCTAAATTGAATATCGATATTGCAAAAAACGCTCCGTTTACACCTAGTTTTGACGCCTATACATCGGAGTCGTTTACACCTACATCGACTAGAGGAAACCCTATGGATCAAATAGATCCTGTATTGATGACCTCATTGAATCTAAATAATGCAGCTGCTAATGGCAGTCAACCAGCATCGCAACAACAGCAGCAGCAACTACAGCGGGCTATACCGATAGATGGGCCTACGACGAATAATATTATGGGACAAAGTATACCTCCGCCACAACCTTTATCAGGAACAATCCCTATCGGTGCTGCTTCTATTGCAGGTCCACCTATGTTTGCGCCACCGCCACCTCGATATCCGTCGATATATCCTCCGCCTCATAGTATATTACAATATCATCTATATGCACCAGATCCACCACCTCATTTACAATTACCTTTGAAACCAAATGAAAGAACTCCAGAAATGTTGTTTATACCAAATAATATTAGAGAAGAATTAGTGAAAAAAAACTTGGCTGCCTTACAGAATTTTCCACCTGGTGGAGCATTGCCAGATGTAGTACAGGATTATTATGGTTTGGTTCCATTGGATTTCCATCAAAAATCTTCAGAGAAAGATAGATATAATGGTCATAAAAATTCTCTGTATAAAGTATTTTCAAACACTGATGGTCACATATATGTATTGAGAAGGGTACATGGTATTACCGATATTGTTGAACCACCACAAATCTCTATAACTTTCAAAAAATGGAACTCTTTAAATTGTTCAAATATCGTTCAATTACATGACTGTTTCTTAACGACTGCATTTGGTGATTCATCATTATGTTTCGTTTATGATTACTATCCAAGAGCTGTATCACTATATGAAACACATTTTGTTAATTTCCCATTAGTACCAATTACTCAAGATTGTCTATGGGTATATTTGATTCAATTATGTAACGCAATCAAAACTGTCCATTCAAAAAATTTGGCTGTATATAATTTGGATTGGGAGAAAATTCTGGTTACTGGGAATCCAGGTAGAATTAAGATTTCAAGTTGTAATGAAGTTGAACCTTTGGTATACAAGGAAGAATTTAGTTTTGAGATGACGAAAGTTAAACAACAGCAGGATTTTGTTCGTCTTGGTGAATTGATGTTTAAGTTAGCATCTAGTATTCAAACCGAAACTGATCATACTGAGACTGACGACGAAATTGATAAATTGAATATAGATGATCAATTCAAAGGAGTTATAAGATATTTACTATCTAAAGAAATTTTAAGTAAAGATATTCAAGAATTGAGTACTATGTTTGTGGACAAAGTATATCTAGTGGTTGAAGCCCTTACAACATATGCAGAAAAAACAGAGAGTATTCTAGCAAGAGAATTAGAAAATAGTAGACTCTTTAGATTGATGTGTAAATTGAACTTTATTTTCGGTAGAGTAGAATCTCGTATTGACATCAATTGGTCAGAATCTGGTGATAAATTTCCAATCATCTTGTTCTATGATTTTGTTTTCCATCAAGTAGATTCGCAAGGGAAGTCCATGATGGATTTGACACATGTTCTAAGATGCTTGAACAAATTGGATGCAGGTGTCTCTGAAAAGTTGGTGCTGGCTACACCAGATGAAATGACATGTATAATTATCAGTTACAAAGAATTAAAAGAATTGATTAGCTCTACATTCAGATCGTTAACGCAATAAGTTGAGTAATCCTAACAACAACACTTAAAAAAAAAATTAAGAAATTTTATAAAAAAATGTATATATAAATATATAAATATAACGAAAAACAATAGAAAATTTATTTAAAAAAAAAAACGTCACAACTCCTAAACTACTTCTTTGCAAAAAAAGATAAAAGGTAGTGCAATATTTGCGAATAAAAAAGTTAAAATTAAATCGTAATTAACTTTATATATATATGTATATATGTATATATGTATGTTTATATATGTAATTAAAAGCAAATTAAAATAAAATAAACAATAGACTTATGCAAGTAAAGAAAAAATTACATCAGGTAAAATTTGGAATACAGTTTAAAAATATTCAAGTAAGATTATTTGTTCACCAAAAGAAGTTAGCGACACCAATAACTCCAAATTTTGAGTACTTACCAGTCCTAAATATGAAATTTTTCAAAGGTAAACGATCGGAAGAGATCAAAATATTACATGTTTGGAATGAAAATATGCCCGATACTTTGAATTATGACATAAATTGCACATGCAAATGTCATTCATGTCCTGACACAGAAGATGCCCAGTTCCATTCATATGACTGTATTTGTGCATGTCTAACCTCCAATGAACAGTATATACAATACTTGATGACATTGGTTCATCCTGTATATGTTACATAAGACTATTCATTAAATAATTAAAGTAATACAAAAAAAAAATGAAAGTTAATAAGGATAACTGTCGAGTACTAATCTGGGCAAAAGGTGCCATTAATTTGAAATTATTGTAAAGGTAATGACATATACAGAAGAGAAACAGAGATTGGAAACTTGATTGTCAGAATACTGGTTACCTCTGGTAGTAGTAGAATCTCGGCTCGAATTTGTCTTCCTCAGCATAAGTGCAATTAAAAGATTGAGCGTGAAAACGCCTCTTCCTAATATGCATACAGACAGACATAACGACAAATAAATTTTGATAAATAAGTTAATCGTAGTTCCAATAAAATTCAAATGTCGCCATCAAGTCGAATGGTATCCCAATTGACTAAATGGACTGAAAATTATTGAAAAATAGGTTCTTTTGGTAAACCCTAACTTAAGAGATGTAATGTAACAACGACAAACATATATGTATAAACAAGTTCGATAGTCTCAAGTCCAAAGGTTTCGAAACTCAAAAAAAAAGGTAATCATCGAAGGTATAAATTCCAACTGTAAAAGTTACAGAGTTTCAACTAAACTAAACGCTTTTCAAAAACCCAGGGTAATAGAGCAGCAAAATATACTGATGTATATAATTCTGAAATTTATGCCAAGTCTTACTCAAGTTCAGTGAAAAATTCGATCATTTTTACGTTGCTCTTCTTCAGTTCCAGTGTATGGTCTAAACAACTTAGTTCGAAACACTTATCGAACGTTAGCTACTGTAATTTGTATCAAACAAGTTTTGTCACCAGCCTGTCAGATTGGATTTGCAAGAGCAGCAGATATATTCTGTGGACCAATAATTTTAGTGGTAGTTACGATTTTTTATGTTTTTAGAACAATTATTCGAAGTAAATCTTATAACAATCTTAGTTATTCTATTGGATCCTGTATATATGCAATAAGTTACACAAGTATTATTTTAATTTACGAAGTATATGTGGTAGATTTTTCAAACATCAACTTTAGGGGTGATGCGGGAACCTAACATATATTACTAAACGTTATTTTTACAGGATTTGGAAATAATATTGCTGGAGCAAGTAATGATCGTCAGCAGTCTGGAATCGGTAGTTGGATATTTATATTTATTCTTTCAGTAGTCCCTATGTCATGTTGTGTTCTGCATATAAATTATTTAGCCATAACAAATGGTGAGTTTTTAGGGTGAGTCCTAGTAATTCCGTTGTACATTATTTGGGAATCGAAATAAGCAGCTTTTCCATTGATGCATTGAAAAGTTGTTCAGCATAGAGGTACGTGGAGACCATTATTGATAGTTATAGTCACATCTCTGACATTGGAGTTGAATCATGTTGGTAATATATTCGCCTCAACTTTTTCAGGTAAAAGTTGAACTAACATTTCATCAGGTCAGTTAAAATATCCTCTGAAACGACCCAAAATGTGGCAACACTTGTATTTTAAAGCCCTTCCAAGTTTATAAAACTATATAAATGGAGGTCTTCGGAGAGAGAGAGTTATTTTAGTGTATCGGTTCGTATGGAGGTTGCTGATCATTGTTGGGTTGGTTTTACTTTGTCACCTACTTATAGCATCATTCTTTTTAAGAAATAAAAGTTTGGAAGATGTTGTATCTTATGACCAAATTGAAGAATACAGTGAAGTACCTTTTAAAGAATGTCTGGAAAGGTCTCCAACTTCTGTAAAAATATAGGACTTAGTAAAATAAGAATGAAGAAAATATTTAATTTTATTTAAGGATATTTACATTAAATTTTTTTTAGGTTTTTAGGAGAGTCTATAATGGGTATATAAATTGATCATTTTCAAGATCGGTCAAATCCAATTGAGCCCCATCAACAGCGATGTTCTCACCATCAACTTCGATATAACCTTTAGCATTTTTTCCATTTTTCTCTAGTTTACGTAATCTTTCAATGTTTCTACGTCTTAAAATGTACCAAATAACCAATGCCAACGAAGGTGCTAAGAAGAAAGATAAAACTATTTGAACAATCCAAGCAGGAACAAATCGAGGGGCATCACGACCTTGCCATAATTGAGGAGAAATGATGTTTGCAATGCAGTACCAAAACATAACCATCCCATTTCTCGTGATTCTCTTTGTATACCCAGCACAACTTGTAATAGACCAACTAAACATTAAAATCCATGGGATACCGAATATAGGTGAGGCCAAACATAACATAGCTAGCAAGGCAATATTATTACCCCAAGGGATTGATACCATTGCAATACAAGCAGCAAATGATGGGAGACTCCAGAATACAACAGAAAAAGCAGTGAAGTTTTTGTGGTAGAGAAGAAAGACAGTGGCAATTAAAGCACACACAGAGGCAAACCCACCTGAGGCAATTGAAACAATAGTGGTGTCTAAGTTGGAAATTTGACCAATATTCTCAAACAAAATGTTTTGCATGTAAGTTAGATTGTTTGCCAGTTGTTGTAATAAGAAGAAAGCACAAAACAACCATGATATAGGATCCTTTAGAGTCTCGATTACTTGATATTTCTTAATTCTCTTTTGTTCAATTGAAGAATTTGATGCTTTTTGTATTCTTCTTATGACCCAAACTCTTTCCTTATGATTTAAAAATTTTGCATCAGTTGGATTACTTGGATAAATATAATATACCACCAAAGTTGTCAGTAATGTCATCCCTCCAATGATTATCATAAATAATTTCCAGGTATGTACAGTAGAATGAGCATGTAATATCCCATAAGCAATCAAAGAGACAAAAACCCCACAACCGATACAACTACTATAAAACAATGGGGCGTATGCGTTCTTTTCATTTGGTGTCAAGAATTGATTCATGGTAATATTTAATGTTGGTACTGCAATTGCTTCGACAAACCCAAGGAAAAACCTTAGCGCATATATCCCTTGGTAATTATAAGCAGTACAGTGTAAGAAGATAATGATGGTCCAGGTAGTACACATGAATGCCATGACTCTCCTTATAGGGAACTTTTGAACCCAGAACAAATTGAGAAGACCTATGATATAACCGACATAAAACAAGGTGTTTGCATCATTATATCTATTTTGTGTCAAATGGGTATCTTTCCAAAGTTCAAAAATTGATGCATACGATAAAGTAGCTTTATCCGAATAAAGTAAAAAATCAATTGTACCTGTCAAGGTCACAACGATCCAAGCAACTTTCTTTCTTAAATGTTTCTCTTGTTTCGGTGTAATTAAAGGTACTTCCTTATCATATTTTTCCATAAAGGCAAATGTGACATCTGCATCTCTAGAAGAGAAAAGTTGATAAGAGGCATTGTCCGAATCAATATCTGACAATCCATTCTCCTGAGAAGTTGACCCTGATGATATTACCTTTGTAGCATCATTATTAACTATAATAAGATCCTTTTCGGAATCAGTAGACTCGTCCGATTGGATATGTTCGTTCTTTTCAGACATCTAACTTTGTTCCGTTGCTTTTTTTTGGTTTCCTGCCTTGATGATTCAAAATATATCTGAACAATATATATTTCCATCCCTTTTATATATAAAATATCGCCAAGAATTTGACCAATTCAGAACCAAGTTATTCTGTCAATAGACAATTTAGAAGACATTTCTGACATTTTGACTCCCAATGTCCTTATGTAGCTATAGACCCTTTTATTGTCTCCAGCGCGGATTGGACCTTGGGCGTCTGTCTTCGGTCCTCTGCTCCGTCTGCCACAGACAGAAATTTTGCTTAATTGGGAAAAGACATTTTGTCTCGGCCGTAAGACAGAATTTGGCTCACAGACGGATGCTGCCTAAGAGAGTTAGAGAAACTATCTTCCAGAACAGAGGGTTTATACCAATCACGAGCAGCAAGCGTATAGTACCACGAATTAGGTAGTAATATAGGTATTCTTGTGGAGCATTAGGCTCGCTCCACTTTGGTGGAGGCACAACTAGCCTATGTCAGTATTGTTAACTTTGGATAACCGGTGCCTAACTGCTTGTTAATTATTTCTGCATATAAGAAATGTGAAATAAAATACTTGGAATTTATTATCGAACTATTAACAAACAGCAATGCATACTACTTGGACAAAACATGCATCGTAATGTCATGACCCAATCACCTTTTTACGTTTGGATATGACAGTCTCTGTTATCTCTTTGACGGGACTCGATACACAGTTTTTCCAGCAAGAATGCTCAGTGCACCAATCTCAAGAGAAATTTTCACATATGATAGAACCTACTACTCTGTTGGAATTGTGTGATTGCAGCTTTACGGCTGAGGGAGAGGCACTGTCAACCGATTAGAATGGTTGCACAGTTTCTACGGTGTTGCTCTGTTCCACAATTGAAAAAGAAACGGCCCGACTGCACGACGCCGGAAAATTATTTCAGTTTTGCTTACACAAGCGAAGAGCAGTTTTTGGATAAACTCGTAATATATATATATATATATAAAGTGGTAAAGGATAGGACAGTTGGGTTTGTTTATAAGGCCCTGGAATAGTCTGGGTTTTGAGGAGGAATTAATTAGGTTTATTTTGTAATAAAGGGCTCCAGATCTCAAATATATACATAAAACAGCTTTATTTTGCTAGAAATAATGAGCAATTCGTCTGAAAAATTGACGCTAAAGGAGAGTACGGCTGTTTACACGGACTCCGTATCCGTTTCGGAGAACTCCGTTACGCATCCAACATTGATTAATAGGATGAAGGACTCATTCAGACGTGCTGATATGCCTATGATCATGGAGGATGAGTCTAGTTCTTTGGAGAACGTGGAGTCTCAGGAACATTTGACGGGATATAGCGCCGATGAGAAAATCCAGTTGAGACTCGCTACGCAACCTTTGAAGAAAAAATTGAAACAGAGACATCAGACAATGCTGGCTATTGGTGGTACTCTTGGTACTGGTTTGTTTATTGGGTTAGGTTATTCTTTGGCGTCGGGCCCTGGTTCTTTGCTGATCGGGTTTTTGTTAGTTGGAACATCAATGTTTTGCGTGGTGCAGAGTGCGGCTGAATTATCATGTCAATTCCCTGTGTCTGGTTCCTATGCTACCCATGTTAGTAGATTCATCGATAAATCTATAGGTTTCACTGTCTCTACAAATTATGCTTTGTCTTGGTTGATTTCATTCCCTAGTGAGTTGATCGGTTTATCGATGACCCTTTCTTATTGGAATAAAGCAGTGAATCCTTGTGTTTGGATTGCTATATTTTACTTGTTTGTGATGATTTTAAACCTCTGTAGTGTTGAAGCCTTTGCAGAAACAGAATTTATATTGTCAATTATTAAAGTCGTCGCTATCATCATATTCATTATTATTGGCATTGTCCTTGTATGTGGTGGTGGACCAAACTCTCAAGGGTATATTGGAACTCATTACTGGCATGATCCCGGTTCGTTTGCTCACCCAGTATTTAAGTCACTCTGTAATACATTTGTCTCTGCAGCATTTTCATTTGGTGGTAGTGAATTAGTCCTATTAACTGCGGCTGAATCTAAGGACGTTGGCGCCATATCACGTGCAGCAAAGGGTACTTTCTGGAGAATCGCCATTTTTTATATTACTACGGTGGTTGTCATTGGTTGTTTAGTGCCATACAACGATGAACGATTATTAGGTGGTTCCTCTAGTGAAGATGTCAGTGCGTCTCCATTTGTCATTGCATTGTCTAATGCAGGATCCATGGGCAGTAAAGTAGCCAATTTTATGAACGTCATCATATTGATTGCAGTAGTATCTGTAGCGAACTCCTGTGTCTACGCTTCATCAAGAGTCATTCAAGCTTTGGGCGCCTCGGGTCAATTACCAAGTATCTGTGGCTATATAGACAAGAAAGGTAGACCCCTTGTCGGGATCGGAATATGTGGTATATTTGGTCTTTTGGGGTTCCTTGTTGCATCAGACAACGAAGGAACAGTATTCACGTGGCTGTTTGCACTTTGCTCCATTTCATCCTTTTTCACCTGGTTCTGTATTTGTTTCTCTCAAGTTAGATATAGACTTGCTTTGAAAAGACAAGGTCGGTCTACAGATGAGATTGCGTATAAATCGATGTTAGGGTTAGCAGGTGGTATCCTAGGTTCGATTCTTAATATTCTTTTGATTGCAGGTGAAATATATGTATCCGCATCACCAGTAGGTGCACCCTCCACAGCACAAGCATTTTTTGAGAATTGTCTGAGTATCCCTATCATGATAGTGGTATACATAGGTCATAAATTATATGTCAAGGACTGGTCTACGTGGTACATCGCCACTGAAGATATCGACTTGGATACAGGTTGCTCCTTCGACGATGTGGAAGCCTTTAAGAAACAAAGATTGGAGGAGAGAGCATATATTGCTTCCAGGTCTTGGTTATACAGAATATATAGATTCTGGTGTTGATAACATACACTTATTATCGACATCTCATTAAAGTTATAAATAAATATCTAGAGGTAGTGGGTAACGGTGTAACAGTGCAATAAATATAATTCAAATAATTATAACAAATATTCATTTTCATTCAAATTATTGAATGATTGGTTTTTTCAATACAGAAATATAATCTTGGTGAAGGTATAGAACCAGTACATTTAATTGTACAGGCGTTAAATATAATATCAAGAGTTCTGTATCCCAGCACTCCATATTTGGAAATGGTAAGCAAAAATACAGGTACGAATTCAATCGGTACTATGTATAATCTAATTAAGACCACGTTTTAAAGAAAATACTCACCCCAGTAAATAAATATATGATGGAATCAAAAGCCCAAATACAAGCACATGATAAAAAAAGATACGAAGGCAGTAATTTTTTAATCCCTCGAGAATGCCTCCTTGATCAACAATACAAAAAATTTTAGAGCGACCCCACCATCAGGAATCCAGTTTATCGCTCCACCTCCCCCTTCACCCCTGGATTTAAGAGCCGACCAGACAACTCGATGATTCAATGAATACTCTAATTGATGGTAATTTAGCATCGGTTATCCTTGTAGTTTGGTGCTTAGGAAAGACCGATTCTCCCTGCTGATGAAAATATATATATATAACACCGCTCTGTTCCCACCAAATGATGATGTTGTTGTTGTTGTGCGGTATTTTCCTTGTGGCGACCTTGTTTTTCAATGGGATTAACCTTGACCCAAGCTTTGTTAAGCACAAAACCTACGGCCCGTTCTGTGCCCCGCAGCAAGTTTGCAGTAAAATTGCGTTCCTTTGTGTCATGTCCCTGTATATGTTCTGCGTAGTTTTCTTAGATATGATGCCGTTAAGAAATGCTCCATCGTGGGGGAGTAAATCCAACAAGTTCAAGAAGTCGCAACGGGCACGTGATTTCTTGAACTAACCTCCTTGCAATAACTTTCATGAAAGGAACTGGAGGTCGGTGCTAAACAACTCCGACATTTGTCGAAATTACCTGTCTCTCATTTAAGACCGCCTCTTTTATCTTAGCTGGATGGAGTTCTGATTTTATTTGTATAGGGGAGACGACGGATCAACTACCGGTGGGATGTCTTTTGGCTGATGAGAGGAGGAAATTTATTTAGTTTTTTTGCTGAACATGTTGGCTCTTTCGTAACATCAAACATGAGGGAATGTCAGTTAAGGTGTCTAGATAATAATCATGGTATGTTGGTCAAACTAAGGGTACAAGACACCGACGAGTAAATAGCGGTTCTATATTTCGAGTTAATAGAATAACAACCAGTCGTAAAGGTACCGATGTTAACATAACTTTATGGATGTCACAAACATTGACCATACCTTTCGTTACAATAGCATTGAGATGATGATGATGATGAGACTCCAGGGAAAACGTATATAAAGGTCAGGTATATTTGAAGATTAGAATTCAGATTTTCATCTTTCTTAATTCATTTCTTTCTCTTTACTTATTAATTCCTAAAAGAACATCAATCAAGTTATATAGACTCATATAACAACAATCCAAAAAAAAAATATTACTTTTAATAATTAACAATGACTATCGACAACCAATCTGTTGTATTTAAGAAGAACACTGTCTTTGTTCTATTCGGTGCCTCTGGTGATTTAGCCAAGAAAGAAACATTCCCTGCTTTGTTCGGTTTGTACTCCGAAGGTGCTTTAGATCCATCCACTAAGATTTTCTGTTACGCTCGTTCCAAATTAACTGTAGAGAACTTGAGAGAAAATTGTACTCCATACTGTAGACCTTCTACTACTGGTAACGACAAGTTTAAGATGGATCAATTTTTCAAGATGGTCACTTATATCTCAGGTGCCTATGATGTTGATGATGGTTACCTAAGATTGAAGGGCGAAATTGAAGCCTTTGAAAAGGAAAGAGGTGTCACCGAACCACATCGTGTCTTCTATTTAGCTATTCCACCAACCATTTTCCTAACTGTTGCTGGTCAATTGAAGAAGAATGTATATGCTACTAATGGTATCACCAGAGTTATTGTTGAAAAACCTTTTGGTGATGACTTGGAAACCTCCAGAGAATTACAAAGAGGTTTCAAACCTTTATTTAGAGAAGAAGAAATCTTTAAGATCGACCATTTCTTAGGTAAGGATGACTTGAAACGTCTGTTAGCAGTTAGATTTGCTAACCCATTCTTAAATGGTACTTGGAACAAGGATTATATTGAATGTGTCCAAGTTTGGTTCAAGGAACCATTTGGTGCAGAAGGTCGTGGTGGTTACTTCGATGTTGTTGGTATCATTAGAGATGTTATGCAAAATCATTTACTTCAAATTCTTACTGTTGCCACCATGGAAGAACCTGTCGCTAACGAAGCAGAAGCAATTCGTGATGCTAAAGTCGCATTACTAAAATGTATGGAAAAATTGGGTCCAAAAAACGTTGTTTCTGTTGGTCAATATGGTCGTTCTCTGGATGGCAAACTTCCATCCTACCTAGATGATGATACTGTCTTAAATAAGGAATCAAAATGTCTTACCTTCACTGAAATTACTATGGATATCCACAACGAACGTTGGGAAGGTGTTCCAATTGTCATGAGAGCTGGGAAGGGTCTAGATGAAGACAGAGTGGAAATTAGAATGAAATACAAGAAGAATGTCTCTGGTATGTTTGCTGGTTCCACACCAAACGAATTTGTTATTCAATTCCACCCAGAACGTAAGATCTACATGACCTTCAACACTACTGCTCCAGGGTTTGTCGACAACGTCCACCAAGTTTCTCTAGATATGACTTACTCCAAGAAGTATATTAATGACTGGGTTCCAGAAGCTTACGAAAGATTAATCAGAGATGCTTTCTTAGGTAATGCTGCTAATTATGTAAGAGATGATGAACTGGATGTCAGTTGGGATATCTTCACACCTCTATTAAACTACGTCGAAGGTCCAGACGCTCCAGAACCAGAAATTTACGCCTATGGTTCTACTGGTCCAAAGGGTATTCTAGAATAGACTACCAAGTTTCTATTCGTAATGATTGTTATAAACCTTTTCTCTTTCTTTTGTTATGACCCCTTAATATTTTTACTCTTCAATAATCTATATATTTCTATAAAGTGTCATTTGAACACAACTAATAAAAAAACTATTCTATTTAAATTTTTCAAAAGTTTTCAGGATATTGTAATAGAAACTGACACCAACGTGTAATCAAAATAGTTAATTCGTAGATGTCTACGGTATTTTCTTTTTTAAATATACCTTATGAAAATATATTGGCAAGTAGTTTAATAGTTTCATCGTACGAATTTTTTAAATTAGAAAACATAATTTTTTTCTCTATGTAGCTGAATAATAAATATGAACTTAAAGAGAAAAACAAATGAGAAAGAAGTAATAAAATTTGTAACAGATATTAACTTCGATTATAACCAATGCATTACTTAGTTGAAGAAAGTAATAGAATGTTACTCCTCAAAATTAGTTCTTGGAGAACATTCTCTTGTACATTGGCTTATCGTCAACCTTGGTAGCTTCAGCATCGTAGTCAGCACCTCTTCTGGAAGCTGGAATCCATGAACCGGATTTCCATGGTAAGACACCTTCTTCCCACATTTCATTAACTTCTTCTAGAGTCAAACCCTTGGTTTCTGGGACGCAGAAGAATACATAGAAAACTGCGAAAACCATACAACCCATAAACACATAACCATAGTAGAAGTTAATAGCACCAGTAATGAATGGAGTGAAGAAAGAAATTAGGAAATTCCATAACCAGTTACAACCGTTAGCTAGAGCCATACCCTTTGGCTTAATCTTCAATGGGAAAGTTTCAGAGACAACAATCCAACAGATAGGAGCCCAGGTACAAGCAAAGGAGAAAATAAAGAAACAGGAGAACACAATCATACAGTTACCAGCACCCTTGGAAGATGTTTCATCCTTACCGTTTGGATATAATCTAGTGACACCGACAGACGCATAGACAACGTAACAACACACCATAGCAACGGCTCCCCAAATCAAACATGCACGACGACCAAATTTGTCTACAACATATAAGGATACAAAACTGGATGCAAAGTTCACAATACCGAAAACAATTGCAGTTTGATAAGAATCAGTCAAACCGACGGCTTTAAACACAATAGTACCATAGTAAAAGAAATAGTTGCAACCAGTCAATTGTTGTAGAGATTGGACCATACAACACATCAATAGACGTTGGACAACTTTACCATTAGAAGAAAACATATCAGCCCAAGATGCATTACCTGCAGCTCTTTCGGCTTCAATATTGGAAGCAATTAGATCAACTTCACCAGTGACAGATGGATCATCGATGGAAACTTTGTTAGAAGTAGCAATGGATCTCTTAGCTTCTTCGGCCTTACCGACTTCCATCAAGTAACGTGGAGATTCAGGAACAAAGAACATCGCACCGATCATAAGAATGGCCCATGCAAAAGATAAACCTAATGGAACTCTCCATTGTACAGAGTTATCGTAGGACTTGGTACCGTAGTTAGTACAATCACCTAAGAAAATACCGAAAGTACACATCAATTGGTACATGGAACCCAAAGTACCTCTTAAATGTTTTGGAGCAACTTCAGATAGCAACATAGGGGAGAACATAGAGATGGCACCCACACCCATACCGGAAATAATTCTACCGATGAAGTATTGGTACCATTTGTTAATAGAAGCAATTTGAATTATAATACCGACCATGAAAATGGCAGTAACAGTGACTAACGCCATCTTACGACCAACTCTGTTAGCCAAATTACCAAGGACTAAACAACCCAACAAACCACCGATGTTGAAAATAGAAACAACCAAACCAGTTCTGACGTTAGAAAAATAGTGAGTGCCATCGGTATGTTTAGAACCGAATCTGTCTAAGAAATCTGGGTGAGCTAAGAAACCACCTATAGTACCAGTATCCCAACCTGAGATGAAACCACCGAAACCAATCATGACACAGAAAATGGAGATGGTTACATAAGCAGAAGCTGGTTTAACAGGAATTTCTAATTCATTTTGGGAATCATTTTTACCTTGAAGTTCTTCGTTATCGAATTCAAGTTTATTAGGTTCAGTTGAAGCACCAGAGTTGGACTCTGATACACTTAGGAAAGTATTAGTATTGATTGTAGCTGGAACAGGTGTTGCTTCAGACATTTTTGAAAGTATTTTAGTTTTGGATGGGATTTTCTCTTCATAACTGAAAACAATATTTAGAAAGTAGGTTCGATGCAATTAAAAAGTAGGGTGTATGTTGGACCTTTATATACCCCATATTTTAACACATTTTTCAGCTTCCATTCAAGCAATATTCCGGGGTAAGATAGAGAAACGACGTTTATCAAAAGGAGTCCTTCAGAAAATTCTTGAAGAGCAAATAGTGGACCTTTCTAACCGAATTATACAATAGAAGATGGAGGGGGAAGCGAAAGTTGAGAGAACCTGCAGCCTGCAGAAGATGTTCAGGAAAAGCTAGTTTAAAAGGTATAAATATCCGGGGGTGGGGTTCTTTTTTTACCACTAGTAGCAGACATGTCTATTATGATGATATTCTTTTATCATGATCTAAAACCCCGGTCAAATAATTCAGAATCAGTGTCCATCTCAAGATTACCGTAAAATGATGTAGGCTAAATGCGAGAATTATTGTAAGATTACATCCAATAGTTCATGTAACGTCGCGAAACGGATTTATAACCCACTTATTGTTTCTGGAGTCGTAGGCTGAACCACTTTATATTGTGTGTATTATTTTTCAGGTTAATTGGGACGACCTCTCGAGATATTGGTGGACATTTCTTTTCATTTTCTTTGTGGCTCTAATCCCCTCATAGTTAATCCGAGTAACCATCATCAAAAAATAAATTATAGTTTCGGCGGGGGAAAAAATATGATTTTCCGGAGGTGGGGTGAGTTGGTGGTAGTGAGTGGCATGATAATAAGTTTTAGGTAATCCGTTTGGAAGACAATAGCGAGTTTTATTGTTTGAAGAAGTGTGAGGGATTAATTATGACAGGGCAGTTAGAAGTAATCCCAGAGAGGATGTGAAAAATTCTTGCAACAGACACATGTATTTCAATATAATTGATGGACATGGTATGGTGCTATTGCAGTAAGAGGAAACAGAAAATACTTAAGATATTTATTATTAGAATAAGGAGAGTATATTAAAATTAAAATTAGTTAAACATGTTATTAAAAAGTTGATTAATTGTACGCTATAAACAGTTAAAGAATCTATTGTTTTCAGTCTTTTCCTTTTTGTTTGAAGAGGAGAGTAAACCTTTTTTATGGCCACCAAACGAAAAAAAACAATTAAGAATTCAATAAAAGAGAGGTACAGTTGTAAATTAAACGTGTGAAGAGATTATATTATTATTATCGTGAAATCATAATAGAGAAAAAAGAAAAAAAGAAAGATGTTACTCCTCGAAATTAGTTCTTGGAGAACATTCTCTTGTACATTGGCTTATCGTCAACCTTGGTAGCTTCAGCATCGTAGTCGGCACCTCTCTTAGAAGCTGGAATCCATGAACCGGATTTCCATGGTAAGATACCTTCTTCCCACATTTCATTAACTTCTTCTAGAGTCAAACCCTTGGTTTCTGGAACACAGAAGAAGACGTAGAAGTAAGCGAAGACCATACAGCCCATGAAGACGTAACCATAGTAGAAGTTAATAGCACCAGTAATGAATGGAGTGAAGAAAGAAATTAGGAAATTCCATAACCAGTTACAACCGTTAGCTAGAGCCATACCCTTTGGCTTAATCTTCAATGGGAAAGTTTCAGAGACAACAATCCAACAGATAGGAGCCCAGGTACAAGCAAAGGAGAAAATAAAGAAACAGGAGAACACAATCATACAGTTACCAGCACCCTTGGAAGATGTTTCATCCTTACCGTTTGGATATAATCTAGTGACACCGACAGACGCATAGACAACGTAACAACACACCATAGCAGCGGAACCCCACATTAGACAGGCACGACGACCAAATCTATCAACGACGTAGAAAGCAACAAAAGTGGAGGCGAAATTAACAATACCGAAGACAATAGCAGTTTGATAAGAATCGGTCAAACCAACAGCTTGGAAAACAATAGTACCATAGTAGAAGAAATAGTTACAACCGGTCAATTGTTGTAGAGATTGAATCATACAACACATAATTAGACGTTGCAAAACCTTACCATTAGAAGAGAACATATCAGCCCAAGATGCATTACCTGCAGCTCTTTCGGCTTCAATACCAGCTAGAATCAATTCAGCTTCACCAGTGACAGCTGGATCATCGATGGAAACTTTGTTAGAAGTAGCAATGGATCTCTTAGCTTCTTCGGCCTTACCGACTTCCATCAAGTAACGTGGAGATTCAGGAACAAAGAACATCGCACCGATCATAAGAATGGCCCATGCAAAAGATAAACCTAATGGAACTCTCCATTGTACAGAGTTATCGTAGGACTTGGTACCGTAGTTAGTACAATCACCTAAGAAAATACCGAAAGTACACATCAATTGGTACATGGAACCCAAAGTACCTCTTAAATGTTTTGGAGCAACTTCAGATAGCAACATAGGGGAGAACATAGAGATGGCACCCACACCCATACCGGAAATAATTCTACCGATGAAGTATTGGTACCATTTGTTAATAGAAGCAATTTGAATTATAATACCGACCATGAAAATGGCAGTAACAGTGACTAACGCCATCTTACGACCAACTCTGTTAGCCAAATTACCAAGGACTAAACAACCCAACAAACCACCGATGTTGAAAATAGAAACAACCAAACCAGTTCTGGCGTTAGAAAAATAGTAACTACCATCATGGTGCTTAGAACCAAATCTCTGCAAGAAATCTGGGTGAGCTAAGAAACCACCAATGGTACCAGTATCCCAACCTGCAATGAAACCACCGAAACCGATCATGACACAGAAGATGGAGATAGTAATGTAAGCAGATGCTGGTTTGATTGGAATTTCGACGATATCACGGTCGGCGGAATTTTCACCGTCCAGCTTCATTTCGTCATCGACTTTGTTGGAGTCAGCAGTTAGGACAGAGTTAGAGTCGGAAGCTGAAGGCATAATGTTAGTGTCTGGATGCTCGACCTGAGAGTCAACCTGGGCATCTGTAGCAGACATATTTGTAATTAGTTTATAATATAATGTTTTATATTTGTATTAGTGATGATATATATATATGAAAGAAATGAAATACATAGAAAGATAAAAATTTAAAATGGAAAAGAAAATATAATTGAAGAATGAAAAGGCAAATTATCAAGCCAAGTATGGTCTGTATTTATACCAAAGTTTTTTTAAAAGAAATTTCATTTTATTTTATTTTATTTTCTAGAAGTGGCATTCCTATCAAAGATTTCAATCATTAGAGTCGAATACCCCAGAAAATAAAAGAGAAACTCGATTCGATTCCATTCTCAAGAGGAAACAATTGCAACAATATCAACCAAAAATAGGAAACGAGCTAAGGTTGATGAAGAAAGAAAAAAATTCACCGCCACCATATCCGCCGTTTGCAGCCAATTTCACCGACTCCCCGGTCTCTAACTCCTTGTTGTTCCCCATCAGAATACTCGAGGTCCATGTGCATTCCTCTGGAGATGGTGACGAGATGATTGCCTCTTTCTTCAAGTTTTGTTGTTGTTGCTTCAGCTTTGAGGCCAGTGGGGCACGCTGAAAGAAGAAAGAAAAAATTTCGTGATCCAAAACGGCAGCCGGCGACGCCTTGAAAGCAACATCGCGGGGGCGGGGCAAGATGCCAGCGATGGCGAGGAGACTAAATAACGGCGACAGAAACGGGCGGATGAATATAAAGCGTGGGGGTGGGGTGATCTTTTATAGTATTGATTTCGTGAATGTGCGTACACCCACACCCCACATATAAAGACGACCAGGCGGTGTCACATCACCAACGCCAACTGACAAAACACCGCACAGGGTAAAAGAAAAAGCAACGGTGTTGTGATGCAAGAGTGCGGAGATTTTCCCACCCAAAATTTAGGACCGGCCAGCAAATGTGACGGTGTGGGAGCGCAGGAGTTATATTTAGAGTGCGGGCTGCTATTGTGTCATTTCCAAAAAGAGACATCATATGGACAGTTCGATAAGCAACCAAACAAGAAAACAAGGAGGAAAATCATGTCCCAGTGGTATTAACCTCAACGTTGAACGTTGCGTGGAATTACGTCCTGTGAGAGTGTGGGGAAGTCTACAATAGGAAGCAAATTTTTGCATTTGTTGAGCCCTATGGTGCTGTTGACGATGTTGATGTTTCATGACCGGTGCATGAAGATAAGAAATCATCCACTTGTTTTTCCAGGTCTCGGAAACCAGTCGTTACAACTGCACTCTCCCTCTCAGATAAGACCGCTATTCTGTCGTTTCTTAACTCCATTCAATATAGTGTATCTTGTTGCAAAAGATTTGTATTCCCGATAGACTACGAACAAGTTTTGAAATGAAAGTAATCTTGATTATAATAGTTCCAAGATATGAATAAACCACTAGTATCTTTAACGTTTATTTACTCCTTGAAATAAGGATTGATGCTCATGGCCAGGTATAACTTGGGTTTTTTGGCATTTATTGCTTGTCCTCTTCTACCCCCTGAAACATTAAACAAAAGATTCTTGTGACAACGGTGATAGTTTATTGAAAGCGCTACTATATTGTTCTATTGTACTTTTTCAAGATATTATCAATGACTTGCGATAAGAACAGATATATGCATATTTCTTTTGCGGGGAAGTTTTGCCAGATATGTGGGGTGTATATGTCTAATTTTGTTGTTGTTGTTGTTTTACATATTTCTTGTCAAAAACTGGTATTCTTTAGATAGTAGTACTGATGCCTTCGTATAATATGGATTCATGATGAAAAATACCCTGTTTTACAAGTAAAGAATTGTAAAAAAAGATATCTTCCTCCTCCCAAAGGTACGCATTTTATCTATTAACCATTTAGAAAATTTTAATTAAAAACTTTTACTAGTATGATGATGATAAATAAGTACTTGTGAGAAGTTTGCCTTAATATGTCCAATATTTAGAGATTATTTCAAAGAGGAGTATTGTTAAGTTGGTACTATAACATCAACTTTTTGTCATTGATACAAAACTGATTTCTATATATCATTACACTACCAGATAATGTCCAACCCAACGGTAATAAAAATAGCCCACTATCTCAAAAGGGAAAAAAAATAGTCGGCTTCATCATATGAAAAGGTATGAGAGCAAAATTGCAAACTTTTCTTTTTTTGGCTAAAGTCTCAAATTACAACAACCCTACAACATAAGAGGCTAACAGTTGTTCAACTTCACTCTTCGATGAGTTTACCTAGTATATATAAGAAACAATGCAAACTCATTAGGTCTTGTCAAATTTACTCTCAAGAAATATATATCAATAATCAACGTAGTATGTTCATGAAAACTTCTTAATGATAGCAATATCTGCTCAATGTAGATAAGCGCTACTTTAAAATATTCTATTAATCACCACTTCATCCTACCATTGTCGTTTACTACCCGCTTATCACCTGTAGGATGGTGCATTTGTATTTCCTAAACATGGCTTGAAACTCATATAATGTTTTGAGTATTAGTTTTCGATCAAGGTGGGTGGTCGTGTTTTTTTTATAAATTATATATTTTGATTACATCAAAAATATGGTGGAATCAATTGATAGATTCACACAATTGATTATATCCAACATTGTGAGTTGTACTTTAAGAAATATCAGGTTTCATACAATGATATACTATTTATGACAAAGTGTATATATATAGAACGAGAAGAAACATTATACCCAAACAAAATAATTCCGCCAAAGTACATTGTATATATCCCTCTCACGTAAAGTGGACCAGGAACAAATTCCGATCTATAAAGATATAAATGGTAATTGACAGCCTAAAATATCTATATTATAATAATACCCTGTTTCTAATTTTTGGCAAAATATTTTGAAACCACATCTTAAATCTAGTCTGTCTTAAGAATATTGGTCTCTCTCTATTAATTAACACATTTATTTTTTTTAGCTAACTTTTATAGTTTTGTTGCTCTAATGAAATTTTACCAGAGGCTCCAAGCCAAGTGATTAAGTAAACAAAAAAACGATAATGATAATCTTTGAGATGACGCGATATTGGATCGCACTGTAGAATAACTAAACCAGATGAGTGAAAATTTTACTCAGTAACGTTCAGACGAATTCTGCATTACCATAGCTATAATTTAACAGTATTCTCTATTGTACATCATATATATATATATAGTACTTAAACTCTCTAGATAGATGCCAGAGCAGCCATGACTTATTCTAGGTTATTATAATACATTTTCGTTATTATCTAAGACATCCAATTCAACGAACTTTCTTTATTCGTTACCCTCTTTCTGCTCCAATTATACCAGATAACGAAATAATGATGACCTATAGAATTGAATGTGCATAAAAGGATTTCTTCACATCTATTGGAATTATGTGTGAGATAGATCACTCTTAATTTTTGACAGGATGAATCTTTTGAGTTAAAACATGTATATTATACAGTTTCTTGTCTAAAAGTTATATTTATTAGATGGTTGGATTGATACTTTGGTATACTATAAAGATATTGAAGAGTGAAACAAGTTGTGTAATGATTAAATGGGGTATCATGGAATAAAGAAAAGTCGACATACTTCAAAGTAATATCAGTTAAATCTTTTTCCTCATAACTTTGTATATCCATCTATCAAACTTGTAGAAATTGGATAAGACTATCTGTATATAACTTGTTTGGTATGGTGATAGTATACTTTTATCATTAAATTCTTAGTAACTCTTGATCATGATATATACTTAAATTGAGTACGTTCGTTAGATTTACCTACTTACAAAATTAGTAACCATTAGAATTTCTGTTACGAAGAATAAGGATTTGGCTATCGTTGATAAGACTAAAATAGTCTTATTCCAACTTGATTATATGAGATTCCAGGATGAAAAATAAATACTCAAAAAGCTGAATCCTAATTCTCATAGAACAATAGTACGATCTTATTAAAGAGTGAATAAACAAAAACAATACGACTAAATATATGTTGCTCAGGATAGTAAAAAAAGGCTCCCGACTTAACCTGAGATGTACTGTTTCTAAAGAAAACAGAAATAAACTAAAATATAAAAGGGAATGGATTTCTGAAATGTCAAAAGATCCATGCCCAAAATTTTATGTAACTTTCGATTCTGATTCTAAAGAAACCTTGAAGAAAGTACTATGTTAACAAGAAATTTTTCACAAGTAACTATGACTTACTCTCTAGAAGATAACCCAGCTTTTAATGCTAGTCTGAATATATGCTTAAGTTTTTAAGGTAATATACAGCATATTCTTCCTGGATTTTTTTAATATCCGAATTAAAAGATCCTCAAAATATTGTACGCAGATATTTTGTGAATCAATAATTCATGTTGTTTATATTTGTTTTCTTGTTTACATTATAATCACTTTATTTCGGATCAAAGTCGGACAAGCCTATTTTAGAATCTGGAATAAAGCAAGCTTCAAGATCATGTGTGTATCTTCACTACAATTCACGAATCCAAGTCCGCCACATTTTCTCTGGTAAGTAGATATAGTTTCGATGTCGCTCTCTATAATGCGAATAAATTATAGCTATCTCATGATGCCATTTCTAATACGTAATAAAGATATACCAAATAGTGATAAAAGCTTTAGATAAAAAAATCTTACATCCATCTTTTACAATTGAATTATTTGTCACTTTAGCTAGTTCAGATGTATGATATGGGATATAATCTTCAAATATTTGAGCAACTCAATATAACATCTGTTTTTTTGTAGAGATGCGGAACACAAAATCTAAACAGACAAACTAAGATATATCGATAAACATCTGTCAACCTATACTCAGCAGCTTTACTAAAAAACGACATTTGCTCTAAATTCGAACACTTCACAAGAACAAATTCTCAAGTCAAAAAAAATACGTGTACCTATTTTTTCATGGACGATTGAAGCTAAAAAACGTGGTATATCAATTCAAATATTATTGAGATTTCTTCATTTTCATTCAACTAAAAAAAAAGGTAAAAACTCTCACAATAC